TTTTATTTCTCGTCCTAACAATAACCCGCAGTTAATGGGACGTTATGCAGGAATTGGTGTACGACATGGGACGTGTAATGGCAAATGAGTCGTATTTATTGTGCAGATGTGTAATAGATATTTTCATGTGTGCTGGTATGAATGTCCTATTTTTATCTTGCACATTAGTAAATAAATGACTTCATATGTGGATGATCAAACATGACATTTTTTGTTAATTATGTACAATGGGTGTCGAAAGTGGATTTTATTTTTGCAAATTGTCACCTCACCTCTTCCACCAGCATATATTTACATATTAACCTCGACCCTTTCTTGAGGTTATTCATGTTTTGAGCACAATTGACAATTAATTTTGATGCCTACATACACACGTCGTCGTCAGCTATTCACAAGTTCGACAAGTGGTACACATGCGAGCTAGAGAGAGAATAATTATTGTACATTTACTTACTGGGCGAGTGCTGTGTTGTGGCCTTGTAATTAATATATCTTTCACAATTAAGCAGTTATACGCAGCTATTACATGGAGCGATAAATATTAAGACGACGACGTTAACAACAAACGCATCACATTTCATTTGATATGCCTGCCAAGTAGTAAAAGATGACTGATCTCATGCGGTATATGCACATAATGAAACCACGTCGTGATTATTTTTCCACATTTTCAGCCTAATTTTAGACTTACACGCTCTTAACTTAACTCGGACTAATTTTCGCATATTACTTTAACACACGTCACCTTCATGTAAGACTTCAAGGATTAAGCCGGCACAATGAAAAATTCCTTTTTTGGACGTCAAAGCGATCAGTGTGCTTGTAATCATCATTACTTTTCATTATTTACTCAAAGGGGTTGCTCGATTGATTGAACAGGTTGCATAAGAGAGTTGAAAAATAGTCGTAAAATTGATCCCAATCATTGGCAATAAATACATCATTGTAAATTTGTGTGTAACAAATGTCACTTGTTGTTCACGATTGCAAAATGAGATTAGAGCATCGAAATCGACGTGGTGTAAAAGGATTTCAATTTACTATAGACAGATCTATGTACATAGTTTATTGACGAGATAGATTGTACTTTGAGATATAATCGGTGCCAATCCAAAACCCATATGTTTAAATTATAGGCAGTTAAATAAAAAATGTAAAAGTAAATTGCGAGGCGACGACTGTTGACTAATTTCAATGTGTTAAGATCATGTCGTTCTAACGTGTCAGAGTGGAAAATTATGCAACTCCTGACAAAATATTTTTACAAATTATATACAAACAACGCGAAGACCGTCATATTTGTTTTTTTACAAGCTACTTTAATTTTTAAATGCGGTCACAGAAATATGAAACCAGATGGGAATATAGATTTTTACGAGGCAACGCAGTAGCACCAAGAAGAAATTTGAAGCCTATGTAACAGAAATCACAAGCAAAAATGGAATTGTGCTTTGGAATGAGTTATGATGTTTCGACGAGATTAAAAGAGTCAAAAATCCAGTTGCAACTTTACGAGCAAGCAGAATAACAGTTCAACTCTACGCATACAAATTCTTAGACTGCGGAAACTCTTGTAGAATAAGTCACAAAATGAAATGATGACAGAACAAATTTACCCGTTGATTATGTCAGATTTGTCATTTACATTCTTGATCCTGGTCCAAAAAACGGGATGCATGTGTAATACATTAACACGCTAAAGTGCAAATACTCGCTGGTTCCTTCGCGTAGAATTAATATTATGAAAAGTTGTTGGTTTCATTTCAATTGGACAGGAATGATCCACTTTACACGAATTCTACTCTCTCTCACTCTCGATCTCCAGCAGGAAAATCCGCAAAACGTGTCCAAACTGATCAAACTTTCGCCCATTGTGTAATAACCGTGGTGCGACGAGGATGACAATTACGCAACTTGCGTAGAGAACACAACACATTTGCATTCTTTCCGCTAAAGAGGGCAATTCCGACTTGGAATTTCAAACACCTTAAATGATACTTCTCCCCTTTAGCTGCGGCGACAAAATGGTATCACGTCAAGTCACGGACCATGTATTCTCCCACAATTCCTGGTTTAGTTGCTTGTGGTCCTGGAAACCATGCCTTTTCCTGTTCACCTTCATTTCCGACCGACTTTTGACGCACCTCCTACGTGCAAATGGAGAATGTTGCTTGGCATGCTTTTCATCAAACGGCAGAGTAAAGAAGAAAGGCCAAGGATATGGCGGCGTTCAGGATGTCGTTGTAGCGTCAATTGAGAAAGAAAGCCTAGAGAGAGAGACACAGCAGAGAGCACTAAATTTTACCACTATCATCATTGTCGTATCACAAACCAACCACAAGTGGCACATCCATTAAATTGTAGAATTTGAATTTCCATTTTACGATGAACTACTACGACTCGTAGTGAGTGTGAGAATGCCCATTTTTGTATTCATGACATTACGCTGAGCAAACCTCCAAATCTCCAGCCAGTCACAAGTTCAGTTTTGACATGTCTGTGCAGACGAAGAGATGACGACGATGAACGACAACGAGTAGTTATTATCTCTACTATTGCGAGGGGGCTTTTATTCAGCAGGCAAGGCGACATACTTATCCTTAGACCTGCGAAAATGTAACTGGATCTTGAAGAATTAATGGGGAAAAGGCGCACAAAAAGTGTTACATTTTTCACTGGGCGACCGACCGCCTTAGTCATCTCATCAGTTATGTAATGTAACATCAATTTTCGTCAACACAAAATGAATATTATCTACTCAACATTATGACTTGCAAGTAATTTCACTCGAGTCAAAAATACAAAGAAATCTCGCTGTGTGGTTGGCCTGCCCAGTGTCAAATTTAAAATCAGAATGCACATCACATCCATTTTTCATCAAGTTCTGAAAAAAATGAGAGTTGCTCGTCTAATGCATATCAAAAATTATATACGACGACCTGCATCTTAAATAAATATGTATTTATATCACTATTTTTGAACTGCATGGATGGAAAATATGTATTTTTTGTAAATATGTCACAGTTTCATTTCATACATGAACCGAATTTCCAGTTTCATGTTCAGCTCTTCTGTTTAGTGCATCAAGTAAGTAAAACATGAAAAATAAATGTGGTCCATCCATAAATAATAGTAATCCACTCAACAGTAGGTGCAGCAGTAGTACAAAAAGTAGTGGCAATCATTTTATCTTTATTTAAATTCAACTGTCCATTTCAAGATCCACTTCTGGCTCTTCAAATTCTTGAGTGAGTTTAAAGAAGGAGAGATAAAACATGAATGTTTACAAATTCTTGTCTTATTTTTAGCTTCTTAATGTCCAACTAAATGTCAGAGTAAATCAAGCCGTATCACGAAATTGTTTCACCTAAAAAAACTTATATACAAAACATATCTTGTAATGACATGTACAACTTTTTCAGTCGAAGGATTTTACTAAATTTGCAATTTTCATCTGTATAAAATTAAGTCCATCATAAATACCTTTTCAACCAACTTCTCCGAAGGCTAATGAAAATTGCAGGTGCTCGCTAATTCTTAAACAAAGTGCAAAGAACTGCCAAAGTAGGATGCACTGTACACCACCTCTGCTCATGATTTAAATCTGCAAGTTAATTAAATTAACAACAACATCTCCAACAACTACCTGTGTAACTTCAACTTCATGCCACCCATGCTGTCTTGGTCTGTTAAAAAAGTTATGAGGTTTCATACAAAAGTTAAGAAAATCACCCGCAGAACCAATCACCCTGAAGGGCTGATGCCTGATTGTGAAACAATACACATCTATTACCGAGAAGAAAATTATTTCCTAACTTTTACATATGTAGTCTCCGCTTTTTTTGCAAACTTAATGATGGGCCGCCGAAAACCTTAACTTTTTTTACCAAGTCTGGACAAGAAGTTCGAAACCTCGCCTCCTCCACAAAATAAATAAGTGGGTACATTGCACCACAAGGAATATTATAAGATAAGTATTTATTGAAACAATCTGTACAACCTGGGAAAAATTAGTATGTACTAACTTAAATATATCTGTCTGCACTTGTAATCATAAGATTGATCACATCGTTCCAGAAAAATTGCTGAACCCTCGCCAAATGGAGTTTTACCAAGTTTTCGGAGCAAAACTATGCACCTTCGCAGTTTGTTTACTTACCTAAAATATAGGAGATTCGGAGGAAACGATGCAACAAAGTTGCACCCATTATATTTTGCAACATAAAATTAAATTGGGATGAGATCTCAATATAAATTCCCTCGCGTGGTTTTGTCACTTTCTCTCTGAATAGCAAATTAGACCAGCCACAGTCGAACCACGTCCGATGTCATTCATTTTTTGGCAAAGTTTTTTAATCAGGCTTAATTAAAGGGATGCAGAAAACAATGGGGGGTCCATCCACCTCTCATTATACGACAAACCACAGCTCAACCAGTGCATGCAAAAATTCCATAATAATGCGGCGACTACTATGCAAACTGTCAACTTTCCTTATATGAAGATTGTCGCATATGTGTGTAAGAGACCATCAGGATATCATGCATTCGTAACGACGGACCATTATCAGACCAGGGATGTACGTATGACTTGAGCCAATTCATACATCACAATTTACGATCCATTTCCTCCAATTAAATGCTCCACTGACGATGAGTTTCTCATCTCCTTCTGGTAGTTGAACTAACTAACCAAGTAAGTAATTAAGTTAACAAAGACAATAACGTACGGCACGCAAATGGGTGGCTGGGGAGGGATTGAAAATTGAGTTCTTGGTGAATATGGGATAATAAAACGAGCTTTGAACCTCCAACCTACATAAATAGTGTAAAGCTCGGTCACTGCCTATTTATTGGCAAACATTACTTTGTCTCACTTTTACTTTTCGGATAAAAAGACGTGCTTTCCGGGTCTGGAGAAGAAGATATCCTCGAGAGGGGTCAATTGGTGGGGATAAAATATTTAGAAAAACGTGGAATTATATATCTTCGTATGTACATACCTGCAAAAACGGCGGATACGAGCATTTCTTATTCCTCCATTCAAATCCAACTGCCCACAAAGGTCTAATTCAAGGGTGCATGTCTACCAAGCGAGTGAATTAGTCTCAATCTTTCATTCGCGGAAGAACACACAGACGTCGAAGTATTGTTCGAGTAGAAGAAATTGTGGAGAGCCAAGTCTCTGAAAAATTAATGGCTTGTTTTCATTCAGCGAGATAGGAAACCTCCACGACTGCGAATACAAATTGATTTGGCCAACAATTTGTAACACAAACTACGCTCGCACACGAATCTGTTAAACCTTGAGAGAGGCGGAATTGTTGTGGTGGTTAACTATAAATTTCGTTTATGTAATGGAATAACGGAAAACTATCTAGCAGCTATTAAACCACGTACGTAAACTGCAATGATTCACTTTGTTGTTCACTCTCGTTTTTCTTACAAATGCACCAACAAAAGTTGCAAGTCGCCTTGAATGGTCGGTAAATTGTGCTCCTTTCAGTTAATTTTATTGGCTTCTCGTCTTAATCAATTGGCCACAATTTAAGGTGTATCTATATATATGTCCACTTGTCATGCAAAAAAAGTCACCACTGCAACAATGTCATGTTCCTATTAGCGATTCTCAACTTTCCATCCTTTTTCCACCAATTTCCAAGACACAGTTTCATTCGAATTAATTTGCATGAATCACTGCTCTGTATGTATTTAAACCGTCTCACAAATCCAACTTCCTCCTGCTTTCTCTGGAGAATTGAACCATGAATGACTTTTGAGGAGATGATGAACTTTTAGTTATTAAACCACTAACCAACCAACCCATGCCACTGATCAGATTAATATCTACTTCCGCTCTTCACACGGCAAACTCAACCACATAAATCATTAGTAGCGTTACCACCAAACCACGCCAAAAATCTTCCAAAGTTTCTGTAATCTGCGCCTCATTAACAGATGCACTACAGATTAGAGCTCCTTCTGTCTTGGTCAGTTTGGTTTATTAAAAAATCTATGAGGTGAAAGAGAGGAGGAGGACAAAAGTTTGTGTGAGACAAAGGTGAGGTGTGCGTCTGATGAGACTTTATTGAAGACTGAAAGACGAGAATTTCTTGTTACACACACCAACCAACCCATAGCCCCATGAAACATTTACCAGGAGCATGCAGAAGACGAGCACCACAAATACAAATGTGCTTCATACTTTTACATGAGAAACTTTTTCCATTTGGATCACACACTACAACTTCACTTGCAAGTCTGCTTCTTCTTCGCCCAACTTCTTTTTTGTTCCACACTTGCTCATCTCGTATTATTGCATTTGGTCGACCAGGTCTGGTTGTTGGGGTCTCACATTCTGCCTTATGCTGTGTAAAGCCTGACCCTTTCTGGATGCCAGTATTATTACGTATTTAAGCTCGTATTGCTTCTGCCTTGCTTAAAAAAGAAACATAAACATTATCCCTCTTAAAACCGGGACGATGGATAAAAGCAACCCCATCCGAACTTATTAAGCAAGATTTTTTTACAAGGGGAAATATGACGAGAGGAAGATTAAACTGGACTTGTTCCCATAATAATGATTATATTGACACTGAATAGAATGATTTGTAAGCTGGAGGAATAAATGCTGGTTAATTTGCCTAAACTCGGGTGATTGATGCGATGAAGAAATTGTTTGTGGGGAGTAAATCCGTTAGAAACAGACATTTTTAAGGTGGATGGATATCGTCATGAAATATATGGAATGTTGAAACCTGGGATTTAAATATCACACCGTTGCTGCAATAATGAACCACTACTATAAAGTACATATATTTTAGGGGACCGTGAATAAGTAGGTGTTACATTGTTGCATGTTTAATTTTAATGGGATGCGATGAGAGAGACACCAGATTCATGTATGTATGCATGATTTACAGCATTGTTAATTTTAACCCTATTCATAATTTGGATTTACATATTAGAGGAGTGAGGAGGGGGTTACATACAATCCTGAGTCAGAGAGATCTCCATATTTTGTATAATTTCGACAACTTCCTCTATTTAAGGTTTCAAAATAAGTGTAGAAGACATTTACTGAAAAATTCTGAGAAGGAACGATGCCAGAATACTAAACAAAATCTTCGTCAGTGTGTAAAATTCGAGACGAGGAAATGTCGAGTGTTTCAATTCAATTTATTTTCTTATTTTAATTTAATTTAAACATATTAAAGAAATGATGATGATATGATGGGCGGCTTGTAAATTCGTTCTTCTTAAAAAAATGAGAGAATTCGTATAAAAAGAATTTGACTAATTTAAACGAAAACTCATATTACAACTTGTTCAAAAGCATATTCATTATTATTACACGCCCAATAAACGAGTCATCATATGCCTATTCAAAGGGTATGAATGTGTATAATAAATGGGTTAAATTTCATTTCCTATTTTTCTAAAAAAACTACTCTGCATGCAAAAAAGAAAACAATTTTCTAGAAATTCATACAGAATTCGGCATCTTCCATCTTTCTCTAGTAATGCAAAATTAATATCGTTTCCTTCGTTCGTTGTTCCCTGCAACGGGATAGAATTTGAAGTTGGTTGGTTGGAAATGAAGACAGACTGGGAATGAAATGAAACATGATGAGGAAAATGAGCTTGTGGCCTACATAAGGCTCCAACAAAACCCAAGGGACGGAAGGAAAGATCCCAACTTTATACTACTTTTGGTGGTTTAGTTACTTGTGCTTCAGGCCCCATCCGTCTCACCAAGATGAAGATCCAGTTAAATGTAAAGTTTACATTGTAAACCAGAAGAAGAAGAAGGAAGTTTACGGTTTTCTTACATATATTTTTCCTTCCAGCGTAATGAAATGTGCGTTGGAAATACTACAATGACTTCAATACCACTTGTACATAAGTAACCACCGTGTACAATATATATATAAACAACATGAGGAAGAAAGAAAGACGATTTGTTCAGAGTAGTTGAACACAAGTGTAGCAAACGTAAAAAAGGTCAAGTTGCGTAGGCTTATACATTTAATTACATATGGATTGAAGTTCTACACCCTTAGAACTAAGCAAGGGCAAGATCAGGATGCTATTTATAACCTAAAATTAAAATTAATTAATTAATTAATTAATTAATTAATTAATTAATTAAAATTTGTCACCGACATTTCAATGACGCTACTATTTTTCTTTGTGAGGGTTTCCAGCTATATTCCAATCTTAAGAAAAGTAAAGTCCAGTTGCAACGATGCAGACTTTAACTGGAGATTTGTTTCACTAAAAGCAATGCATTGTATTGACCAACATCTGCAAGATGTTATAGTTAACAGTTGGTACTAAATCCGGTTAATCCTTAACCAGAAGGAAGGATTTCCGGTTGCATACAAATACGCAATCCAACTTGTCACTAGCCTGTACGACAGTTGTACACCATATTTTTCATCTCATATTAATCTCACAATCTCACTCACAAGATCAGACACCTATTTACACATCTGTAATAGTATGTATTTTTTGTGTGTTAGATAACATGTAAAACAAACTACAATGGAATTTTCTGTCACGTAATGATTAATTAATTGATATAATGGGATATAATATTTATATGTATGTAGACATGCAAGCTTTGATTTATTTCATGACACGATTTTAAGTTGAACTTTTCAACCAAAATTTTGTAATTTTTAACTGGACCAGATCGGTGCATATTTTGAAAAAAATAAAATTGAGACATTTACAAGTATGCGGTTGCTATTCCTCTCCAACTCCTCCTTCTGAACCGGACGGACCTTCTTCACCTCCGCCGGGAGACATGCTTGATCCGCCCGACGGCTCAAATTGCTCAAGTTTCTTCTTCAGGGCCTCATTTTCCTCCTCAAGCTGAGCAGACTAAATAAATAATAATTAGAGCAATTAACGCCTTAGTCATAGTCATATATTCTAATTAAAATTAGACTATAAAAATTTACCTTTTTCCGTAAGTCATTGATCTCCAGTTGAAGTGATTCCATCTCGGCCTTCATGGGAACACCGGAAGCGAGCCGTTCCAAAAAGTACTCGACAGCATTTCCAGGACGTTCGGGTTCTTCGTAGAGGGAAACAAGGACCTTGGTCAAGCTGTCCATCACTCCTGATTTCTCCAGGTAGCGCTTGAACTCGTCACGTTTTGACTCTGGCTGTATGTAAAAAAGTGAAAGTGAGTATTTATGCAATAGGGTTTACAAAAGGAGGTCGTTGATGTACCCGATCGTACCTTCAAATTGGTTGCCATTTTGAGTTTGAAGAAGTGGACCTTAAAATATTTGAAACTGATTTGAAACAGTCGGGAAGTTTTCAAGTGTGAGAGGATTTTTTTTGCTACATTTTGACATGAAAATGAAACTTTTGACCATATTTATTTCGAAATAATTTCTATAACTACAAAGGTGAAGGTCATTGACCCCTTCAGGCACCATCTTTTTCTTCATCTTTTGATCTGCAGCAGCAGTACGACTCGTACTGTACGAGTACGAATTGCATTTATATTTTAATTAGTAAATATTTTCTAATTACTACATCGTACATAACTTAAATGGCGTTTATAAACATTTGTAAAGTACAAATTATAATTTCCATCTTACTATACAAATCCATAATATTATTTCCATCTTGAGTTTAGGTGTGTGAAATGATTGTAATCTCTCTTATCAAGCTGATAATAAACTTCTCGCTCAGCATCGCTCGGCCATCTTGAATTCCTTTCTTTGTTCACTGCCCCAGTGTTCAAAAGTAAGAGGGCTGATGATAAGTGGCAGCGAGCGATGTGTTGTTTTGTTACCGGCATTCATTCGTTATCCATCGTCTTCTCGCTCTCGCTCTCTTTCAATCCTCCAGTCTTCACCTTATCAGCCATATGCAAATTAGACAAAATTTGTTTACGTGTATTCATCCCCATGTTAAAACAAGAGTGTCGATCAAATTCCTCCGATCTTATCTGATTTTATTATCTGGTTGGCTTATGTTTATTCTAAAATAGGTAGACGACGACTTCAATCCTGCATTTTTTGGACCCATTCCTTGCCTGCCATTCGTTTCAGTCAGAATGAGTGATCCCTCCAAAGCAGTCGTGCTTTATCGTGGTAGAAGAAACAGCAACGCCGAGAACATTCCTCCACCTTCTCGTCCAAGTTCACCCTTTGACCAACCCCACCGAAGTCGTGGTTCTCGACCCCACACGCTACACTTGCAGTATATCACTCCCCCCTTCGTTTTCGAATACTTTTCCAACCCAAACGTCACCGTCTTCATCGCAGCTAGAGGTAAGGGAGAGTTTATTGATTTTAAAAAGGTGTACAATTGTTCCAAAATATCATATTAATATTACTTTGCATTGGAAATTAGTGATGTATACTCCACCTTATCCTGGATTCTCCCAAGACAATGGGGGTGGCGGCTACGGACATCACTTACCGAATGGATACATTCCATCGCCGTCAGCAGCATCATCTTCTGCGTCCTCGCTGTTTTCGAGCTCCCAGTCGTCGCAATCATCCCATCGTGCGGCAAATCGGCTCCACCAGCCTAATAATTTCAATGGATCATCAGCAGTCGCGACGCAGGGATCAGCCCCCTATGCTCATTCAACACCTGTAGTTGATAATTCTGAGAACAATCGCTCGCAGCAAACCATTCCCCAAGACAATCAATGGCCACAACAGCAACCGTGGTATCAGGCACCACTTCAACATTATCAGCAACCAATGTTTGGACAAGGACCTATATTTGGTCACCAGGACCAGCAGCAACAACATGGCCACCATGGTCATGCAATGATGCCGCAAAATCAGTACCAATCTCCAGGTGCAAATAATCCCAGCTATCACTTTCATTTTGGAAGCCCTGGCTCATACGATGTCAACTTTGCTCATAACAATGCCAAGTATGAATAAGACAAATTAATTGATGCAAATCCAACAAGTGCTAACGATATGACTAAAAAACAGTAGACTCATTTAGTTTTGTTTTTGTATTTTTTTTATTCAAATGTTAAAGGGTTTAATGAATATGTAATTAAGATATTTTTAGGAAGAGTAATATACAGAGTTATTTATTAGTTATACGGTCAACCATCCGACTTTACGAGGTTTGACTTTAGCAGTTTAACCCCACCAAGAAGAATCAATATTATTTATATATGTTGTAGTAATAATGCAAATAATTATACTATAACTATAATAATTACACACAAGTTTCAACAAATGTTTATCATTTTTGTATTTAATACCAATGTTTTTCGAGAAATTATTATTGACAAATAAACCAATCATGAAAAATATATCACTTCTTTATTTCATTTCAGTAATATTTCAATGAATAAAAATCCGTAGCAAATTTCGAGCACATGTAGCATGGAGCATATGTATGATTTTTTTTGCATACGACGACAATAAGAATGCGAACTTGTAAAAGCTAAAATAAAATGTGATGTGTTGTAAAAACTATGATATCACACAAAGGCCAGACTCCTCCTTCTTTCCTTGCTTGGGTGGACAGTTTTTAAACTTACGGCCAGACTCGAAAAATTCATGAAGGCGCGGTTTCAGATATTTCATTTCCTCAGGGGACATAACTTCTGCGTTACTACATTTATTATTACTATCACTAGGTTCGGGACTACGCGGTACAACAGTCGTCGTTGGGGATTTGGGGGAGGTGGATCCTTTCTCGGGAGTTGGGGACGCTGCACCTGCTGCAGCTGGGTCTTCGGGTTTGGGATCTTTGGAGGAGGGGGATTTGGCTGAAATGTCCAATCCGGATATATTGATTCGCATCTTGGTGGGAGGGACAATAATAGGGACATATACTGCAAATTGTAAAAAAGAAATTCATTGTAAATGATGTAAATCATAGAATTTTTATAACATAAACTCTATTTGTGGATTATACTCACCTTCCTGATGAAGATTTCCATCAATTGAGGTCATTTGATGAAGGGATCGAGGGGGAGGCCCATCACACTCGTCAACAGAATCATCCTCCCCAGTAAGATCAATTGGGTCCTGGTCAGAGGATAATTCCACAATAGGAGTCGGCATTGCCATCAGGTTGGGAGTGCTAACAACATCGTCAGGTACGTCATCATAATCATCGGGGGGCTCAATTTTGATTTTCGGAAAATCAAACTCCATGCTCTTATAAACAATTCGTTTTTCATCAACCTGCTCTGGAGACTCGGACCGTTCCCTTATATTTCCCAAATTCAGAGCAAACCCAAAAACCCCACCACTCGAGTCCTCAGAAATACCAGGTAACAAATTAGACGATGAATCATCATTTACAACAATTGGGGAGGAAATAGGTCTACTAATAATAGAATAATTAAGGACAGGAAGTCTATCAGCGTTAGATAATACATCATCACTAGTAGATTCGGTAGCAGTAGCAGTAGTGTTAATTTCTTCAGGACCGATTTCAATTTCTTTATTTTTTTCATTGTCATTATTTTCGTCCTCTTTCTCTCCTTCACCCTCATCATCTACATCATCTATATCCATTACTTCTACTAATACTTCCTTTTTTCCTTCTTTCAAAATCAACACTTCGTCGTCATCGTCCTCAAGCTGTGGAGGAAGAGGTGATGCTTCTTGTGGTGGAGGTGACGAGTCTTGCTGTGATGCTTGTTCCGTGACTTCCTCTGTCCCGTTCTGCACATCATCCACGGTCACGCTGGATATTTCATCAACTTGCATTGCTTCCTCTGTCATCATTGAGGAATTAATATAATCCTGAGGAAAATAATACAAAACAAGGTTATAGTCATGTATCAAGTATGGTAAAAAATACATAATATACACAAGTAAATATTATAAATAACTAAAATAAATTGTTGCGTCACTTGCCTGATGACAAATATAATGATAAACTTTATCTTCTCCTTCCGTTGAATCTACAACGGCGTTTCTCAGTCTCCATTCCTCTTTATCCTGGTCGTAGTACGATTCAAAGTTCTCGCCACATTGAGGACAAACAGACCCTGTATGACTAGACGCCGGCACTGAGCATTCCTCAGGAGAAACTATACCACCAGGACTTTGTGTCGTGGCGTCAGCGTCCCCTTGAGTTTCGAACATGCTGGCAGCTATTACAAATCATAATTGTATTACAACATTATAAAACTAATAATACGTAACGTGATAATGCACATAATCACAAATAACCAATATATTAAACTGTACAAATGTAATTACCTCGTTCTTCTATATCCTCAATCTCTTCGAAAAGTATCCATTCGGGCAATTTGTAGTACCAGGCACGTCGTTGAGGTTTCTTTGCTCCGGTGTCTTCCTTTTCTTTTCGACTACGAGCATTGCGACGAAAGTGCCAATCCAGATGCTGCTCATATCTGCAATGAATAAAAAAGGTGAAATTGGTTAGTATCTATCTGACTTTACATATGTCAAACCATGTTACTTATCAATCAACCAATGAGATTATACTTACTTTGCATTTTGATCTGGTGGAAATCTTAGTCCACACGTCGCACACTGTTTCCCCACCCAGAGTTGGTTGATCAACCCTTGTCGCCTTTCTTTAAAATAATTTTTCTCCTCCGAGACTAGAAGCACATCAACTGTTGGGAGAGGGGGCGGGGGCGTAGCCTGCACCGGTGCCATCATCATCTTCTTGTGATTATTCCTTTGAAACTTTTGGTATTTCTGATACTTGGAAATCGCACTTTCTTTGGGAGGATCGTTCAGCACCACTTTCGCTTCTTCCACTACCTCCGCCTTTATTTCTGCGCCGGCTTCTTTAGCAGCAGGTTCACTACTTGTTGCGGGCAAGAGGCCGAGACTGACGGCTTGTTCAAGAAGAGATGACACATCTAAGATACCCAAGGCTGGAGGGTCATTTTCATTTAATGGAGCACGTTGTTGTTCACCATTATCATTATTATTGGGTGATTCGTGGATAAATGGATTAAAAGGATCTCGGGCCATTCTCTGTTGTTGGTCGTGACCATGAGGGGGGAAGATGGGAGTGGGATTGTTGCCAAGATTGTTGTTGATGGCGAATGGGAAATTTCGCATCTCCATTAGTTGATGCTGCTGCTGATCACCCATCATGTTATGTTGCTCCATAAAACCACCACGCCCTCCTCCACCTCGACCTCGACTGCCTCGTTGTCCACGCCCACCACGCCGTAGAGCTTTATTAAAGTGTCCTGCAAAAAAATTAATGTTTTACTTATATCAAGTGAACATAGATAATTGATAAAAATACTAAACAAAAAGGACAACTAACCTGATCTCTCATTCATAATACGTAATTCCATCTCAGTTGGATTTGGAATAAAGTGCCCTTGATCTAGAGCAGCTTCAAATGGATTTGGACCAATCGGACCTCGTGGTGGAGGAGCTAGACCCCATTGATCACCAATATGTTGGTTCATTCGTGGATGATTGGGTAGCCAAGGACCTACATTTATTATCTTAACTGATTTAACAGTTCGTAAAATCAAAAATGACTTCAAGTCTTACCGTCTCGATCCGCTGGACGCATTTCTCTTTCAATTGGTGGTTGACGGGGAAAATCTAAGGCTTCTTCAAATGGATTTGGACCTCGTGGACCGGGACGAAGAAGGGGTGGGGGTGGGCCCCATTGTTGTTGATCTGCTCCTCCGCGCATCATCATCCTTGGGTGATCGGGTCCCCACGGCGTCGGGTGTGGTCCACCTGCAGGACCCATCCAGTTTCCACAAGGGGTCTGCCTTAGATCAACGTCCTCGCGACCAAATAAACTTCTAAAGAAGAATCATTACATTATCAAAACCGGAATTTATGACTTCACGTGACACAAACCTTTAAAAGCTTATTATATAAAAATCTAATAATAAATCACTCATACAATATTACAAGTATAGTATACATAAATTATTAATTACACAAGTCGTAACTAATGATAAGTTACAAAAAATACGAGTGTAATGTATAAATTACATTTTTGGAATGTAGGAATGACCAAACCCAATCACTTATTTATTCTCTCGGGTTTTCGTGGCTTTGAATTTCTTATGCAAACGAAGAATAAAATCGACAATTTGAATATCATCGTAAAGAAGTGAAAATAAATAATGGGGCGGAAAACAAGAGTTGGCAGTATATGCAGATTGAAATTATTTTAATAATTTTCGCAAGAAGAGCCAACCACATGAGGCAGAAGAAACGCATGGCAGTTTCCATTTGATGGGGTTTGTGCAAGGAATGAAAATGCTGCGATTTATACATGTACAACTTGTTAATATGTAATGTAAGAATGTCAAATGAGGGGTGGCGACATCAGATTAAACTGGGCTCAGTTTGCATTGAATAAACGGAAATGTGCAGAGATGAGTTGAAGAAAACCGAGACTGATCGTATGCATTTTATACTCTCAGTTTACAAAACAGAGCTTGTAACAACTTACAACATTGTATGCAGGCAATCAGAGCGTCAACTCTATTAAGTGCTAACTATAGTAGATAGGTAGGTAATTATATTACGGAGATTAGATAAAAAGTATCACAAAATATATCACAGAGGTTTTGACCAGTTCATACGAACGCAAATAGTCGACTAGGTTTTGAAGAGATTTTAACTAACACAACGAGGACGAAGCACACTTTTGGTTGGAAAAATGCTTAAATAATACCCTTTCTTTTAAACATTAATATAAAAGTCGCACAAGAGGAAGCAAAGTCTAACTAAAAATTGGTCTAAATTGGATGATCAATATTGCTGGCTAATCAATAGGAAGATATCACAACAACAACATCAACTCACTCATAATTATTATTATAAAAAAATACTTTGCAAAAGATAAAAATTTATGTACTCGACTATCACGTTTCCGTTTCCTGCGAGGCGAGGTTTCTTCGGAAGAGATTCATTATTTTGACAGTTATTGGGCGAATCATCCTGCTGCTGCATGTCCGTGTCACCGCCACGACGTCCGTGGAATCGCAAATCCACATCGATGGTATTAGTATTGTTGCTGGAGGGATCTTCAGCAGATGAGATTTGCATTTGTTGTTGCTGTTGTGGGGGGATTTTATTCTCATCGTCGTCCATATCAATTCCTTGCGTCTTTCTATAGTTCCTTTTTAGAACGGCGGAACGACGAGCACGAAAATTATTTTCATGTTCTTGCGCCTTTATCACAGCACTTTTCTTGGCATGCTGTTTAGACGTGGAGGATCGCTTATCCTCCCCGCCGTCTCTGTTGTGATCATTTCCTCCTCTGGTAGTTTTGGAAGCTTTTGATTCTTTACTTGAAGATCTATTGTGCTTCCTTCGGGGAGATTTTTCTTCACTTTCTTCACCTTTACGCGATATTGGCAAAAGATCCTCCAGTCCACTGCTACCACTGTTGGACTTTTTGTGATGTGATTTAGGGGAACGGTGATGACGAGGGCTGCTGCTGCTAGAGTTATGATCGCTTACTTCCTCTTTAATGATGGCGATAGGACGGGTAGGACTTTTACTAGTTGACTTTGACATGGATCGCTTATTCTCATGGTCGTCCTTGTTGTAGTTTCTTCGTACTTTATGGTCTTTCGAGTCTTTGCTGGACGAAGTGGAGGACGTTCTTTTCCCCCGTGATCCACTTCTATCTCGTTCCCCTCTGTGATTTTCGCGTTCCTTGTCCTTTGTTCTATCTTTGGACGAGTCTTTATCAGCTTCCCATTTATTTTTCTCCATTTTGACGGGTGGAGCAGGTACTAGAGATTGAAGAGCTACTTGTACTTGAACAGGCTGTGGTGGGGTTGAAGGATGAGCACCTGTCTTCACAATGTTGGCAGCAGCATTGGAGAGGAGTTGATGAGCAATGTAGGTTTTACTTTTCGCCTTTTCTGCTTGACCCAGTAACTAAAAACAAATAGAAAAAGAGATACAATATTAGCACATTTTAACTCTAAGGGCAATAGGCACAGTGACCGTGGAAGCTGTAGGGACATCTGGGGGCATTAGCACTCTAGGATAGTGGAAGGAAGGGTTTACAATATGGGCAGATGCAATGGACATTGTCCCTCTTTCCTCACGCTTCCTTCCGCGGCCACTGAATAGGTAAGCGACATGAAGGAAAGTAGCAAACAGTTAATTCAAACTCACCAATTTCTCCTGTTTAACTGTAGACTGGATCTCCTCCAGTCTTTTCGACTCCAAGGCTGACTTAGTTTGCATTAATTCAAGCTCAATTTTCTTTTGTTGCAGTTCCAACAGCTCTTTTCGTTTCTGTAACAATGTTTCGCGCAAATGAACTTCATCCACATCTTCTGGAACGGGACCAATGTCGAGGAGACTGGCGGTTTCAACGACCCCAGCAACGACAGGTGACACTTTTGGTGGTAATGTTTTAATAGCCTATAAATGACAATAATCATAGTTAGTTACAAGTGGTAACACTTACATCAGAGAATTATGCACACAGCAACTAAAAAAGAAATCAAATAAACTGGTTACCGGAGTTGTGGTGTTGAGAAATTTAGGATTAACGTGAATACTGCTCGTGTTGCTTGGGGGTGGGGCTGAAATGGGCCAGTTCTTATCGAACTGATGACACCTTACATCAATCGCGTATAATTTTCTTTGAGGGAAATGGTCGTTCCACGTCTGACGTAACTTGAACATTTGTAGCTTCACTTTATCATCAACCTAAAATTTAAAAAAAGTATCAAGGTCAAAGAAAAGTATTACTACATATATTTTATATTTTAACTCGAATATGAAATCTGTAAGCAATAAAATAATACTAAAGCTTAGTATTACAGTTGTTTTAGTCTAAAACAATTATAATTTACTACTTTTAAGAAGTTTAGTATTATTTTTCATATACTTGAAGCATTATTAATTGTCATAAAATAACGACCATGCCATAAAATCATAATCGATCATGCACACAACCTATAGACAATATGCAATACAAAGTTTGAATTGAAGGTCAACTAACCAACCAATCAAACTCAACTATTATTATAAACTATGAAATATTAGGATGTACTAAATCAATAAATCAATAAAATAAACAAAACGCTGTTCTACATACTTTGTATACCTTTTCAAACACTCCACAAAAGGTTGACACAATATTCTGAGTGAACAAGCTTGGATATTCCTGTCCAACATTTTTAACAATGGAATCGATCAAGTAGAGCACGGGTAGTTTCAAACTGGGTTGAACCTGTAATTACCAACATGATTAAAAAAAATGATTACAAAATATAGCTCAAGTTGACCTCGAAATTATTCCCATTTTACAAATACGAATATTCTATGTCGCATTTACTTACCGAGTTCAAATGTCCTTCAATCGTCCTCACTACGATGGGGGCCTGTCTCAGAAAATCCTCCGCCATCATTGTCAACACGTTTATCATGGGTTTTGAATTAATCTTCAATTCGATCAACAGCCCTTCAAACTGCGTCACAGCGTCCTCCTCAATGGCTGATAAATTGGTCATTTTCTTTTCTAGCGCCATGACCCCGTCGAAAAATCGGCTTTCGCCGTTAGCTTGCAAACAAGACGTCGTCACGGCGGCCTATGCTCCGGGGTGGGCGGGGGGTGAGGCCCCACACACAATCCGGAAACAACTAAGAAATGATAACCTTCACTCTCGTAGATTGTCGTGATGATGAATGATGATGCTGATTACATTAACGTCCTCTAGTTTCTATTATTAACTTTTGTCACACAATTAATTAGTAACTTTCTACAATATCTCTAAACTATTGGGTGATGACGAGTAACGTTTCCGTGTGGGTGTTTTGCACTACGCTTTCTAAAGGTGACGTGGCCACTCCTGTTGCTGAGTGAAAGGAAGAAGAAGAAGAGAAAATTTAAGAAACTTATTATTATTTAAAACTTAATTAGTCGAGAAGGCAACGAACGAACAGAAGAAGAGCACAGCAGCCAACAGCTTTCTATTCACTGAATTTTCTTTTTGTCCGTCCTCACCTAAAACAGGTCGAGACTGAAGAATACTTTTTTTAGCAGGTTTTCAAGTCGTACATAGCGACTGACGTTCTCATGTGATGATGATGCTTGCTAGTGGCATTGCAAGATGCGACTCCTTCGTTGGATTGGCTAACCTCGCGTCGGGCTGTGCGTGTCAACGTGTGGTTAAAATTATGAGCCTATTTTTAACTTTTCTCCGAATTTTGTGACCCTTTTGGCAACATTAGTTAAAGAGGCGTAAAGTTGACAAGGAAGAAGTGAAGGGTCCCTCGGGTGAATTGGTGCCTTTACGAAAGAAGGATTTAACGCATGCTTCAAATGGATGGACGCTGTGGTGAAGGGGATCAGCTCCGAGTTGGCGTTGGGGCTGATCTAAACTGGGAACGTTGCAAGGATTACACAATTCTTGGTAAAAAACATGTATAGAAAAATAGAGGACAACGAGGAAGGGTTAAAATTACGTCGTGTCGTGGTGGATGGAAAGAGAGCGTCACGTATTCATGAAATGGAATGGGAGAGTTAAATATTAGTCAATAGTTAAGGACGGTATTTGCGTAAGTTAAGTTGTTATTAATGGTTTCATTACTTGTGGTCGTGTTGGTTTTAGCCTTTAACTAGCGTGGCTGGTATCGTTCATTTAGAAAAGAATAGGCTGGAATATTAAAATATTTCATGAAACAGGATGATGGGATTTTGTGGGAATTCGTTGCTTTATTTAGCAAAATGTATGATTCATCAAATTGTGGTCATGAAATTGTAAGGTATTGATGATATTTATAAGGTCGTTCATGAGTGGGTTTCAATCGAGAGATTCATTCGTTCTTCATGATTTCCATGAATTATATTGCAAATTGCATTGCAAATCAGAGTAGAAGTCTGGAGACGAATTTTAGTAATCAGGAATGCGATAAGTTTATCATTTATTTAGATTCATGAGGAAACTAAATCATCAACTACAACTCAACTAATACTATAGGTCATCATCTTAATCTAGTTTTAATGAGTTTTCTCTGAAAGCAACTACAAAATTTGGTAGATTTCTATTAAAGCGTTCAGCTCAAGAACAGTTGCACGGTACATAATAAATATGGAAATGGTAGGTACGACATACATACAGATAGCACACACAAGTAAGTACCGTTCAAAGTTTGGCATGCATAAATTATTCATCATAGCGGGATAACAACAGCACAGACTAAGAGCCATGACGAATGCGAAAAAGCCGTGGCGATTTACCTGAATGGATTAAACAAATAATTTTTGAAGAATTAATTTGAAAAACAACAATAAATTCTATCAGTAATATTAACTAACTATCCCATAAATAACATTAACTGCTGAATGCCATGATATGTTGTGGAAATGACATGATATAAACGCATAAATACCCAAAAATTGGGAGAGTATAAAAGCCTGCAAACATGATAATTAATAACGTGAATAAGAATCTGCATTGTGGAACACCTAATTTCATATCCAACCCAATAGGCAGGTACCATGCAGGTACTGCATAAAAACTTATGTACTATGAATTAACGAGAAACATTCTGTGAGATCAATTTCTGGAGACCTTTGCCGTCCTAGTTTATCCCTGTTTTCGGAATTGGTTTTTAGTTGAGGTAGTCCTTTGAGCCATTGAGATTTCGGAGACTTGTTCCTCTCCAGGGCTGGATTCTGCTGTACCAACTTTCTCCAAACTTCCTTCCTTCTCTTCTCAGTCTTGGGGGTTTGGTAAAGCACAATCAATTTCTGAATCTCGCCATCAGGTGCTCCCCAATCTTTGAGCATCTAAGAAACAAAGTCGTTATCAAGCCAAATCTTACTGTTTCAAATAATCATTAACTAATTAATATATAAATACGTACTTGAATAAAGTGGGCATCAACATTATAATTAGTTCGGAAGCAAACGTCTAGGATACGGAGCAAGAGATCCATATTCGCCTCGCTTTCTTCCCAAAGACAAACTGCTCGAAGAATGTTGGCGAACGTCCCTTTCACAACTTCGGATTGCACTGTGATCTTTTCCCAAATTTGTAAAATGCTTCGTGCAGCTCGGAGACATGCACCACTATCATCCCAACATATGCATCTAGTGTTTTGATGATACAATTTAGTATACATTTAAATAAATTAACAATAAAGACAATTAGATAAATCTGGGACTCACGAAACAATGCAGCTCACTATTGCCATGAAACATGTCGGATCTGAGAGTAGCAATGCTCCAACCTCCCCAAGTTCTGACGACTGTCCGCCGCCGGATCCCTGCTTATCTACATCATCATCCATATCAATGTCGACAATTGGTCCACTGCTTTCAGTCATCGTGGGCGAATTAGCATTTCCAGAATGTTTCTCCATAACTCTGCCCAGAAGTTCGACATATTCTTTGGTTAGGAGGCGAAGTGAGGAATTTTCAAGAACTTCCTTCTCCTCCTCTCCATCTGCATCGACGCATTTTGCATTTTCAATCACATTCCAGCGAGTCACGAGTCGTTCTACCACTGAAATTTGTAATTTTCATTGATTGAATTAAATTCTATATTCAATTAGTTTTGTGTCATGATATATGTCATATCATTTTGCGCACTTACTGAACGGAAAAAACTTTTGTGCAAATGGTATCACAACGGTCGGAGCTTGTGCGGGAGGACAACTAATTAAAAAAGGCTTAAATACATTTCGAATCAAGTTTCTTAGGCGGAAATCATTCATAAGATGACTATTAAATCCACCAAAACTAAGATAAGCGTCACTTAGTTGAGGGATCGTATAAAACCGTGACCCAAAAGCTTGACAACTTTCTCCCAGAATTCCATATGCCAACTCTTGCAGGCTGAGGACGAACGTCTGTATGTATGAAGATAAATTAGTTTCAAAATTACGACAAAAATATATACGTGGGCTGACCTTAATGTTCTCTTTGTGACTCTTATCCTTCTCTTGGTCCGCCACGATCGAAGCATGGTCGATCATATGAAGTCCAATCACAGTAATTCGTTCCCCTTCACTCAAATCTTGAACGTAACGCAGCTCTGGATTCTCCAGCAAGGAATGCAATGTTTTTACCAGTTTCAGTACGATCGGGAGCAGGGGGCATACATGGTCGTAGGCGGGATGCAGAGCCAGATCAGTGTCAATTCCCCCGTTATTAGAGGTGACATTATCTCCATTACTTTTAGAACCATTAAGTGCTGCTGAAAATCCTGATTTTGTTATCTTCTTTACTCGTCGCAAACTAGAGAATACACTGTGAAGATTTCTCAACATGAGGGACCGCTTCTCGAGAAATATGGCTTCAGGAAAAATGGTCACGAAGGACTGGGGAGTGTCGACAATTGCCGAGATTTGCTGCCACTCTGATGCATTGAATAAGCTGCCCAAAAAGGCGGACTGTTTCGCAATGTCATTCCATACGTTTGAAATGAGCATGAGAGACTCGAGCACATTATTGTACTCCATCGTTGACAGTTTCGGGGCCACGGTGGAGGCAGAGCTGTGGATAAAATCGAACGCGAGAACCATCACGTCTGGATATTTTGTGGCCAACTACGAAGAATCAATTATTTATTTAATTAGCATTAAAATATTAAGTATCGTAGTTATGTTTTCTCACCTTAATTAACAGAGCCGACGAGTGGCGACGGATCTCCCGTGTATTTCCAGTCCCAGAATCTTCATAGTGGAAACATTTAAACATTGAATCACAAATCGAAACCATCATGCGATGATGAGCTTCACTAAATTCGCCCCGTTTCTTAGCAAGAAACAAGAACACGAAAAGAGCCGACACAAGGGATAATATCAAAGATTTTAGTTCTAAGGAAGGCTCAGAGTTAAATTTGGAGTGACAAGTTTCCAGGTCCATTAGGCCGACTTTAATCATAGCCGAGTCTTCCTGTAATAACACAAACAAATCCATAATATTAGTTTCGCCAATTGATGTACCAGACATTTGAATAGCAAACACTGTGTACACTTACTTCAGAAACCGATGAGGCCACCGCATCAACAACCAAAGTAAGTGCTTCCCACTGGAAGTTTTGGATCGAAGTTGGACTATTTAAAGAATTTCGAAGCCATCCATTAACTTCATTGTATAAAGTTGGCACCCTGTGACCCACGAGTCGGAGAAGCGTTGCAAACTCATTCTTCAGTCGATTCATCTCTTCTCTTTCCAATGATTTTGGTGGGGCCGTCACAAATTTATGTAATATTAAGCCCAGCAACCTAACAGAAATTAACAATTAGCATTTACTAACTATATTGAACCAAATCATAAAACAAAATAAGACGTAAGACAAGTGTTTCTACTTTATCAAGAATATGTTAACTTCTGAAGAAAAATCTGCCTGGGATGAATTTGGGTCTTTTTCAATAGCTTTCAAGAAATGGTTGATTGCGGTGGTTGTCCCCAGCACGGCAACTGCTTCCTCCCGCATCGCCAATTTTTCACAACCTTGCAGGAAATTTGCAACTTTCACTTTTCCAGGGATAGCATTTGGTGCCAGGGTCGTTAAAATGTCTCCAAGTTTACGCAAGAAATCACAATTATTCGGTTGAGCTGTGGTCGTTCCTTGCACAAAGTGGAGAAATGACTCATCCGCTAAACAAATATTTGGTATTTCGAAGCGGTCTTCTTTTCTCATAGGTTTTCGCTCCACGAGCTATTGAAATGTAGAGAAATTAGACATTAGTTTATGTAGGAATTTAAGAAATATAATAAATAATAAACGCCATACAAATATATTACTCTCTCACTCACTTGTAAAATGCACTCGGCCGCATTCATTTGAAAATAAAAATCTGAAAAAAGGGCAAATAAGGTTGGAATCATGTTATCCTTTGCAAACGTGGATGGATTGGTCCATTCGATGTACGGCAGCAAACATCCCAAGCAAACTTTGGCTCGCCGTTGATGCACTTCCGCCGCAGTAGCGTGGTATTGTTTAACAGATTCGATAAGAACACGAAAAAAATTGTTGATAACTTCTGACGCAATGGCGGTCAAGCTTTGACTTAATTCTCTGCGCCGTTCTAAGCAGTCCACATTCTGAAGTGTGGCAACATCTTCAACCATTCGTCGCAAAACTAGGAGAGCCAAATCGCTTGAGTTTGCAATTTCGAATAATCTTGGAAATAAATTGGGCCATAACTGCGGAAGCAAGAAAAGGGAAAATTGTTCAGATTGTAATTCAAAATCTAAAAACCGCTACGTAGGTCCTCTTAAAAACTGTTATAAAGATTTGTGAAACTTTACGAACCTGAGGCCATTCACGTTTTGCAATTTCGACGATTACCCTATCATCCGAACACCAGATTAAATTAATTGCATACGTCTTAAGGAGTTTATATTCGGTTATCAACGTACCTGGCCAGAGATTCTTGTAAAAATGGAGGACATCTATCTGACCCCGCTGTCATTCCACTTTGCATAAGGACAAATAGTTTCTCCTAAAAATATGAAAATATTATTAGGTTCATCAAATAACAAAATAACATTAAAAATCGACTACCTTGACTTGCTCCCTTTCCACAATCAGTTGCCAACTGTACTTGGTCACCTGTTCTAAAAGTTGCATCCCTGTTCTGATGACAGCAGGGTCGGAATGGCTGGTGAGAATAAAACCGACGTCGCACAATTCTGTCGGAGGAGTAGATTGAATATAATCATTGCAGAATTTTGATGCTTGAAGTCTCGCCTCTGGCATGGAGTTCGGAGCAACAGCAACCTTTTATCGAAAAAATGGGTTTAACTTAAATACAGCGTGAACTACCTGTTATTTGTTTTTTTAGTAATAAAAACCCAACCTGTACGGAATATGCCAAGTTGTTTGCAACTGACTGCATGACGGTTTAACACGCCCCAACCAATTTTTAATTAAATATAAAACCCTGCCCTTCAACAACCAGCCTCAGCACTAATTTACTAAATCAACACTTGTGACTTTACAGTTGACGACTTAACTGAAGGAAGAATTTGTGCTAAAAGTTAATTTGTAATTTCTTTTAGGGGTTTACGTTTAATTACTAAAATTTAGGGTCACAGTCGATGATTTCTGTAAGAAGATCAAACAAGCAATTCATAATCATAATTCAGGGAAATTATTTTTTACACAATTTATCAACTTACTTATTTCAAAAATTGACTCATTTGAATCATATTTTTTACCATTAAACTCAGAAATTAGCCCTTGTTCACTGTAACAAAATCATGATTTCAGTTTTGTTGAAAACTTTTGCGAAATTTTGATATGAACTACAACAATTTGCAAATATTGGGAAAATTGCAAACTGTGTTTGTGTGGTCTGCCGGTTGATAATTTCGATGTCGAGTCGAGATTCACAAACGCCCCGCTGGTTTTTGGTCGGTCTTGCTTCAGTCTCAAACCACTTGCACTTCCCTTTCGGGAACTATGCAACGAATTATTCAGAATTTTGTATGTTATGAAAATATGAAATGCCACTCAAGTTACATGAATTCGCCAATCATTAAATCAAAACTGACAGTTACAGTTACTTGTTTGATGTGTTTATTAATTAATTCAAACTCTGAATTGAGTCACATTTTAATAACTCTTACTTTCACAACATAATGTGATAATTTGGTAGGTTTAAACAACAATTGAAAAGATAGTAATAATACTGCAGATATAACATTTACACATTATCTGAGAATAACGCTGCGTCGTCGTCGAGATTTGCCAAATTTTGCACTTCCTGCAAAATGGGGTTTGTTGGAGGATCGAGATTTGCTAAATTTTGCACTTCCTGTACAATAAGGTCTCCAGTGGCTGGATGATCGATAATTGGTAAATTTTGCATTTCCTCTACAACGTTATCTCCGGTGGCTGGATGGTCCAGATTTGCTAAATTTTGCACATCATGTATAATGTGGTCTCCTGAGTGGTCCAGATTTGCTAAATCTTGGGCTTCCTGTGCAATAGAGTCTTCCGTGGCTGGGGTGTCGATATTTGCTAAACTTTGCAATTCCTGTACGTGGTCTCCTGTGGCTGGATGATCCAAATTAGCTAAAGTTTGGGGTTCATGGACAACGTGGTCTACTGTGGCTGGGGCTTCGATATTTGCTAAATTTGACATTTCCTGCACAATGTGTTCTGCTGTGGATGGAGGGTCCAGATTTGCTAAGTGCATTTCCTGCACGTTTACAGGCGCTGGAGGGTCGATATTTGCTAAATTTTGCACTTCCTGTGCGTTTGCAGGTGCTGGAGGGTCAATACTGGCTAAAGTTTGCATTTCCAGTACAACAGAGCTTCCAGAGACTGAATGATCGACATTTGCTAAATTCTGCATTTCCAGTACAACGGAGGTTCCAGAGACTGGAGGGTCGATGTTTACTAAATTTTGCACTTCATGTACAATGGAATTTCCTGCAGAGTAATTAACACAGAGGTACATTTTAGCTTCGACTTAGATACTATTCTATTCATGTAAAAAGTCAGGTTAGCCATACTCTCGTCTCCATCGGAATATGTTTGATCCATCTCTCCATCAGAACCGCTTTCGTTCCCATTTTTCATATCCGCATCCAACGACCATGGCTCCACGGTGGATACGACTAACACAGTCTTCTCAAGTCCTCTCAAAAACTTGTCCTTCTTTTTGTAATGACGAGTAGGTTGCATGACCAACTCTGTGAGACGTTGAATTGTAAATGGTGCTGATCGAAACAAATCGAATCGTTCCATCACAAAGGATTCACTATTTGGGTTCGGTTCACCGGGAAATTGCTCCATTGCGTGAAGAATTTTAACCCTGTGACAAATCAATTAATTAAAATTAATGAATAATGTTTAATAGATGCTGTATGTGTACTTCCGTATTATACATACCTGAATAAAAATCGTACATGCTGCCACGGGAAGACGATATTCCCAGACTTTGCAACAAATTGAAGGTATCGGTCAATAGATTGTGGAATATCTTCCGGCTTGCTATTCCCAGTTGCGGAGAATTCTATAAAAGAACAAATAATGTATCAATTAATTTTAAATTGGTGGTACTGTGTAGACGACAGAAAGTCTGTTGTTGTTGCACAGACTTTCACCACACTAATGACCAACTAACTACCACAACCACACACCATTTACTTCATGTGTCCTGCAGCAGGACACATGAAGTAAATGGTAAAGTTTGAAGCAGGACACAGGACTCCTGCTTCAAACTTTCGACAGTGTCAACTTACCATTAATTTCTCTCAGTAATCCTTCCAAATCATCCAAGAGAATGTCACCACCTTCACCCATGTTTCCCCGCATATTTTGTTATCCCACCCGCTTAGTGATCAAAAAACTCTGAAACTTTGAAAAATACAAACTATTGGCAAGCAAGATGATAATGGTGGAAGGTGACCCGGCTAAATTTCGAGTTCAAAGAAAGTATGTATGGCTTATCACGAAACAAATGAACTAATCGTAGCAGCGATATTTTTGATAGAATTAGACTTATCCACAAGGTCACACCGATTAAAATATTGAATCTTATTTTGTCGTCGTCTTCCTCTTGAACCGAGTTGAACCGTGAAAAGTGGGTAAACGAACGCTTCGACTCCTGCCTCCAGATGTGGGGCATTTTGGTATTCCTCAGTTACTGACTACCAACCAAGTCACTGACTACTTGGCAATTTATGTTTATAGGTCGCATGATAAGTTCGTAGATAGATAAGTTACTTATGGTAATTGTGAACATAAACTTATGCTTCCTTCCTTTTCATAGGATATGTAAAATGTGATTCTTATGATATTTGAATGTGTAAAATAAGCCAAATGAATTAAGTACGCATAAAGTATACTCATCAATTACACAATTTGAGTTTAATTTAGCATGGAGGTTGGATTTATTTTAGTAACAAGCAAGGAAATGTGTAGAAGAATTTAACAAAGGGTATACAAAACATATAAATCATGTTCAGAAAACAATAAAGTGAATATGCAAAGCATACAGATGGATAACAAACCATTAGTAAATTTGGAAAATAAAAACATTATCATTCATAAGTACTAAAAAACAAACGCATTTTTAGTTTTACTTTAATTTTTCAATGGAATAATTGGGGTTGGAAAGATCAGCATGACGAGGGGATTCTTACTCTCAATCAAAGATGTTGTAAGCATTTTGTCCATACACATGATCCAAGCATAAATTAAGTTATCCATAGTTTTGAGATACACGGTAAGCTCTTGTTCCTCTGTAAACTTTTCAACATAGTGATACACCTCGTCTTCACTTACACCGGGGAGTACTTTGATTGGGATTGAGGCTTTAAGAGCAAACGCTTTGTCCTTGCAAAAGTAAGACGGGAGGGGTTTTATCATTGCAGAAGTAACGACATCATAATTTCCATAATCCAGAAAAACGACTTTGTACGCATCTTTGTCTGGACAAGCCTCCAAAATTTTAGCTCTATAGTAGCGTAAATCATCTTCAATGTTTTGCCTGGCCGCGACGTAAGTTCCATTGATCAGAGATGAAGGATTCAGTTGAGGGACATTTTTCCAATTATTCAAAAATTGTGTCAGTTCTTCACTTAGTCCATCCGCTCGATGGTCGTCACCTTCTAGCTGAATGCAAATCGAGTCATAATTTTCTATGAAAGACACAACTCCTTCATATTGAACTCCCGACATGTATGCTGAGGGGCCACTAAATAATTCCTTTGCAAGACCCTGGTCGATCATGGGAAATTCGTGGTCAACGTTTGTATAATACTTGCAGAGGTTTGGCTTTCTTAGGCCAAAATCATCAAGAAGTGGTATCCCTTCTTCTGAGGCGAGGGTCACTACACACCTGATAGAGGGAGAGAGACAAGTGTAAAGGTTAAAACTCAGTTTAAATAATTAGAAATCTCTACTTTATTATCTTACTTTCGAATTTCTCGGGGATCCACGTCATCAATGAAATTTGCATGGCTAATGTAACATTCCAGATTTTTTTCAATAATCAACTCCATCAATTTGCCCTTGGTGGTTTCATCTGAAGGAAGTTTGCTCGGGTCCGCTGCCAATAGTTCAACTAAGTAGCAGGGTGTGGCTGCTTCAGGAATCTCAACGAGTTCTTTCGAAATCTTGAGCATCTAAAACATAATTCATTACGATATTGACGATTTAATGCGACATGAACTGTACAATTAAAACTTACGTCTTTTTCCTGAACATTGACAAAGTCTCCGTAGTCTACCAGTTTTACCAAGTACCCAACCCTTGACTTTTGAAAAATGGTAGCTCGATAATTCATTTTGTCCTCGCCATACGCAACAAGAACAGCATCACCAATATCCTTTGAAAAGTCCTTGGCCTTTAAGAACAGTACACATTATTAATAACACAAATAATCGAGTGATAAGAAGGTACGAATAGAATAACTTTATGTTTGTATAGTGTAAGTTAAGTGTAGTCTTGACTTCGTAATACGAAGTGAAGACTACGAAGTTCGTAGTGACTGAGGAGTAATATTACTTACGTCTTTGGAAGTAGAGTCATACTTCAACAATCCAGCATCAACAGCCTCCATTATAGTCGGATGAAGTTGAAGATGCACTTTGAAATTCGATCCCACTTTTGAAACCTTCGTCCCAAAGACTCCGATTTTCTGTCCAATCCAATCATTGTAATCATATCGAGGATACTTTCCAAGCATTTGTGGCCCTAAATTATGTAAAAAAAATTACAATATATTAATATATATAATATCTAATCCAATAGTAACATTAATTGAGGTCGATAAAAATTATGTAAATGAATTGGAAATTAGAAATCTTTTACCTTCATCATTGGTCCCATGAGTAATTAGCGGAACAAAATCAGCTAAACCCAAATTCATAACCATTTCGAAGCCAACATCCTTCTTGTCACACGTGAGCCAAACTTCAGAGACTCCACGGTCAATTAGAGAAATTGAGAACACTGATGTATTCTTTCCTTGGAACAGCGACTTGTAGTCATACTTTTTCCACTTTTCCTGTTCCTCAAATGGGACAACTTGAGCAAGACGACACATTAACGAAAGCTTTGGAAGTCTCAAAAGTTCTGTTGACGACGGATATATGGAATCAGCCGAGATCAAAATATCCACTCCTGAATCCACCATATACACATTCACGCCCTTCTCTTCAACTAAATTGACCTCTGCTCGGTGAAATTTCCTATGAAATATACAAAAATATATTTATTATGTTCGTAATCGTATGCTTATTAGCAATGACATAAATCCCATACCCATCCTCAAATTTGACAGTTACAGGAAGTCTATCCTTCAGACAAGCAACGTCAACCGGTGCACAACCGGCAATGCTGTGCAGATAAAGATCCATTGCCTCCTTAATCTGCCTTTGAATCACCACGGAAGTCTGATCCACCACGATGATTGAAAAATTGTCAGGGCTGTGCATATTGAGCAATTTGTACGAGTACTTCCTATTGATCATCAATGGACGATCCGGATAGCACCATTCGTCCTTAAGAGTGTCCAAATCCTTATCAAGCAACATTTCGGCGTAATCAGTCGTCGTACTTGTTCCTAAAACAAGAAAGAAAAGAAATGGTGATATTTAACTCCAGTTACAATCTGAAGAATTATTTTTTAGCATTATGATAAAAAAGTGTGTTAGATTATCAAAGACAACTTGATCTTTGACCCACTTACCGAGTATTATTTTCTTTCTTCTCTAGCAAATCTTCTTTCAAGTTTTATGTTCCTTCAATCTTTTGTCGATAGGCTCGTAAAAAGATAACCAACCCTTCGATATCTTTTTTTTTACTAGAGGCAGTTTTATCTTCTTCAGTCTTCAGTGAGGAGAAAAGACCAAAATTAAAATGGAAATGGTGACTAACTTTGAGTGACGAAGAGACGCAGTTGCAGTTGGCATGTAGATTATTACAAAAGTTATCACAAGGTGGCAGTAGTGATGGGAAGCACTCTCCGATTGACAAAGGTACATGAATTTATGTCAACTTCTAATTTATTCATAAATTACCACCAGACCCAGCCTTATATTTGCAGCTTTATAATTTTATGTTATTTTAACATAATTAATTGGCCCTGTGCCCCTTTGCATGATGTCGCAATCAAAAAACTGACCTCAGATTCGAAATCAGCGACCAAAAAACTATAAGAATCGATATTTTCCCACCTCCAACAACGTTGATATAATTAATTGAATTATTTGTAACAATTGTAAACACGGAACATGTGAGATGTTCCTATACGCATGTTGGCCATACCCCACCCCCTCGTTTTGAAAACCCCCACTGACCTTTTTGAAACTTTTAATGCACAAACTGCAAGATCATACTGCCCTACTACCAAAAAATAGGCTGATTTGACCAGTTTCAAGTCCGGTCATTGAACCATTTTCTTGCAAAAGTAGCTACATTTAGTGGTTAGGGGGCCAAAGTTGCCTAGTACAAGTCTCGTTCCGCAATTTTTTTAGTCTGCGGGAGGCGCTCGTGGGGGACGTGTCCCTGGGTGAGCTCCCCATTGCAGCTGCGCCCCTGGACCGCCCTCTCTGGGGAGTCGGGTCCACCCGTGGTTTGTCCCACAGCCCCGACTCTCTTCCCGTCGGAGGGGTGGTCCGGGGGAACAACGCTGCAAGGGGAGAGCCTTACGGGAAGGTCCCCCCTCCAATGCTCCTCCCATCAAGCAGGCTCACCGGGTGGGGAGCCGGCGGGGCTTGCCAAAAGTGCGGGTGGCGCTTGGCAAGTGAGAGGGGCTCTCTACCTCCAACCCTTGGGTGACGCCGCTCTTTAGCGATACCTCCCCTTGGGGCCGACCGGGTTCCCGAGTTCGAAGTCTTAATGGGGGCCGATTTACGGGTGCGCTCCCACCTCGTAAGGCGAGGGTCAGACGGGCCCCCTAGGGGAACGCGGTTGCAGAGGCGGCGACGTGGGCAGGGCTTTCCCGGTCGGTGGAGGTAGACCCCCCTTGCGTCTCAAAGGGCGCAAGTGGGGGCCCGCCCGCGTGGAGCACGAGGGAGCGACGTCCTCGTCGTGTGCTCTGGAAACGCCCTTCTCAGGGCGGCCAACAGCTCCCCCCCTTATAAATGCATGGCATGGCGACAACCTTTGTCGCCATTCCATAATTTCGCCATTTCTCGTCCGATTCCCATCTAATTTCGACAGAGACTTCTTATTGGTGTAGTCGACATGTCGCAATGCTCCACCTATCGCCACCACCTTGTTTTCGCCAAATTTCGTCGCCATGCTATAATTTCGCCATTTCTCGTCCGATTTCCATCAAATTTCGACAGAGACTTCTTATTAGTGTATGTCGCAATGCTCCACCTATCACCACCACCTTGTTTTCGCCAAATTTCTTCGCCATGCCATAATTTCGCCATTTCTCGTCCGATTTCCATCAAATTTCGACAGAGACTTCTTATTGGTGTAGTCGACATGTCACAAGGTCACACCCGCCGCCACCACCTTCTTTTCGCCAAATTTTGTCGCCATGCCATAACTTCGCCATTTATTGGCCGATTTCCATCAAACTTCGACAGAGACTTCTTTTTGGTGTTATCGACGTCGCAAGGTTACACTCATTGCCACCACCTTGTTTTCGCCAAATTTCGTCGCCATGCCATAACTTCGCCATTTTTTGTCCGATTTGCATCAAACTTCGACAGACTTCTTTTTGGTGTTATCGACATGTCGCAAGGTCACACTCATCGCCACCACCTTGTTTTCGCCAAATTTCGTCGCCATGCCATAATTTCGCCATTTTTCGTCCGATTTTCATCAAACTTCGACAGAGACTTCTTTTTGGTGTTATCGACATGTCGCAAGGTCACACCCGCCGCCACCACCTTCTTTTCGCCAAATTTTGTCGCCATGCCATAACTTCTCCATTTCTCGTCCGATTTGCATGAAATTTGGCAAAACACTTGTTTTTGGTTTTATCGACGTGTCGCAAAATCAAATACAGCGCCATGACCGTAAAAATTATTGGACACTTTATTACTCTATAGCTTGATCGCTTTATTACTCTATAGCTTTTCCGTGATTTGTTCGTTATTTGGTGCAGGCTTCACTCTCTGCCTGGACTTTTCCCACCTTCTTATGTGAGGTTGCCAGCTAACTTCAAATATTTTTGAATGAATGTAGGGAGACATACGCACAGAATGTGGCACTATGTTAACCAATTATCTCAGTAATTGTCTAACAACGATATGTTACACACAAATCGAAAAAATTAATTTGAGTTTTGTACTTTTAACTCGCTTTTTGATGACGCCTTATGTGAACGTCCCCTTGTTACTCGCTGTACGCAGTTCCACATAGTTAAAAGTGTTATGGCATTCTGGTCGGACTGGAGATACAGCGGTCCGACCAGAGACTGAAGGCTGATTGGTGAAGGTTTCATAAGTTCATGATTTGAGCATGTTAGGCACCGTACAAATTTTAAAGTCAACCAAACAGAAAATTGGAATCTAAGAATTTGTTTGAAAATTGTGTTACTGCGTATATTCGTACTAACGTAGTAACGTAACAGCAAATCATGACAAATGGATGCAGCTTTTAATCGTTTTATTTATAATCGTGGTGGCAGATGATTGAGAAAGCTCGTAGATTGCATGAACACAATTATACAAATTTAGATGAAGCAATTACTGAATACAAGCTTAAATTTCAGGCATAGAAAATATAATGCCACCTTCCTTTATTCTTTTATAATTCTTCTGCTGGTATAATACATACAATGTGCGTGTGTAGAATTCAACACATGCATGTACAGTAATTGGTTGGCAGAAAACTAACAATTAGTTCGGAAACTTACGTTCTCTTCTTAATTTAATTAATAATTAATTACTGTCAAATTCAAGAATTGTAAAGCTCTAACTAGACCGTATAATAAATCTACTTGAAATGTGTATGTTATTATCATCGAAGCAATATAACAAATACGAGCATTAATATCATAGTACTTAAATAGTTTATTAATCTTATGAATATCCTACTCATATTAATACTATTATTAAATAAGAATTATACTGTAGTAATTAAACAATTAATTCATTAATTTTTAAGCAGTCTTACACAATGTTGGCAAATCAAGTTGAAATTGAGAATGATCATTTCTTCATGAATTGAATTATAGATGACAATAAGTTTTGCATTTCAATATTCTTCCTTCATCTTTTATACTATTTCGAATATTAGTGATTCTCAACTTCCATGAAATGAGCGAAAATCTAGATTTACGATTATACCCAGTATAATCGCTTAGGATTCTGGTTTTTCTACTCAAAATCTAAACTTTTCGATTATGTCATGGAAATTGAGAGTCCCTAATACAGGGTGGTTAAAATGTCACGCAACAATGGAAAATTTTTCGATGGGAAAAATTTGTAAATTTCCATTAGTTACCGAAATTTTGTCTCTAAAATGCAACATTTTAAGAATTTTGTCATCAGTTTTGATAATAATTTATAAAAATCTCAATCCGAAATCTTGTAACTAATGGAGATTTAGGGACTTTTCCCATTGAAAAATTTTCCATTGTGGCGTGACATTTTAACCACCCTGTATTTATAATGTAATTCCTAAAAGTCAAAAAATACACATTGGATAAATAATTAAAACTGCAATGAATTAAGTTAAATGCATATATTATGTAATAAAATTATAGGTACATATATCAATTAATATTTAATCACCCAATCTTATTAGTAACTAAATCCATACAGATAAGCACGAATCTGTCTGTTTAAAAATTCTTCGTCCAAATAAAAGTCAATTTTGTAGAATAATTAGAAAGTACCACTAATTAATTATCTATTTTTGGTAATCTCTAACAAGAAGGAGGACGCCATACTTAATCATGTTAATCAATTCATATTCATCGGCAGCTCATGCACATTTAGAGAACGGGTCAAATGAACAAGTACTAAAGAGAAAAATATTACAGATTGAGCATAGTCAAAAAACATGTAACATATGTATAAATTTTATACGGCCACCGAAGAAAATGATCGTCTTATATATGTCGTCATCATTATCATTCAAAAAAAGAGCACAAATAGCAGCACATTCACAACTACAATACGTTGGTGATATTTTTGTAAATTACATAATTAGATAAAACTGACTGTGAACTGTGTGTGAAGCACTTTTCTGAGTATAAAAGTTTCAAAAAGCATTAATATTGGCTGGGTTTAGTTTTGGTTCAGGTGCGAATTTTGGGTTCAATTAAATATATTTGCATTAGCCGTGGGTGATCGGATTACTGAAGTTCTTCTTTCTGCTTATTTACGCTTTCCCTTCCTCTTTCGACCAGCCGCGGCGCCATTAGTGGTAGAAGAAGAGGCATTAGCAGTACCACTAGCCCCACTGGTATAAAAATTCCCTGCCGAACCGTTGCCTTGCTGATAGAAATGGTCCCCCTTGTTTCCAGGAACTCCACCAGTTTTACACAAGTTGTTAATTAGAGAGTCCCAGTCATCTTCAGGATCCACGTGAAACTGACCGTCTGGACCTTGACCTGGATTTCCTCCTCCCGGTTGTTGTCCAGTGCCACCGTTTCCGCCGCCAGCCACGAGCCTGTACATGACACAGTGGGAATCCGCCTAAAATGCATATAAGAATCCATAACTATTTATATGGATTGGAAATAAATCCGACCAGGCTCTTTATACCCCCCTACTTAACAACTTAACAAACTAACAAATAACAAAGTAACATGTTATAGTAAATAATACCTTGATATGCATCAAGTTCTTCTTTTGACATTTCGCCCATTCGTTAATTTCCCAGACGTGACAGTCCATGCAAGTAAAATAGTTCCAAGACATTTTAAACCACCCTTTGCTTTCAGCCCATAATTCACCCTGTACAAAAACAATTGTTAAGAATTTAATAAACGAGTGTTACATATTTGAAATATTCACAAGTAGAAGAGATCTCACCTCTCGAGCAGCATGGTGTATTTTGCACTGAGAACAGAATCTGCACTGTAAAAATGAATAGAAATAAATTGTTAGTTGTGATTTATTTACGTGATATAAACGCAAAACCATACAGAAAATTGGCCAATCATATAGTAAAATGAGCATAAAAACATGTTTTATAGTTAATAAATAAAAGCAAGCAGGCAGATGCGCGAAAAACGCAAAGCTATAATAAAGTATTTTAAACTTACAGCAAAGAGGGGACGATCCGTCTTATTTTTCTTGTGGCGCAAATTGCATTTTGTACATCTAATAAACAAATTAATTTCCAGTTAAAATTTAATCATTGTGCAAATTAATAATAATATAAAGTAAAATTACCGAATCGAACTAGTGGCAATTTCCATCTTTTTCCTCAATTGTTCAAGTAATTTCCCAATTTCACCATAAACCTGCTCCTTTGCATGCGCTTCCAGCAGTTTGCTGTGGTACTCTTGCCGTTTAGAAGATTCGCCGATAAATTCAAAAGCCCTGCCTAGTATTTTGAATGCCTCTTCTGCACCAACGACCAGGTTCTTATCAGGATGAACTAAAACGGCTTGTTTCTAAATATAAAAGTTAAAAGGTGAAAAGTGTGAAAAAATTTGCCGTTTACAAAATTCAAGAAATGAAACCGGAAGTAGAGCGGAACCGCGTTTCGTTCCTCTTACCTTACCTTGTAATATCTTCTAATCGTTTCATCAGAACTGTCGCTTCGCACTCCCAAAATGCTGTAAGCAAAGCAAGTCGATTCTTAGCACAACGTTGAACAATTTTACTAAATTTTCCAATTCTACTTGATTGTAAACATTGTAAAGTCTTCTACCTGTATGGATCTTGGCCTTTGCAACTAAGCAATCTCTTTAGCGTTTCGTCAGCATTAGTTATCTGGATATTTTTGTCAGGTCCCAATGCCGCCAAGAGGTCTTGAGAATTCTTTTTTAAATCACTACTCTCGTCGTTAAGTTTCCGACGAAATGGCCACCGGTTCCAAGAGGAGACGCCCTGCTTCAACTTTCGACAACTCACTCGTAACGTTTCTTCAATCATATTGACTTGCTGGAGGAATCCAGGAACAGCTTTATTTATCCACCAAGAGTATAAGTCTTCCATTCTGAGTTAATAGAAATGTACAATTAAATGTCAACATATGTCAGAACTTGGCCAAATATTAATTTACTCCTTACAGTGTAGATCCAACCGAAATTGAAAGAGTGAAAACGTCAGTAACCAGCTTCACGAGCCAAGCTACGGCAGAGATCATTGTGATTCCCCATAAATATACGATCCGATGACACCGTTGGATTGCAGCATTAGCAACTCGACCTAGCAAGTAAAATGAAAAGTTTGTTAGTTAATTCGAATTATAACTATTCTCACCAACTTACAATCCTTTTTGTTCTTGGGCCTTTCCTTTTCTCGGCTTTTTCGTTGTTGGGCTTGCTGTTGACTCCCATTCCCTACATTCGTGGTGGCAGATTGTTGTCCAGATTTCGTCTTATCAGCCTCACGGCGCGATGCACCACTTGCATCTCCTTCTTCTGATTCAAAAACAACGTCCTCATCAGCATCATCATCGTTATTTGAAGCGATCTTGTTCTCGTCCTTGTTACTAAATTCTTCACTCGTTGTTGATTTAGAGTTTGAAACATTCAGCGATTGAGTAGGTCGGTTGGTCGTGGTAGTGTGTTTATTCCGAGAATACGTTTTCCAGTCGCCATCCTCCTCCTGTTGTTCTGATGACTGTGGTGGGGTTTGCTCATCCACAGCAGGATCCGAATGAATACTTGATGCCGACCCCTTGTTAAACTTTGGTTTTACCTTCAGTTTTAAATTTCCCCCAGAGTTTTGAGACGCTTGAAGAACTTTACGATCGTCACGTTTAATCTCGTTCACGGACTTCCGGCGATGAGTCGGAGTCGTGGATGCTGGTGGGGTTCTATTGTAAGAGAAGTATGAGGTTTTGCTGGTGGGTGTGGCAGTGTTCTCCTTGCCAAAAGTGGATGTCGTAAACAAACGGCCCATAATTGTTTGCGATAAAGTTTTCTGCTTCGCGATTGGACTGGATGACAGGGACGTGCATGAAGAAGAGTTTGCTGAAGAGCCAGAGCTAACACTTGTGCAATCAGATTTTCGGGGGAGATTTGCAGTAGATGTGATGGGTTGGTTGGAAAAAGAGCTTTTCGAAGCTGCTGGCTGTGATGATGTGGAAGAACTTGCAGTCGACGTTGCGCGTCGATAGGTTGGTGTCGAAGCGCCACTCTGGTTTGCATTACTCTTTGCCAAAATTTCAGAATATGAGGGTTTCTGTAAGATTGGAAAATTAAGAAATATACATTAGTTTAATTTTAACGTAATTATAACAAGAGTTTAGTTAATTTTGCCAGTTTACTAACATTTGGGGTTTGAGGTCGAGAAGTATTTTCAGCCGTTGTGTTTTCGCCATTGGGAGTAGATGATCGTCCAACCATTTGTGGAGCAATGTGGCCCGTGGAACATGAACTTTGTTGTTGTTGTCCTCGTGGAGTTGGCGATTCCTGCCTTTGTTCGACGATTTTGGTGTCACTTGGTTTATAATTTGTAACCAACGTTGGAGCTTGTCCTGATGAACCAACAAATTCCATGTGCGCTGCTTCGTTATTATTATGTCGTTCAAATTCGGATGATGGAAATGTTGTGCATCCCGAAGGGCCGAAATGAGTATACGTTCCATTGACTCCGTTGAATATCATTGATCCCACAATATTGTCGATGAGGGGTTCAATCCCACTTTTCTGAGCGATGAAGGTCTTATCAATCGGGGACATATTTCTATCGGTAGTAGGACAACTAACACCGGTGGCTGAACGGTTTCCTAAGGAGGTGGATTGTCCAAATTCCATCATCCCGTGATTATTGTTGTTAACATTGTTGTCATACATGTTATATTCAGGATGTTTTTGCATCTGGGTCTGAAGTGAACTTATGGCGTCGTAATGAACAGAATGTTCTCCGAGCTCTAAGGGAGTGAAATTATTATTAAACATGGGGGGAACTTGTTGTTGTTGCTGCTGCTGTTGAGGAAATCCACCAACATGGCATAAATTTTGTGGTGGACATTGTTGTTGAAGGTGAACATTTTGCATATTAAGAACGTGCTGATATCCAGGTGGAAGACCAGCAGCGTTTTGTTGCTGAACTGCTGTAAAACCTGGGGGTGGGCTATGCATTGTGGGAGGATTGCTATAATAAACTCCAGTGTTTGGGAAATACTGCAAATCTGTCGTGGTTAAACCCATGGATGACTGAAGAATGGAAGCATTGTTATTGTTGTTAACATTTCCAAAAAATGGGGAAGATAATTGTTGTCGCCCAGAAGAAGACGATGTCAACGGCGGAGTAGATGGTGTCGAGCCGAAATCGAATGGACTTTGTTGTCCATTTCTGTTGGGGTGTTGTCGTCGGTCCATGATTTCATTTGATAGTGTGCAGTGACAACTAGACAATCTCAATTTCTGGAAATTAACAATACCAAGAATATTAACATCGCGAATTAAATTCAAAGAAAGAAATCTTCCCAACACAATCTCACTTACATTCAAATCTCAGATAGGAGTAACTCAATTGTACACGTTTAAAACATGTCTCCACTAATTGCTAACTGTACACAATATATAACCACGACTTATCAGATTACTCCGTTTTCCTTGTTAGATAACCCTTCTCCATCCCCCACAACTCGATACAAAATCTGCAAGAAACACAAGCTTTAAGTAAATTTAAATACACAATTTAAACTTTTAAAAAGTTACCACTAACTAACTGTGAACTGATATCCCTCTGCATATACATATTTTTTAAACACTTCAAAAAACATGTACATATGTAACAAACCTTCAATTAACTCAGTACAATCCTGGTTTGAAACTACTCCACCCACACCACGTTATGTTCCGCTTTCTTGTCGCTGCTAACTCGTTTCAGTCGTTTCTCGTCGCCCTTGCATTTGCGACACCAGCAACGTTAGTCCGTCCCACTCAAAACTGTCGCAAATTCCACACCTTTTTCTTCTCGTTCGTCAAACACCTCACATTTCCACAATGCTCTATGCTGCACAAAATGGGGGAACGCTTCGACAAAAAGTTACTTCGTCCCCCGTGGGACGTTCCGTTAAGAAAAATGTAAACAGCAGCTGAAGAAGAGACGAGTGTGCAATTAAAAAAGGTGCTGTTGTTAAAATAAGTCAGGCTGGCTGCTGCACTGCACTGGTTTTGTTCGTCGTGAGAGTGTGAAAAGTGGAAGTGCGGCAAACCAAATGACGAAATGTCTACCAGTTGATCCTGCTGCTCAATATGGTCCGAATCTGCGAAATATTTGCAAAATAAAGTGCAGCGTAATTTCCGGTTTACAAAGGTGAAAGTAAATATTGACAAAATCGCCGTGTAATAAAACTGACAGCAAGATGAATCAGGTAATAAAATACATATCGAGTTTATTTTATTTTGGTTTCGATTTCGAAATATTTTATTTTTATTTGAAAACATTTAGAAAAGTGTGCTGGTCAAAATTGTTTAAACGTCATCATGTTTTATTAATGTGTTACAGGCAAAAGTAGACATCCAGAACATTCCAATCGACATCCACGCTAATAAGCTCTGCGACTGGTTGATAAGTAGACACCACTGTACGAAAGATTGGCCGGAAAAAATTGCCTTAGTGCGTCAAAAGATTAATGCAGCGATTAAGGATATGCCAGAGAATGCTACGATTGGTAAAATATTGGTGGGTGCTAATCGTAAGTGTGTAGATTAAGATAAATCTTTAAACCGAATTAATTCGTATGAAACGTTAAATTAAGTTAGCTTTCTCTTTCAATTTTCAGCACTCAATTACTTTCACTGCGTCAAAATTGTTGCTGTTTTAAAAGAAACAGAGGCCGACACAAAAAACATATTTGGAATGTACGGATCGCAACGGATGAAAGATTGGCAAGATATTTTGAAATCGTATCAAAAGGATAACTTGTACATGAGTGAGGGAGCATCCATTCTATCGAGGAATGTTACATATGAAATCCCTGCGCTGAAGCGGATAGTTACAAAGGGGGACCAGTTACAGGTCGAGTGTCAAAAGAAGGACGCGTCTTGTCGTAAACAGGCGCAAGAATATAGGGAAAAGTTTGTCCATACTTGCACCCAGTTGGGGTTGCATTTTGAAAATTTCGATGCCAAGAATCCAAAACAGAGAAAACCTCCTTCTGCAGCCTTTGTAGGAAATCAGTTGGTGAAGTTGATGAATGACGAATTGCCAGATATTTTCAAAAGAATAACAAAAAAATCCGAGGATTTGAAAGGTGCAGCCAACTTTTATATTCGATTTCTTAAATCTACAATTGGTCTGAGTCCCGAGCAAGAGAAGGATTGCTGCTCCATACTTCGAACGGTTGTGGGTAAGAAGATGACTCAATTTACATATCGTAATTAATGCGATTCCCTGGATTTAAGAGATAATAATTGTTCTATTTCAGAAAAAGGAAATGTCACAACGTACGAGTTCAAGCACGGAGAACAACCTCTGAAAATAGAATATCCTTCAGTCAACTTTGTCTTTGACGAAGTAGATGATGATGGCGAGGCAGGTGCGCAGTTAGATTTGGACTTGGATGGGGGAGCTATCGATTTCGACGGGTTGGACTTATCTGTAGGGGGCGAAGAGTTAGAAACTGGTAATTAATATTTAACGAGCCGCAATATTTATAATATAATAAATGATGATATATATCCAATATAATATCCTGATAATTCATTCTCTCTACATGTCAGGTGAAATCGACTGGGGTGGCATTACCACGGAGGACGACGCTGGTTCAACTGACCAAATAGATTTTTCTATCGACTTGGTTGAAACGGCAGGGATAGTTTTAGAGGAGGATGGACTCGAAGGTGGTACTGCACGAGGTGAGGATGCCTTGTCAATTCTGGAGAATCCAGAAACTAGAAATTTCTTCATTGATGAATTAGTAGAGGTTAGTTTACACTACTCGTCATAATAAAATTGAGATTTATTTGTGGGTTATTATTGTCACACAGATAGAAGGCTTCCTGGGGCAAAGGTTGGAAGAAATCAGGAACGAAAATCCAAACGAGGTCATGCTAAGTGCACAACGAGAGTCTATGAGTGCTGAAGAAGTTGGGAAGTATCTGACCCACACGACCCAAGTTTTGGCAATGTTTAATGAAACGAAAATAAAGCAGTTGCTCCTTGTTCGTGAATCTAAAAGGTACCCATTGCAAAATCACATCGCATGTATAGAAAACACGATTTTTTAAATTATTACAAATAAGTGACCTCAATTTTTTGCATTTGTCAGGTACATTGTTCGACTTTCTGACTCTTTGTTACAAAACTTGACCCTTGCGACAAAGTTAGACTACGCTGCTGAAGCTGCACTTACAAAGTGTGCTCAACTCGCTACAGAGGTTGAGCAAGTGAAACCCAAAATTCAAAGTTTGACAAAGCAGACAAGAGAGCTGCAAAATGAACTGGCCAAAGAAATTTCCCTCAAGTATAACAATCGGCAAGTTTATATAACGGGAGGTGTTTAAACATTTAATAAGTCTTCCTAGCGGTAACATGTAAATAATGTACGTATGCATAAGACGCAAAGATATTAATGATGATTCATAGGTTAATAAGTTGACTCCAATTTTTCATGCCTTTCTATTATGATCCAACAATCAAATTCTATTTTACTAAAGCCAAATCTATTTTCTTGTAAATCAAATCACGGTGCTTGTAAGTATGTAGATGGTTTAAATTAATTCCCAACAATTGATATAAGTATGTCCAATAAATGGTCACAATAATATTTATTAAACTTTTATCCGAGTTTTTATCAAATCAAGTGCTTCAAATAATTATTTTCTCCATTATGATTATTATTATTTAACAGTCAACAATTAATATAAATATGTAGGAAGTTCGTTCGTTCACCATTCAGGTACATCTAGGTTACTGTATCCACCTACTAAATGCTAATATTTTTGACAGGGATATACATACTCGTACATTGTTTGGCGTTCTTCGTGATTCCACTTTAATTGTGGTTCATTAATTAGTACAAGAAACAACATAATTGTGTGCAAAACGACGGTAATCGTATTGTATCACTAGGTATCCTCTTTTACATTATGTAGCAATTTACTTTGACTATTAGTTACCCATATATAAGTTTTATATTTATGTATGTAACTACTCGTGTCAGTGGCAGCAGAAGTTGTATATTGTACTTTTGGATGATTATCTGAATTCAATATCACAAGCGTGTGTGCATAAATATTTTTGTGATGTAAATACTAACAGCTAATTAATTACACTACCTAAATTTTTATATTTAAAGAACGTCAACTATTTTAAAAACGAAAAAGAGATCTTTTTGTAGTACTCGCTGAATGATAGAAAAGGGGAAATTAAGATGTACAAGAAAATCTGAGCGATCGGACTGTGATCCGAATTATGAGATGATTACAGTTTTCATGGTCTTGGCGTGTCTTCACAAATGAGTCAGTTATCATGCGCCGGCAATAATGGGATGATTGGGTGTGGCTGCTTCATTTTTAAAATATCGTCCACATCTCCCCTGCTTCGTTTCACCCTTTTGTTCGGACTGCAACTTCTCCTCCTCTCCAGGTCGATGCAGTTGCTTCCTCCGCCTGGCATGATGAGATGGTTCGTCGCCAAAGTCCCCCCATATCCCCCGGTACTCAGGATGTGAGGGTGCAGACCCATGAGAGCATGATGCTGCTGTCTATTGGATGAGCTAATACTGACTCCGTGGTGAATGCTACTCTGCTGCGAATGATGAGCACCACTGGTTGACGAAGGGGACGCATTGTAGTGATGCAAATTGTGGTTGTACGCAGTAGGAAAGGGATCGGGGGAGTACTTGTTATCATGGAAGGAAGAATGATACCCCAAACTGCTCGAACTCGAGATGGGTGAAATATTCGCGATTGATCTCTTCCTCCCAGTATTATTAGTTTGTCTTCCATGATTTGAGCTGCTGGATGAGTTGCTGGAACTTGAGTACCCTCCGCCGTGTTGTACAAGTTGGGAGGAGGAGGAGGTGGAAGATGGTGGCTGCTGATGAGGGACGATATGACCAGGATGAGACGACTCTGCGTAGTACCCGACCGGGTAGTACTGCCCAGAAAAGACATCTTTCTGAGGATGGTGACTCATAATGTGTGAGGAGGGCAAGCTCGATGACGAACTTATTTGCTGGATGGGTCCTGTAATGGGGTATCGATAGGGGACAGGAGAGCCTTGTTGTCGGGATGATTGATGCTGTTGCTGCTGCTGCTGTTGAGATGAGGAATATCTACTGGAAAAATTTGTCTGTTCTTTCGGACTAGGTTTATTTACGGACATGGGGACACATTTTACTAAGCTCGCCCCTTTCTGAGAGGCTGGGGTGACCAGCAATGGGTGTGGAATGATAGTTTGTGGAGGAGGAATGTGGACGAATCCCGCTCCCGGAGGAGGACTAGTCATCGGAACGGATGTTGGGGGTGACGTGGTCAGAGAATTCTTCAAAAATTGGGGGGCCGGCTTGCCAACCACTTTATCTGGTTGTGATGAGGGCGACGAGAGGAGAAAGCAGACGTTAATGGTGACGGGGTGAAGTGGTGGGGGTGGAATGGGAGCGTGGTCGAGGTATGGCGACAACATGGCCTTGTCAATCATGAGGGGAATATAGTAGAGACCTTTCTCATGCAGGGCGAAAGCAGGCACTCGCCCACCACAATTTTCACTTTCACCCAATAAACCAGGCTCAGCAGTAGGGATTGGGTTTAGAGGTGCTGATGACGATGATGGAGCTGCAGATCGAGCTGGATTTTCCACTTTGATCACGTTCACAGCAACAGGAGCAGCACTTTCTCCAGACAACCGTTTACCACCATTCGCATCATGCTGTTCTGCCGAGTCGGGAGGAGGACTGTTACCTTGAGATGTCGTTGTTGATGTCGCCATCACCACCTTTGATGTCAAATCAGAGGCAACAACGCCGTTCATGTTTTCAATAGAGATTGTCCTGTTGGAAGAAGAACAACTGTCAGAAGTACTCGTCCTCCTCCTCCGTCGCCTTTCATAACTTTTGTTTGAACCGCAATCTTCTTCCAACATCAATTCTTCTTCCCCTTCTTCCTCTCCTCCTGGAGGAGTCGGAGAGGAGGAACTGTTGTTCCGTCCTACTTTCATCCGACCTTCCTCCTCATCATCCAAGAAATCGGTTCTTGCACCAGTATTTGATTGATGTTCTTCATCATCATCTTTGTGTTTGTTGGAAAGTTTGTTTTCACTTCGAGTCATGACCGCCTCCACGTCCTCCTCCCCGCCCGAGTTGTTCGCCGTCCGTCCTGGGACAAGATGATCAGCAACGAAGCGTTGTTTGATATTATTTTTGAATTTGTAACGAGACGCGGAACCAGTTTCATGCCCTTCATCCGCTGACCGCCAATTCGACTGGGCCGTGGAACTATGAAAATAATTGAAATCTCATCATCCCACATTCTCATTTCCTCTCTAAGAGAAAGCTAATCGTGGAATCAACCACGAACCAAACGAACCTGCTCGTCATGGGTGAACTGGTACAACTGATGGCAGTCGGAATGGGTGGTTTGTTGCTCGCAGGACTACCACTTGCACCATTCTTCCTCGTCGTACTCTTACTTTCTACGGATAAAACGTCCGAAATGTCGAGTGAAAGCTGGGTCGAGCAGCAACTATTTTCTCCCTCGTAATCGATATTGATGGCTGCGGTTCGTTCAGATGGTGGCAAGAAATAGGACCCTCCATCCGTCGTCGTAGTAGTCGTAGTAATAGTACTGCCGCCACAACCACCACTTCCAATGTTACCACCAGGACCAGTTTGAACTGGTGGGAATGATTCTGGGCTTTCGGCATCTGTAAATTCAACCAAAATCACAGAGTCCTGTCACGCCACGGTCGGTACATACATAAATAAGTCAACCGAGAGAAAGGATCTCTCCCATTTTTTTTATGGTGATGACTGACGCCGCTGTGATTATCATGCTTACCTTGACCTCTATTTCCTTCACTTCCCGACGAAATTGACGACCCATTGGCCGCATACCCGGACGAACTCGAATTCCCATTATTGCAATCACTGTCACACAGCTTTTGCTTATTAGCGGAAGGACTTTCGTCAGTCTCCTCTTTTTTGATTTCAGTCAGGAACCGGAGCTTCCCCTCTTTGCCCTGTTAGTTAACAGACGAAGAAAAAAGAATGGAGGGACTAATTAGTACGAAAGTTAATAATAAGAAGAAAAAAAATCCCTCAACAAATATGTAACTCATCACGAAAAGAAGAAGAAGTTTTTTTCTTACGAAATGCTCTCTCATCAAGTTTTCAGAGTGTGCTCCCAAATGTTTGAGTATTCGTACACAGAGTGAATCCCCAGGGTACATGCCTTCATCTTCGACAAGAAAGTGCATAGTTTCGCTCATGCACTCGTGAAATCCAAGTCGAAAATGTTCTTCTGGCGTAGACGGGAATGTAGCCGTGGGTCCGCCTCCTCCTCCTGATGACGTGACTGGAAAAAGCGGTGGCCTCGTAAAACCCTCGGATCGAGACCCCTTCACAATATAGTTGAATTCACATTTGTCTGTAAAGAAAAAAAAATGAAAATATTTTTGGATTTCTGCCATTGGAAATAATAGTGAAAGTGAAAATCAGGCCAAAAAACGAACCTCCCGATGGACACAAGTGAGTTTGCAAATGCCGTAAATGTTTTATGGCGAGCTCCACAATTTCCGTCTTTTCAATGCGTCCCCTCCCTTTTCGGAGGGAGGACGGAGGGAGGAGACGGGCCAAGTCGGCCAGACAGTTATTCATGCGGTCGCGACGCCGCTTTTCAATTATCCGGTGGGAAAGGGGATCCTGTTAAGAAAACAGTTACATAAAAACGCGTCCTGGTAATTAGATTTCATTTTTTCGCTGGTGAGGAAGTGCTTACACGAACAGTCTTTTTCTTCGGAAAGCCGTACTCATTCTCCTCGACGGCTCCACCAGTGGCAAAGTTGAGATTCCTGTGTGGAATGAACGAGACATAAATTTAGCTCGGAGCAAAATTGGTTTTCATTTCTGGGTGCATTAAATTATTTTATTTTCCTAGTCTCTCCCTCGACACAGAGAAGCAAACATGAACGAATTGTGCAACTGTCTGGCCGTAAACGCTGCTTAGTCTCAAATCCCAGACGTATATACAAAGGGGAAAGCATGTGTATCGTGTGTACAGTAAGTGGTGGTGCAAAAAGCGTCAAGCAGCCGTCGTGTGTCATTTATCTTGACCTATATTTGAAAAAGCTCACGTGCTTCCTGGTAAAAATTGTTTGCCAGTCCGGCGAAATGGGACATGTTGGTGGTGGGTGAAAGTAGACGTACGAACAAGTATACGTACATAGTGTAAGTGGTTCCATGTCGGAGCAGCAGAATTCGCAAATAACCCGAGGCAGTAGGCATACAAGAGACAACTCTCTGCTGGCCTGGTTCTGCCTCCACTAGTTGTTGGTGAAAGTAAAGTGAATGCGATCGATTCTTGTCTCGTGCCTAGTTTTCTGCTCTTTCTTGCCACTACTTCTGTCTGTCTGCTGACGAGAGTTGGTTGGTGGTGGGCTGGTTGGTTGTGGAGAAAGTTGGCTTGGACATGAGAAGGAAGGGAGAAAGGAAGGAAGGAAGGAGAAGGAATGTGTAGGAGGATTAATGAAAAGGTTGACCTTTCCCTCGCCTAATTCTTCCTTTATACGAACGAACGAGCAGTTCTACAGTTGAACAGAGAAAAACATGCTGCAACGTGTGTGGGGCATGGGATGAATCACGGTCTATATTCTTCTCCATCCAGCTATGAAAGAAAAAAATTGATTCCTTTACGTAGGTGCTGGAAGAAGACGAAAGTCACATAATACAGAGTATTTTTACAGGTGGAAAAAATCACATGAAACGAACTAGGTCACGCCACGTTGTTCCTTTGACTTTACATAAATTCAATTATCGTCCTGTCGGCTCGTGTTCAATTTGAGAAAGTTTTTAACCCTGCTTCACGATCCCTCCCTCCTCTTTCTTCTACTGTCAATTGATTGAACATTTGTCACGTTGCAAAGAGGAGAGCCCAAGGTGACTTGGACGTATTGTAGACTGGAGTGGATAGTGATGATGATATATAAGGTTCCATTTTCCTATAAATAGCGAAATCGTGTGCCGAGAAGTTGCATAGCGGAGAATAATGGATGAGTCGCAGTGAGCAGTCAGGTGCTCGTACATGTGACTTTCTCCTTCCTTCGTCCTCCCGTCGTGCTCTGCCTACTTGGCCGATTGGATAATCTAATATATTTAGTGAGAGGTAGGATAGGGTCTGGTTGGCAAAAGAGGTGACCTTTTTCCCATTTCTCGCACATCTCGTACATATTGTGATGAGATTGTAAATGCCTTGCCCATCTAAATTCCATGCATATGTACGGATGCCTACATACGTGACCTGCTTTGTGTCGAGCGAGAATTCGATCACAGTAAATTTACAATCAGCATGTAATACGGGTAGTCGCAAATGGGACGTGTTCTTGTCTACACTCGATTATTCGAGGCAACTCACTCCAGAAATTCTTGATTATTGGACTTTTGGCATGCATACGTTACGTGGATAAGTTTGCATCATTTTCTTTTGTCCAACCTTTCACTTTCCTAGAAGGACATGGGGATAGCTATCTCCCACTTTTTCTCCTTTCACCACTCAACCCAATCCACCACCCCGGCTGGAAATACATTTCGTTGCAGAAACGCGAACTCGGTTCCATTTTCATTTTCAATACACAAAGAGAAAGCTAATTGGACTCAACCAAACCACCAACCAAGCACCGCACCACGCCACGCCGACTGCCCCATTTGTAATTAGTTTTTTTTCCGAGAAATGATAAATTGCTGGGAGAAACAAGGCGGCTTCTCAAAAAAAAAGTGGAAAAATACAGACGCAATTTGTATCCCAATTAACCACGTGATACGACAGGAAATGTATTGTGTAGGTATTTATGAATAATTTATGCATGACATTCTCAAAATAATTCCCTTCTTCCATTCCTCCAAGTCAAGTATAGTAAAGTTAAACATAGTTCACGAAATGGGAGACGGGTACCTTTTGAGCTAGAAATTGATACTGTCACATACACTTCGTTCTGTGTGTGTAGTGTAATAATAATAAAAAACTGCGTTGTGTGCAGTGGAGAAATTTGAGACGGCGAGTTTGTTGTTGGAGGCAGATAACCTACAAGGACCCACCCCGTCGCTCAACCAATTCACATGTTTCAACACATGACGATACTGACTTATATTTAGTTTTTTGACCAATTTATTTACTTATCTGTTGCTTCAAAGAGATATCATTTACATAAGAAGACACATTTATAAATGTGTGTGTGTGTCGCTAATTTTTTAGCATGTTCACGATCACCCCTCCAGTTATTTGTATGTATTTATCCAGACTTATACTTACGTATGTTTGCATAATATTATATTGAGAAAAGATGGCTTCATGATTTGATGTACTCAAAAAACTGGTGGCATGTGCATGACATACATATTGCACACCAGTTTAGTTCACTTTAGTAAAAACTGCTTCGGCTCAAATGTGTAACGTTAAAAACAACTCGATGCTCATGTCATGCTTGAACTGGCTGCATTTTTATATCATTAATTTTACATAGAAAAAATAACTTGATAAGTGTAGGAAATGATATACACACAAACTTTTTCATTTAAAATAATATCTACTTGAACCTTCATCCATACATATTTCATACAATTGACAATGTACCTAAAAATAGTCGACTAAACACATAAAGCATTTCGGTTTGTGTATGCAATCCTACTACGTAAATACATAAAGCCACCGACCATGTAAATATGTAACCACGCCACGATTGGATTGGACAGATTGCTTGTAATTCTTTATTCGCTGCGCTACTACTGATTACACAAATGCATGCATGTGGCCAAATAAATGACGATGGTCGTGATGATGGGTTGGATAGAACGTTGTCAGTTCAAACACGTGTGTTATTTGTATATGTGGGGAGATAAAGGATCTAATAATTCTGCATTAATTGTACGATTAAACAACACGTAAAAACTGCCACGCCATGCAAAGCCAGGCGTTGCAAACAAAACAGTGTCACCTCACATCTGCTCTCCTCTCACACAGCACAAGTGGCAGATTTTGATTTTATAAAATATGTAGAACATTCAAAAAAATCGATATTTTAGGTGACTTGATTTTCTCCATTTAGATAGATATACAGCCAGACAAGAAAATTGTTACAAGCTGGTGGTGCTGGTGCAAAACATTATATTTTCATGGATGGCTGGCTGGCGCACGGAAAATTCACGTGTCCACGAATTCACCACACCAAACCAAACCACCAAAAGGATGGCCTTCATTTCGTATTAAATTATTCAAATGGCTGCAAATCTGTATGATAATGTGGACATAGGAGGCGAATGTATAAAGTTGACTCGCAAGCAAATAATAAGTGACTAAACCATCACTCTGTTTAGCTAACCCTTGTCTTTAAACGGCGAGAGGATGAGTAAAATCATGTCATGCAGAAGAAGAAAGCGTCGTATTAAATGTTCCTTCACGGAGATATTGATAATTTCGTGTACTTTGTCATCGTCGTGGTCTAAATTTATCCATGGCATAATTATTTCGTCGATGTCTTGTCGACAAGTCCCGTTCGTAATTCCAAATTAAAACTAACGACGGGCCCATTTATTTTTACACCGCATCATAATTAACTCCCCTCGAATAATGTTCTTGCAATAATTTTGTTCTTCAGAAACGTGACATATTTCCATATATTCAAATCAAATGGTCTGATTTTACCACACATATATCCCCCTCCGTCCTCCTGCATACATGAATACATATGGGTATGAATAATTCAATAAAATTGTTTACCACTCAATTAACTCGTCTGCCTGAATTTGTTTTCATTCATCATCACCACTACACACATACATTTGGAGAGTTGATAGGTGGTAATATGTGTTAATTTTTGGTTGCTTGCGTCAGTAAAAGTCATGTCGTGCCAGGCCTAATAAAACGCGGAGGATGATATCTGAACCCAACAAACCCAAGCAGCACATCCATATTTATTTTCCGAGATGGCAATAATAATATTTGCAAGTTGAGTGTCTGTAGCACCTCCGTTTAGTTTAGCGGAGATAAATATGTGCGAAACTGCAAACTGCTAAAAATACGTGTGCACTTTTTTTTTACTACTACAACTTCATACTACAATTTTAATGGATGTTTGCTATGCATCTCGAGGAGGAGAGAGATCATGTTCAAGGATTTTGCACTGCATTCAATAAATTTTACGTTGCACAAGTTCCATTAAAATTTGAGGTAGGAGCAGAAGAAACATTACATTACTCGCGTTTGGTTAAAAATGCAATGACCCTTCATTTGCATAACATAACGCAAACGACGGGCTGCTGCATAAGTACTGCGACGCCGAGACGGACGCCATATGGGATGATGCTTCCGTAAAATAGTGATTTTCTAGTGGTGGAGCGCTTATCTCGACACATCGAATCAATGCAGGAAGACAAATGTGACATTTATTTGTTTTTCTATGCCTCTCTTAACACAGTCCGTGCAGGGTGGAGGGTGTAAAAAAGCAAGCAGAGCAAATTGGCTAAATTTAACTCGCGATTTTTACAGACTCGCACACACACACAGACATACATATCTAGCAAGCAGTGTGTGTTGGTAGTAATAATGTGGTCTCCTCGATTATACGTACTTTGTTGTTCTCTCATAACGTCTCTCTTTCATAACACGAAATGAATATGTTACGTTTGTGGGACAGAAATAATGTATTCGCTCATCTTTCCCGGAGTTGAAATGCGTGTCGTAAGATTTTGCATGTAGCAGCGACATTTCGCAGAATGAAAGCATAAAATTTGCAAATAAATTGGTAAGCTGATGAGAAAAGCATGACGATGAGAGGATACAAAAAGATTGTGTTTAGAATGTCTGGACGGATACTGTTGTGTCATCATCGCGTATCCTGACCTCAAATATATAATTGGTGACGGCGTGGATTGGATTTATTTATTATTATTAAGTCTGCCCTAGTGTGACATATTTTTGCACACTTTTTGCAACATTACTTATGTTACATATGTGATTTGATAATTGCATTTATTTGACTCAAAGTCAAAATAATTTAGTGCAGTAGCAGCAGTCTAGCCGGCCTTCCTCCTCCTCCTCCTCCTTCTTCTCGGTGGAATAAGCTACTACTAATTTTCTGTAGGCGAATAATAATGCGGTGTGTGGCGTGACATGGTGTGTATGTAGATTCCCTGCCAAAATGAAATCCTTGCAAAAATGCATGCTAAACCCTAACCATTCCTCTTTTAAAATATGTATGCACTTGCCACATCCTCCCAACGCGAGTGCATGTAACATCACACACACACCATAACGTTCACCTCCTTTTCCTTCTTGAAGCGTAATGAATGATGAAGTCCTTCGACTTTACCAGTGAAAATATAATATGACACGACGCTGCTGCTGCCAAAAATTCGGCTCGGCCGCAGACAGGGCTGCGTTCTTAAATTCAAAATGTGTTTTTTTGAGTGAAGTGAAAAAAGCAGACGGCAGACACCCATCTCTCTGCAAATTGCACCCGGTGGTCGTAAAAACTAAACATATTTGTTAGGTCGGGGATGAAGTGAAGGCAATGAAATGAGAAACAAACAGCCAGCCAGCCAAAACTTTACGGGCATCCAAGAAGCCGAGAAACACGCGATCGAAAGAAAACTGCGGTCGTGGTGTCGACTAGTGCTCGTTTGATTTCACTTTTTTAAAGCTGGCGAAAAAATGCTGGCCGAGTGCCGAGAATTTTTGCGAACTTGTAAAGTATCACATAGATATCTAGCTAGATAACCTAAATGTTGATGATCCGAGTTCATATGTAACAACACGGACCGACCGACCAAAAACTCGCTCTATTGGACACGTAGGCTTGCATATTTTGTTCTTTTATTTATAAGGAAGGAGGAACATCATATCATTGTCCTTGGTGCAACTTTGCTCGATTATTGGAAAACATACATTATCGATTTGATCACCAACCACCCTTTGAAAAATGCATGCTCGTCAATAACGTAACATGTACCCGGTTATCCTCCTAACTTTGGCCGAGGCAGGTAATAAAGCCCTATGCACTTTCGAACGTCAAGTGTTCTCTGTATTTCTATCTAGATTTAATAAGCGACCGTTAATTGTGTGGGGAAGAGGAGAAATAAATATTGATTGCAGTATTTGCACACTATTTGCACACGGGATGCATGTGATACCCAGTCGAGCAAAATACAATGTACTTACGCGCATTGATTGTTTTGTGTTATGCAGACGGCAAGAATTTCATACATTTAACATCGTTCTATAATAATTATATCTTCTTTTTCTGATAATTAACACGATGTACGGATGATAACGAGCAAATAATTCTGCCTGTTGGCACGCCGCATGTATGAACGAGAGTAGCTGGTCGATTATGTAGTTAACCGAGTACTTGTCAAGTTCGCCTTGTACGAATATCGAGTCATGCGTCAATTTGTGTCTCATTGAAATTAAGGTACATAGGTGCAGATGAATGGTGATCAGTTCTCTCTCTTCACGTGAGTTACGATGATAACGTGTAAATTCCAAAAATAAATAGGTACACGTATCGGTTGTAAACCTAATTACTTATCTGTGCGTTACACAAAAGAAGTAAGCAAACCTTTCATACTGATTGTGTCCACTTCCGGTCGTGACAGAGGATAAGGATCCAGATATGATAGAGCCTCCAGAAGACGACGAACTGTGATGATGAATGCTGCCGCCGCCGTGATGGCTGTGATGTCCAAGATTAATGGCGTGTTCTAATAAATGACTATTGCTCCCCGTCCCCGTGGATCGGGAAGAATCATCCCAAAATGATTGTTGCTCCATTTTCGGGGCGTCCATTTCAGACATTATTTTAAACTATCTCAAGGACGATTTCGTGTCTCAATTTCACCACGAAATGAAATATTATTACGAAACAAAAGTCAGTCGCCTATCTATGCAGTTATAACTCTTCTAATTTACTTGTTTGTTCACAGCACTGGAAATAATTACTGTCATATATAAGTCCTTAATTAGGAGCAGGTTTAGTCGTTCACAAACTCGGAGAATAATATGAAGACAACTGTGTTTTGTTTGTTTGACTTTGAGGTTATGTTATCGCGTCCTTTTCGCCGTCGCTCTCGCTCTCTCGCTCTGTCTCCGAAACGCTGTTACGTAATGGGCAAACAGCCCGACTAACTGAACTGAACTTAACTTACACAACGAGGAGCAGTGTATATAAGTAAATATCCGACTCGTTACTTGCGAACTTTCCTTAATTGTGGTGTCATGTCATGTTTTGATATTTACAAGTTTCTCCTCCTCACTCATAATCATCATAAGAGTTTTCCTCCTCCTCCTTCTTCTTCAGGTTGAACAACTGTTAGATAACTTTCTCTTCCTTTTCTCTCCTCTCTTCTTCATCTCACTTATTGTGCATCCTCATTCTCCTTCCTTTGTTCGAATATAAGGAATAAGGTGGATACGACGAGAGCCAGAAGTTTTACGTCGTTCTGTAAGAGAAAGAAAGCACGAAAAATAAGTAAAGTCTAAAAAAGAAGAAAAAGATGAAAAGCACACAAGAAGAAAAGGAAGCAACAAAGTTGTTTGCACAGAAGAAGAAGAAAAAACTCATATTTTTGAGAACCCGGAGGGGGCAGTCGTTGCCATATGCACTTTCATCCTCGCATGAAATAAGCCAACCAGGTGAGTTACATAGTTTAGTTTATTTAGTTGGGGGAGAAAGTGAAGTATGAGCTGGTGCACTAGCCGTCGTCGTGCTCAGGATGATGACGACGGGGAGAGAGAGAGAGAGAAAGTAAGCTAAAACCCAGCCCATGCAGCTCGAGCCCGACCTATCCCAACCAGCCCCGATTGCGACATCAACTCATATCCATCCACCAGGCAGGCTGACTGACATACTTGATACGCACTTGACTCGAATACTTGTTATTTATTATCACCCACCACTTGGCTGCAGTACAGCAAATGAAATCAAATTGATATATATTTCACACGAGGCCGAGGAGGCATACGAGGCATGGTGGGGAACGTGGAATGAAATAAATTACACGGAGGTGGTAGCACCAACATAACGTGATTACCATATAAAAAATATAAAAGTGCAGTGCACACGGATACTGATGAGACCAGCAGCAGCAGCCGAGCATGGATGTAATGCGAGCTCAAAGTTTTATCTATTTTGGCTTTGCGTGAAACCGCACTCAGTTTTATCAAGTTATATAAGTTCGAGTTACTTTTTATGATGATGATGATGATATGATCTTGTTATGATGCAACTTTTTGAAACGGGAAGGTTTCTTACTATATTTATTACTGGATGCATGCCGGCACTCGTAATAAATGTAGAATGAGGAACACGCTACTGCAGAAGCATTATGAGAATCGAAGTGATTGAGAAAATTGAATTTTTTTCTTGTCTTAGCAATTTTTTCAGTGTTACAAAACTTGTTTTTTATGCTAGTAATGACTCATCTTTATTAAGCCGAGGATAATAATTGCGTGGGGGCGATACGACAAAAAAAACAAGTCTTCTTCCTGCTACTAATTCATATCGCCATTCATTCTCGGAGGGAGAAAGGTGTACGAATTAAGACGTTAAAATAAACTGGGCAACGTCAAAACCTTAATTATCAATGTTTTGATTTGACTCGGGCAGCCTCGTTAATGAGGGAGGAATGAGAGCACAACAGATTACAAAGTCATGAAGGTGTTGTATAACTGACCTTTTCTCGTCTTCCTCCAGGACACGATGAGACGACCACGATGACGACGTGTTTCCAATTTTGGCAAGAGCAGCACAGCCCGAAACGAAACCCGGTGTGTTGATGTGTCGAGCACAGTCACTTTGAGACTGAGGAGCAGAAAACCGTGCAGTTTTGCTAACTCGGCGAACCAGTGGAGAATGGATGGAAAGCAGCGATGTGGATTTTTAGCGATATGCATGTATATATTCTCCTCCAGTAAAGCTAGCTACACGAGGAAACTGCGCTCCCGACTTGTTCTTATTACATGGCTATGTATATCCTACACGTTTATCCTGCACGTTTATAAACGCAACATAACCACACGCGCATCATATCGTGATCCGCATTCTCTCGTCCATGTACTTAGCTTCGGCTGCACGTGCTTCGTCTGGTAATCAATCGATTCACCAAGTTTTGCACCAAGTTTTGCACAGTGAAAGTGAGGCAAAAATAAAATAAGTAAGAACAACAATGGGGGGCAAGAAGGCACGTTATAAAAGGTTTCAGTTCAACGTGGGGTCGGAAGTTGGGTGCCTGTGCGGGTCTAATGAAGAGAAAGTAGTCTCATAAATTAGACTCATATCTGATTCTCTCGCTTTCTCGGTGAAAGTGGGGAGAAAGCTGTGCGACATATTTTCAAATTCTTTTATTTTCTTTCTTCCACTTCTGGATATTATTATGCATGACTAGGAAACGTATTTGGTTTTTTGCAATTGCATTTCGTTAACTGGGTCGAGTCCCACTTGTGCCGTGCGGAACGTGGTGGTCCGAGATTCACCGGAGCGATAGGGTGGCGATATGCATAGATAGTCGATTGGGGAAAGGAATGGCAGTGGTGTGTGTGGTCCATTAAGCCACGCCAAAAACCCACCATTACACAAAGTTACGATAGGTACACACTTATATGGAATAGTTCGGATATGGTGCTATTATTATGACCACCATACCACTAACCCAATGATGATGTAGTCACGTGTACGAAACGGCTTTCTTGACACACGTTATTTTATTATTTATTAGTCAACATGCAGTATTTATCCAGTCAGGTCGAGCTCACTTGTTATTTTTCTTTTTCGCTATGCTGCTGGATGTGTATCCTGGTTCACGCCTTCTTCTTTCGTATGCAACCAGTAAAGAAATCGTGCCTCTTCATGCATACAAATGCTACCACTCAGTCTCGAATGATGAGTAATATTCAGTATTACGAGACGAAGATAAGAATCAATCCAGTGAATGGATTAATTTCATCCAACCCTTTTCCTCCCCTTTTTCTATCGTCTGGTATCCAACGTCTTGTTCTCATCATGAGAAAACAACACCATTAAACTTTAACTGGTACATGCATCTCGTAACCTTTATCCCACAACTACAACATATTTACTTGAGGTATGTCCATTGTTTTCTATCTACACTTATGTACGTACGTGTGGATGTAATGCACATTTTTGCATGGTGAGAGATACATGGCCAAACAAGTCGGGTGGCTTGGGAAGGACTTTTCTTCTTCAGTTCTCATAAATGCAACTCGTGTTTTTACTTAATTGAGGCAGCAATGGAAATCCTACGGTGAGACCCAGACTTAGGTACATTTTTATTCTGGAGCGTCCTATCAGTACCATCCGCGTGTTATTGCAAATTCGCTAAAATTCTCAGGACACGTAAGTTGGAAAAGTTACGCAAATGAAGCGAATCTAGTCTGGAATCAGTTTTAATTACGTATATTATTGTTTTAGTTTTATAATTACTTAACTCGCAACTTTTTTTGCGACGCGTTATGTAAGTGCAATTTGGTTGTTCTTTTCTCATACGGTTAAAAATTAGCCGTCTACGTGACACACGATCGGAGAGATGTGTATATAATTAAGTAAAGGCACACGATACATATTGTTGCATATTTGAGTTGCCAAATTTTTTGCCAAATTTCTACTTTTAGCCACCCCCACAGAGAGACACGTGCCAGCGTATACTGAAAAAAAGGACACTGAACAATAATTCTTGGAGTTGGTTGGTGGGGCACAGATTTATTATGTAAAAACCACGCCATTAACCTTCACAGGTTAGGATCATAAACGCAGAACTATCTGTAAACCTGTTTTGGGATTACACATGTACATATCGCATATTATTAGGCTGCTATTTTTCGTGTGCAACGTTGTCTCTCGATATGATTTAGTTGTATGTGCAGTAATTTTGTCGTCTGTCGGAGTGGAAAAATCATCATCTCGTCTCATCGTCACCACCATCATTGACATGGTTCTGCTTATTATTTGGTTACTTCATGAGTGACTGGGACAAAATTTTCCATCTGCTGCCTCACTCACTACTTAAATCCACAGTGATACGTACATACATATGCACATAAACAGAATATTTCCTATGTCCATGAAGCAAACAGACTGAATCCAGTTTGGTGATTGACCTTAATTAACAAACTCGTGTTTCGAATCGCTGATTGAGGAAAAAATAGATTCGTAAGACCGGTTCGAACGGGATGATGAGGATGTGCAATCAAATACACCATGCACACACCACACCATTTCCTCCCGTCTGTGAGACCAATTATCTCTAATCGACGGTAACCCCGTTACTGCTCTTTCCTCCTCAACATAATAATCAAACATGCGAAATCACGTATCGCAGGGGGACATAAGTTTCGAAAAGACGAGACCACTTTTCGAGACGGCCCACGTAACAAGTTATGCAGGCACGCTTTCCCTGAGTAAATACGAATTTCATCTTAAATTTGGCCAGCCCTTGTAAAAAACTAAAGGTTGACATGAATAATGAATGAGTCTCGGACTTAAGTAATATGAATGACTGGAAAAGGGAGAGGCAATCACGAAATGGTATTGACCATATTTTATGAAGCTTGTACATACACATAGAAAAAGAAATAGGTTAAATAACACCATATGAAAAATTCTTTTATCCTTTTGTTCTTTCTGCGGATTTCGATATCTGTTACGTGGGTTGGTTTGTTGTTTGAGTGGAATGGAATCCACCTCAAAAAACTGGACGATGAGATAATACTTCTCCCTGCCAATAAATATACAACATTCATGCAGTTATCCATATTACTTTCCTTTTTCGAAACGTCTTTATTGATTAGTAACGACTGAAAATTGGCCCTGAAACAGAACTAATCGGATAAGAATCCTGAATAAAGAAAGAGCTGGGCAAAGTCCAAGCCAAAAAAGACAATAACCTTGGAACGCTCTTTGGTTGTTTTTCGTCCATACATACACAGTACGTCTAGATTTTTGGAAAGGTCAGTTTTTACCTGGGCGTACACTCACCCTTGGTTTCACAAAGGGAATCAATACGTAATGCGGTGGTGAGCATGCATAATAAATATGGCACGACTTTCTCTCATGCTTGGTGATTAAAGCGAGCTAGCCAAGCCAGCCAGCCAGTAATTTTCCTCCGCTTTCTTTCCGCTTGTTGAGGTAGAAGGGGAATCAGATGATTAAATCATGAGAATTTCTCTTTCACTCGCATTACACATCATGTGCTAGCCTAATTCTCTCTGCGGTTTCGTTAGCCTGCTTCTTTCAAACCTTTCTCTTTTCGCGTGGGCATCGCACTTATTAAGGGGTGAAAGCCCTTTATAAGATCGTTATGTCCGTCTGTCTGTCCGTCCGTCCGTCCGTCCGTCCGTCCGTCCGTCTGTCTGTCCGTAGCTCCGATAACTTTTGAACGAAAAGACATAGACACTTGAAATTTTGAACGTAAACTCCTAACGTCAATAGAGAGGACGAGTTCGAAGATGGGCACTGTAGGTCACACCCATCAAGGTCAAAAGGTCATGAAATGTCATTTAAAGGTCAAATTGCATACATGCATCAATTTGAATTGAAATACGGATAACACACTTCTTTCACCCCTTGGTTACATTCGTTGTGACGGTTTATTACAAAATATTCGGGTTTCTCAACCAACCATCAAAAAAACTTTGCCCGTCTCTCACTCAACCGTGACCATGCATGCAGGAGAACATTTAAGGGACGAGACAGGAGCGCTATCTTTTTTGGACGTAGTCGAGTGTATCCAATCTAAATATTTTCTCCAAATTCGTTCCATGCAGTATGTGAAAACAAGGAGAAGAAGAAACTTGCACAATTTGTACAGCGAGCAACGTGGCGGACTGGACTTGGGAGTTGAGACGACGACAGGAAAAACGTGCGGAGAAGGAGAAGAAGGATGGAAATCCTGTCGAGAAAAGGTTCAAAGTGTAAGGAGGAGAAACCTCGGGTTACATGACAAAGGAGAAAGCGTGTTACGAAACGTGACTTCACCTAGATTACGACGTTTCTCTCTCTTGAAAAAAGCTTATGAGGGTTGGATTTTACTTAGAAAAACATTGGTTTGCTTGTACATATCTAAATTTTCATTTTCATTCTGTAGAATTTTCAGCCCGAGATTGAATTGACAGTTTAATTTAAAGTCCAGCTTGCTAAAAACACCGACATCAAAGACTGCACACGCATATCCACATATTTACCTACATACGTACGTAGAAACTCTCACCACTTCAAAGTGGAGAAGTACGTATCGCTCATTGGATATTATTTACTTACAAGGTCTTATTTATCGATAGTGCGGTCGGTGGTGAGGGATGCAAAATGCGGAGAAATATGTTTGAATTTACGACGCCAAAGAGAAATTCAATGCCTACGATAGCTTTCAATTAACTGGAATCCGATCCATTTACTTTACTTTACTTTACTTTGGTCCGTACGGACGGAGTTCAGCGAAATGAACTGAGGAGAAGATTGATCAGAGGAAGCTTTGATTTGATTGAGCGCAACTGGGTGGGTTATGTTATAATATTGCATCTTGGGATTGGTTACCAAACCATCAGCCTTCTAATAATAACATGGCTCCATTATTATTTTGTTAAACGAAGCAAAATTGCTGTGTGACTTTCTCCCTCCGTCCGCCCACGTCCACTTCATCTCTCATCCGTCCGTAATAGCAAATATCCGTCCTGGCTCCCTTTACCGTCGTCAACTTCAACAACAGGTGTGGCGTGGATCACGTCCTCTAATGAACTCCTCGACATCACAAAGAAATAAGAGTCAGCCAACTGCAACGTAGGTGTTTTGTTGGTCCAATCTTGTGGATTTGTGTGATTTCATCTTAAGACGAGGCATGAGGGAAAGTATTTATTCGCCATATTGGTTGTTTATTAGTTATTAAATACGTACATACCTGCTGATTCGGAAAGGAAGGCCATCGCTGCTCACAGGTTAATGAAAGTCATGAGTTCAACAACTTAACGGAGCGAAGGAGAAAGTTCTAAGCCGACTCGATCCAAGCAACTTTCCAATTTTGGTTTCCTTTCTTCCTTCGAGTATGTATTCATTGTATTGATCAGTTATTTATTTTGGGTTCTCAAATTGCAGGAAGGTTAGGCTTTCATTGAGTAAATCATTTCACGGTAAATGCCAGGCAATCATTTTATTTTCCTCTTTAATAACTTTTTTCCAGTTACGTGTGCGAGTAAGTTGTCACAAAATGAATGACTGTCATTTCGTGCAGCAATCTCACCCACTCAATTATAAATATGTGGACTATTGGAGTGAAGAGTTATGTCGTAACTTAACTGGTTGTTAGTTATTGAAGAACATGTTCATTACGTACGCGTCGTTACATAACCTTGCAAACCTTAATTGATATTTTTTTGTAACGGGTGAAACTTTTCATTTGCGGTTGGAGTAGATTTCTCTGGATCAATTAATGTACAGAACATCATGCAACGCAAGATCATGTATCGTACAGTTATGTACGTCTAATGCCATGCATGCATCAATCAAACCGTGAGAGTGAAAGCAGCGAAATAAAAACTTTCACCAGCTATGATACCCAAACCAGCGCAATATGAATGACGTAGATACGTACGAACGAGTGTAGTCCCACTAAATATTTTTTTTTATGATAGAAATCGCATTCGTTGACACGAAGAGATGCGGCTTCTTCTTGAGAATAAATAACATTCTTCTCGATCCAGTCCTATTTTCGGGTCGACTTTGATCACGATGGGTGGTGTTGAAGGCTGCTGCATAATCGGCGAGTCAAGGGCATAGTGCTATGCGACATATGTATGAGAACATCATGCGGCTTCCCTCACCCATTCAGAGAGATTACTTGTTGATGCAGTTACAGCTCTTGGGCCGCTAAAAATACCTGGTTTTCAATTTCATTTCAGACGCATAAAGGAAAGGTCTATGCAGGTTATTACCTTTACGCCCGCACATCCAGAAATGGGAAAATATTGAAAGAAACTTTCTATTTTTGGGTACTTTCGCATTGTAAAATGTCAACCCTTCCTGCGAGGACTGATCCTGAGATGGGCGAGGAGTTGGAAAATGTGTTGCGATTAATTAATTTATTGAAGCTGGAAAACTGGGAGATTTCTTAAATACGAAGTGAATCTAGGGAAAGAAATGGTTCAGAGATCGAATCTAATTTTAGGTAACGCAGTCAGGAACAGACTCGCTGACTCTGGAGCCAGGAAAATGAATTAACTATTGCTTTCACTTCCTGCTTTCTCAAAGATCTGCCCACACACACGATGGATGAATGTGCAAGCTATATTTAACTCTGCCAAAATGATTATGTTTATGATTTTGATTAGGTATTAAGATCGAGTTGGGCTTAATTCGATTTTATCCGTATTTATTTTATTTTTTGAGAGTAACCATAATAAAATTCTAAAATATATGATATTACTTTAAGGAAGAACTTTATAATCTAAGGCCTGTCATCCGCACGAGCTCGCATCCTCTCCACGAAGGCTTGCCCCTTGCTTTTTCGATAGCTTTCAAACGGATCATTCATAGAAATTCCAACCCCACGATATAAGTCTCTCTTCTCTCGCACCTCTCCACCGGAAATGGGAGCCTCGATTCCTATACAGAACAGGTAACACTGTATTTTTGGGCCAATTATAATTAGTTTGAAAATACAAAGTGCAAGGAAATACCTTGTTCATTTGCCCCCAAACCACCGGATCCACCCCAGCCCATTTTCTTGAATAATTAAAAATTAAATATCCAATTACATTTTTTTACTGGATTAATAAATTTTCAATTATCAGCTATATTAGAAATTAACCTTGAGAAGTTGGTGACCTCGGTTGGACTCATCTAATTTCGTTTCCATTCCGAGACCTCGCATGCTGTCAAAAATAATAAATGTGATACATGACACTGACTGATGAATGACATTTACAATCAGATAAAAAAACTAATAACTAACCCAAAACTGGGGGGCGTAGGAGACCTTCTCATTGGACCACTAGGAGGACTTCGACTCCTTGATCTGGATCGAGATCGTCTTCTACTTTTACGTCTATTTGATGATGGAGATTTAGATCTGGATCTTCGTCGTTTTGTGGGAGGTGGAGATTTACTATAGGAAGGAAGACATAAAAGTATGTAAATAATGCGGCATTCTAACAATATTATCCGTGCCCTTGCTTAATTTTATTGTTACACACCTCTGATATCGTCTTCTTGGAGGTGATCTTCCAGATGGGGACGAATCACGACGAATTGGACTCGGCGACTTGCTCTTTTGCCTCTTTCCGTCTCGAATATCGTCTTCTTTCTGCTTCCTGGCCATATTCTTGGTCTTGAAGTATTCATACAACCCTAATCGCTCCCAACCTTCGCTATCTCGAGGTCTTTCATGGGAAGGAGCAGCGTAAAATGCTTCTACTGCTTGGATAAGTTTTTCACTGGGCGGGCACGGAGGTGGAAGACGGATATCTTTGGGGTCGATAGGTTTATAGTTGTCGTCTTCAAGCTGAAAAAATTCATAATACATTGTCAGTTTTCACCGTTTTGGCACTACAATTTGTAAATGATAGATTTACCTTTACGAGGGGCACCATCAGTCCTGCAGGTAGTTCATAATACGGGAGTTTAGGCATCAATTCCTTGTCGGACATGGGAGGTGGAAATCCGGGTGGGGGTCGACTGATGTCCAATGGTATTGGTGCGTGCCCTCCATCGGGTCCAGTAGAATCACCAGCAGTTCCCAGCTCTTGGGATGGATGACTTCCTAGAAGGCCAGCACCGGGTCCAAAACTATTTTGAATATCGTTGTTTCGTACCCCTTGTTGCTGAACACTGATTGACTGTTGTCCGATACCAGTCGGAATAACAACGCCGGGAGGAGGCATATTCATTGCGGGTGGGAGTCGAGTATTAGCAGGGGGTGTGCTTAGGAGAGGGGGCTGTTGCTGGTTGAGGAGGCTCACTTGTTGCTGCTGTTGAATTGCAAGTTGTTGCAGTTTTTGCTCTATGCCCTGTAATTCAAAAACACAATTGTCACCATTAACTTGTTTGTTTTATACAGTAGACTATTAATTGCACACGTACCTTAATATTTTGAAGATTATGCTGACAAAATATTTGATGCTGGGCTTGATATCCTTCATATTTTTTCTGAATATTTTGAGCTATTTGGGTCACAACGACATTGTGTCTTTTAAGAAGTTCACCGTGATATTCTAACCACGTGTTGGCAGGGTCTTTCAATTTCTCGACAGCTATTGGGCTCACGTATTGACATTTGGATTCCCAGAGTGCTAGCAGCTTGTCTAACTTTGCTAAATTTTCTTCCTTTCCCATCTCTTTAACTTTCGCATGGGAAAACATCGGAATGACCATGGCTTCCAAAACTTGGCGTAAATCCTCCGCCCCTTTCCGCATACTGCGTATTAAATTATTAAATAATATTTTACAACGAGACCAGGACCAATTTTCATGTAATTTTGAAAACGCTGCATCAATACAATATAGCTAGCTTACCAGTGATGAAGAACGTCGTTGACGAGATAGATTATGTGGAGTCTTTGGTTAAAGCCAGCATTCGGGTCAGTAGTACTGGAGAAATAGTTCGAAATAACATTTAATTTGTATAACTTCCTAATTGCATGTAATTAATCAGGACAAGTTCTCACAACTTCAGCAGATACATGGATAGGAGCTGGTAATGTCGTGGGGTCGAGGTATGTGTGAAGATCCACGCCTTTCCACCAGAGATCGAGTCCTTTGAATAATTAGCACAGATTTATAACTTCATAGTTAGTGCTTATTTCATACTTGAATTTTAATTTCCTTGATATTTTAAAGATTATGCTGAATATAATAAATAAGAGAGCAAAATACCTTTGTACATGTCTCGACGATGGGTTGCAAGGCAGCCTCCAGTTCGACGAGGTCAACATTTAGGTCCGCGGCGAGCTGCTTAATTTCGGCTTCTTGCAGTATCTTGATACCATCGTCGATCTGTTGTTGCTGGTGCGCCATCAAAACTTGATTTTGTGCTGCCAAGTTCTGCTCACTTTGTTTAATCTGTTCTTCGAGGGATACTTTCTGCTTGGAAAGCTTGTCTATTTCTTCATTGACATTTGCAAGGGTTTGGGCCGGCGTGGTAGGCGGTGGGGCGGTAACAGAAGACGAAAGAGGAGGAAGAACAGCAATTTGTTGTGGAGGAGGCAGGTTTTGTTGTGATTGAAAATTTGGATTGAATCCTTGCGGTTGAACTAATCCGGCATTGTCAAATCCTCCGGTGGGGCCAATGTCGAAACGATTCCGGCCAGGAATTCTGTTGTTTTCGAAATTCCTAGGTGGTGGTGGACCTGAATTATTTTGAGAGGGAGGTGGTCCATCGAAGCCTGAATTTCTGGGCCCTCCATCAAATCCTCCTCCCCCTTGATTATTTCGCCCCGGTCTCGCATCAAAATCTCTGGGAGGAGGGTGCTGTTGATTTCTCGACGGTCCACCACCAGAGTCAAATCCCACACCTTGATTTCTTGAAGATGAATTTCGATCGAATGCAAGGCCTTGTTGTGCGCCAGGTGGGTAGTCGAAATCACTAAAGTTTCCTCCTGGAGGACCTTGACCTTGTTTATTATTATCAAACGGTCCACCAAACCGGGGTTGTTGCTGTTGTTGTTGAGGATGAAATGGCATTCTCAATGGTGGCCGCTCAAAATTCTGAAATTGGTTTCCTGGAGGTGGGCCCCTATCGAAACGAGACATGTTATGTCTTGGTGCGGGACCGTCATGCGAGTCGAATGGAAACCGTTGTTGTGGTTGGAATAATTGTCCCCCTCCACCTCCGGCACTATCGCCCATGAAGTTGTTGGGCCCACCAAATCCTCCTCCTCCTTGAGCAGCTTGTTGTTGTTGTTGTTGTTGCTGCTGTATTTGAGCCCGACATTTCAAAATAGATTGTTCCGTCGTTACTCGGTACATGTAGTAATTGTAAAATTCTCCCCCGTAAAGAAATGAAAAACGTGGATTTCCTTGCTGCTTTTGTTTCGTCATTGCTTCAAATTCGCGTCCATTCCTAGCCACGAACACGGCCAATTTGTCAATAATGTTGCGGAGCTCCTCATCTTAAATAACATAAACCAATAATTATTATACACTGATCTTTCAAAATCAAACACTAGTTGTCTTTTCATAAATTACAAAATCACACTTTACATTTTCCAAATTTTCTAATATATCTTGAAAATTACTGTCCTGTCTAAAATGAATCTCACCTTGAGGACCCTGTGGCATATCCATCTCTATCCCTCTCTTTAATAAAGTTAAAGTGCTATACTCACAAAATAATTAACCATTTCATTGTAATTTATTTGTTAATTTGATTATGATCAAAATTATTTCTTTTCTTGTCAACAAACCGGCCTGTCCATAAAACTTGGAGCTGTTTGCCCCAAAATAAATCCCGCGGAAAACGAACTTCCCAATGATGATGGGTGTCAATTTAGTTGTCTGTTTTTTTTTCTAGAATTGGGTTACTAAATAATTAGTCATCATATCGCAATTATTTTTAAATTTTCGTCACTAAATAAATTGTGAGTCAGAATTGTGGCATTGTCATCAGCATAATCCACGTGGGATAAGAAGTGAAGAAATCTCTCTCCTATAAAAGTGGTAAGCATTCTCTTTTTCTGTGCACTCGTGCTCTGTACTTTCCCCGTTTTCGGAGAAATACGCTACTCCTACCCGGGTTATTTAGGTAGGTTGGAAGAAAGGTGGTGGTGGTGGTGGTGGCTCAAGTGAGCGAAAAAAGACGGGAATCTATGTTCAGCAAGTTGTTGGATGGATAGAGGAGAAAGCTGTTTGGGTTGTGCTGGTTGGATGGAATGGAGAAAGTAGGATCATGCAGAGACTTTCTCTGAGCTAGAAGTTGAGTAATTGTCCTTTATTATTGTTTATTACTTTGAACGATATTGCATATTGGATATTTAGACAATAATTTAATTTACTATTTAAATTAAATAGCTTTGTGAAAGTTGGGGAATTTCATTAAATTTGGGATTAATTAAATTTTCCTGTTATAGCAGTACTTGGTAAGTATTAACCATATTTAGCACACAATTGCCAATAATATTGTATCATAACTCATGCTGTCATACGTGACCTAAACGAGTTATCTAGCATCCTTATATTATCCAGTTAATCCAGCCAAACGCTATACTTTCTCTCGCTCGCTCTTCACAATTTCGCATTCCATCCAACCACGGGTTCTCCTTCTTTCTTTAGCAGAGAAGCAGCAAGCAGCCCCCTGAATTCATTCGGGGAAGTTGTGTATAGATCGCCCAACTTTCTACAGAATAGTGCAGTCTTTATACATGCTACATGAATTTCTCGGGTTTTGCAGATCTAACACTGCGCCATTGCCATTAGTTGGAACTCTACTCGCCTTCCTATCTACTACGACCAGTCAGTTGGAGTTGTGGACTGGAACCACTACTACTTCTGTGTTTGGAGAAAGTGGGGACTTGAGCAGCAACGGTAGTCGTTTGCGAACCTCGTGTTTCATTCGGAATCGGGTAACCACCGTCGTCGGATACGTGAATCGGGAGTCTCTACATTTCCCTACTTCTAGAAGAGAGGAGACCTTTTGCAGGCCGATATCTGGCTGGGTGGTCTGAACGGACGGAACGACTAGTACATAGGACTGGCCCTTGACTTTCCCCTCTGACTGAGGGACACAGCTACTGCATTCTATCGCATCATCATCATCGCAAACACTATCGCAATATATCCAGCAACACTTTATTACAAGAAAAAAGAAGGACCTCGACCCACGACTCGACTCAGTCTGCCAGTCGCCGTGCTCCTGGAGCGAACCTTACAAGAAAATATCTCCCACCCGACCGACATTTACCCATAACCTTGAAAATAATATCCATTCAGTCGAGAAGCGGTGGTGGCAGAGAGAAAAAGAGGAAGGAGGAGGATCGGATAATCTGTGGCGTGGCTGGCACCTTGAAGTGAAAGGCGACTCATTATAATTCATCAGAATGGCTGGACGGGTAAGTGTGAGTATATTTTGCTCTTTTTTGTAGGGTGTTGGTAGTTAGATTACTGCACACACCGATTTTCTCTCCGGCATGACACAATTAGATGATGTTACCCGACTATATTCATCACAATTAGACCAGAGATGTATTTGCATATGGAAATTATACTGCTCATGCTCATGATTAAAGTAAGAAATCCACCCAAAAACGTTTAGACTTTCTCTTCTTAAAAAAGTTTTAAAATATAGCCCAACGTAGAAAGTGTGACGTCAAATAAATGAGTTAACACTTTTCATCTCTTCTTCCTTTCTCAGTCTCATCACTCTCAGTCCTAATTTGTGTTAAGAGAATCTCAGAAGAGTTGTTGTTTGACTTTGGAATTGAGGCTTTTTCCGTCTTCCCAACTTTCTATTTTCTTTCTTTCTCTTTCTCTCTCTCCCATTCCACTTGATGGTCGAGTAGTAGTTCGTAAATCAAAAATTTATTTGCAATGGTTGAGTGATAAGAGAGTTTCCTTGTCTCCTGATTGACTCACACCAAAAGTGTTCAGCACACTAGGGCAGTCTTGTTGGAAATTGCGAATTTAAACTCGTCAGGATCCACGAACTCACAATTTCCTAAATAGTTTCTAATTTCTTCACACTACTTTAAATAATATTAGGTTGTGGATTGGGTGGCGTAATGTCACGTCATAATAGTTTGCTTGCAAAATTAATGCAATTTACAAAGTATGGGTGTAAGTTTTGGTTTTCTGAAACAAAGTTTATGACATGTCTGTCGCACGACGCAACACAAATTCTGGTTTTGTAGCAGCAAACTGATGGGAAGAAAGTGTTGGTAACTATTAATTGTGAGTGAAAGGAGGAGGTTGTTTCGGCAGTATATTTGGTTTATTAGGTTGAAGGTGACCGCATCTGCTTCCCTACTGCCCGTTGGCATTAATGAAGAGAATCATAATGAACATGATGGCTTATTCGCTTCGGCAAACTGGCTGTGTTCGTGTAAGAGCATTGCATTTCCATAAATGTCGATCGCTGTGCTAGCCGGGCTATCATTTCCTCCAATAAACCTTCACCCTAATCCAATCCGGTTCGCCAATCTCGGAATTACAGAGATTGCACAAATCCCTCCTCGTCGCTGGATTATTATTAACCTGCGCTTACCAGGGCTCCCGTGAATGTTCCTGGCTTTAGAATAAAGTCCTTCTCGCAACGATGATAAAGTGGAGCCATGTTTTTGCAAGGAGCTTATAATCATTTGCATACATCTGTCAGATAAGATCTTTGCGTTGACCCATTTGTCACGATTTGTCCTCGTAACTACATTATCTCATTTCTCCCTGGAGTGTGGGGACTAACACGACGTTGGCATTATTATTCCCTCCTTTGAGAAGGAAGGTGAGGCAGGAGTGACGTAAGAGAAGGAAGGAAAGAAAGTAGATGATTTAGAGCAGGCAGGAGAAAGTTGGCCGGCTTCGGTGTAGCAACACGCTGGTTTGCAGAATGTGGCACAGCAACAAGGGCTAGGTGGTGGGAATTGAACTCAAGTCCTCCTTTCCGTGCATGGCAGGTGGGTAGTTAAAGGTGCTGGTGCCTGCAGTACCACCAGCATAATCGTCACTTATGCGTCCCAAATGGTTTGGATGCTTTATATCCAGTTCATGAGGAAGAGAGGAGGAGGACATAATATTGAATTACAACCAAACACATTACATTTGCACTGACATTACTCACATCCGAAGCATTACGAATACACTCGCAAACATTTCACCCATTTTACGACTTTGGCCAAATAGTTATTCGCAGCCCAGGTATAGAAAATTCCTTCTTTTTAGGGGACGAGGTTTGCAGGTGGTCGTCGTGTGTTTGGTGTGCAATATTAAGGAATGAACATTTTTTGAACTTTCCCTGCCTTTCTTTGTCGGTTCGTTAGAAGAAAGTGCGAACGAGATAGTGGTCGTCGTCTTAATGTTTGAGTTGAAGGTGGAACGCGGCTTGTGTCTTTTTTGCCTATCTTTTCAGCCCACTTATTACTTCCACCGAGTAGTTTTTAGCCAACGTTGTAGGTATTTTATTCGCTCTCGCTTTTACCATTCATTAAAAATATATGTAGTTGGAGCGGAAAGGACATTTAGTTTGGTGAGGTATGGCGAAAATGGTCGCTCCGCCTGATTTTTAATATTGGACATTTATCTGAACGATTTTTTGCTCCACTTTCGCCCAGCACGGACGAATAACGGGCTGATCGATAACCGTGCCATTACATATTACTTATTGTGTACAAGTTTGACTCGCAAGCAAGCAGGCTATAATTAAAGTTGGTACTCTTAGGAGGGGAGCTTGCGAGGTTGATAATAACAGATCTCGATGCCTTTTGGATATGTGGTAGGGACCCATGAGTGTACTAAAACCCTGAAGTGGTTTAACTCCATGGCCACATTTGCGCCCGCCACACCCACTCAAAAATACCCAAAAAACGCTTTCACTCCAGTTTTCACTCACTCAAATCCACGCCAAAAATCCAATTTTACTCGGATTTTGAAATTTCTTTCACCAATATACTCCCCGATAGTTGCTTTCTTCAATCCAATATCAAACTCAATTTTGCTGATTATTATTTCGCAGGCATAATTTGCCTTGTTGATTGCTACAACAATGCTCATTCAGAAATTTAAATTTTAAAAATACTAAAAATTTCGAAAAAATTGAGTTTGATATTGGATTGAAGAAAGAAACTATCTGGGAGTATAATGGTGAAAGAAATTTCAAAATCCGAGTAAAATTGGATTTTTGGCGTGGATTTGAGTGAGTGAAAACTGGGGTGAAAGCGTTTTTTGGACATTTTTGAGTGGGTGTGGCGGGCGTAAATGTGGCCATGGAGTCAAACCAATTCAGGGTTTTAGTACACTCATGGGTCCCTACCACATATCCAAAGGGCATCAAGATCTGTTATTATCAACCTCGCAAGCTCCCCTCCTTAGCGTTTAATTTATGTTCAGTGTCATGGGTGTGGTTACACAGTTTAGTCTTTTATACTCAGTTCGATGCCCTGGTTAGTTTTTCTTTCACACAGTATCAAATCAATCAGTAAATGACAGTCAAGCCGTTTCCGTTATGTTTGTAATTTCCTCCTATTTTCCATTCTTGTGCATCTGGGGCTTCGTTCTTCATTGTGTAAGAGAAGTAATTTCAGCTCTTTCCGTAACATCCGTTCTGTTGCGAAACTCGTTAAAAAGAAGTTGAGACTTTCTCTTCAAGTACGAGAGAGAAAGAGATGAGATAAAGGCGTGGAGAAAAAAATGCCGTATTTTCCTTTTCGCATTCGTCCATGTAATACCTCCTCCTTCTCGTGCAGTTTGTTTATGTGGTGATCATAAAGGCAAGAAGAAATCTTTTTTAACTGGCATCATAATAACCTCTGTTCAGACTTGGTGAACTAAAATTCTGTAAAATTGGGATAAGACTGGGAGAATAATAACAACAGGAAATTGACTACTACTAGGCCATTGTTGTTATGCTGCCATTGCGTGTTCTGGCGATGACATATTTTGCTTTATAGCTCGAGGGAGCTGCTCCGAGTAGTAAAAAATAGCAAACGAACTATACATCGTTCTACCAGTTATAGAACGAGCACGAATGACATTTACCCAACAACGGTTTTGAGCATATTCTAGTTTTACATTTGTAATATGAGACGAGGAATCCGAGTTTTAAAGTTTGTTTTATGTGCCCTGTGGAGATATTTGGTCCCGACTCAAAAGTGAAAGTACTTAATGCATACATACATACCTTCACAAATATACATACCGACAGACACGACAGGGAACAAAAGATGGTGAAACTACCGGAAAATACCGGGGAATTTGATGTAAAATGACAAAGCTGATGGCTGCTGGGATAAAATAAAATGAGCAAGTGGACTTACCATCGATCCAACACGTCTTCCTTTTTCCTACTTATCTTTCCTCCTCCTCCTCGTCCTCATATCTTGATAGACCTACATCTTTCCAGCAGAAGAGATGTGTGTGTGTAGAAGAGGAGTTAAGTTGCAAGTTTTGTTCCTTCTCAAAACTTGGAGAAAATTATCATGTATGTATGCCATCCATGCCATCAACCATCCATTTTGGTTTGCTCCTCTTAAAAAGCCTTTCACTCTGGAGAAAGGAAGGATTGTGGTTGGTGGTGGTGGAAGAGGATTGGATTTTTGGCTTGCTTTTCGTTAGGTATTACAGCAGCAAACTTTCTACTACCCGGCCACAACTGGTATTATTGGCACGGGTACAACAAACAGGGCTCTGATTTGCGTCGACATTGCGAGTTCTGTGATTTCCCTGCTTCCTTCTTCCCGAGAGTGGCCATTATTACGGGGAAGAGTCGGCTGCCAACTCAACTAAACGTACAGCACAGCATTTTCCTTTTTGCTTTCACCACGTCCACCACCACTACCAGCGCGTCCGAAATGCAATGTTTCTCTGTTAATATTACATCATTTGCATCCTTCCTTCACTACTTTGCTCGGCAGAGTGGAGAACGAGAGGGAAAGGCCATGGGACAACTTGAATGACTATTAGTAGCTCGGACAAAAAGTGAGTTTGTTTGTTTTGCTGGAATTATTATTGTGGTGGCACACATTCGGTTGGGTTGTATTGTTTGTGGTGTATGTACAGCTCTTTCGTGGAGGGTCGGTTGAAGCAGTTTGCGTAGTATTTTCCTTCTCAGGAAGGAGTGGCACATGGGTTAATTATGAAATTGAAATGAAATGTGGCCCGAGAGAAAGTACACTTGAGGGAATTTTTATATCATTTCTTTCTCCTTTCATTAGTGACGTGCTGTTATTCTGGGAGTGTTTGTTCTTTGAAATTCAAGTGGTGCTTCTCGTATGAAATGTGATGGTAGTTTTTAGCTGAATAGAATAAAATTACCATATAGTAGATAGTTTTTGGTGGTTTAAGTAACGAGAGGACCCTCCTCCTTCTGCCTCCTAATAATTTGAGAGGCTTGGCTAGGGGAATAAAGCTGGCATGATTAACCTTATTTCATTTCCTGTAGAAAATAATAATCCTCTCACTAACTAAAAACCCTGATCCGGCTTAGCTGGTGGCTCAACTCTCATCATATGTGCATGAAACTGGTTATATCTAGCTTATTTATTATCGTCTACGTACGTACGCGTACATGTTGAGCTATTCCTTTTCAACAGGCTTTTGCTCATCCCTGTGTCTCGTAGTAGAAACTTGTCATCCACTCCGGACAGGCAACGACCACTTGAGTAATGCTTCCCGACGAGATGTCAATCACATACAAAATCAATTTGCTTTCCCTCCCTGCTCGTCCCGTAGGCACGTATTGAATTGACGTCATGTAATGAAATCTGAAATTTTGACAAGCCATTTCAGTTCGACTTAACCTTATTCGATTTTTTATATAAAGTTACGCAAATCTAGTTCGAAGTTGGATGGAAAATGGGCGTGGACTCGAATGTGAAATATGTAATGTCCAAATGTATGATAGTGGAAGAAGAGGGTTTGGTTCTTTGGGCGTTGGAATATTAGTCAAAATTACACAAGTGCGTGTAATTGCACAAATTGAACCAATTTAGTTGAAGAATGTGTGAGCCGCTCTCTCTCTCTCTCTCCGCTAATGAAACTCATAAAGAGAAAATTACCCCAGAGTCTTGGATCAAGTTACACAAAGTGAGGGATTAATAACCCTTCTGCAAGTACAGAAGGAGGATGTTTACCCACTTCTTATTAAACGATATTGAGCATGAGATTGGATTATGGAAAGCAGCCATGATATCACATCCATCCAACCGAAGGATGCCTTTGGCGTGTATAAAATATGATATTGTACAATATTGCCAAAGTCCAATCCCACCGAGGACGAGGAGGAGGAGGGCGTGGTGGCTGCTTCGAGAGACTCGTACGTACTTGGCTTCACTTTCTTTCACTAACAAGAGCTCAAGATCAAAGAGTCTTCTTTTTCCTAAGCTTTTACAATCTTGCGAGATGAAGATGAATGAATTTTGTCTGTGCACTGTCCTGAACGAGCGAACTGCTACAACTTCGAAATCCACCACCACCACTTGCTCTATTTCTAAGCTGCCTGCCACGCTACGTTATTGGGTGTGTGCCTCTGGGTCATCCTCTTATCAAAACTCTCCACCACTCAAGTAGACGAATTCTTCTACCTCCAACTTTTCTTGTCCGGCAATCTTCTCTTCCAGGCAAAAGTTGGGGTTTGTTTGTACTGTTTGTATTTTTTTCTTTGCTACTTTTTTTGCCATCTGTCTACCATTTGGTGTTGGACGTGTTTGTTGATGTTGATACATTAAACTTAAGACACGGGATCAAAACCAGGCATCAAGCAGGCGTAGCCACTCAAGATGAATTTTTCTGTAGCTCTACTTGGTCCGAGTAAACCAGGAGAAAAGAGAAAGTAAGACGTTGCTAAATGAAACTTGGGAGACGATAGCAGTCAACTCAAGTTGGCTTATCGGGCCAGGTGTACTTTGCTCAACTCTTTTCCAACGCCTTGTTGTTTCATTCCATTACGTGGATACGTCCGCTAGCCCGACCGACGACCAGGTGAAAGCTTAGTCGAGGCACATAAATCATTCACCCAAGAGCGAGAGAGAAACGGCTCTATAGCTGCGAAAACAAATGGAATTATAGCAACAAACAATGCTCTTTTTTAGTTCTGAGCCGCCTCGTTTTATTGTACGGAACGGAAATACTGTACAATTTTAATATTTTCAAATACACGAACGAGGCGGAATATCACCTCACCAATTCTTCGTTATTTATTATTCTGCCCGAGTTTGTAGCTTTGATTCATGTGTGCCATACCTGCATAACTGCTCGACACGGACGTAGACAAACGCCTCAAGAATAGATGACATTAAAGGAAACGAGCTTATCCGAAAAAAACTTTCTTCTGTTGGTGGTTTGTGCGTGGTCGATTTTGACTTGATTAGGAGGAAAGAGTCGACTTCTGCTCCACAATTGTATATGTAGGACCACACTGTTTAAAATCTATATAGAGTCGTAAATAGTTGGAGAAGAAATATGGTCGAGTCATTCTCTCATTCTGTTATTACTTTGGGAGAAAAGTTGTTATGGGGAGGAGGAGAAGAGAAAGGTTGACATTTGATAGTGAGACTCTATTATCTCGCCTTCTTGCCGGATTCTTCCACCAAGAAGGAGAGATCGGCCACTTACTTACTCCACGTTCCTTCTCCATTTCTTCCCTTGTGAGAAAGTGGGCAATTAATATTCGAAACACAGCCGCATATTCTCGCTTTGTGCATGTCGCCTATGCCAGCCCGACGTCTTTGTGGATATTGTTAGGAGGGGACTCTAATTTTGTACGAATAAACACTCTTTGTTGGCACTGCTTTCATTGTGGGAATTGGACATTTAGATTTCCGTTTGAAATTCTGTTAACCCATGTTACTCTCCTCTACACGGCATTCACTTCGTCACATCGGGGGAGCGAGTGTGGAAGGAGAAAGTTGAAATGTGAGTGAGGTTGACGTGTGTGCGTTGGTGTCAGATTCGGCAACATTTCATGAAAGATTTGAAGTGATATTATTCATGACGAGGAATTGATGCAGAGCGACTGTTTATTTGCATATTCGAATATTTGAGGAGGCGTTTTCTCTCTCTTGTTGACCAAGCTGACAAAAGCAAAGCAAATACGCCTCGTTAGTTCATGGTTGGTCGACGAATCAGCGTAGTTGTTGTTGCATACCAAGTAAATAATGGATCATCGCTTGTGGTAGGATCGGTGGGTCAGATGGATTCTGTGATGGGAGAAAGTTTCTAGTTTCCTGGGGTAATTCTGTACTGAGGCCGAGTGTGAATATGTATACTTGCTCCTGTTTTCTGCATGGTTGAGCTCGTACAAATACAACAAACTGCATTTGCGAATCGGCGGACGTGATGGTGGTGCAGCATACTAATAAATAAGCCTAGTTTTCCGTCCCAGTCGTTTCTCTCTTTCTCTCTATGCACACAAAATCGGATTTAGCGTTTAGCTTTACATACAACAAAGATCTTGTTTAGACTTTTGGCCCGAAAAGAAAAATTGCCTGCTCGTACGTTCGAATTTTTCGAATGGAGAGAGAAGGATGACGACTTTATGAAATTTAACTTTCACCAAACTCTGTTCTGCATGTTAACCTCTCTCGAGAATTGAGTCTTTGTTGTTTGCTTGTACAACATCGACCCGCGTGGCTGACATTTATGCCCTTTGACCTCGTTATTCACTCTCAAAGTTCAGTTTCGTACAAAACTTTTGTACTAAATTTTGTCTTGTTTTGCAGCGGTTGCAAGTGGTGCGATGTCCGTCCGACGCTCTTTCTCTGACCAATTGTGCCATCGTGAGTCCGCAGGATTTCCCTGGAGGGTGAGTTGACTATTCTACTTTCTATTTTCTCGTATTCATTCTGGTCATGGTTCTTTGTTTTTGCGTAATAAATATGCCACAGGCCAGCACGACCACTGCCATCAGTGAGTAAATAGAAAGTTTTTTTTGTCTTGAAGAAAGTATATAGTCGACCCTTGTAGATAAATAAAGTAATCAATACAGAGACGCAGCAGTGGTGGCAGGTCAACGGGAGAAAGTGGTGTCTTGTTTCTTGAGGTTTTCTGAACCGTAACCGTCACGAAGCAATCTACTTTCTAAACTAGCCAGGACAGAAGCAGATGGTGCATTATTATTCTCATTTCATTTGATGAGTTTCTTTTTCCTTGTTCGTTTGGACAGGGACAACTAGATATTTAGCCAGGCATAGATATCCTCAAGGCAAAGTTAATATGTACTGGTCCTGTTTTTATAGTCCTACTACTTACATTTTCTAGTGGTAGGAAATATCCTGAATGGAAATGGAAATATCTAGTGGTAGTGGTACTAATCTTGCTTCCTGTCATGTCGCCATGTTATGTTTGGGATGAAAAAAGTTATTATCTTGCGAACGATATATTGCTTTTTTCAATATGTTTATATTTGTCTTGTAGGGATCCTCGGAATCGACAGCACGTAAGAGTGTGCCCTGCAGGAGTGTCGGATCGAACTCTGCTTATTTTCACGATACGTCAAAGCCCAGGTAAAGTAAGACAAGGAAGTAAAATAAGTTGACATTTCTAATTTAAAATAAGGACTCTGAAAATTGCATCGTTGGCTGGAGTTTTGTCGAGAGTTATCTATTTCTGCATGTGTTTTTGTATTCCTTCTGATAATAAATAAATATATCAATGTATTTTATATGTGTGATCGATAATAATTCAATTCTTTGTTTGTTGAACTTCCTGTAGAAGTAAAGCCTGGCACAATTGGATTGAGTCTCACTCAGAGAAAGTTTGCCACCGCCTCGATTGGGCAGGATATGGATGTGTTCCCGTATGAATTCGATCGACAGACGGCATGCTGTGCCTCTGTCTCGCTGGATGTTGACTTTCTCCAGAAAAAACAGTGAGATAGAGATATGAAATTATGTGCTCGACCTTTTTTCTTCATCCTTCCCTTTTCGATACACAGGTCGACGGCTGAACCCTACGACACAGATGCGATGGCTGAAGAGTTTAAATCTCAATTTGCTGGACAAGCGTTTCATGTCGGGATGCCGCTCGCGTTCAGCTTTATGGACAAAAAGTTGCTTTCACTCGCTGTGAAAGAAATGGAAGGTTTGTTAAGATCGGATTTTTTGGTTGTTGTTTTATAGAATTATTTAAGAATAATTTTTGCAATGATTAATCGTGTAGTGGCTGACACAACACCTCTGAAGTCTGGAGGAGATGTCAAGGTGGCCAAAGGAGATATCGGCCTCCTCTTGCCCAACACAAAAGTAACCTTTGACAAAGGCGAAGGTTCCACTGTGAACTTAACGGGAAAGTCGAAAGGGAAAGTGACACGACAATCTATCATCAATCCCACTTGGGACTTTCAACGGATGGGAATCGGTGGTTTGGACAAAGAATTCAATGCAATCTTTCGCCGAGCCTTTGCATCCCGAGTCTTCCCACCCGAAGTGGTTGAGCAGTTGGGATGTAAGCATGTCAAAGGGATTTTGTTATATGGGTGAGTAAGATGAAGGCGGATTTTTTGGTGTATGTCGTGATATCAGAAAAGTCGTCTCAAACGTTAGAACTTGTTTTACAGTCCCCCTGGGACGGGCAAGACATTGATGGCCAGACAGATCGGCAAAATGCTCAACGCCAAAGATCCCAAAATTGTGAATGGGTAAGTAATTTGGTTACCCTGCTACACGAAGTGAAGATATATGACAATGTGTCATTTTTCAATTTTCAGGCCTGAAATTCTGGACAAGTATGTGGGTCAGTCTGAGGCCAACATCCGTCTCCTCTTTGCTGATGCGGAGGAGGAGGAGAGGAGATTAGGACCCAACTCGGGGCTTCATATTATCATCTTCGACGAAATTGACGCCATTTGCAAGTCCCGAGGCAGCAGTGGAGGTAGCACCGGAGTCAATGATACCGTGGTTAATCAGCTCCTCTCAAAAATTGATGGGGTTGAACAACTCAATAATATTCTCGTGATTGGGATGACCAACAGAAGAGATATGATGGACGAGGCGTTGCTTCGACCCGGACGACTTGAGGCAAGGAACTATCATGCTATTAGATGTATGGTAGGCAGCAGTATCAACGTGTACACTAATGAATGATATCCATTTGTATAGGTTCAAATGGAAATTGGACTGCCAAATGAGACGGGCAGGAAAGAGATTTTAAAAATTCACACCGCTTTAATGAGGCAACATGGAAAGCTTGCTGACGACGTTTCCCTTGACGTATGCAAATCATAAATATATCTCATCTATAATTTTCTACTTTGATATATGTATGTACCACAATTTTATTGGATTTTCTGAACGTTTTCAGGAATTGGCCGCACTTACCAAGAATTTCAGTGGAGCTGAAATTGAAGGTCTTGTTCGTGCAGGTATGAAATTAAGAAAAATAAGAATTAATTTAATTAAGCAATCCTAATAGCCTGATAATTTATATATTTCTATACGTGCAGCACAATCCACTGCCATGAACAGGTTAATTAAGGTACGGCTATTTTTGAGTAATGAAAGGCAAAGTTTATAATAGGATGATACTAATTTTTTTGTTTCTTTTTCCCGACTTATCAAGGCCGCTTCGAAAGTAGAGGTTGATCCTCAGGCAATGGAAAAATTGAGAATTTCAAGATCCGATTTCCTTAATGCGTTGGAGAACGATGTTAAACCTGCGTTTGGAACGAGTCAAGAAACACTTCAAGTTATGCTCAGCCGAGGAATTATCAATTGGGGAGCTCCAGTTTCCCACGTTCTGGAGGATGGAATGCTGTTGATTCAGCAGGTTAGTAGAACTGATTATTACTTGTTACTATTCACATGAACACCGAATCTCTAATCTAACAATTTGTGTAGGCGAGAAGCACAGAAAGTTCCGGTTTAGTCAGTGTACTCCTCGAAGGTCCACACAATGCCGGAAAGACAGCTTTAGCTGCCCAGTTAGCAAAGAATTCCGACTTCCCCTTCATCAAGATTTGCAGTCCTGAAGATATGGTCGGATTTTCAGGTAATATTACTTTCCCTCAAATAAAATATAATAGAGAAATATAAGATTTAAATATGAATACATTTTAAACTTAATTTCCTAATCCTTTTCAGAAAGTGCAAAGTGTATGCAAATCCGAAAGGTGCGTGAACAACTTATGAATAAAGGCAGTGAGATCATTGCACGGTATACTGATAAAACTATTAATTACCTGCTGTATTGCAGGTGTTTGACGATGCATACAAGTCATCAGTTAGTTGTATCCTTGTCGACAACATTGAGCGTCTGTTGGATTACGGTTCCATTGGTCCACGTTATTCTAACTTGACGTTACAAGCACTTCTCGTATTGCTGAAGAAGCAACCCCCAAAAGGAAGAAAGCTCTTGGTTATCTGCACCTCTTCAAGAAAGTACGTTGATCCTAATTAATTTAACACTAATTATCATATTGTATTATATGTAAAACTGTAAGTACAAATTTTGCAATGTTCAGGAGCGTCCTACAAGAGATGGAAATGTTGTCCGCGTTCACTGCCGTACTTCACGTGCCCAATCTGAGCGAGCCGAAACACATGATCACCGTTTTAGAAGAGTCAGACGCATTCACCAAACAGGAAGTTCAATCCATTGCTCGGTCCATTGAAGGCAGAAGGTTAAAAGAAATTACTATTAAAATGTACATTTAAAAGTGAAATGTTTGTAATTTGTGATTTATTTACCTTGCAGAATTTTCATTGGAATCGCAAAACTGTTGGGAGTGATTGACTTGGTTCGACAAACCGAAGGAGATTACAGAGTTTCCAAGTTCTTATCGAAGTTGGAGGAGGAAGATGCCATCGAGCTCCGCGGTTAGGAATATTGTGTAAGTCATAAATACGTACTTTTCTCTCCGTGGGAGATTAAATGATACCAAAATTTATATTTATTTATTATATAACCTTTTGCAGTTGCCCCCAACCCCCTCGCCTAGCTTATTTCTAGTAAGACAACCATTCTTGGATTACTTGTCTTACTGGAAACATCTTGGTGAATCGGTTGAAACTTGCCTACACGATTGCTGGCCGCTGGTTGCGGTAAGTTGTGCGTTGGAATTTTGTTAAAGTTTTCTATTTACTTCATTAGTATACTAAATTCGTGTAATTGTGCATTGCATTGCAGTTGATAGTTGGCGGTGGGGTTGGAGGGCTGTTTGGAGTTGCTGTTGGAATTGCCGTTGGACTAACTTTAGGTAATAATTGCATATTTACTGAAATCATAGCAGAGGTTTTAATTTAAACTTTGTATTTTTACAGGAATAATCGTAGGGACAATTGTAGGTGTAACTTTCGGAATAATTATAGGTTTCATAGTTGGAGAAAACGGCAAATCGAACGGTCATCCAAAAAAGTCAAAAATGGAGAAAGAAGATGAGGAATGGCTTGCTTGGATAATGGCAGCGCAGTCAGCTCAATCTCAACCTTAAATTTATGTATGTAACTCTGTATTAGTATCTCAGGCTGCGTCTTAGTTGAATGTGGTTTGACGTATGTAATGTATGTCTTGTTGTGTGAAACTTTTCGATTTATCTGTGTACGTATCATATTACTTATTCTATTACAACGACATGTGTTCTAAGGATGCCGACAGATGATAAGATCGACTACATATTACTGTCAACGGGTTGACACATTGTGATATATTACCTCAAGATTATCTCATGCATCTTCATTTCGACATTTATTAGGAATGACATCGTGCGTCGTGGGATATTATATGGTTACCGAACATGCACTATGCCATTCCTGAAAATTTATTATTATTTCTATTTTGTGATTCAACAACCAACTCATTCTACTTTCCCCCATTTATTTATTAACTTATTATCAATTGTTCTTTCGCTGAAGAAATTGAAAACATTCCTCATGTACTTTCCGGTTGAATGTATATATGGACAAAGTAAGTACTGTTGTATTGTCATGATATCAAACATTTGTGTAATACTAACAGAATATTGTACCTTGTAGTTGTAAGAAGGTTATGAAATATGCAATATAAGTAACCACTTATTAGTAGGCACTCAATTGTTCCTCGCCCTGTCTAGACAGATCCTATAGATACATAAATGTAGATAGATACTGTATATGTCACTCTGTAAATGTAGATAAGACGGCCATTAAGTGTGTCGATGCTTGGTCATGATGATCACAAATCAATTCCTCACAAATACATGTAGCACCTAAATTACACTCCATGCTATTAAAAATCCATGCATAAAAACACATTATCACGGGATTGTTGACAAGAATGGTCGTCTCTCCTTCATAATTGATTGATTAATTGATTATTCGTATAATAATCTATGACGAGTTGTCCTATAAAATATTGAGATGATGTTTCAATAATTGATTAGTAAATACTTGCCAACACTCAATAATGATCAATGTTATGCAATCAGCAATACAAGCGGTAAACTATTACTGTTCGACTTCATAGGAGAATTGACGTAGCTAGACTATTGGATAAGCTTCTGTTTTACAATTAATTTGAAACATTCGAATGACAGCTAATTCCTACTAATGTGAAATGCTGGGAGATTTGTGGTGCTACATACTTGTACATAAAAAATCGGATCTTGTGAGCATTTAGCTTAAATAATGCAGTGTCGATGTTTGTGCTGTGTGTATGTATATATAATAATTAAGATGTAATCGTGTGATGTAACGCTATGTCAATATTTATTAAGTACTTACAGGTAAAAAAAATGTTTAAACCCTATTGGCTTTATGTATTTATGAAAAATTCCGTCTGTAAATACAATTATTTACGTTTTTGTCAGTTTAGTTTTTAGGGGAGGAGTGAAAGAAATGGAAGCAAAAAAATGTAATACTGTAGTCTCAAAATTATCCAAAAAACGGACTGTTCATGCCATGTCGTCAGAGAAAGGAACTTGTCGGACTAACTAACTATTAGATTACAATAAATACATACGTTAGAAAAAAAGTAGATGGAATTGTATTTCTGAATTCATTTCGCACCATTTTGCGTTACCATTCTGCACAAAAACATAAATATGCACAAATTGGCAATCATCAAACACTATTTTATTATAATCAAGTTGTCAAAAATAGTCACAATTAAGATGTTTTAAATCTAATTTTGCTAACTCTTAACCTGAAGAACCACCAGTCGCTGCACCTCCCAATTTCGTGGCGTTACTACTGCTAGATTTTATTAAAGTTTTGCGATACTTCCTCTTCTTTCTGATCGCTCTTTTGATAGCGATTGTCCTCTTCTCGTCCTTCCTCTTAGCGTTTCTCGCCTTTGCCTTCACAATGGATCTCAGTTCGCGTCTTTTCTCATCGTAATCTATCCTCGCATCCATTTCGTCTCTCTTTAGAAAGTAGGAGTCGAGTCCAACAAATCGGGGATCTTTGGCTCGAAAAAAGAATTCACATTTTGGAATTACTGCTGCTGGTGCAAGTTCTTCAGTTGGTGAAACTGTAGAATTCTTCTTTTTACGTTTTTTTGTCCCATCGACATTGTCGTCCTCATCATCCGAGGAGTCGTACTTGAAGGGGTTGGACTCCCAGAATTGTCTAGGGGCACCAGCAGCACTACTGGATGAACCTTTGTCTACTTGATCTTTTTCAAAATGTTCATCGATTTCACCTCCAAACTTGGCTATCAAGCTGAATCCTGCATCTTTAGTCTGACTACTATTATTATCTTCAGAAGAAAATAAAGACTTCAGATTGGATGCAGTTTTGTAAGTTGCAGGTTCACTGGATCTGATGGGAGGTTCTGCCGGAGTTTCAGACTTTTTACTACTAGGTTTTGATTTAACTGTGGTTTTTGGTTCATCCAGAGTCGTTTCCTCAGATTTTGGAAGTGGATCTGTGTCCATGTCAGGGTCGTATCGATCAATCAAAACCGAATTGTAGGTAGACTTGTCCCTTTTCTTGTGGTCAAATGGTTTTGGTTGTAGAGATACGTTGGTACCGAGAACATCGCTTAAAATATTCATTTGTGTCTGTTTCTCTGCATCCGTTGGTAAAACTATATCCTCGCCACCATCCTTGAACCGCTCGTCAATGTTGAATCGTTCATCAAAACCCCACTTGCCACGAAGTTCAAGAAGGCGCTGTCCCCCGGCACCCTCATACTGCTTTTTCAGCTTAAATTCGTGACCTGTTTCGTCATCTTGGTCATCATCACCACCCCCGAAGAGATCCATTTTAGGTTTCTTGGCTGAATTTAGTGACGGATCGTCAGAAGATGTAAAATTGTTACTGATATTGCTTTGAGATAAATAATTTTTAATGATGTTATGTTGTTGGGCCTTTATTTCTTGATTTTTATGGAGCGATTGTTGTCTCAGTAGATCAGAGTTCTGCTGCTTGTGTTTTCTGAACACGACACCCTTCGGCGCGTCAGCCGCAGCTGCGTTGAGAGCGAGGATATTCCCTGAAGCTGGTGGTGGGAAGATTGGTCTTGAAGTTTTCGAGTCCTCTTGAAACAACCTCTGATGTGGCTTGACGTCTAAATTGGCTGGTAATTTCTTCACTGGTACTCCAAATTCACGCGGAGTTTCTGATTTTGATCTTGACCCACTAGTGATGGCGACAGGATAACCAGCAATTCTGCAATACGAATAATTATAAGGTTTTCACAACTTTCACAACTAACGTGTCGACATGTGAAATTTTAAGATAAATAAATACCTCTGAAACCTTTCGAACCGAGCCTTATCTTCTTCAGATAAAGTTGTCTGTTGGTCATCTTCGGAAGGTGATTCTTTGGGGACAGGCTTAGTCGGAGGTGGGCCATTAATTAAATCAGCTCCTGTCAACAATGGAAGGGATGTATTCAGTTGTTGCGACTGTCCAAATCCGAAGGCACAAAGTCCCTTAAATTTTGGGATTCCGGCTTCCTCATGAAAGTCATCTTCTTCACTTTCGTTTTCACTTTCCTTGTCATTTTCATCAGAGCCGGGAAATGTTTTCCTCGTTCCAACAGCAGCATTAGATACAATTTCAAAATCAAAATTATCTGGTTTTCTCGGGGTCACAAATTTTCGTGGAGCAGTTGCATCCCTATTGTTTTGATAATTAGGTTTTTGTGGAGATAAGTTTGTCGAAGCGGTGGAGGAGGATTCACCTGCTCGTTCTCGTTTTAACTTATCTAGAAAACTTTCCTTTGCCAATTGCACTTTGATAAGAGTTCCTTTCCATTTGGTATTGTTCATTAGGTCGATTACTGCAAGAGATAATTAATAATTGGTTAGCTAAAAATTATCTGGCAAAGTTATCATTGTACTAATACATTGTCAATGACAATCATACCTTTATGCAAATGAGGAGGAGGTAGTGTGCCACTATTACTCCCTCCAGACCCATGAATGTCGACATAGCCGAAATAATTATCTTCATTTTTACACCTAATTTCTACATTCCCGACCCGAACGTCTTCTTGATTTGGTCTTGACCCCCCTTTTAAAAGCAACTCAAACTTTTCTTTGAGTTCGTCTTGCTTCACAGTTTCGGCCAAGTTCCCAACAAAGAGTCGCCACTTCCGGTGCTGACAGATTGTAAATAAGATCAGTTATAATTTAAATTCGTAATTTACGAATAGGGTTTGTTTATATGTATTTTGTAATTCTAAATACTACTTACCTCTGTAGCCATTGCTCCTTTCTGATGTTGTGTCACGTTGTTATCTGGTGATATAGCCATCAATGATATTCTTTTAAACTATACATGTATATTCTAAAATTTAGAAAAATAATTAAAAACTCTTCAAAACCAGTTTACATAAAAATCCAAGGTTGCTTGACAACTTTAGTATTACAAGGTTGCGACAATTGCTTAGACGACTGAAAAACCTTAATTTTCGAAAAGCCTGGAGTCTGTAGACTCCAGTGTGCGCCGCACAAATTTTCACCCAAAAAATAAAACGCCCAAAATTTGTCAACACTCACATTTCGTTCCCTTGAATTAATTTCGTAACCATGGATACAAGAATCAGTGCAGTTGTAAATGTAAAATCGGCTATTTCGGCGTTCCGGCAAAAATTTGTGTGCTTTAATTACCGTTAGCGACGGCCCAAATAATTAGCGCTTCAAAAATGAAGGTTTTTGAAGCTCTCGAAGCAATTGTCGTAACCTTGTATTATTATAAATTGTCAAGCAATCTTGATAAAAATCATATGAACTGCATGTTAGGCTGTCCACGTGAAAGTTTGAGTGTTGCGCAGTCTCACTTGCCCCATCCATTTCATTCAATCAAGGCCTGACAGGAGCAGGTTAATTGAATGGGTGATCTAAAATTGCATGCGAACGAGCCACCATACCGACAGTCCTCAAACTAAACCACAACTAAACAGACTAAAATGACGATTTACTTCTTGTATGATGGCTCTCATGTTGGGGAAAAACAAGCAGATCGGAGTGGGGTCCATCCAACCACAATGTGTATCTAAGTTGGTTTATTGACCGTGGTCAGAAACATTAGTTAAGAATTACTTAAAAATTATTTCGAAAATATTTGTCATGAAGAAATAATGAGAATTTGAAGGTTATCGTAATTTGGTAACAAGTTTGGTAACATGCTACCTGTACCTGACGTTGAAACTGAGTCTCAACAACCTCACAGAATTTTATACATAAAATACATGCCTTGTATGTGTTGTATATAACATTCTAGTGATGGTGGTGATGAGTGATGACGTAATGTTTATGTTCTCAACCAAATCAAAACATCACGTGGCTTGCATTCTCGCTGAACAAAGAGCAATGGTACTCCCTCTGCTTATATTAATAAAACTCTATGCATTCAATGCAAACTTTTCTTATTCGCATTTTTTATTTTGCATTTTTTCATAATTTGAATTTCACATTTATTTGTCATTTGCAGCAGGAGGTTCTGGTTTCTGTAAATCACTGCACGCTGACCCTATCCGCTTAGAACCACATTGGCGACGACCACAAAGGAACCATACGCACGACGCTTCACATCGCGACCTCGGCAGGGGGACTACAGAGGTAAATTTTCAGAAAGGCTTATTACAAAATATTTATGGAATCTAATCGAAACCGTTTTTTTAATTTATTTTTAAAATCCAGACAAGATGGGAGGAGTATTAGGTGGCATGAACCCTACTGTGACGTCGGTCAACGACAACAACAGCCCAAACGTCCCAATAAATGTTGTTCTCACTCAAGATGTTTTCGATCGCTGGGAAGGAATTGCTGCGGAGAGGGCGACAGCGGCAAAGGAGCAACTTCGACGACAGCAGCAACAAAAAGCAAACCGAGGTTCTCCCATGGTTGCCGATGATAAAGGTATGAATATGAGCCAGAGGCTGTACAAAATTAAGTGACAAGTTTCAAAAAATTTTGTGGGTTGATCTTTTTGTAGTTGTTTCAACTGTTTACATTATTTATTTAGAGACAGTTTTAACACCACCGTGGAGAATGGAAAGTAACAATAAAGATGCGAATTCGAAATCGTCAGTAATTATTGACTCCCCGATTGAGCCTCCATCACATAACATAAAAACAATCGATTCTGAAGTTAAGGCTTTTCGAGGACTAGAACAACATGACCTCGGAGGAGGCGATCAGCACATTGTCGAGGATGAAGAAACTCGAAAAATGTCACCATTTCCAATTTCAGTTTACCAACAAGATGATCTCTTTCGCCCAAGGCGAGGAGTAGAAGAGTTGAATCCCGACGAATACTTGGAATCATCTTCACTGTCTCCACCAACTGATATTGCTGGGAAGGGCGATGACTTGGAGACGCCAGCACCGGAGGAGCATCATCTAGATTTCTTGAAATTGGATTTGACTCTTTTTGGGCCAAAGTCACCACCCCGAGTTCCTCCTCCGTTTATTCCAGACGTCAATGTAGAACTTCCAGAAAATTTGAATGTTTTGACGAACATGGCAAAAGACTGCTTAGCAAAACTTCCCGAAGTTGAATCTTTAAAATCTAGCGATTTCGGCGAGATTCATACGGAGATTGCGGTATGCATCATATTATTACGTTTTTATGGAGTGTCATTTAAGTCATTTTGTTACCAATTACTCATTGTTACGGATATCACTACTTGCAGGAGAAATGTCAAAAGGTGAATCAATTTTGGACGAATAAATTGGATTCCAAGATTGGAGAAGATGCGGCCAATTTGGATTCCGATATGATCAACTTTCTTGCAAGGGCGGAACGAGTCAAGCTCCAAATTCCAGGTCCAGTGCAAAATTCTTGTGCCAAGTTTTATGAAAATATTGCTCAATGTTATAGCCAGAATAAGAGAGAGGTTTTCAAGTGTCACGATCTCATGAAAGAATTTTCAACCTGCGTTGGTCAAAATGACTGGTCAGCAATTGGGAAGCGTCGGTCTCGGTAACTTCTTGTGGATATTAGTAACAACTAAACATTTTTTTTAATGCATCTGGATTGCGAATAATTGTACAATTTTTATTAATTGCAACACATAAGTTGACTCAGAAATCCCATTTGTTGAATTTTGGTTCGTGTACTCTCATGATAATCTTGTAATTAATTTGAATAACTAGATAACGATAACTAACAATCTAGAGTATCACAAAATCACTCATTCTATTAACGTTAAATATAGATGTCAACAAACTGTACAAATAAATGCACTAATCCTAAATATTTATGCTTAAATATTATTTTCATAATGACAACCGTTAACTGACTAACCCACCCAAACATAATATTTCACGTAGTTGACAAAAATACAAAGTCTATATGTGAATGCAATATAATATAAACTCTAAAAATATACATATGTAGTCAGACATTCAATTTACATTAAATTTGTATATTTTTCCGTTGGCTGGGATGGGACTTGTATAGTATTTATTAAAGTTGGCGACATTCCGATGGTAGTTCAACCTTGGCGTAGGAGAGATAGCAAGCCTTGGCGTAACCAGCAGATGCTGTGCATACGGCTTTCGATACAGTGTAACCAGGAGAGGAGGATAACCTTTCGCAAGCTTGTTGATAATCTTGTGGGGCAACGACTCCATAACAAGGTCTAGAAAAGAGTCGATTATTTATTATTCATGAAACAAAAATTTATGAAGTCAAATCAACATGAAAAGTAGTAGTACCTCAAAGAGGATGATCTACTTTCCAAGGCGTCGGAGCAAGCAGTGCTGGCTTCAGATGTAATGACTGGCATCGTGATGACAGGTCGTTCAGTGCATTGTTTTTCAAGTTTCCAACTTTCAGTGAATTGGTTGACATTTTCAGCCACCTATATTGATAATCAGATTGGGATTAAAATGATATCTATGTACATACTCATAGGGAGGGATTCTCTTTGAATACATATTGAATCTTAATTAAAAATACCTGTCCTTCTGCTGTGGTCAAGTCGTCGAATTTTTCCTGATTAAATTTCCCAAGCAGTCCCAAAACCTTGCCGTGATAAAATCCGTTGACTTTCACCGCACAAACGTCATGAAGAGAAGAGCAGCCAACTTTTACTCCCTTATCGCCTGTCACAATTATCCAGTTATTTCTATATTCAACCTTGAAGTGCTCAGTTTTTGGTTGTTGGGCATCCACATCGGTTGCAGTGTACGTTTGTCCGTTGACCACAATCTGTCATAGTTCAGGTTACTACTCATTCTAAAAAAACTAAATACCAATTTAATCACTTACAGTATTGTCAGACTTGATAGCGATCGTGTCAGTCGCGTCTTTGACAATGATGGCTCTCGCCACATTGGATCCGGTTCTCTCGTAGTCGACAGCAACTGTAAAGTTGCCATCTTCAAAGTCGGAGGCCAGGAGATATTGACAACTTCCATCGAATCGGAAGAACTGTCCGTCGAAAGTTTTGTAAAATTGGGATCCAAATACGAGACCGTAAGCTACAGAACAAATATACAAGAAATTTATGGTGATGGCGACAACAAGTTCGTAACAATTGGTATTAGTAATTAGACTAGTATGTTACCGTCATAAGGAGGAACAAATTCATTCACGCAAGCTCCATGTCGGAGCTTGTTGATCACTTCAGTAATTCCAAATCTGTAGCTGGGCAGATTGTACTGAACGACTGGGGGCGATGGGAAGGAAAGCTTTCCAAAGGATTTCAGCACGTCACTTAAACTATCAACAGCGTTTGGCAACATGACCTACAAATTCAAAATAAATCATAAGCATTTCCCAACTACTATGTACAACTGCATGCAAATAAATAATACTTTAACCGCTTGATCTATTTACTCACCGAAAGGTTGAAACCATCCTCGCTGCTGTCGACAGAGAAGACCTTTGCGCTAACCTTTTTCACAAGCTTAATCACTTTCTCATAAATTTCTTTGATGGCAACGGCGTCATCGACCTGAACATTTTTCGCCTTCTTGTCTACATATTCAGCAGTTAGTTGGACAATTTCTTGAAAATCTGCTTCTGGAATGACGTTGATGATGTAGTTCTTGAAACTCACTGCGTACTGTTTGGTCTCTTCGATAACTTCACTCAGAATCATTTGGACAACGTTGACCGTGTCTTTGATGAACATGCGGACCAGGTCGTGATCGATAAAGTCCTTGGTGAAAGAACGGATAGATCTCCACCAAATTGCGGCTTGGTCCAAAGTGGTTTCTAGCAGGCTGCGGATAGCGTCATTGATGTCTATTACATGATAAAGATGTTCATTAAAAAAGTGTCTTAATTTTGCAGAGAAATTATATCAAAGCTTATTAATCAATTCTGTTACCAGAAGTCTTGTCCAAAGCCCAGTTGATGCATTTGATAATTTCTGGCATAGATGCGGAAATACGTTCAGCAGTTTGTCCCAAGAGTTTCACCGAATTTCGGGCACAATCTGTTAACGCGGTCACGAAGGAATCGAAACATCTTTTCAAGTCGTCCATGGTGTAGGGGGCTCCGCTCGTGTAGTCTCCCAAGAGGTTTGGCAATTGTTCGAGTTGCTCCTTGATGATTGCAGCGAAAGTGTAGGCCATTCTTCGAGCAGCCTTCGTCACTCCGACCATGAATCGGACGAATGTTTTGAAGAAGCCTTTGGCAAGTTGGATTTGTTCCACGACAATTTTGGTGTCATCATGGGCGTCCAGTTCCACAACTAAATCAGCCCATTGATTTGTTGCAGCAGTGAGCGCAGCCTTCACTTTGGGGGCGGATTTGATCACGTTGGTAGCAACAGAGTTGAGTTCCTTGAGGACTTCGTCGAACGAAGAGGTTGCCAGTTCCTTAAGATTTTTGCCATTGCGAGAAACTCGGGCTTGAACCTTGGCCTAATAAAGTATCAAGACAAAATTAGTTAAAAAATCATAATTTATTATAAAATTAGTGTCCATTTTCGATCAAGTTCAAGTTACCCAAACGTTCTTGAAATTTTCCTTCTCCCAGTTGGTCTTGATGGAAAGAACTCGATTGTTGTTCAGAGCGAGGTTGAAGTCGGCTAGCGTCTTTTGTCCGCTGCTTTCATGATCGTATAATCCGACGACGAAATGGTCTTGTGTCTTGAATCCGACGATGGCTTCATAGTAAATTCCTGCCGGGCTATTGGCCGTGTAAGTTTTTAACTGAGCCTTTCTTGGAGAGACGGTGGTCAAGATGGCTTGGAAAATTCTACAAAAATTAATATGTGTAAATCAGTTTTTAGTAATAAAACATTATACACAAGTCGAAATACCGTGCGTCTTCCATTCCTGGGAAAAGAACCTCCTGTCGATACTCGTAGCCGGTAGCTTGGTCCTCAAAGGTAGAGATGAGTGAGATCAACTTGCCAGAATGTCCTTTAACCTACATGAGAGCATGTATTATGCTTATTTCTATCATACATATCAATTATTAAAATTGGAGCCAAAACTTTCTTGATTAAATAAAATACCTCGAAACTCATACGATTCATGGACAACAGTGTTTCGATCTTGGCCGTTTTGATTTCCTTGTCTCTGTTTTCGTAATGCAATTCTTGTTTGTAGGAGAGTTGCCCGTTCCTGGCAGTAATTTCAGATTTTCCTCCAAAATTCATGTTTTGACCCTGCAAGAACGATGTCAAATTTACACGTCAAGTCACACACCAAGCGATAGCGAGTACGAAATTATTTTCTTAATTAGTAAATAAATAATTAATTCATACCTTAGAAATGACGCTCCACTGTGTTTTGTATAAATTACCAACATCGGACGTTTCCTTGAGAGCCTTGTACGACGTGACGATCTCACTGTTCGCCTTGAAGATGTCAAAAACGGTTTTCACTTCAAAAGCTTCGCCCGCAATCGAGTACTTGGTGTGCACTTTCAAATCCTTTCCAACATCCGGGTGGCGGAGAATGAACTCGATATCACGACCAAGTTGTTCCTTGTGCTTTTCCGTGTTGAAAATTAGACTAATCTTCCTCGTTGGTTGACGACTTTTGTCAATAAAGAAGCTCAAGTCTAATTTGACATCGGTGGGTCCGGGATGTTGGCAGTCTAGCACGGTGGCAATTATCCGTTCTGGAAGGAGGAGTTCGGCCCCAAATTCGTGACCGTCTTTACGATAAAATCGGTATCCGATTGGGTCAGAGTTCTTATGGTTCAAAATTAGTTTGACCGTGTGATCCATTTGGCGTCCGTTTTCCGTCTTGGCAGTGATGATGGAGACACCAGTGATGGATTTCTGACCACCTGCGTCCGTCTCAGCCACAATTCTCAAACTGTATTCCACATCTCCATTAGCCTCGCTTTGATGTCTCAAATGAGCATCTCCAGAACGGCATCGACCTCTCTCTTCGTTGCAAAGCGAGACTTGAGCCCGCTTTTCTTTGTCGGATGTCTTCAAGATGGCCGTGCCCTTGATTGGACTTCCAGACTTGCCGACTTCAAAGGTTCCTCTGAATTGTCGTCCATCTTCTTCATCGCCCCGAGATCGGGCTAAGCTCGTGTCCTCCAGGCGGAACTTGCCATTGAGGTTGATATCCATTGGGGATTTAGATCCATCACCTTTAATTGTGACGGAACCATCATAGACTTTCTGAGCTCCGGACCTTTCCAAACTGGATCCATAGTCAAAGATGGCAGAGAACTTATCCTTGTTGCTTTCTAGTACTTTAAGGGTCACGGCGTGACGACCAGATTGTGACTTTTTAGCAAGTTTGACACTCATCTTATTGAGTCTTAGTTCCGGACTGTCCAACAGCAGGTTGGCTTCGAACCCTTCCGAAGAACGGCCAACGTCTCCCTTGGTGCTCAAAAATTTATTTCCGTCTCCCCACTTGAGAAGCGTCTCCACGTTGTACTTGTCATTGCTGATTTTGTCAACCAACAAGTAAAGTCGTCGTGGGGGTTCTTCTGCAGCGGACACAACCAAGTCGATGGATTTTTTTGTCGGGGTAATTTCCAATTTATTAGTAACTCGGAAAGCCAACTCGTTTGCAGTCTTGGCCAAAATGTCAGTTTCATAAATTCCATCGCTCGACTTTTGGTGAGTGGTTTTCAGTTCGAACGAAGTAGAAGGAATTGCACCCTTCAAGACGACGCCAAAGTTTGGAAGTTGGTGGTCAATGTCGATGTTGAGGGAGGATTTCTCTTCACGGTAGGTGAGTTGGATATCAGAAGTGAGCTTCTTGCCGGTCACTTTCCCATTACCAGAGATCAAGTAGACGCTCCTTCCGTCTTGTGCGTACTCGGAGAGAAATTTGGCCTCGTTGGAGAGGACGCTGGTGAGATATTTCCATTGGGCAGGGCTGCCATGATTAATGGACAGGGATCCTTCTTCCGTGTACTGCAACAACAACAAAAACGGTGAATGCATGCTAAATGTTACGGTGATTTGTACATATTCTTACACACAAAAAACTCCATCTAAATTACCTCAAAGTTCTTCAAAGAGTTGTACAAAACTCCAATTTTGTGGACACCTTCGACGGACTTGACGGCATCGAATGGCATGTTGACGGTGTATTTAAGGTCAAAGGTCTTCTTGGGAGACCAGACGTCGTAATCGAGAATAACGTCAAAGTCGCTGTTGAGTGCTCCTCGCTTACCATCGGCACTAACGGCCCATTTTCCCTTCTTGATGTCAGCCTTAAAGGTGCCTGAGATGGGTTCTTTGATAACAGAGCCACCAATCTCGATCTACAAGTTATTACAAATTTATAATAGAAATTTTTCAGGGTGCATAAACATTTTTGTTGTCCGTGGTTTCTCCTAAGGGGGTGGTGCAAGGATGAATATTTTTTTCAAACAAATCGAAAAATCAAAAGTTGGGGAATTGCATGCAATTTTGCCATGAATTTGGTTGTCAACCACTTTCAAAAATGAAATAAATACATTTAATCCTGGCCTTCATCTCCGAAAATGAAGAATAAGCTCGGAGATTGCTAAGATCGGTCAAGTGGCTGACCAGTAGGGGTCATATAGGTCGGATAAGGTCGTTGGTACAGAATATTATAATTTGTAAAATTAGGCTAACAACCAAATTCATGGCAAAATTGCATGCAATTCCCCAACTTTTGATTTTTCGATTTTTTTGAAAAAAATAGTCATCCTTGCACCACCCCCTTAGGAGAAACCACGGACAACAAAAATGTTTATGCACCCTGGAAATTTTTGATATAAAATCCATCAATATTCGGCAATTATGTATGCACACCTTTCCAGTATTACGTCTGTAATTTCCAGGCAGAGCTGAGCCTAATTCCCCATGGAATGAGACGTCCTTCTCTCCCTTGTAGTCAAACTTCACATCCGTGACGAGGTCAAATGTCGCTTCGCGAGGGTTCATGTTGCTTACGCGGTTTTCGAATGTGAAGTCGTACGGCTTTTCTCCAGGCAGGGTTAATTTCACGTTCATCTTGCCTCCCTTCGCCTTTAGTTTGTTTTCAAGGTTGAGGACCGTTGCCAAATTGTATGTCTTCCCGTTTGGTGAGGTGTAGTCGATTTCCAAATTGTCTTCTCCGTTAAACCACTCCTTCATGTGTTGTCCCTTCAGATTCAACTTTGCAAGCTTTCCTTCCACGGTGATTTCATTCCTGAAACGGATTAAAAAGAGTATGTTAATTTAACTGGTCATTAGATAACTTAATAAATTACAAGCTGCGGAAAAGACTGCATACTTGGAATCACACTGCAATTTGGAGAAGGATAGATTTGTCACACTCTTGATTGAAGCAGATTTTGAAGGATCCCTTTCAGCATCCCATTTCAAGTCAGCGTTCAAATTGTAAACATCTCCAGAATTGGTCAGTTTAGACTTTGCTTCAATCTTACGCCCAGTTGGAACCCATTTAATATCCAGTTGCATGTCGGACTGAGATCGAGAAATGGTTTGGCTCAATTTTGAATCCAAATAGTTCAAGACGAATGCCTTTGAGGTGAAAGTTGCTGGGGTGGAGCCCTTCGCGTGTTTGAACTGGGTGCTAAAGTCCACGTAGTTGTTACCCTTCATGTCCAATTTCATGAGGGCGTGGTAGCCGTCAGACTTTCCTCGGACTCCAGATTTGAATCTGCAACAGTAAATAGTATGCAAAATTAATGGCTTGTAAATAAGCATAACTCATCCTCAGTCAGTCATATGATAAATATCTGTAACCACTTACACAACAGGGTCGGCAAACGTGTCAGATGTAATTGTGGTGGAAAGGGTGCTTTCCATATCGGATTTTTCGAATTTGTAGGTCACATCGGTGTTGGCGTGATACCAAAATCCAGGAGTTACAGAGAGTTTTGATTTGAAATTTTGCTTGTGGTCACTTGCTTTGACGGATGTTTCGGTAAATTCATAAGTTTTTCCAGCATATTCAGCCTGTAATACATTAGACATATTACTAAATGTATATTTTTATGATAAACAAATTCAATTCAATTCTCACGGTTGCTTTCAAGACATAATCCAAAAAGTTCTTCCCATCGCTGTCATATCTGGCGTTTGACTTGAATGAGTTTACATTAAAAATGGCCTCCGCATGGCGTGCTTGGCCAGGAGCTGCTTTCGAATCAACTTTGCTGTACATGTCAACATTAAATCCGGGATGTTTCAAGCTTGTTTCGTGGAATATTTCGAATTCCTTCGGTGATTCAATCGTTGTCTTCAGTTTGTGAGAAAAGTGGACCTTTGGTTCTTCAACGCCTCGCGTGTAGGAGAGTTCAGACTGGTACGTGTGACCTTCCTTGCTAACTTCTCCACTAACATCAAAGTTGAGGAAAGATCGACGAGATGATCGGGTCTTGGTTTTGAATTCGTAATGACCATGTTTTGGCTTGCCAAGTTTGGTTTCAAACTCAAACGTGTGTTGTTTCTCTTGGCCATATTTAGCGTGGACTTTGGTATCGAAGACTTGCTTCTCCTTCATCACGTGCCCATCGAATGCAATCTTTCCAACCACTTCAGAAGCGAATTCCAAATTCTTGGCTTTCACTTCAAACCCGTCAGCCTTTTCTGGAACCTCGATGGTTCCTAAAATTATACATAAAAGTAAATTAGTTTCAGAAATATATATGCAAAAATACAAGAGTATTACAACTTAAATGCATACCTTTCACGCTTCCTCTCAGTTGTCGGAAGGGGCCAGCAGTACGGAGGTCAATCTCAACCTTTCCTTGTCCCTCGACTCGAAGAACTTGTCCCTCAATCAGTTTCACGGGTCGTCCACCGGGGAAGCTGTATTGAACAATTGGTTCGTACTTGCTCACACTGCCAGCTTTCACCTTCTTCAACTGCAACTTTCCATTGTACGCCTCCCCATCAGATACGATCTTAAGTTCGACTCCCTTCAACTCATCGGTAAAAGCGCGCTTGTAGTCAACATCAAGCTTGGTCCAGGGAGAGTCCAGTTTGAAGACGTACTCGGGTGTGGTGGATTTATACTGGGTGGCCTTCAGAGAAGCCGATACTTTTCTATTGGTTCTGGATCCCGGAGTGTCCAAGAGGAATCCGACGCCGAAATTACCATCATCTATAATACCAAAAATATTGCATTTTATTGTGTCAATGTATGGAAATATAGAGAAAGTTGGTTAAATATTACTTACCTTGGGTGTCCCTCTCGATCTTGAGATAATACCCTTCCATTGAGGACTCTGATTTTTCCACAGACAAGGAGAAGACTGCTTGTCCATTTAGCACTGGGAATGGAGCTTGTCGAGAAACTTGAGGGATTTTCATATCAGTGCAGAACTTGAGACCCAAAAAGTTGGAGAAGGCGGTCAAGCACTCATTGTTGGCCAGTGATCTGCAAAAATTTATTAAGTATGAAATTAACTTAACATGTAAATATAAAAGACCCGTGATTTTGAATGGTATGCTTTACTGACTTTGTGGCCAACTTGCTCTGAACTTGCGTCTTCTTTTCCATGCTATCCTGAGGTTGCTCGATCCAGTAAAGATCGCTGCGAACACTGTAATAATAATAATGTAGATATGTAAGTAATCAACAATCGCAAGTATGTAAGTACATAACTATATAGGTAATGAAAAATCCTTAATTTGCTTTTGCTCACTCAATGATTTGAGTCCTTTCTTGGGGAAGGTTGAATCTGAATTCGAACTTTCCATCCTCCTTTACCAATTTGACATCAACTCCAGCAGCAGAGTGAACTTTTCCTTCCAATTGAAGACCAGTTTCTACGGGACCTGCTCCAACAGTCATTCTAGATTTTAACAAAGTTGCAGCGCTGGGCACGAATTTTGCTCGCATGTCTGAAGGCGCGGCACGGAAGAGAGATGTAATGTCGACATTTCCATTCATTTGCATTGATACGATGCTTGTTCCTTCAAGTTCGAGGTTCAAAGGGAGACCAGCGAAGGTTGGGAGGACGAGCTCTTCGTCGATAAAAATTACGGGGTGGGTCAGGTCGAATTTGGTATCTTTTGCTCCTTCCAACAACTTTTCGAATCCGGTCCTAAATTTCTTGGCAATGGATCCTTCTCGGATATTGGTTTCGCTGAAGCTCTCGACCAACATTGATGTTCCCAGTACTCGGATGTAAACGTCACCCACGCCATGATCTCCAACACGCTCTTCAATGTCAACTTGGTCTCGAATAAAGTCAATTTCATTCTGGCTAGCGTCAACTTTCAAATCTCGTTTAAATCGGTTGCGAACACCTTCAACGAATTGGGACAATTTCGCGGATCCTTTGCTAATCAGATTCTCCAAATCAGTTTGACGAATTTTTCCAGCCGGTCCAAAGTACTTTTCGACAAGATGCTCAAAGTCTTCGGCATAAACTCCAAGCTAAATATTTGTACATGAATCAAGCAATCAATTAGAAATTACATTGCGTAATAGTAAATCCGTAAAATGCACCGCTCATCATCATTACCTCGAGCACATTGTAAGATCTCCCAAAAGCGTCAACCGTGAAATTGGCATTGGACATTCTGGGCAAATAGGAATCCTGAGAGAAGACCAGATTCCCGTCAAGTGATCCACCAACATTCAGATTTGGGAGGAAGGTCGAGTATTCGCTGTTTCTGGAGAATTTTCGCATGTCTTTACTGAGGCCTTCGGGGATTGTAAATTGACGGAAAATATTCTTCAGGCCTTGTTTCGAGGGGCTGGCCGTTTCCAGCACATTCTCAACATGGGAGGAGACGAATGACCCAACTGAATAAGAAATGAAGGGTTGCATAAAAGATTCATTTTGCTGTAAAATATTTTGTCATTGTATTTAAAATAAATACCCTGGCTAGATTGTTCCGCGTTTAAGATTGTTTGGATGGCACTGACATCGTCCTGCTCGACACACTTGGAGAGGGTCAAGTAGGCCTGAATTCTGACGTGAGAAGATTCCTTGTTATCACCAAAGACGCGGATAGCCTTTTGCTTCAATTGTTGTTGGCACGGGTGTCGACGGAAGGCATCGAGAGCACGAACCTATTTTTTTTTCAGAAATTTATATGCTGTTATTTAATAATTTTCGTTTCATTTAGGTTACCTTGAGTCGCTCGGGGGCTGTCTTGTCGTCAATAATGCTGGAAATTGCTGTCACTGCGTCGGGCGTGAGTTTGTCCAAGTTTCCTAACGCTTGGAGAGCAGCAACCACCTTTCTCAAGCCTTCCTCATCGGTAACGGAAGGACGAACGTGTTGAGCAATCTTGTTGACGAGGGCGACATACTCACTGTTGGAGGCACAGTCCTCATTCGTCATTCGGCAATATTGATGTCCAACTCCGGACGCGGTGAGCAGATATTTCGCTTCGATGTCAGTCTTTGAGATCAGTGAGCCTAGCGCTGCAAGAGCTCCGATGTCTGGGTGTGGGGCAAATACAGCGTTTGCGAGGAAAAGGGTCTTGGTGTGACATCCGACCTCATCTTTGGTAATAATATCAGAAAGGAAAGCTATCGATCCATCAGAACCAGAAGTGGCGGCAGCATCAAGGAAAATTTTTTGCAGTTTATCAGTCGCTTTGCTGCACATGCTTCCGCTCGTGATCTTTTCATACATTTGCTTCACGTCTTCCTTGCGCACCGTTTTGAGGGTTTTGATCAATTGGAGGTAGAGCCCAGGAACTTTGGAGGAGACAGCTCCATCCTCAATTTCTTGGCAGATTTTCTTTAAGAAATCGACACTTTTTGTGGCGGTGGCCTTCTGCCTGGTCCCGTCTTGAATCTCAGCGTGGTCATACAAGATGGAAGATGGCTTTGTCGTGACTTTGGAGCTTTTCGTGATTCCATTCTGAGTGGAAACGAGGTTGAGACTAGACTTAATTTCGGTGTGAATTCCGGTGCTTTGGGTGGAGAGGAAGGGGACTTTGTGACTCTCGATACATTGGACCTGTAATCGAATAGTATCAATTCAGTTTTAATTCTCACAGCTTCGTGATGATGACCAAGCAATAACGACTAATTAAATATTACTAACATGCTGGAAAACGCCATCCTTCAAGTCTTGTGTGCACTCTAGGGCGGAGTCGATCACAGACATGGAGTTGTATTTCTAGACAAAATATTAAACATGTTAGAATTTATTACTGCGAATTAAAAGTAAAATTGTGTGCTGTCTGAATTACGGATGGGACATCGTATGGCACTCCCAAAAACACGGTGGCTCCTCCATCCCGCTTCGTGCAAGAGTTGAGGTCCCTCGTTTTCACGTATTTGTCACCAGAGACGGAATAAGTCGTAGGGCATCGACCAGAAATGTCGGTCTATTTAAAAAATTGCTGATTATATTTTACGAATTACGACAGCAAGAGATAAAAGTAGAGCAAATAGCATACTTCCGTTGAGACATCTCCAACAGCGTTTTCTGCCGTGTTGGTCAGCATAGAAATGATGGCTCGCTTCACGTTGCTGGACCACGTCGGGTCATCCTCAGCGACGCAGACGCTTTCAACTTGCCCATCTTGATATGAAAATCTAAGAGATGACCCTTCAATATCGTCGACACGGCTGATTGCCTAAAAAAGTAAGAAAAAAATCATATTTTAAAACAAGTTCTTCATGATTAGATTTCGTCATAACTTGTACCTGTCCACTTGGATTTTGAATGGCCACTTGTTGGACGGTGAGGATGAAATCGCAAGGAGACTGAGCAGCAATGACAGCTTGACCTTTAACCTTAATTTTTGCTTGTTCGTCAGTCGACCCTAAAACCTGGGTGATTACTTCTGTCTCAAATCCATACGTGTATGATTTGCCTTCCTGATAACTAATTTTTGATACTTGACCTGCAATCGTGAAAGCAAAGATTATAAAGTAATCATTTTAATTCAGTCTGGGGTTCAGTCGGATCAAATCTGTTCTCTCAACCAGACGGACATGATACATTTATTTTCTAAAAAAATGGGTGAAAATAATGCAGCGTCAACAAATCGAGTATGTAAACTTGGTCAGAAGAACCAAGAGCATCAAACAAAATAGCAAAATAGTCACATTGTTGAACTCCAGCAGGTTATCACTAGACTCTGCCCTTGAAATGTATCGTCTTGCATATTTTACAATTAATTCCAGCTACTTATAAAATATTCCAAAATTGGCCGACTGGCTTAATTTTCATGCAAATAAAACGGAGAAATGGATATATAATAATGTCAGATATAAAAAGATTTTTCTTACTCTGTCTGCAAACAGGAGTGCATGATGACCTTGGGGCTGGTGCTGAAATTAAATTAACACAGTCATATTATTACTGTTTGGTTAAGGACCTATCACCGGTAGTGCATATTCAACATTCACGTAGGTGGAGATCGAAGAATGTCGTGTAACGCATAACTTTACTCTGCCAATCAACCCCATAACGATAATAATTACAGGGCCAATATTTAATCAGACTCTGATCAAGACAATTAGCAACCTCGCGACCACGAGAGGTGTACAAAGTCAAGACCACGATACGAAATGTTCAAAGTCCACTTTACACCATAATATCTAGTCTTATTTGACCACAATTTTTTTACCCAGAAATATGTGGCAGGCTAATTTATGTAAAAAGCGATACTCAAGTATTATATTTTCCTTACCAGAGAAAGTCGTCGGAAATACGATGGCGACGAGAGCCAACGCGACGGCGAGGCGCGACCGGTGGAGCTCCATTTTGAACAGAATCACTTATCCTAGAAATTTATGATAATGTGGATGCGACGACAACGATATTCGTCCCGTCCAGTGTGACACTGAGGAGTGATCCGTCAGTCAAACTCAGATCCAGATTCGTCGTGAGTAATAATTGATGTCCAGTGTATGACACGACCTTTAGTTCCAGATCCCAGTTGCAAATCTCTCTATCTCAATGAACTACACATTAATCAAAAAGAAAATTCGCAAATATTAAATAGATGAAGAGACTCATTAATAGCGAGGGGGGTAGGTAGAAGGGTGGAGTAGTAGGAGAATATACATACTTAAATATCTATACTTATCAAACCCTACCTAAATTTTAGCATCTCTTTTGAACAAGATACACAAGAACTTATTGCTTAATTAATGTCAGAAGAGCTCATAAATCGTGAATTTACATAATCAAGCTTCATCATAACTATTATACATACATCGATCTAAAGCTGCGGTTGATGGTCCACTTTAAAATGAGACTAATGAAAAATCCATATGCTTAATCAAACTTTTATAATAATAAGAAAACTGTTTGCTCAAGAACAAGAAGACTAAACATGAACGTGGATAAGTACATATCAACTTGTCAAAGATGTGTTTATTCTCATTTAGCAGTTATCGTGTCACCTTAAGATGACCCCCGAAGGAAATCATAACTCCGTGTGCATTAGTTATTTATTCCCACTTTGCTCTCCTCAGTCTGGCTTGACAGTTGGATTAATTAGAGAGATGATAACTGTACAATAATTCTTCTTATCGTGGCAAGTCTGCTGTTGAATTTATTTAACGGAAGATAAAGGTTATGTATGCTTTAGGTATTTTTCCAAACCATTTTTATGTCTTTTCTTAACGATACGATGAGGTAACATGGGACTTATCGAGATTATCTATGTACTTCGGTAACTGAACTCTCTCGTTTGCTCAACTTTTAGGTTTTTAGGTTGACGTGAACTTGACTAAAAATCGAAAATAAGACACGGCATTCACTACACGATCCCGTCCGACAGACGCAAAATGTTAAAATGTCATCAATGATGATGATAACATGGCAAGAGTTGATACACGAATAACTTTACCTGTCGTCTAAGCTGAGGAGATGAGACAAATCCAGCTCAGCTATCTCATTATTCCCATTAGTAAGTACTTCCACCACTAATTTTACTGACTCATCTAGCCAATTTTGAGACAATGAATGCTCCCAGCTTTACAGGCCAAGTATTTCAGTTTCGTGCAATACTGACGGGGATGCCAAATTAAATCCGTGTCTAGAAAGTCATAGTCATTACCGTCCTATGACATAAAGCTAAAGACTAAAAGTTCAGTGAGGTACGTGCAAAAGTTCGATCTTCTCGTCTCATTGTTACGAAGATGAGATTGGTTAAATTGATGCTGCTTCTTACTACTTGGGATCGGAAATTCGCCTCCGTAGTTGAAACTAGTTTGGACATAAACCTGTCGATGATAGCAATGAACTATGAACTACCCAAGTAATATTTGGTTGATATTATCAACACGATAATTTTAACCCTTCGTCTCACATCTTTTAAGTATGAAACGTGAAAATAAAGTTGGATAATCAAGTTGCGAATTAATTAAAACTGTGTTCCAAGAAAAAGTTGAGAAAAGTTTGAGGTATCGAATTGATCAAGTTTTAAACTAATAAATACATATTCCGTAGCAGGTTAAATCTCGGTATCCCGTTTCATTTATGCATATTGAATTTATGAACATTCATGTTGCAATTTTATAAAAATACGACTAGTTTCAAATTAAAAACTGGATTTTATACAATTCAAAATGCAAAACGAAAAAATCAACCAAGTTTTAATATTGAATTTACGTCACTTTGGAGGTATGTAATCATCAAATTTTTGTCGAGGTACAAAAACTTGCTATATAAATTATTTGCGATGCCTACATGTACAAAAAGTCTGAACCCATTTCGTGGTTTGACAAAAAAGTGTAAAATGCAGGCAGGTGATAAATTGCATAACTCACCTCTTGAACAATGCAATGAATTAAGTCACAAATCTGGGTTCTCACGTTTCCCTTAAAAACTATTTGCATCACTATCTCAGCCAGAGTGGGTTAAATTATCAGATGAGATGGTGAGTCGTGGCATTTAATTTCTGGTATCAAAAGCCCAGAACGAATCAAGTATATTCTACCACCAATTATGTCAATCAATCAATGTTCGTGCATCTAAAAAGGAGGAAATGAAAGAAAGTTTGATGCTAAACCCGACCCAGAGTCGTTTATGGAGACTTGTTTCATGAATGTACTCCACATAATTGCTACTGCCAGTTCGAATTGCATAATTAATTGCGACGAGAGCAGTGATTCTCGTAGTAAATATTTGTCTCATCTCACACTTTCACTACTTGCTACAAAAGGTGCATCGAGCTCCTAAATATACGTAGACGAGTCAATACTATCGCATGCATGTATATTCAAGGGTAATGCAAGAATTGAGACAATTGACAAATGTAAATAGCTTCTGTTCTCTCTTTCCCATTATCAAAATTGTAAAAAAACGTCAAGTTGAACGAACACAAGGCCACCTCACATCGATTGAGATGCATAGTTTATGTCTTTAAAAGTGTGTAAACTAGTGTAAAAGATCACGATAAGATCAATCAAACGTATGTAAATCATGTAAAATAACACTTTATTATCAAATCACTATACCTTTTTAAATCTCTCCCAGTTATATAATGTAGATCAAGTGGATTTCTGTAAACATTTATAGAAAATAAATTAGTAAAAAAAAATCTCATGCAAAACTTTTTCAAACAAATTCTTTTCGTCATTAGCCTCACGAGGAATATGACTAAACTGGAATCGAGTCTAACGAAGGTGTGTAATAGTCATGTGCAGGGTAAAAATAAAGACGACTTTACCGACTTCCTTTAACAACACGGTGAAGCAGAGATCAACACATTTTTTGACACCTTATAATCATTTGCTCTTTGATAATCATGCATATACCGAAGTAGAAATAGAAATGCAGACGTTATTAGTTGGAAGAAAAGGTATAAAAATAAAGGTGACTTGAATTTCATACATACATACATCTTCAAAAAAAGAAGCGTGAGTGAAGCAATAATTCTTCCTGACGCAATGAAATGAGATGTTAGTTCTTTGTCGATAAATATTTACACTATTAAGTAAATTGGGTTTACATAAATTCTGGTAAACAACTGAAAAGTTTTAACGCAAGAAAACCGTGTTACACAATAAATACTCGACTTTTCTGATTTTTTAAAGTATTTACTTATTTATCAGGATTATTTGTTTTGAGATGAAACTTTGATTTTAAGAACAAAGTAACTCACTTACCTTCTTTTCTTATTTATAAAAGTCTCAAATTTCCAGGGATGATAGGAAGCGTCGCGTCTCGAAGGAATGCCAACTGTTTGTTATGATGACTGTCAATTAAGTATAAAATGTCATCATATCACGGTTCGTCTATGCCGTAAAAATCTTATTATTACGAAGATTGAGAGTGACAAACTTTGCCCAGTCACGGCACGAACAAAGTCCAAACTGGCAGCGTTAATTTTTCTCACTTGTCAATTTATTTATATGACGATCTTATTAGCTGCTGGCACCTCACTCCACCAGTGACAAATTGTTAGTAATTCGTAATTTAATAAGTCACACGAACGCCTAAACCTGAACTAAACCAGGATCGACGAGTGATTGAAGACAGATCGAACCTTTTCGTCATTATTAAGCATTATCCATAAATTGGTGATGGGAAATCGAACTACATATGTAGATACCTAACATTGTTTACGAATACATAACTTTCGTCAGGTTTGTCACCAAATCAGTAATGCTGCATAATAAGATGGTGATGGATTATTGTTAATCCAGGTGAGGGTAACATTATTACATGACTTGGCTTGTCTTTTTCCTTCCGTTTCACTCACTTAAACAGAAGTAATTATGACATTATTATACAACATGATCCCAGCAGCAGCAATTAGAGCATCGAGTGTAGCATTACTTAAATTAGATTAATAATATTTCTGTGTGTGCAAGTACGTTCTGGTATCATCGAGTCTTTAATGTTTTGACAATAATTGTCACAAATTATGGATAGCTCATCATATCGATGCGAATGATGCCATGAATAATTCAGTGGAAGAGACGAATACATATAAAAGAATTTATAGATGCAGAATGTGCCAAACCTTGAGAAAATGAGATATCGAATCACAATCCGACCTGCGTCGTGTATGACGCTCATTTCTACATATAAACTTAATTATTCATCAATAATCTATCACGAATGATGTATGTTATTCACTCCCGACCTAAAGCAACCTCCAATTTCTCGAAGAAAAGAAAATGCTTATGATTGACATCTAATCCATTGCTGTGTAACACATTTCTCCAGGTAACGTGACGCGTTATGCCGACCCATCGCCGGTTTATAACAATTGATTTGATAAAAAAAGTCTGGATGACAATAATTGATGTCCCATTATGAAGTAATCGCGTCTTTCATTACCTGACGACAGGAAATTCCCTCGCATAATGAGAATACGTGGAAGTTACCATGTTTCAACTACAAATGAGTTTCTCTCTTCGAGGACAAGAAAAGGTTATCGTCAATTTCCCAGAAGTGAAATCACAAATATTTGTTTAACTGGATTTATATTAATTATGGATAAATTCCTGAAAGAATATCATTATCTGTTGCATATCCAATGAATGGAGTACAAAGTTTAATGGTTTGTAGAACAAAGCTTTCACTAATAAATGTTACAGATTCGATAACCCAACCTGAAACGTGCTTTGGTGCAGGTCCTCAAATCTCATCATCAAATGCACATCTATGCATCTCTCTTTGTTAATCGCTGATTGACAAAAATTACAACAAATATTGCACTGCATGCCATCGATGAGACCAAAATCAAGGATTGTGATGTGAACTTTGGTCGTTACAAAATTGCGTGTCCCTCAAATTTCAACTGACAATTAAGTAAAAAGACCAATGAAAGTGTAGGAAGTTGCAGAAACTGTGGACATTTTTTTCCAGAAATTGGAATAATAAACAACAACACATAAATACTAAGAAATAACCAGTTACGCAAGTTTCGTGGACACGAGTATTTATCACATTTACATATATTGTACCAAAAATGGGTGAATTTAAGAGAGCTAAGGTTAAAGTACAACTCGTGTTTAATTACCCAAAACAAAATCAGGAAAATATTGGGATGCTAATAATAATCACCAACAAGAAGATGATTGATGATACAATAAATGTACTGATTTTACATCTCTCTCTGCATGTGCGTCAATCGATGCAGTATTAAAGCAAGCAATTACTTACTATAAGTTGCCTAATGCCTGCCAACCAAAAATTGATCCTCAATCATATTCACTGCATTTACATACATAAACTTATTATTAGCGTGTTTTCTTCGTGGCAAGTAGGGAGTCATGAAATGAAAGGTTTCTTGACGTCACCGAATTTAAACTAATTTGTATTCTCTCAATGAAGTGGAACGAACTTGACGATGACTTCATACCTTGAAAAGAAACTTTATCTGTAAGGTTGCCAATCGCTGGAACCGAATTATATGCTATTTTTTCCACCTCTATGTTGAATTCAAATATAAAAAATATTGTACAATGTGCATGACATGCGTCAACTAGCAAAATCAGAATTTTTTACCCGACTTATTAATTTTCTCTGGCTATCCAAAAAGAAAACCACTCCTTGTTGTCCAGAAATAGTTAACCCTGACCACAAGTAAGAGTAAGTACGAGATGGTCAAAAAATATAAAAATGATTCGCGAGGTTATCAACACGTTGTGATAGCGTGCATGTCCATGTATCCTATACTACTTACATACTTATTTAAATATGTAAGTTACATAAATTTTATACCAGCGAGAGATTATGACTTTGGGATTTTTTTATTAAATTTGCACCGAGCAAGGAGGTATTTGTTTCACATTTATGTATGTATTTGAACTAATAAAGTAGAGCTATATGTATCAGCTTAACTACTATTTACTTAATTAATTAATACTTCAAGCCATGAATTATTGACGAGCACAGATTTAAGAGACTACTATGTTGATTAATTGGTCATTTTCGAACCAAATACATTGCATGATATTTGATTGTTCGATTAAGCATCCCAAGATTTGTCCAAGGTTTAAATTGCTTTAATCAGTTCCTTCGGGACATCTTTTTCATGGATCTCATGATTTTTAGTTAAAAATTTCAGTTTCAACTTACTCATGGGAACTTTTATTAATTGAACGGTGTGATTACTCTGTGTTATTGCCGGCGTACGTATGTATCAATTAATGCATAATATGTGTGTATCTAGCAACGCTAACTGTACCATCTACTTAAAAAAGTTTGGTTACTCGCTTACAGAACAGTTTGCTAAATACTATAATGACTCTTTGTGTGATCATCTACAAAAAATGCAAATTCGAATCGCTTATCTATCACGCTTAGGTATATTACTTTTTCTAATGACTGGATTTACTAAAGGGGACTTCGTAATACAACAATGCCTACATATTTATGAATGTAGTACTTCTAACTCTATCGTCTATATTGTCATTCTTTATACCATGACTATATTTTATAGCGGAATCACATTATTTTTCACTATTTTTCTCGTATCTCTATAATAATATAAGGTAACAACAATATTTACTTTCAATTTATAGATGATAAAATGCGTCAAGACTAAAATGCATTTGCTAATTTACTTAATAATATTAATACATATTAGATAAATAATGCGCTGATCAATAACTAGAACTAATTAATAATACAGTTTTCGCAATACATGTGTGATGATCATGATGATGATGATGATTGGCTTGAATAATCATTTGCTTCGATGATTTGGTAGACGCGTGAAGTTATTAAAACATAAATAATTTATCGCTAGCTTTATTTAACATTATAACAAGAAAGGTCTTAGGATTAGTGCAATTCATGATTTTGTCGTAACTTTCTTTCCTTACCGAGTGGTGAAAGACTATATTAATACAGACAGAAACAGTAATAAATTCAAAAGTCGGCAAAAAGATAAGGGACGAAGAGAGCACCAAAAACATTAAACTTTATGTAGCATACAGTAACTGTATTACAGTTCAAGACAAGTTAATAAAACTAGGCAAAATAAAAACGAGACAGATTGTTGCTTCATTAATTCAAAATTATGATAATACGGCAAGAAACGGAACATGAAATTAGTAACTAGTTTGATTTACCAAATACACACAAGACGAGTCACCCTGACATAATGGTAGTAACAATGGGACGGCTGCTGGTGGGAGCAAATTTGATTCTACTAATTATAATACGACTTTATCTGAAGCGGATTTCGATTTCGAACACAGAATAAGAATGAGAGCAAGCAAGCATTAATTAACCTTGGACCTTTTGCGGACAAATTTACAATACAATAATTATTGAGCACCATCATACAAGAGGTAGCATAAGTAGCAACGACCTGAATTGAAACGCGCAACAGCAGATGTATTGCGTTGTAATAAGCCCCACAAACAAGACTGAACAATGTTTTTCTAACCCTGTCCCATTTCTTTGTTGTTGTACAGGACAAAAAGGATTATCAAAAAATTCTGAAACCATCGTCATCCTCAATCTCAATATTATTCACTGTCCCAGAAACCCATGAATCACTCAATCGCTTGAGTTGTCATTTACAATTCATCCACTGGAAGAATGTCGCAGATGGTATTTTTAAAACATCAATTCAATAAGCACTAAACAGACAATCATAGCATGAACCAGAAAATGCCACTGCTTGCTGATTGATTATGATGATTGCCAAAATTTATTATATTAATTAATTAGTACTAACTTAAACTCAAATAAATTGTCACGTTGTACAATCCAATCCAAGTTATTCTCGTAATTTCTTCTTATTCCTTTGGCATAAAGGGACGATTATGATGAGGATGCGGATACAGATAATTAGATAGTTGCGTGTAAAACATGTACGTGTTGTAAGCATAAGGAAGGCAGACAGAAGGATCGGTAAGGAAAGGGAGTACCTATAGATCAGGAAATCTATTTCGCTTCTCACAATAATCGGATGGGATTTGAAAATTTTCTTCGGCTAAATTATCTCGAAATTCGAATTCTTGGAATGTGATTTTTGCCGTAATGGTGGGAAGAATTGGAATCTCTGCAAATGCAAGAATCAAGATTTAGCGATAGATTCATACATAAATATGCACTCTTGATTTGCATACCTATTTTTACTGGGAATCCTGGAGGTAACTTCATTGTAACAAATTCACGCAATTTTTTCAAGTGCTTGAATGGCGTCACTACAAATAAAACAAATAAGTACACAGTCGATTTCAAACATTGTTTCGACTTTTCCTTACCGATTTCCAATATGTTTAGCAACATCTCAACAGTCATAGGAAAATCTTCACTCTGTAAATAGTGTAGCATTGTTTTTAAGGTTATTTTAAAGTTATGTAAATAGGTGAAATATTTCAGTCATAGTTCAACTGACTGACCATGGCCATGGTTGCTTTGAACGCTTTCGATGAGGTTTTGCACATCTGCGGCCGTCCCAAATGGGGGGGACTACCAGGCTCAGCAAGAATATATTCGTCCCAGGTAATTTCAGGTCGTGGAGGGGGCGGCAACGATTCTCTTCTATTGTAGTCCTAAAGTAAATATATTTTGAAACGAATTAAATTTCCTGATCTGTGTTTTACCTACATTCCTTTACTGAAATTGTAATTGTTTCTTACGTCACTACTCAGTTCGAAATTGCTCGGACTAGATTTTGTCAAGCTTTCAATATTCAATTCCTTATTTTTTTGGAGGTCTTCTTCCGATAAATGCTCTCTACGCTTCCTCGTGTCCAGACTAATGCCAGATACTCCGTATACTTCGGACTTGAATGGTCCGACCTGTTGTAATATATGGGTACTTTAACGACGTTCAATTTAGTGAAATTTCATATTTATCACGCACCATTTCCCATTTATCTTCCCGAAAAATCCATCCCGATTGACTTCTTGCAAACTGAACTTCTTTCGTTACTAACTGAGCAACGATTATGTCACTGCTCATAAGGAGAAGGAAGATATTTTGTCATGAGTGACCATATTAGTAACATTTAATAAATTTACTAACCTGGACATGAGGAGATCGATTTCGTCGTCAAATTCCATTTCTGATTCCTATTCAAGTAAAATTAAAAAAATAGTTATAAGCTGAATCGCAATGTATCAGAATTTTATTATATTATACAAGTTGTATAATACAACAGTTGATATACCTTGTTGGTCATCAATTGGAACACTGCAAGTAACATTATGTCAGTATTAAACAAATTGCTGGAGCTAAACATTTATCTTTAGAGCTAACCTTTCAACTTATTGTCCATCACCACTAAAGGCGAATAGTTGTTGTTTCCACCTCCAATTTTGTGATGGACATGATTACCATTAAATACGAAAGAGATATCACCTTGAAGGATTTACATAAAAAGTTAATACATAAATGAGCAATTAACGAGTGTTTAGAAGTATTAGAAAGAGGCAATTACCTCGTTCCCACTTCATGTCGTTGAAATCTAGTAACGTTGTATCCAACCTAAAATTGTTAAAAGGTCATAGCTTAAGTTAAGTATAGATTTCCAATATTTGTAGGGCTTGAATTAAGTAAGGAAACTAAATTAAACAACATTTTTCTGTTCTTGTTTCCCGTTTTGTTAATTTAAATTACTAATCGCTTAAAGAGACACGTCCGAAATACAAATTTAACCAACCTTATTGAAGACCCTCGCTTATATATTTTACAGATGTCAGATGGCAAAATTCGCGAGACTAAAGGCACTGCAAATACATTAATTAATAATTGATTATTTCAATTTAATACGCATTGATAATGGCTTCTAATTGATAAACGACATACCCCAACTCTGAAAATCCCACTTCAACTCCATATAAAAATCTTGAATACGCTCGAGTGCTTTGATCAAATGGGGACGACGAGATGACATTTGTTCTCGGATCTGTTGTTTAGATTTTCGGAATAGGGAAATAACTGCAAATTACAACAGCATTTGTTAGCTTTCTTTCGATTACAATGTATAATTTCGTCCCAATTATAACTTATAATTTATAAGCACGATTTACTAACTGGTAGGGCGATCTCCATAACTAATAGATTCCGCTAGCGTGCTCCATCCTTTCAAATTTTTAGCCTTGACCGGTGCGCCGTGGGCCAGCAAAATTTGGACGCATTCTAAAAAGGATTAAATATATCAAATTAGAGATTTTCACATTTATTAATAATTCTTATTAAACATTATCTGAACCAGTATTACCTTTGTGTCCCAGCATTACTGCTATGTGGAGGGCAGTGTTACCTAAAAGTAGGAAAGTAATTAATTAATTAACCAATAAAAAGTAGTAGTACAAATTCACCCAGTTAACGATATTATATACAACGTACCGTGCTTATCTTTCTGTGCGACGTCGTCCCCCTGTCGCAAAAATGCTGCCAACTCTCGAACATTCCCTTCGAAGGCTGCCTTATGTAGAGGGAGGAGACTGTGGTCACTCCTCGACGACGAGGACGTCATCCCCCCACTTTCTCCGTTCGATTTCGTCAACTCCATCGGTAATTATCAGACTTGTAATTGTCAACTTTGCACAGCAACACACTTACTTAACCGGACGAAGAAGGGGGACAAACTCAATGCGCAGCTTGTATTAATGATTTAGAATAATTAAATATTTGCTGCTAATTGTTATTATTGTTAATTTTACGTCAAAATAAACAATCCATTTTAAAGTCAGCCGTTAGATATTGTTTAGTTACTACTAGGTCTCGTCTCTCGTCTGGTGTCTGGCTTTCAATTTACATTCTTTGCTACAAAAAAAGCCTCAAGGTCGTTATAAAATGGAGCACTTTTTTAATTGTTTTATTTATTTACAAATTATTAAGTCGTTCTCCTCACTTTATTTAATGTTTTGCTGTTTTTATTGATTTTATTATGCTTTTGGGGAGAACAACTTTCTCTCTCGCTCCCAATTCCTTCACACCACTCGAACCCACGAGACGTGCAACTCATGCACTACACACTCAACTCTCCGCAATTACTGCGTTGGAAATTGCTATTCGCTAATATTTGAAAAGTTTTGGCTAAAAAAAATCCGATATTTGGCAAGGTGTGGTTTGGCTGAATAATGAATTTTTCGACCAGTCGAGTAAACACGATAAGAAGGTTGTGAATTCGAGATAACACGTAAAGGTTTGACTCAAATCGTTCGAGTAAAAAAAATTAGGAAAGGATTATCATGTCACGTATGTATTTTGATGATGATAATAATGATGACCATGAGCAGATAACTATACCATTGGCGCACGAGTGATGTAGAAACTTATACCTACTTATAAGTTGATAACCAGCATTTTTTCTCTTGGTCGCGTGGCCAGTAATAAAAAAAACAATCTACTGACCTCTCTCCTGGGAAAGTATGGGATAAAGTCATCGTGCCTGTCAGGTAGGCATTATTACATAATTTTATGAACCATATTTAAGCATGGATGCACACCCACGTTCCAATAAATGTCATTATTATTATGTACATGCTACCTTTTGTGAACATGATTCAGCAAGTTAAACGATGACGAAGAGGTTACCTGACTCAGGTATGCGTTGGATCACCTACTCATCATCCTGGATTCGATAAGCTGACGGAGTAAAGAATTGCGAAATTCATGGATAGCATGTCATATATTCAGGTTTATTTATCTTTGCACAAAAAATTATGATCACCCACCACCTCGTCATAAAAATAATCTCTGGACAAATATTGATAAATTAACTTGCTTGCGTTGCCAATTACTGGTGCGTGTATATTCTTTTATAGTGGTAGATTGAGCATTATTTGGTAAAATTGAGGTAGAAGAAGATTGGATGGGTGTAATCATTCATCATTAACTGAATGATGGAGGGGAGGGGAGGGTGCATGCATAAAATAGTGCAATGCAGATATTTCATATTCGATTGTTCCTTCCTTATGTCGTGGGGAAAGTTTTGGTCGTGAACTTGGTGCTGGTGCTGGTGGTAGACTGGACTGGATGGGTTTGCTACTGGGTGGGTAATAATTGGGAAATGGAGTTGCGAGCGACTGCATATGAATGAATGGGAGGGCGGGTGAAAGTAAAGGAAGGTTGTATCCAGCCAGGAGAGAAAGCAGGATGGAAAGCAGTACCGGGTTGGTTGGGTTTGGGTGGAAAATGTTGGGAGAGAAAGTCCCAGTCTACTCATGCTCCTTGCTTGGTTGGTGGCGATATTAGTCAATGTTCGTACACTGCTCTGGATGTTAATATGTTCCCATTACTAACAATTTGTCAAAAAGCATTCCTAATTTCGCAGATTTTTTTCTGTGAATTTAACATTCAGTTCAGTCCATCCATGTCAATAAGTAAGTATGTACATAAATAAATACTCCTCGCAAACTGGTAAAGCGACATGTATTTGCATAATATGCATTTATTTATACAAATGTCCCAGTACATACATGCACACACAGATGCGGTATATGTTTTCTTATCCAATTTGCAGGTGACTATACTTCTTACTCGTTACATTTTTGGCAACGAAGCCCACATTTTTCAAAGTGCGAAAACTGACTGAAATTAATCTCGTGGTATTCGGTCTCCTTTTTCTCAAAGGAGGAGATTACTTCTTTTCAATTCCGGATTGCAGAACAAGGTTTCAAGGTTCTCTTTTTGTGCGAGACTATTCTGGCCTGGCCTTCATTTCCTATTCAGTAGTTTACTTTACGGGAACATGACAGCCATTATTTTTCGTCAAAGTTTCACGTGCGTTTCAAACAAGATGTTATTTTTTCTTGGGGTAGCGCACTTCTGCAGAAAATGACGGGTTGATGATAAATTCTATTTTTAACTTGATTATGCCCGTGGTGGTTGAATCTTGACAGTTATGGTTTAGAGACAAGTAAAATTTCCCAGTGTTCCTAGTAATTCGTATGTTGTTACTTAATAGATTTAGCTACACGTCGATTGCTAAAACTTTTAAATTGGGTCTATTTTTTTGATAATTTATAGATGCGTCGATAGTTGATCTAGAATATGTAGGAGGATGTTGGATGCATTTTATGATGAATGAACCAAGTCTAATAAATATGATATCAAGCATTGTTATAATAAATGTCATTCCATGATATGCGATATTAGCTGTTCCAGTTGTTGAAATGAGGTGAGAGAGGACTAGTTTTCACAAAAAAAAAATTAAAACTTGATTAAGAAGTACTACTGATGAGTGTGTGTCAAAATTAAATGCAAATTCAACTTTAGTAGCTCATCTGAAAGTAGAGGTGTGTTAGTTAAATGGACGCAAAGATTCTAAATTAGAAATAAAATACACACGTATGCATTTTATGACATTTCTTTGAAATATTTGTTAACATTTTTATTTATTTAGGTACACAGCTTGGAAAGACTTCCCCAAACCTACATACAAAATCCTGACGCTTGGGCGATGCAGAGATTTTTCAAACACTTGCCAGCCCACGCGCAGGTCATCTTTCTCAATTTCTAAATCATCAACGCCTCCACCGACCTTATTTTATTATCCTCCTTCCTGAAGAATTTAAAAGAACTGGAAGAATTTTATGCAGAAAACACAAGACATCATAACCACCCCGGTTGACATTCACTTAGCAGATTTGCCCCACAAACGTCGACTCCTCCCATCAGTATCATCCATGAACTTAATTCTTTCTCCTGCCAGAGAAGCATCCTACCCGAGCATTAAAGAATTCGATTTCGGAGCCCAAAACCCGTACGGATGGCCTAAAAAGCGAGTGACAACTCTGAATGAAAGCATTTTCTTAAACTTTGCCAGGATTTTTTCATGAATTGAAAAGGTGGGTGACTTTGATGGGATGGGGAGGAATGGTACGTCATTTTGAAAAGCATTCTCCAAACCCGACCATGAAATGGATCATGGAAAATTTTGAGAGACAAGTTAACGCCACAACTACAGTAAAACAACAGGATGTCGTTGTAATTAACTCTGAAAATGATGTTGCTGGTTATAGTGCTTATCTTACCGTGGAGAATGCCCTTGATAAATTTGGTGTGTCTACTAAAAACGCGACCGATTTCCTAATTGAGGCGGATACCGGAACAGGAAAACGAACGGGACGGGAGATCACGCCAATGGAAAAGTTATGATATCGTTACACAAATCTGGGCTGGTTCCCCCATCGATTCAATTTGTCTACGTTCAGATAATCATTGGTAATGGATGAATTTTAGGGTAGGCGAAGGGTCAACAAAGGTGGTGGGCGTAGAAATGGTGGACTAATGTAATTACCAAATTTTACTTCGTAATAAATCTCCCAATTTTCACGCATTAAATTTTATTGGACGTTAAAAGAAGACGTTATTCCATTCAGTTTGTTATGCATGCATGCAATAAACGAAATAACTTTGGTTTGCTGGGGAAATCTTGTGCTGCGTCGTATTTCGATAATAATGTTCAATCCGAGATCAATGATTTGTTTCATTAGCATAATGCAACGCTGACCTTGTTGAAAGGCAGAAGAGATCTATGATCCGATCGAATCCCATAAAAAAGGAGGTTTATTAATGGCGTAGCGATTCTCATCATTCTTCAATCTGCAAATTGCATCATGTTACATAAATATGCCAATTCCGGAAGTAATACATTTGTCGGGTGCTGATGACTTGATACTTTTTCTATGTATCTGTTCCCAGCAGGGTCTTGAATCTTCCTCCATTTCATTGTTGATATTTATTCATTTAAGATTTATAATTTTACCATTTTAGGCTAAATTTGACATATTTGGGAGTTTTGTATCTATCTATCTAGCACATCATTCAGCGCGACCTTCTCAATCCCAATATTGACATTGACAGCTCAATAGTCTTTCTGTGAAGGAATCACAAAAGTAAATTGATAATCTTGATTCTGCAGCGTGTAAAATCTATATAGCTTCCGGATGATAGTGTGTGATGTGCATATTTAGAGGATCATTGTTTGTCTATTTTACATATGCACCACTCAAATACAACAACAAATACTAATGCGATGTGATTCATGAATAAATACATAAACATAAATATTATGTACAACGGTAGGCATATGTACATAGCTTTAACTGTGTAGGCGCCACATCCAAGTAATTACAATTACAAAGTTATCTCTGGTCTCTCTCTCTCTTTGGAACAACGACGACCACCACAAAACATTAGAGTTAATGAATGACAAGGTGATTAACTTATGTACACGAGTCATTGGACCTTCATCTTCTCTGCGTGTCAATTCTATGGTCAATCCTTCCTTCAAATTGTATGTTCAATGGGCTGTACATACATAAGTATGTTCTCACAGTTGGTTATGTATTTATGTACTTGTGTAGTCAGTTATGTATGTATTTATAGTAGTAGGTAGGTAGAGATCTGGTCACTTGAATATCATTATGCAAATACTTACAGCCCATTCACCTTCATGCCCTCCTCGACCGGAAGAATGCATTTTAGAACGGAAAATAATGCGTGATATTGTTTGAACCAGTAGTAATTTCGTAACGTATAAAACGACAAGTTCCGCTAAAAATACAAGCCATGCAAATATGCAGAACCTCATTTATGTATTGTTGAGCCAGATTATGTATAAATTTTGGCATGATTCACAACATTTTTATTTTGTGTAATATTTTTACTGCTTGACCGGACTGACGAGTGAGTGTGTCATTACTACTAGATTTTTAAATCCCCTTTATACTTACTTTATTTGCATTCAATTTTTATATCACCACTTCAAGCAACTGGGATGGGATACGCCAGGCTGGACTTCCGCTGACATAAAAACTAGGTAGGTACAAACCTTTTATGCAAACGGATGGGCGAGAAGAGGTAGCGAATAGGTTTTAAAACCCCTTGTTGATTTTGAGTTTAGCGTCCTGCACGATTTTTTTATGTATGCATTTAACTGTCCATCCATACGTATTTACATTATGCTAAAGTTTTAAAATATAGTTCCACCATGACCAATGGCCTGTGATGACATGAATCATGCCTCCATTTGCAAAATACTTGCCATGCAGTATCCAACTAAATATCCCTCTTAATACTTTTTTACGCTCTAATGTTCACCTTCCTGTGCAAGTGTGCGTGGCGTAATTGTGGTCGATGTAAGTAGTAAGTGAATGATAACTTTTAATGCTACGTTATAAAACTAAATAACTGCATAATCATTGATGGATGTCCGGCCGAGGTATTAAAATGCAAAGTAAGTAAATAAATGCAAAATAAATTGGTATCTGTGTGTGATTGCCCAACATGCTACATCACGTAAATATTATACCTATGCACATACACGTCACTATTTATGTAATACAAATACATAAGTAACTTGGTCATTAAGAGTAGACTTGCTTTAAAAAAAACAGCAGTTTATTTTCTAAATGGTTATGAATTTAGTACAGATTACTGGAACAGCTTGAAATGCGATGAGACGAGAAGAATGAGGAGGAGGACACGTCATCTCCTTTTGTTATTCTGCATGCATGCGTTGCCCATTTATAAATTGGAAGGACAATTATCAACTAAATAATTACGGCAGCGATGTAGTAGGTAAATTGTTTTTAAGGTGTACCTATTCTCTCGCTCGCTCAAGTGCAAGTCCAGATTTCAAGGATTTCCAGTATAACGTCAACGTCTCTCCTCCCCTGTATTTACAAACCTCCTCTTTGATCTCTCATCCCTGCCGTGATGAGTTGTGTGCCATGTACGTAGTAAATAACTTAATGAGAAATAGTTTCCTTTAGTTTATTCTGATTGGACAATGCTCAGGAACAGGTCATTTGTTATGGGAAATATCATTCTGGAAATAGCGTACAAGAGGTTGTTTACTGCGTTTAATCAATCTTCTCGTCCTCACGGAGTTCATGTCTGAAAAGTTTGTTCAGCTTGGAGCAATGTTCTTCCAGTCTCTCTTTTCTGACACAGCAAAACTACACATTGTCTTCAGTTTTGTGATCAAGCGTTGGTGGGTGCAGTAAAGTAAAGGTCAGTAAAAAAAATTCATTGTTTAATTTCAGTAGATATGCACAATTATTGCGTGGAATTGCAAAATAAAAATAATTATTGGCGTGATTCAAGTAATTATTGGAGACTTTGTTATTAACATTTTCTTCCAATTTTGCCTAATTCCTGGTTAGCTCGCCTCGCATATATTCTTGAGTACTTTTATTTTTATTGCTGTATTGCCTTAAGACTTATTATTACACAACCTCCGGACGGGAATTTACAACCTTGCTTAATCCATCCAGCCACCTTGACGTATTTGTAGCATAGTAAGAAAGCAAACCTTGAGTTGAGCAAAAAAGTTGAGTGTTTTCCGTCCTGTGTGTGTGGGAAAATAATTCAGAAATAATTCAGTATTTTGCAGATTGTGCTAAAAACATGAGTCTAGTCTTCCTTTGACAGGACAAATTAAATACTAACCTGGCTCAGTCACTTAGTTAGATTAGTTAGCCAGATAATCTGCACGCGGCACGGTATGAAATGAATGTGCATTAACTTTTAATAACAAAAAGTTAATTAAATCGCATCACATCCTCGTCTCATTAAGGGCAACTTTGTCTGTAAGAAAGTGTGCAGCTTGGCGTGGCTGGCCTTCATTTTCTTGCAGCACAAATAACTGTCAAATGTCGCCTGAGCTGAATAACTGCGAGCATAACGACAACTCTTTCACAGTTTCTTGATAATGCGGAATGAATCAAAATAATAGCGTGTATCGTCATCCTACATATTTTAGGTAGATGTCTATACGCCATACGTATATCTTAATTTGTACATATACACGGTGGCGTATTAGATCCATACCACGCAAAAAAATGGACTCACACCACGCGTCCAAGAAGTGATCAAACTTTACAACATGCAAGCGCCACCAGGACTTTGACTTATTTTTTATCCGCGAGCTAAGGTGATTTCTTTATCGAGGAGGGAAAGAAGATTATTCATCCCCCTTTCTCGACTTTATACATCAATCAGACGTGATGGCAGGGAATAGTACGCCACGCCAACATCGATCCAACCTGAGAGGTGTCATAATAATCTGGAATTCCTGGTGGAATAATACACATGTGGCTATTGTCAGTATCGGTAAATTTAGGGATGACATGTTGCTAGTGGCATGTACAGAAAATAATAAAATACCTACATTGGTTTGACCAATTTGGAATTCTCATCTATCTATCTGGATAATTGGTTCGAGTAGATAGCACTTAACTATCCATACGCATCCTCCTCTAGCTGGCTGGCATGGCATCTGGATAGATACGTATCGCCTTCATGTTACATAAATCCAAGTGATTCGTCTAGACCACTTCCATAAGGATTTCGCAATAGTGATTTTTACACGAGGGAAGATGCAAGTTCTTCTTCTTCTCAGCATACATAGCACAGAATTACACCTTTTCAGAGTCCCATTCCTTCAACTAAAGAACTCGTCTTCTTTCTTTTGATACCTGTGCGGTGGTGAAGATGATGATGATGATGAGCCCCCATAAAACTTGGCTCTGGTTCAGATTATCTCGCTATCTTCCCCTAACAAAAGCCGCTTTTGTTGTTAACTTGATTTGGCGTGGATTGGACGTGGTACAGGTTTTTGTGTTTGCATTTATGTATAGAAAGAGCATAATATGCTGTTTGTGAGAGAGAGAGGGCTTTAACAGTTTTTTTTGCTGCTATGTACAAACCCCAAGTTGCAACCAGCTAGCTATTCGTACTATTTTGTTGAGAAGTTGTGATGCTAAACCATGGTGAACTTGGTGCAGGAGAACCAAAACGCTTACATGAATATACGCTAGCTACAACATATTGGCAATGTAATCTACTCCTCGTGCAAGTTCAACTCTCGAGTCAATTTCTGTTTGGGGTCTGACTTGGGCGCAAGCAAAATCTCATCGGTCGTGTTGTTACACGTACAGCACATTTTTACTACTTTTCTCCCATTACATACTCCGTCTACAATTGCGAATCTCCCTGTCTGGATAAGTGCCTATCTTACACAAACCAAACCACTGACTGATTATATACAAATACATACTCACAACCGATTGCAAATTAATCCTTCGTTCGTTATGCAACTTGCTGCATACGAAACTAGTGCACAAACAAAGTAAAGAAAGAAGTAACCCAAGTAAAAAGTATCACAGGACGAAACCTCAATCAATCTTGAATTGCTTCTCTGTGGGCAAGGATCTGAAACTGCTCGGTAAATAAATATTTCTTTTTTTCTTCTCTCTGATGGGTGCACGCTGAAAAAACGCTGCATACACTGCCAAAGTATAACTATGTGGAAGTAGTTTAAGAATGTAACAAAACTTTTATCGGGTGATAAGTTGATAATTATAATTTCTTTGCCTCCTCTACTTCGGCATCTTTCCAAGTAAATCGTATCTCTGAACCTGTTTCACCAACAAAACGCTATTCATCCTTCAGCCGATCGGGTGCAAATCTTTCTCTCAACCCAGCCTCGTACATATTAGTTATATCACCACTTGTTTTATTCTGCCATGATACACTTTCTCATTTTATTTTCGTCTAAAAAACCAAAGTATGTAACACACTTGGCTCCAGTTCAGCTTCTTCTTTTCGTGTAGATTATACGTACGAACGGGGGACGGAATAAGTACATAGCGTGCTCGTAATTCCTCTGCGGGTCGAATTGCCTACTCTATTACTGCTGATTTCTTTTGAAACGATTGCCAAAAAACTAAATGACTACAAGGAAATATTGGTAGTAAATGTAAGACGTACTTAAACTTTAGGTCCACCAACTTGTGCATATGTACATACAGCCCTTTCTCTCTTCAATCATCACCCAGGGAGGCAGAAGGTTTGGTTGATTTTCTGTTCTCCAAGACTTCAATACCACCACCTTCGTCGTCATTTTAGACTTATGTAAACCTTTTGCTTGGGTGAAATACATATCATAGCAGAAGAACGGATACAGTGTGTGTGGATATTGTCAGGAGATCGGGAGCATTGAATTGAGGAGTGCATTACAGCAATGTAAGTTAAGTAAGGTGTACATACTGCATACCGTGTGTAATATATGGTGATTAAGCTTACCTGGTTGGTGGTTTTCATTCATGTGAATTGAATCGTGGGTTGTTGAGCTTGCACTTTATCCGACGACCCTTCTTCTTCCTCCTCTCGAGCTAAGAATAGTCCTCTGGTACCTATTTACACAATCTCTCTCCTCTTTCTGAAGTATCAAGTAAGCAGTTAGAATTTGTCAAGTGTTTGCTATGCAGCATGCGAACGAGAGAAGGATTATTATTCAGGAGGTAGTTTCGCATTTATTCCACTCAGCAGGCCCCAGTTCAACGTGCTACTTTTCCAAATCTAAATTAAGCAATGTGAGTGAGTGAATTCGTTCAACTTTATAAGTATCCATAATTTTTCTGGAAGTGATGATAAGCGGTGAGTACGTTTTATGGCAAATTTAAGAAAATTGGTATGGCTGGGAAGGTATGGAATCCTGAATGGGTATTCATCACGCTGTTCTATTTTCTGTGGTCATTTATTATCTCAAACCTAATCTTAATCGGTGACTCATTTCGTTTCATGGGCGAATATTAGCTTGATTTTGTTGTGTTCCATCATCATCCATCTAACTCGTGTAAATATGTACATATGCAGTTTGTTTAATCCGCAGTGTGTGTAATATATCACGGGAAACAAAGAGTAGTGTGGGTGCATTTAAGTTGGTGAAGCTATCAATGAAATGAAATGACCACTTGAACATTATCACAACAATTTGTTATCCAGTGAGAGAAGGTTGTATGCGATTGTTCAACTCATTCATTCACGAGCTGCATGCGGAATTATGGAACAACGTAAACAAAAACATGTCATAATCTTCGACAACTTTTGCTTTTCATTGTTTCATTGTTTGTTGTGATGGTTGGGGACTTTAGTTTTGCGTTACAAGCACGAATATGTTTCATGGAGACGTCGATGCATAATTGGGACAGATAGATATTAATGCTTTCATGCATGTTCCGCGGGATGTGGAGCGTATTACGTGCGGTATTTTCCTAAAGTAATTGAAATCCGAGTCAGTCCTAGTCAGTCATCATTAATTAATTAATTGATTTTCGTGATTTCCAGTCGTCCGGACAAACAGCCATTAATGTAATTGGCCCAATTTGTCTTACTGCTCTTGTCAGTCTCGTTCGCTGTAAACTATTTGTAATGATGAAGGTGTACGTGCAGTGTGCAGCCTCAAATTGAGATGTCCTCCCGTTCATAATTTAGCACGTGAATGAAACAATAAGCAGTTTACTTTGAAAGGGAAGTTAGCGATGGAATGGAGGCAAACCAGAAATCCTTAATAAATGTTAAATGATATTTTGTGTAATTAGTTATGTCATTGGCTGCCTGGCTATTTGGTCAATTGCGTCTGTAGCTCAATCGTAGCATTAATATCCTTCCAAAATTGGATAGTGCAGTGGCAAGAAGGAAATCTGGTCTAATAATGTCAAGTTTTCTTAATTTTTGTTGACTTTGTGGTGCACCTGCACATTAATTTTCTTTACCTTGGGCTACAAATGGTGCGTACAAAGCAAATACTTGACAAAATAGAGAGAGAGATGAATTATATCATAACATGCAGCAATTACTTCTCGTTCATCCAATCCCATTACTCGTCGTGCACTTTGAACTGTCGCGTAGTTGGTAAAACCTTGTCCCAACGTGATGGACAAGAAAACTGGACGAGACAGACATTAGTCATCATCGCCTTCGGAATGCATTTAAAATTCTACTTCTCAAATTGCATACATATTCACGTCAAGCAAAACGAGTCTGATTAATGAAAATGCGGAAATCTTTCAACAGTTTCAACACGATTCGCTCGCAATAGGTACGCGTTAAACTGGGTGATGTTCGATGAGTCATCCATCCACCCTCCTCGTGGATGAATAAGACCAAGCTTTTCGATTCGACTCAGAGTTTAAGAGCATGATTCAGTTTGCTTTAACAGAACTTCTTCATGAGCTTTAGTATGACTCGTTCTTCTTTGTGCGGATAATCATAACAAAATTTCGCACATATGCCAATATTTGGTTACGCGTTGAATGAAAATATTTACGAGGACTAAACGGCATTGACAAATCCTATTTTTTTTTTTTTTTTTTTTTTTTTGTGAAATTAAGACTTTTATTAACATAAACATTGATAAACAAGTTTGGCAAGTTAATTATTTATTAACATAAACATTGATAAAGTACGAAATACACTTAGTTGGCTTGGGGAGTAGAGGAAAAACCCGATGTTGGTGGGTTGGGAAAACCTTTACTTGATCCGGATAGGCGTCCGAGATCACCATTCGGCCCCTTACAGGATTTTTGTAAATAAAACGACCTATCGTTTAAAATATAAAATAATTCTTCTAATCCTCGTTGACTGGGGACAGCTCCCATGATTGATGCCGCATTCCCGCGTTGAACTGCCAAACTGATCCGTTGAATGAGAAATGTTGTTGACATTGGTCCAGTGACATCCTTCATCCTCCTCCCAACATCTGTGATGAACTTCAACCCTTCCATCCCCCATACTCCTGATGTCTCGACAGCCACCGGAACAAAGATATATTGTTTTTCAAGTTCAGAGTAAAGTTTGTGTTTTTTGGTCTCGGCTAGTTTTGCTGCTGTGCCAGCATGTCTAAGTGTGTGAGAGAGATAAGAGGGGGCAAAAGTGTCTGTACATGTAAAGTCCCATATTAGTGAGCGTCCCTGTTTGTAAGGTATTAGTGTTAGACCATCCGGTCTTTTTCCATCTGTCCTACAACACCCTAATGGTTCCCTAATGCTTGGTATGTCTGCAGAAATTAAGGCTCTCTTTATTATGTCGTTACATTGTGTATGTCGAGAGTGCCTGCCAGCACTTTTTTTACATGAAAGGCCATGTAATCCTAGTTCATCTATTTGTGTACCACAAACACATTTATGGGGGAAACACAATTTTAAACCTAACCTCAAACCAATTGCAATCCTAAAGGAATTATCGTCTAAAAGTGTGCCTAAATTCCTGGATGGTAAAGCTTGCAACCATGCACTTGACTCTTTTGACCGAGATGCCAAAATCCTAGCGGTATTAATTGGGGTGGTGGATGAATCCAGGATACGTGAACATACTTGATTAAAAATTGGGATTTCCCATGATGATTGAATAGAGGAAATTGTACTGCGAGGTAGTTCATCACAACTAATCGACTTCCACAAGTCTTGAGCCTCGGTCACAAGTGAATCGGACAAAGCAGTGACATATGAGGGCAAAATTAAAGAAACCAAATCTGTAGTGGCAAATGAAGATGCAAGGAAGCATGGAGTTGCTAAAGTTTTCGATTGTTTAATTCCCAAACCTCCTAATTTAACCGGCAAAGCTATTTCTTCTAGAGATAGAGGATTAATTTGGCAGTTTGTAATCTGTTCTAAAGTATCATGGAGCAAAGAATCGAACTCTTCTAGCAAGTGAGGAGATTTAAAAATTGGGGCTGCCCTCAGTAGGTATACTAATCGTGGAATCGCTAAAGAATGTTTCAAGAGATAATACGCAATATGGTTGGGAATGGAGTTTAATCGACCTGCCATATTAGAAAAAGCGTTAATCTTTTTGCGAAAAACGTGCTCAATTGATTCATACGTTAAAGGTGCACCTAAAAGTTCAGCATTTTCCTGAGTCATACATGAAATACCTGGTGCAACTGATTGGAAAGATTCTAGTATACATTGCGTGTTGGTTTGTAGACCTAAAACTGAAACCTCACATTTATCAAAGTTTAATTCTAAACCTACTTCATTTGCACACGAGATAATATGTTTGAAATCGTCTAAAACTGTAGTAGGATCGCCACCTAATGTACCATCATCCAAGTACCACATATTAAATTCTGACCCTAAATTTGAAACGACTGGATGTAGAATCAAACAAAAAAGTGGTGGACCTAACGGATCCCCTTGTTGAACACCTCTACATGATTCAATTAAAGAAGAATTCCAGACAAGGCTGGATGAGAATCTATAGCACTGATTAATATAAGGATACAAGGTTGGTACAAGTTCGTGAACGGATGAAAGCAATTTCCCTCTATCCACCATATTAAAAGCATTTTTGAAATCTATTTTAAGAAAGGCTGTGGGTGACTTATGTGGAAAGGAAAGGAATCTACGGGCAGCGTGTGCTCCTGCTTCAGCACCATTTTTTACATTGAAACCTACTTGGACTGGACTAAAATAATCCTGAAAGACATGATTCATGACCTTGACACAAATTTTTGAAACTATTCTACGATAAGTGCAACCTACTGCAATAGGTCTAATACCACCTGATTTCTTTTTAAGGGCCGTCAGACTTGCGCCATAAATGAAAGGACAAATATCTAAAGGAACTTTTCCTGCTAACATAAAATTGCAAAATTTTGTCATAGATTCTAACAATTGAGTTCCTACGTCACCAGTATGTTGTGAAACTAAATCTTTCAGAATTTGTGGTCGTAATGCATCTAAACCCCCTGCTGAACCACTAGGAAATGAGAATATTGCTGAGATAACCTGTTCTACTGTTGTTGTAAAAGGTGGAATGTTAGGCTCATCTAAAACAGTAAAATTATCTAAAGGTTGTGGTGGGTGCTTTTCTACAAGTGTTTCCAGAGTTTCTGAAGAATTTGGGGCGATAATATCATCTGAAGTTAAAAGCCGAATTGCACCACGAATATTTCCTTCGGATACTTTAGATATGACTTTTGGCCCAATGTCCTTGATGGTGCTACCTGGTTTATCATGGGCTGAATTTTTGGAAGAGAGAGTAATGAGATAATCCTGATATGTATTTTTGTCCAAAGATTCAAATATGGATAAGTTGTTTCGGATTTTGCTATTAAGGCTTTGACCATTTTTAATATTTGCCTTTGATTCACATTGCAATGTAATATATGGAAAGGTCAAAAGGAGATGCCATGCCTCTGGAGTGTTTTCACTTATACATTTATCTACGGCGGATTTAAGAACTTGGGCTACAGGGATCCTACAGGCCTTTGGACATTGTTTAAGAGAAGGACAATTTTGCCTAAGAGATGAAATGATAGTTTGGAAATCAAAAACCGAGTCAGCACTGTGTTCTGATTTAAACTGAATCCCTACGTAATGATACTTCGAAGTGCTATGAAGTTCTGTCCTAAATCGTTTGGTCCTAATGTTTGAAAATGAATTTTTTATCAATTTACCCATTTCTGCATCGTTAATGGGTTTAAAAATGCCTAAGGAGTCTCGTCTATAAGCGTCATGTAATATAGCTTTCTCAATTACCCCCCCGGGTACTATGTGGTTATTTAGCCATTCTAATGTAAGGGATGTACATGTTTCCTTGCTAGATATAAAATTTGAAAGTGGTGTACTTAATGTAGAAATTGGTTGTGATGCACGTGGATTTGTAAAGGGGATTGACTGTGTGAGTTGAATATGTGTGCCTAGATAAGATTGATTTGCTGGCGACGATGTGTTTGAGTTTATTTGGGGGCCTATTTGTGTATCTATTTGGGGACAGTTTGCGCAGAACCAGTCACCTTCAGGAATGGCCTGCAAGAAAAGGCAAGAGGTGTGATACCAAATTAAACATGCATTACATAGAATCCACTCATCTGTTCCAATTGATGATGGTCCTGGGCAGCCCGAAACCGGGCAGAAAAGGTCCTCGAAAACGGGATTCAAACCCTCGGTGGTATGGGGGAGTGGTTAGGAGGATGTGGGAGGAGGAAGTTTTCTTGGTTTGGTCCTCTTCTTCTGCTTATTCCTCTTCTTTCTTGGTCCTGGATGTGGTCGTGGTGATGATGATGACGGCGGCGGCGGGGATGACGACGATGACAGCGGCAGCGGGGTTGACGACGATGAAGATGACAGCGGCAGCAGCGGGGACGATGACGATGACGGCGGCGGCGGGGACGATGAAGATGACAGCGGCAGCGGGGTTGACGACGATGAAGATGACAGCGGCAGCAGCGGGGACGATGACGATGACGGCGGCAGCGGGGACGACGATGGCTGTGCAATGATTTTTCCGGTTTCAATTCGGTAAAATACTCCGTTGAATGGTGAGCTTCTATCGAGATCGGACGACTCAACTTTCGCAATTTGACTCCCACCGACAAAATCTAACTGGGTGGATCGGGATGTTTCATTATGAGTCGAAACAGGTGAATCTAAAACTTGAATTGTAGCGTTATTTGCAGACAGTAGAGGGTTGGGGCATAGCTGACGACATTGCGGTGGTCTATTGAACAGTGGCATTTTGGCAATGATCCAAAATCCAATAAGATAATAGTATTGTCGCTCACACAATGGCGAAACTCGTGGCGAAACTGGTATAATTCTCTTTTGGAATTAGGCCTGTCCTTATGTACATACGTACAAATCCTATTAGTTTTCCTCTTCGCTACGTGGTGATGACTTCATGCATAGCCATTTAAGCATTTTATACACAAAATTAGTCAAGATTTTGCCATTCTTGAAGGTTTAATGTCCTGCATTCAGTCGTGAAGTGAAGTTGTACTAGCGGATTTGAGATCTCGTCTTGTTCTTAAAAATAATACTATTACTTTTTTGCCATTAGTGAATACCTAGTGACCATTTAAATCATCTCTCGTTGTTCCGTTGTTTTCTTCACTAATAAAAACCGAGCTTAATAAGGACATAAAAATCGCCACATCAGACACTTCTATATAAGTCAAACCCACTATAAATTACGTCACTCTAATTATCTAGGACTCAAATTTCACTATTTTCTTCGTCGTCGCATTGTCTCCAAGAAACAAGGGGTACGTTTACGTTTTACTATTTGCTATATATTTATTTATCATCGATAACAATTGATAGCAGAGTTTCTAATTTGGTTGGGAGAGATCTTTAGTTGCGCCATAGTTGGAAGTATTTAAAAATGATTTATTGTCGCACCATTCATATCCTGCTAAATTATTCATATGGTTGCGAAAATCGCGGATAGTTCGTGCAAATAAATTCGCGAGAAGGATTAAAGAGAAGGATTTGAGATATTAATACCTAAGTGAGTGATACATACGTATTGCCTGGAATTTCCCCAAGTTTGTTGGAGGAGGCAGGGTGAGAATTTATTCGCATTCATTTGCACACTACTAGAAAACTTGTTGAGTGAGTGAGATGTTTGTCTCCATCCTAATACTTAAGAAGGGAAATGCGATTATCAGTGAATGTATCGCTCCGTATTTCATTTCAAGTGGAATTTGATCTGGTATTATCTCCATAAATGTTTTATTTATGCCTCGTTCCGTCATCCTCTTCGTCGGTGGCGTTGCGTTGGTGGTGGCGATGACCACAAAAGCAGTCATGTACAGACTAAAGTAAACATCATTAAGTATAAAGCCGTTCATTCTTCAAGAGAGAGGGACAAGCAGACGTAATTAAACATTAATTGGGGACATGAGTGTGCAAAGAGATTCTGGATAAGTGGTGAATCTTGACGATTTAGTCGGTACATAAAAAAGACTCAACCTACCGCTGATATTAAGTCCAGTGCAATTTGTGCAAAATTGCAATTTGGAACATAGCACTGCGTACGTAAGAAAGATTGGCTTTCTTTGTTTGACACTTTTGCTTACTTGTGCAGAAAAGTTCATGATCCTTGATGGTTCAACTGCTAACGTATAATTTTACTTGGTTGGACGAATACAACAACGCAATTATTTATGATGCGTGTTACGATGTGGACTTGGTATTTATAAAGGACAGCAGGAAATTGTAGTACAAGTTCGCGCACATTGTAGCATAGGGAATTGTATTACATAGCATAATAAATAAGCAGTGCTTAGTTGGTAGAAGACTAAGCGAGATTTGCAATTTTGTAAGCAGATCGACATTTTATTAAATTACTTGTTGCAGCGTAGACCTTGAATAAGTGACAAGTCAGTCAGTAGAATCGAGTGGCAACTAACAATGCATTACAATTTATTAAAGTCACCTTGTCTGCTTTTTTAGCGTTCTTCTCCCATTAGTTTAGCCTGTAGCGCATTCTGTTACTGGCATAATTCTCGCTTTTTCTTTATAGACTTATGTATAGCTGAAATTCAGCAACAAATTCTTTTCTCATTGTTGTCGTGTCGTTTAATGATTTGAGTAATTGCATAATACACTTGATTATGTCGTATTCTCGGCATGAAGTAGTATTAGCAATTCTATTATTACTATGATTTGTGGTTTGGTTTGGTCCGGATTTTTGCATAAATGTTACATACGAATACGTACAAATTTCACGTTTGACACGCTTGACACGCGTTTGACCACTATTTTTGGTGCTGCGGTGCTAGGAATAATTTTGCATACAATTGAATAGATCGAGTCCAACTATTTGTACAAGTGCATTTGTACTTATCATCGATGCATATTTGTTTATGATACTACATGAGCTGGAGAGTACGGTTTAATTCAAACAACAAAATGATGTACATACCTATCTATGCGTATCAGCACAGCCGTATGCAAAATAGTACACATTTTATCAACACATAATATAAATTAAGCTGAGCATTTGTTAATGATATCACTACTGCGGTATCACTATTACTTTACTTTACTTACATATGTACATATGGCTGGATAATTGAATTGGATGAAATCATAATAATTATGTCATTCGTTTGTAATTGCAGGAAACAGGGACTGATTGATCTACAGGAAAGTTAATAATTACCCACAAACGAAAAGTGTCTGCGTTTCGTCACTCATTGAAGTAGTGCCTTATCAAACGGAATTAATTGACCACTCGCTATCCGACAAACTTAAAATATTCAGTGTTTCATAAACTTTAAAAATGTCCGGAGGACTGAAAATGTTACACAGTGACATATCTCCGAGTAAAGATAATCTCATCTTCTCCTCGCTGGAGGACCTCCAAATTCCTTCCATGGACATGTCCGCCAACAAGAATCACAACGCTGCTCAGGACTCCAAGGAGAAACTGACGCGAAACAACTCCCTCAATTTGACCAAGAACAGTGCGAAAAGTGAAAACAAAGTGAAAACGCATCACCGCACACGCACCTCGGACCACATCCAAGTCCTTCCCGACCCCGACGCCCTTTATCAAGCGAGGAGACAGCATCAACACAATTTGATCCTCGTCCAGCAGCAGCAACAGCAGCAGAAATCCATCCTGATTCGAAACGGCAGCAGTGGCGGGATGGAGGGAGGCGGTGTTGGGAAGGGGGACGACCATAAAAATGATTATGACACGATTGAAGAGGTCGAAAGCCAATCTGAGCTGGGATCTTCGGAGGGTGGTCGTCGTTACGCGGATGACAATGGACCACGCGTCGTCACGGTGGATGAAGAAGTTGGATCTTCGTGCTGTTGGGGATTCAGGGTGAGCAGTGTGGATTTTTTTAATTGTTGCCGACTTGCATTTTAATAAGTTTAAATGATCTCATCCAAATTCCTGACGTGAGTTTTTTTGCGTAGTTGATAATTTTGGGGTTGAGATTGAGAAGGGAGAAGATTTTTGTGTGCGTGGGCAATAATTAAACTCACAATGGAGGCGCAAACCATGTTCAGCCCAGATAATTTTTGGACCTTATTAGTTTGAAAGAGCAAGTCTTTACAAACAACATTTGGTTCGGCACTTGGGCAGATGCGCAAATTTCAGCACGTTATGGGCGCCGCAAGTTCGCAAAAACGCACGAAGTTGAGCTCGCGCTGGGCATTGCCCGAAAAATCGTGGGTTTTTGCGAACTTGCGGCGCCCATAACGTGCTGAAATTTGCGCATCTGCCCAAGTGCCGAACCAAATGTTGTTTGTAAAGACTTGCTCTTTCAAACTAATAAGGTCCAAAAATTATCTGGGCTGAACATGGTTTGCGTCTCCATTGTCAGTAACAAGTATGCTTAGTTATGAAAATTCTGCATTTAAATTACTGAATATGGTAACATTTAGATGAGAGAAAAGTGAGGTGAAATGGCATATATTTTGTAAATATTCGTCCTTAATATTGATATGAATCGTTTAATACTTCATAAATTAGGTCGTTTAAGTTTGATTTACCTGTTTTGCTTCACGCAGTGTTAGCCTCATATCTCTGCAACAAAGTAACAATTAGCCATTAAACAGATAAAGACTTGTACATACATTTGCACGTGTGGGGAGGAAACTGATCTGTGATTTTGCAAAATGAGTATGCACAGTGCACATAGGCAAACACTGTTAATTAATAATGAAAGGAACCGTCAGGGGATAAATGTATAATTAATTACATTAATGGGTGTCAGTATAAAATGCAATCAATGTCGTTTTTTGCGCGGATTATAACTCATCTACTTCTGATAAGCCTGCATCCTGTGAGCGGTCAATTAATGGAAAATCTGGACAAATTTTGAGGTTCATTCAGCCTCTCTTATTTTTTACTTTATTGCGAAATACTTCCATATATTTTTATTCCTTCAAGATTACTCGTGGCGAAGTCCACGCTCCTATCATGCTGCGCTACACCACGTTAATTTGTGATAAATCGTTCATTTAAGCAGTAATCTGAGTTGTTGGGTCAAAATTTCCGCCTGAGCTATGCCAAAATTCTTGTGCGTTCATCTCATCTCTTATATAAAGTAAATAATATGTTATCTCACACACCAACCACGAAGTTAAGCCACACTGCATAATAAATGGCAGACAGACAGACAGACATTGACGATATAAAGGTGGACTAATTCCAATTGATTTATTGCATCATGTTCAGATTCAAGGTTTCGTTTAGAAACTTTTCTCTTCTGCTGAGTCAAAATAGCTCGTTTTTTGGAACGCCCTTCTCCCACTAGCATGTTATGGAATCTTTCAACACCATTTATCTCACCCTTCTTCCTCTCTCACCTCGGGATCGTATCGCTTATATAAACGATCTAGAATATACAAAAGTATATTTTTTTGGCCTTTACATAAGTAATCATTTACAGAATAACACATAAACTTGTGTGTCTGTCAATTTTGCCACTTTCCTGATGCTCCTGCTGTTTAGTTTTCCATCGTAATGAAAATGTTCAGGGATCCCCAAGAATTGCATAAAAATACAGGAACAATCGACGTATATTTGGTCCACATATCTACGTAGGTCACGGAATGACATTGGTCTAATTTATGTATGCTCGAAATAAATTCATGCAACGGAGGGGGCAGTAAGTATAATTGGCGGAGACAGCTACTCTATTTTACGTAGTGGTCATTAATCGACCGGACCCGGACTGACATAAACCAGTGATTTCTAGCCTGATTTCAATTCCAACCAGTTTACATTAGTTCATAAAAAGGTCTCCCTGTTAGTCTGGGAGTAAGTAAGAGAGAAGTTAAATATTTTTATGTCGCCGTTGCATGTCACTCTTCTCCATTGAATTTGGTTAATGTTTTTTGCATGCTTCTAGTACAACAGTCGTTTGTTGTTTGGTCCGTGCCAAAAAATGTACTTGGCCAAAATTCTAGATTTAGACAGTCATAAATCCGTCGCAGAAAGCTACAAGACTAAAACTTGTCCATTACAGGATAATTCATCCATTCATGTCAATTCACTATTTATTCGGTTGGCTCTCCTCCTCCTCCTCGGAGAGTTAATTCTGCATTTCCATTTAATAAATTGTTGCATGTAAAACACGAGACTGCTTCTTGTAACAATATTCATTCGTTCGTTGCAACGACGGAGTAAAGTTTTTTAAGCTTCATGGAACACGCAACTTTTGACTTTCACATTTTGCAGACACTCCTTCTCACTTATCTGTTTGTTATGAAGGAAGAAACACCATGGGTTTGGTGTTTACATCGGAAAATGATGGGTAAACAAAGCCATGGGATTTCCTATGGGTATGCAAAATGCACCGGAAATTCTTTCAATCATCTGCATATTAGTGAATCCATTTGTCATTTATTATGGGATGGCCACACCCAAAAAGCTTGCTCAAATTATCTCAGGAGAAAGTTGTCGACGCATATCCGTTCGTATCATATTTTATTTAATGCGGTTTCTTTTTCCATTAAGCATCTGTTTTTATGCCAGGAGTATCACTAATTGTGTGTCTGTAACCTGAATAAATATGGATTCACAGCACATGCATCATCGGTCGGCAGATGTGGAATATTGCGCAAAAAAATAAATGGAGGCATAACTTAACACGCATCATATTCATCCGTCGTCAAGCGGGACGTTACGTTCACGAGATGAATATTGAATACCTGCAGCGTTATGTAGATTGGTAAATATTTTATTTTAGCTCGACAAACACTTGAAGAACCGTTTCTATCCTGAAAAGCTGTCATGTCATGTTCATACAACTCTCGCATATATGTGCAGTATGTGTGTTCAAGTACAATAACATTCATCCGGTTCTGTTCTCCGTGGTGTTCACGTCCACGTCAATCCTCTGTTGTACTATCGGCTAAAATAAATCATGTTAGATGTTTGCTTTATTAATTTTTCGTCGAGAAAACGGTGCGTCGATAACTGTCGTCGATAAGTGTGACTCGCCAGATGGGATTCTTTCACTATGTTCCTTGGTTAAGTAGTGGTTAAACCTTGGCCTTATAATACTTACTTCGATATGATGCGTTTTTGGGTGGACAGTTAATGGATTCTTTGAGAATTGAGTGTTTACACTATCCGATAAAGTGATAAATGTGTCTTTGGTGGTGTAACGGGTTTCACACAATTACTGAAAGCGTCATTTCAATCTCTTGTGTGTCAGTAAGTTAAGTATGCATGTGACGAAGGTTAACCACATTGACGCATTTGTTGAAGCAGATCAGAACTATGCCGCAAAACTGAATTTCGGTCATCAAAATTATTTTTGGTTTTCCGAGACTGAAATATAGTACAGATTTTTCGTATGTACGTCTGTTTAATCATGCTCGACGAGAGTGTTTCTGTTCCCAAAAATATGGGAAGCTGCTCTTGACATCGACCTCTCGAAGGATTGAGCTCATTCATGCAAAGCAAGCAGACCTATGTGTGTAGAGATCCTGGTCCAGTTTTTTTGCAAACAGAAGTCCAAAAGTTCATTATACATGGTTTTAAATGAGATAATTAAATGAACCCAACTTTTAATCGCTTCAATAGCGTCCACGTGAGTCCAATCAGATTCAATTGAGTTATACATGGGCATGACATGAGGGTTTATATTATATAATAAATACGTATGGATACGACAGTAATTTTTTGCTCCTTCAATTGTCCAGCAATTCCAGTCTAAATGTTACTTGCCAAAGTAGTGCGCTATGCCGTTGCTGAATAACTCGACAAGATAGCAAATAAAATCCTACGTCCCCCAATATATGAGTTATGCATGTTGCATGAAATTGTTGGTTAAAGTCTGCCCTGCAGAATTTAGTACAGGATTTAATAAAACATTAAATGTCGTGATTATCACACGACACTTATGTTTAACCAACCAACTTATATGTAACCAAGCAAGCAACGCTCGCAGAGTCAATAGTTTTGGTTGGTTTTATCTCTAAAGTTGTTGAATCTCTCGAGTATTGATATAATGATGATGATGGGAAATTTTAACCTTGTGCTATTCCCCACACTTTAGTTTATTTTGCAATTCATCCCTAAATTTAATTAACGTGCAGCTATCCAGGCAGGCATTACGTAGTCAGTTTGAGGCAGCGTTGGTCTGTAGAACGCTGAGTTTGAAATTTGCAAAAGTCAAACTGCGTGTGGTTTAAGCAACGCGAAAATATCCAAACAACGAGGAAATCAAATTGAGGAAAGCAATCTATTATTCATAATTGAGCCAGTTTTATATTAGTTCGGCAATTTTAATGGATTTAGATTTGACCCGATCAATAAAGTAACTGGGTTAAGTTGTGCTTACGAAAATAGAGTTACTAAGCCAGGTTTCAGTACTTATTCGGTTCGCGATAATCCTAACAAGATTGAAAAAAAAGTTTGGTTCCGTTCTCTCGTCGACTGCAAGGATTGTTTGAAATTAAAACTTGAAACGTATAGCAGAGGATAAAAAATAATGGGATTTTGCGGATACTGCCTCGCCACCTTAACGGCTTTTGTGCTGGGTGCATTTGTCATTGTGAAGCAGATTCTAGGCTACGATGATGAGGTATTTAGCCGTTGAGAAAGTTATAATGAATGCGAAATGCACATAATTATTGTGTGTATGCACTATCTATCTACTTCTAAGTGAGCTTGTTGTATGTATGACTTGCAAAATGCATAAGAACCGTTAGTTTTTAAACCTGTGATTATTTATTTGTTAATAAAATACTTATATGTTTCTCTTTGCTTTCAAATTTGCAGGAGAAACGCAGATTAGAGCAGCTCCAACGGAAGAAAAATAGTGAAAGGGTGGCCGAATTTGAGAGGTATGTGTAGGATTCAACAAACATAAATTGCAATGAATATGATGATACAGTGGTTTAGTTTGAATGCTTAAATTGTATGCAGGTTGCAAAATTTGTACAAATTGGAAGGAGACAGCAAGCGAATTCTTAACTTGGGATGGGAAGAACTTGTCCAGGCCTTGCAAAAAAGGGAACTTTCTGCAACTGCGGTTCTCGAAGCGTACGTTGCGAAGGTGGGTTTCATCTATTTAAAGTTTATAAATTAATTGATTATTTGGCAATTTTTAGTAATTGATTTCTTTCTACAGACGCTGGAAGCCACGTCCAAATTTAATAATGTGACCGAGTTTATTCCACAAGCTTTCGTAAGTTTTTAATTATTCATGCAATGTTTGCAATTTGTGGGCGAATTTTTATACTGATTCGCTGATATTGTAGGTCTGGGCGAAAGAGTTGGACAGTCTTCCCGAAGTTAAAGGTCCTCTCCATGGGATACCCTTCGCTGTGAAGGATGACACAAACGTGGAGGGACATGACACGACGTAATTTTTTAAAAATCTTGTGACCGATGCAATAAAAAGGGCTGCAAGATATTTTATGATACCATTTTTTTAACAGATTGGGCTACGTGAAACGCTTATATCGCCCAGCTAAAGAAAGTGCTGTGTTGGTGAAAAGCCTGGTCGATTTGGGGGCTTTGCCGTACTGTAAAACAAACGTACCTCAGACATTATTCACGTAAGATATTTTTAAAACTAAAATAATTTCTGTAAAAAACTAGGACTAATTTTAATTTTTTTTGCAAATTAGGTATGGAAGTGACAATCCTGTCTTTGGTGCCACAACAAATTGCATCAATCCTAAATTGAGTCCCGGTGGGTCGAGTAGTGGTACCGGATCTCTTGTAGGGAGGTAAATTCTAAACAAAAATTGTGTTGAATTTTTTAAATGGAGTAAAATTGGGTCAAGGAGGGGGATAATTGTGCCAAATTAACTTAATAATTGGTATTTTTCGCAGTCATGGGTGTCCGTTCGGAACAGGCAGTGATATCGGTGGCAGCTTGAGAATTCCTGCACATTTCAATGGAGTCGCTTCTATCAAGCCAACAGTCGGAAGGCTAAGTAGCAAGGGAGTTGTTTCATCTTTGCCAAACCTCATGGGATTAACTGCTGTTCCTGGAATTATCGGTCAAACCCCCACCATCGTGTCCACCGTGTTTAAAGGAATTTGCGAAAATTTCAAGCAGCACAAGTACGACTCACGCATTCCACCAATTCCATGGGATAATGCGGTAAGCGTCACTGAGAATCCGCTTAAAAACATATAATGACGTTAATTTTATTGCCTTTATCTCCTCCGTAGTTGTTTCAATCAAAGGAAAAGTTGCGAATCGGTTATCTCTCCTCCTTGCCATACTTCCCGGCCATGGGTGACACTGAAGAAGTCGTTCTTCGTGCAAAATCCACCCTTGAGTCACTTGGCCATACTCTGGTCCCCTTCGAAATGCCGGACCCATACAAATACATGAATATTCTGGCCAGATTTTTACTCGCTGATCAAAACCAACACTTTAACAAGTCCTTGTAAGTTCAGTGTAAAAATACGGCTATACATAATTTTCTACTTGTTGACTTACATATTTTTTAAATTTCCACTTGTCAGGAAGGGAGAAAAAATCGCGCAATCAGTCCAACTCGCCTATTACTCTTCATGGGTCCCGACCAGCATACAACGCGTCCTGAGAAGCCTCATGACTTCGAAACTTTTCCCCTTCATGTACTCGAAACGAACCGCGGCCATGTTTGGAGCTGGAGCTGTGAGTTCCAAAGAGTTGTGGGACAATCAGGGCGAAAAGAAGAAAGTTATCGAAGAAATGCATGCCGAATGGGAGAGACTCGAACTTGACGCGGTCTTGTGTCCCCTCTTCCCTTTCGCAGCCCCACTAATCAATTATCCCGGCCTTCTCCCAAGTAAGAATAATTGCAAAAATTAATAAATATTTTCATGATAATAAGGTAACAATTTACTACCGTCATTTCAGTGGCCGTATGCTACGCCATGATTTGGAATTTGGTGGATTACCCTGCTGGCGTCGTACCCTTTGGTCGTGAAAGTGGAAAGAATTATGAAAATTTTGACGATGAGGGTGACGTAGCGCTTAAAATGGCTCACAAGGTGAGTTAAGTTAAATAAAAGTATAGTCTGATAATTTTTTTAATTATAATTTCTGTGCAGGCTATCCAAGAGTCGATAGGAGCCCCAATCGGCGTCCAATGTGTCGCACTGCCATACAAGGAAGAAATTGTTTTAAGACTACTGACAGAGTTGGAACAGTTTTCTTACAAACACTGACGATTATTGTGAAACAGAGGCCTATATTATGTGATAGAAAATTTAAACTTTTTTGAACTTTGTCTTTATACAACTATATCTGTATGTAGTTTCAGCTAATGTAATGGACAACTACACAGTTATCTGTAAATCTTTCATCATATCGGATTTGTAAAACTTTTATGCAAGCAGTGTACTGCTAAAAACTAGGAAAGGAATAGTTAGTGTCATAAACTGTACATATTTAATACATACGATACGTAAGCGATATGTCTAAAAATGTAGTTTGTAACGTATGACGCATAATATACATATGCAACTGGTGCATAATATCGAATCGAAATAAAAATGTTTATGGTAAACATGATTTGATGATTTCTCTCATTAAATGTACGAAAAAGCCAAATTCTGAAAATATTCAGGTGGTTGTATGATTTTATACATGCACGAAGAAATGAAGTTTCTTTAACCTGCATAAAATCAAATTTGCGACTTTTATTGTGGTAAATGACTCATTTAATCTCCGACCCATTTTAATACGTGGGGTGTACACAAGAATAACAGTATATTACTTACTTATACTTTAGGGAACATGCAAATACATATAACAACTTGTAACTAAAACCATTTTTTAAATATATTATCCTATATTTTATAAGAACGAGTTAATAACTAACCATCTAACTATTAAATATTACTGAACCAGAAATTGGCACCTTCACTAGTTGAAGCACACTAATTATTTCCGTTACCTCTCCGGTGGCATTTACTGTACTCACAATTCTCCATGTTAAAAAACTAACTAAAACTTTTCTTACTTATATATTTCAAACTACAGCTAACCAGTCTCATGAACTTAATTGAGTAAACTTTAATTTAAGGCTATAAAAGTATAGAAAAGTCTTTATCATGCAATCTTATTCAGAAGTATACGTCTAACGTATATAGTAAATCTTCAAAAACAATATGTAGGTATAGGACACCACAGAACTAGTTAATTAGTTATTCAAGTAATTTTCTCGTGAAACACTGGACAAGGCAACTGATAAATGATGATGAATTTTCACTAATTAGAAACAACGGCATTACGACAACTCCAGTCAATTTAGCTGATACGACCTTAGTCTTGTTCGTGCATTATCTAAGACATTAGTTTGTATTTTAACAAAATTGAAGGAACTGCTTGAATCATTCAAATGTTGAATGGCATATCAAGTCCAAAACTTGCTTAACAAACATTAAGCTACAGAGTGGACAAGTCGGTAAGTATTATTGTTGTTTAATTTGAGCAACATTAAATTAACAATTTAAAACTCACAGTGCTAATGTAGCATAGTTTACCAAAGTATGTATGAATATGAGAAAATTTATAATTTAGTAGCATAAAAATAAGGCACAGAAAACTAACTTATAATAACAATATTTTTAGCTGTTTTGTAAACCTGGACACAAAAGCTTCAGGTTTTGTTATTTATCAGTTTGATAAAATTTGAACATGAGGTTCACTCATTTTTCTGCAAAAACTACTAGTAATATTGAAAATTCTAATAATTTAATATCCTCAATCTTCGAATTCTGAAATTTCATGTAATTTAGTACTTAAAAAGATGCTAATTGACCGACTTCAAAAACTCTTCGTACGCTAACTGAACCTCATCCGGCTCATCATCAAGTAGAATGCATTCATCATCAAAATCGTCGTCCCTAAAATTAGAAATTGTAATTTGTTTAAATTTCTCAACTTATTGCAGAATTGAAAATAATCTTTTCTTACGAATCTGGTAGCTCGTAAATATTATGGGACAGATTGCCAGTGGGAGCGCCTGAAGAAGAGGACGAGGACCCGTATGATTTTACACTCTCTGCAGGTTCGTCATCTCCTCGGTTCCATTTTTTATTTTTCAATTCGAATAAAGCGTCCAAAAGTGATTTCGTCTGCGGTTGAATGTCGCCCGAAGCCAGGCACAAATATGACATGTCCTTCATTAGTTGCTCAAAGTGCGTCTTTACTTTCGTATTCTTCGAGTTCTCAAGATCCCACCCGACAAGCTAAAAAATAATCATAGTTGAAGCATTAGAAAAGTTTCAACACTAAATATTTAATCAACTACCTTTAAAATCTGGAAAACACATTTGATATTGTCATGTGCATGATCCTTTATCAGATTATCCATCATTTCCAATACCCCCAATCCCAAAACGTCAATCTTAATGTTTATATAAAGTTCTCCAAAGTACATTAACAACCCACGACATCTTAGTAAGACTTGGGGGTCACTTTTCATATTGGCAATACAAGGCAAAAACACTTCTTGGCATCTAAAAAATAATGCAAGTTAGCATTCCGTTGAGTTAAAGTGTATGAATAATTTTATACCTTGTGAGAAGAATACTTTTGAACGTAGAATTTCCTACAGCAATATTGTTCTTGATGAGTACTTCAGCCAACCGAGCTCCAGAATAGCAAAAGTTGGGATTTGAGATGGACTACGAAAATAAATCACAATTAATATCTACATAATTTATTGGTGGTTACTTGATTTGAATTTGTATACTAACCTGTTCAACTAATAATGTAACAACGACATTTAAGGTGTCTAAATCCACGCAAAAGTTTTTCAAAACTTCAGTCACTGCCTTTGATGTACGGGCGAAATTTGCCGGATGATTGGTCAACTGCACAAAACGAAGTTGAATTATTATTTACATTAGCAATAAAATGACTTAAGTAATACACAAAGTATAACGCACATCCATTATCGAATCAGTAATAGTGGATAAGACATAATCACTGCTGTCGTCGCCACAGGGCTGTTCTTCAACGTAAGAAGCTTGCTGCTGTTGGTTGTTGAAGTCAATTAAGTCTGGCTGATTTTGTAACTGAAACTGAGCAACGGCTTGCATCAATTCTGATTCTTCTTGTGTGGTCATCAAAGAACTAGACGATGCACCTGGACCGGATGACATGGGAACAAACTCTTTTGCATTTGGTGACAAATGGACTCGAATGTTGCTTTGTCTTGGGGCTTGGGATGATGAGGAGGTGGACGTGGAGGATTTAGCAGAACCGGTGTTGTTTGTTCGTGGTGGAGTTTGCATAATGTTGTAGTTCTGCGGCACTGGCGTGTTCTGCTGGAGAAGTGAACTCGCCGTAGGAGGGGGAGGTTGACTTTGGTAATAATGTGACTGAGGGCGAGAAGACTGTGTCACTGGAGGAGTTGACGACGTTAAATGACTGCGATCTGCAATAGGTACATAAACTATATATTTAGACCGTTAATCACGATATTTTACCTTGCAGCACAGGTCACCCTCTCTCTACTGATGCGAATGGGAATACAGTATTGTAAATAAATTCCCAGCAGTAGCAATATGTAATATCTTCTTATCACACTCAGGATTTGCTCAGGAACAGTGTGGTAAATTTGATCATTTAGCATTCAGCCCAAGCGAGGAACAAAACATATCGTGTCGATGCTCTCGTGTGCATACTTATCTGCCAATAACCTTACCTGTATTTTGTGGGTGTTGTTGATTATGCGCATTCAGGGCCAGAATGTCCTCACATCGTTCATCCTTTAATATGACTGCAAGAGTATCTATAAACATTTAAACATGATGCATTAAAATATCTCAAATCTTCATGTCATTTTAATCGCTAATGAACTGATTCACAAATTAGTAGATTAGGCTAATTTGATTAGGCACCTACCAGCAGGAATCTCATTTACATGTGGACGCCTTAACGGCGGAAGCAATCCCTCCTCCTCCACTTGCTGTTGATACTGTTGCTGATAAGAATTATTTTGTTGACCTCCATCAACATAATCTTCTAAGCAAAACTCCCCAATTTCCGGAAAACCAGAATTGTCCCCACCGGAAGCAGAAGAGTGCGAATGTCCGCGACCATTCGTCGACCCATTATTGTGACCAGCCATTGAAGAGGGCAAATACTTATCGGAAAATCCCAACTTTGCCGCAGCTCTTACTTGGGTAGCAGTGAGAGCCGGTCGGCGGAGGGGTGGGGGTTCACTTGACCCATTCGGGTTAAAGGATTTGTAGTCGGCGTAATTATTTCGGCCTCCTCCCCTTGGTCCACCACCCGACATAACTTTCTGGCACTTTTAGGAAGGTTAGTATAACTAACGTTTATTAATTATTGAATTTGATATTTATAATTTATTGCAAATCTTCAATCTTCGGTAAATCAAGCTCGTTTTTCAGTGTTGTCACTTTTCTGCTGCAACAACAAAGTTTTCACTGGACTTTTCCTTAATCAATTTCAATGTCATCGAACTACAAACTATGAAGTATAAATATAACACTTGGGACCAATTTAATTACAAATTACAATAATTGTAATTTGAAATTGAAATTGAAATTTTGCTAATTATTAGCAAAATTTCATTAAAAGTGTTACTTTTGAACAAGGTATCAAAAGTTCACTGAAACAAAATCTTCTGTAGATCGCTTCTTATTTTCCTGTGTAAATAAACTAGTAGTTTGGAAAAGTTATATTATTATTGCAAAAATTGTGCAAAATTTTGTTGTTTGCTTAATTAGTGAAAAAAGTGTTTGTGTTGTGTCGATAGGAAAATAGTGAGTTTGGTTGAATGGTCCCGCAACTCGGGAAAAGTTTCCGATGAACAGAATCAATGGAGACAAAGGGGATCAAATTATTGCAAATTCGTCAATTTTTGTCATTTTGATGTCAACTGGATTATTTTGTGCATATTACATTATTATATAACAGCAAAATTAGATTATGTATCGGGTATCCTCATCTTACGCATTTAACACCGTTCTCAATTCTGTGCTTTGATTTTAATTTGATTTTCATGAGATTTATTTATCGTCTAACTTGCATTTTTTTCCAAATTGGCAAAAAACTTCAAGACAGTCGCAATATCAGTTAAGCACCGTTATTATCATTTAATAGTTTAAACGATTTATAAGAAAATGTCAGACTCTGCAAAACTTTGTCATGATTAGATTAGGATGCACTGCCGATGTAATTGGATCCCTCTCATTCTTGCTGCCTATGCTTTGGTCCATTTTCGATTCTGGAAAATTAATCTGGTTCATCAGGAACGTATTGTAGCTGCCACATTATTAGGATGGATGGACACACACTCCTTCCTCCGTGATCTTCTCGGTATGGCGTTAATAACAGCGTGTCAAGTAACAAAACATCACGGTATCATCATTTCTTCTGAGATGCACTTGACAGCAATTTCAATTACTCGGCTCAAGCCAAAAATTCCTGATTTTCACATTCCTTCTTAATTTCACCCTCCTTCCCGATCCATTTAATCGTATTTTTACCCGTGAGTCATCACAATATTCAGCAAAGACATAACAAAAAATACTTCCGATTCTTCTTCTCCAAGTCTTATCATCATCTCCATTTATACAACAATGTATTTCACATGTGAAACTCATAGACCGGTTTTTACCTTACTTTTACATTTACACCCACATCATTCACAATTTGGAGTGTGGATAGAATTTTTAAATTGATTCACACAAATTGTCTGTACAATTTGCCTTTTAATAAATTCAGGATTCAGGTACCACCTAAATTAGCAGGTGCAACGATACACACGTATTATTCCTGTGGGATTTTATCTCTAATGAAATTAAAACTTAATCGAATAGTTTTGAGGTCATCGGTAAAAAAAAATTACTTGTAAAGTTTATTGGACAACACGAGAAGAAGACGTCACTGGAAGCAAATCTATAATTTGCGGCTTCGTGGAAATTGCTAAAAAAAAATTGTGTGTATGTCACACTATATTTTTGTGAATGGAGTTAAGATGCTTAAGGCTGTAGTGCGATGCTCATTAGATTGAAATGTATCATCACCACATACACGACCATTGTTTAACTGCATTGTTCAATTCTGAATTGCGTAAACGATACAAATTAAACTCTTCTCCAGCAGTAAAGTAAGTACACATTTAATCGAGGGTAGACAATCCATGTATGTCCATACATACATCATCGTAATAATGTGGGAATTTCCAAAGCGAAGCAGTTTTGGGAAATCAATTATTTCCAGCTTAATTTGACCACCGTTTCTGGAGGCTTGGCTTAAGTCTTACAGTTGAGTTGACGTTACTTTATAAGTACATTTTTTTAACTTGACTAGTAGTTGCAAGAATGCATTATTATCAAGATAACAATCGGCCAGGAGAGAGAATTAAGAGACAAAGTTGCACCAGGATTCGACTCAACATCTCCAATAATGATTTGCAATTGCACAGGAATAACTTTTACATGTAAAAGTCAAAGAGCTATCCCATTTTATCGGGATTTCTCATCGCTTCGGATACTTTTTACAGACTTGAATGAACCTGTTTGAATATCTGTAAAACAGGTCTAATTCTGGTATGGCATAAAAAATTCACATTGCACAATTTATTCTAATTCATTGGTTAGTTAACTTGCTTGGTTGGATGATTAAACAAACAGGTGGTACATACATACATAGTTGCATGGTCATAAATGACATTGTGTTGTCTTACCTAAAAAAAAGTGGTGTCTACCTCACCAGAATGAATTGAAGTGGTTCTTCTACACAGAAATCCTCCAGTCCGGAAGATCAACATTACATTTACATCATCATTTACTTACTTACGTACGATGAATTGAATGACGAATAAACAGTTGACAGGAGAGGAGAATAATATGAAAGTCTGTGGTAAATTAACGCAAAGGAGTAGCTCGTAGATATAAATGTGTGTCCAATGTACAAATAAATATGTGTTAATTGCTGTGCCGTGTGTAGAAGAGGACGAGGCGTGATGTGGTGATTGTGTTTGGTCAATCCTAAATATTCCTTTACTTACTTACATATCCTTCAGTTCGGAGAAGAAGCACTTGCAGCCTCCAGTTTCACCTACATTTTTATTATAATGAACTTTTTGTTCCAAAAGTTGGCATGTTCTTCTTGCTTTACTGCTTGAGAGACATGAGATCAACTTTTATTGTTCTTTTGCTCGTGGAATTTTCACATTACGTAATGCTTATTCTCCTTGAATGAGATGAGATGAGATGAGTAGGGTTAGGATTTGTCAGTATCTAGAATCTAGAAGGATGGGCGAACCTGGTCCAGTTATGCCCACTCTAAACATCGCACCTTTAATGAAATCACCTTAACGAAATTCACGGAATATAGGTGCACAAGGAAATGAAAACGAAATTGAACCTCTTATTAGAAACTTCTTCTTCTTTTTGAGTGGTGGTGCTGCTGGTAGGAGGATAACACATCCCATAAAGAATACATACATACAAACCCAATTTCAAATTATTATTCTAATCTCTTATTATATTGCATGTCGTGAGGTTTCGCAAGTGGTCCCCTCATAAATTTATACCTACACAGAAGCTGCCTATGTATTTATTCGAAGTGCGCCATAGATAGTTTTAGTGGTTGATGTGTCGAACCATCTAAAATGCACTCGGTGGTTTCACAATAGCTCTTCTCTTTTCCCATTCATGATTTAAAATGTGATTTTAATTCTTAATTCGTATCATTGCATAACTTTTTTGACAGAGATCGAGTGGGCAGAAGGAGAGTAAGTATGAATCTGAAATAATAATGAAGCCGGCCGGTCCTAAATACATACGTGCACATCAGATTCGATCGATCGTCTGCTGGATAAATTGGATAACTTTCTTGCAACTTTTTGTGCCCTTTTCCCAAATGAATGAAAATATTTATCGACGTCGGTAAAAATTAGGTTGCGCTTGCTGGAGGCTCATTAGATTTGCTCTCATTTGGGAGCTTCGTGTCTGGATTCTCGTCACAATAATCGTCTTGGCTGGAGAAACTGGATCACGTACATTTCACTCCTTTTACCCACCTACCAACCATGCAGACATAACAATCAGCACAGCACTGCACATTTATCATCGCTCCATCTCTCTACCCACCTACTTAATTGGCCATAGTACAGATTTCGAAACGAGTATGTATGTACATGCATATGTATAGATGATGCTGATTAGAACCTTGATATTGGCCTGGGCAGAAGCTTTAATAGTGGGGATGATATGTACCTATGTATGTACTCATTCTCTGAAAGAAAGGTGTAAGTAATAATAAGTAATTGGGCTGGTTTTTGAGCAACGGTATGTGCCGAATTCACAGACTGACTGGCTCCACTACCTCCATTCGTGCATGGCAACAAATCCATTTGCATTTTACAATTTAGGCCACTGCTGTAAATCTGCAGGCTGCTGACCATCATATCAATGGTTGACTTTTTACTTAGCACATCAAATCTCTCGCCGTCATTTTCCAGCCTGGGCAACACCTGCACCTAAAACTCAGTCGAGATATTAATTCCAGAGTCCGTGGTCCAGACTATTAATCACTGCACGACCATATCATCACCGACTGCAGACAAAGACAAGCATCATCCCCTTTCGACCTATGGATGGCTAAAGTTGAGACAATTTTGATGATGATGAAGATGGACATACGTAGGTGCATACGTGGAGAAAGAAGTATAAATGGAATCTAATTGCTGATCCGTCCATGAATGTGCTCACCAAACGCTTTTCTCTGAAAAATGTTTTGTCTTTGAGTATAAGCAATTACACCACGCGTTTAGTTGCCAGATGGAATTTTTGTTCATCGGGTGACATTTGTTTTTCCGTTGTGACATTACGTATGACATGAATGCATTTAATTCTATTTTATTTTACTGGGCTGTGCAAAAATCGATACTTTTTTGTGTCCACAGCTTTTAAAACTTTTAGTCTTGGTTCTGTTTGCCAATTACAAGACAAGGGGTTCGCCTTTGTTTCAAATTACCTAACAAGTTGTACAATAAAATGCAATAAAGCAGACTGAGATAAAAGTTGTGATAAAAACCTGCGTTGAATTCTCTCGGTATTAGACACCAAATACCAAAAGCCAGCTCAAGGTGAAGTTATCTTGATATAAGTATAGCGTCAAGTGTAACGTAATGTGGGGAGCAGCAGACGAATATAAGTCCAGTCTCATAATCATTTTCTTGTGCTTGGCTTTGCTCAAATAATTGATCAAGTAACAAACCAGCCTTAAAGTTACTTAACCAACATCGCTGTCAATAATCATGAGATGAGAAGAATGGAAAATCCAATCCACCACAAAATTATAAGTATTAGTATTTGGGTATTATTGGGTCCACCGGCTTGATAATTCATTAACTTTACAAAGTTAATGAAGAGTGGTCAGGCAAAGATGAAAATGTTGGTACCAGGCAGAACCGTGTGAATATGCATAAAACTTAATTTACGACATGAAATCCTTGTTCCTTGTCGCAATTTTTTATTTTCTTTGAATCGCAATCTGTTGAAAATTTGAGATAAAAGTGCATGCAAACGAAGACACTTTCCAGTGAAAACGGAAAAGTCACACGAGAAAGTACATAACCAAAGAAAAAAAGTTTCCCTGTAATTATGAATCAACCAAGCACCAAACAATGGCAAAAAAATAAACATCCCCTTTGACATAGCGGTCGTTTCCGAGAATTCCATATTTTTGTTTATAACAATTTCCCCAACGATTTTACCTCCACAAAAATTCCCTGATTCTAATTAATCTATATACGCAAGGAGGAGAAGTTCTCATTTAAGTATTTACGTGTACACAAAATGATGAAAACCTGGTCCATCAAATTCTCTTTTTTGAAGGAGATCCAGTAAATTGACTTTAGCAGTGTGTCGTTTAACCTTGGTTTCACCGGAGATATTTAGCAGACGCATAGGTATGCAGATGGTAACACTACTTATTATTAAGCTGAAAGATAGAGCTTCTCTGGAATATTTATCATATCAGGTACTTTTTTGCCCCTACGAAAATCTACATATGCATGCACATCCATATTTTTTAAACCATGACATATATGCGTGGACAAATAATTGCAAGATTAAAACTGGAATTGCATAACACGTCATTAATTACTCTGAAGCCGGCAGCCTAATTTTTTTTCCTAACGATAACAAGTGCGTTTGTACCCAATATAGAAAAATAGCTGGGGTCCCTTACCTCGCGACAACATAACATGACCTCTGCTCTGTGTGACTCTGATTTTTTTATATTTGAAATACGACACAATGTCCATATGCAAATTTTTCGCCACTCCAAAATTCCGTAATATGACGATGCGATGACAAATTACGTATGCATGTATCATATCGCTTTCCTCTCCTTGTGCGCTACAATATTTTACCCATAAATCAATGAGTGACGACGAATATGACTCAAAAATGACGTGATAATCAACGAATTCGCAATATATTCAGAAATCATTTTCTCTCTCAACTGACGTGCCATTTATTTAAATATTATGCAGACCAAGCAATAAACCAACATAATAAATATAAAGTCGATTCCAACATGGAAATTAGTTCCGTCCGATAATGTAATAAAACCATGTGCATGTATCTATCCCTATCCCCCCACATCATTTACTACATGGTTACAGAGTGCTCTATGAATTCGGTCAATTCAAAATTAGCCAAGGAAATGACATTGAGTGTCATTGAGTTTGCAAAAATCTTCCAGTTGAAAAAAATCGGCATGTGTTCTTACGGTTGCAAATTATAATTCTCGTAGTATGCAATTTTTTATGAGCTGCTTCTGCAGAGAGAGAGAATCCAAGGGCCAGCTCAGAGAACATTGGCAAAGTCATCTTTTATGACCTTTATTGCGAATCGTAGCAGCAGCAGCAGCATCGTTCCGATGGGGCAAATACGAAGAAAGGAAATGACACTTAAGAGCCAACTCTTTCTTGCCGACAAAAATTTTCACGCATTGCTCTTGATCAAGGTTACATAAATTGATTGTGAAATGTGCAAATAGGAAGAAATAAGTAGGATTCATTCTCAAGTGAAATCTTTTATTTGCTTCGAGACCATAAAAGTCATATGTACTTAATCATACACCAAACCGAGCACGTTCCTCTTCTACCCGATTAAACTTATTTTTGTCTTATAACAATTCTATACTTTTACTTTAAAAAAGGCTTAATTCTTATTTGTGGATAAGTATCTCTGTATTTATTTTAGTACAAAAAAATCATGTGCTAAATATTTACTTAATTTTTAAATGATTCAGTCTGGATGTCACACCACCGCTACGGCCACCACCACCACTTATCCTGGATAAGTTATCCATCCACCCACCCACCCGAGGTGTGTGCAATACGATTTGTTTGTTTGTGAATGTCTTATATAACTTTTGTATATGTAATACTCGATCTGTTTCCTTAACATGTACTTCATATTTGTGTCTCATATTCGCAGAATCCGTAATATTTATCTCCAAAAAGGGAAAGTAAATAATAAAATAACAATAATAATAATTGTATATTCAACAGTAGTCGTCTTTCTCGCTGCAATATTGGATTCGAAAATTTTAATTTTTTTCCTCTCCATCTTCTTATTGCGTAAAAAAGTTGGTCAATATTTCGAAACTGTTTACGTTGTTAATCTTTTTTAGCCTGGTGCCCAACTTCTTATCACTATTTTATTGTATTGTTGTCACAGTCGTCAGTCAACTATGCATTAACAAATAATAATTTGATGATGCGTCGTAGTAAAATTTTGTTCTTGAACCAATCATGAATGTACATACTCACTTACTCCTTCTTTTAATAATAATAGGAAAATCATAGCTTTTTCCGCAGTAGTAAATAAAAGTCAGTCTGAGAGGATGATTCATTCATTGTCAAAAATAATAATAATACTTACGACGGCATTTGTATGGTATGTATGTAAATATGTAACGCTACTACTTACACCTACATATGCACCTACCCTCCCTCTTTACATATACATAACGTGTTGTATCGTATTTAATTATTTAGTATCACAGCGAGATCGTTAATTAGATAAGCCAAACTTTCATAGGTTTGGTTTAAAAAAACATGATTATTTGAGTTAAAATACAGACCCGGATCATAAACTGTATGTAAAATGTACTTATATGAGGATGATGCTAACTAACTAACATCATAATAATAAATCGTGCTACTTATTACCCCTCACTTTTAGTAGAAAGTTTTAATTTTCTCCACCGGCTGCCAAGGCCACTTGATCTCGGTCTGGTGTGGCTGAGGAATGGTGACATCGTCGACCACGTTGCGACGCCGACGAGCCCGGAAGACCCAGTAACAATCGCCATCGTGCCCCTTAACCCTCCCAGTCCCGCATCGGTTGACGGTCGGGGCCTGGAAAAAGCGACGCTTTCCACTATGTCGAATTCGGGGAGCGGCATCCGCCTGCATTTCCCAGGAGAAAGTTTGCATGAGAAGGAACACGGCGAGCGCGAGGAGACAGCACTTTGTCAGTTGAGACATGACGATGGATCGATGAATGAATGGATGGAGGGATGTTTTCGTAATCTATTGCAAGGAGAGATATAAACGAGTTGTTAGATAAATAAATATGCATGAATAAAAGTGCAGTAAATAGCATATCTACATACACTCCACGTCAAAACAAGTAGCGGTAGGAGTTCGCGATAACAATCGCGAATGAACACGTTGATGATGACAATGAACCAGAAAAGTAATAAGGAAAAGTGCAACTAATTTACATGAATTTGCATGAATGAGAGCTCTTTAAAAAGGAGTGTATGTATCATTCATGGCACGCCGATGAAGAGAGGAGGAAAGAAAAAGAGCTTATTATTGACTCACACACACTCAAACTTACTTGTTTTGTTGTTGTTATTGTGCAAGAAAGAAGTTGCGACGGCGATGATGAGAGAAAGCCGACGACGACGATGCACTTGCAGAAGGAGAAACAGGTACTTAAATCTTGTTGTTGTTTTTTGCAAGGATATCGCGAGACGATTCCTCTGCCTGCTCGTCAGTCAGTAGTAAAAATGAGATGGAGGCAGGATGATTATTGGCTTGATCAAGTGCGATTTTTATTGCAATATGGTTCCGCACACTCACTACTCGGCGTCGTTGTTTATGTATGTTTTCATTTGTGGGGGTTGCATGAAAAAAAATTGCGAATGAGGAAGCGATTATTTCCGTCTCACTTTGATATTTTTACTCGGCTGCTACTTTTCTCTGGTGGAAAGGTGGTCTCTTAATTGCTTGAGACTGATGAGGAGACAATGAATGAGGAGAAGTGCAAGTTGAATCCAAGTCCAGGGTAGAATGGCAAGTGATGGGTCTCAAAAGTTGGATTTGCTATATAGTTCCTTGCTTAGAGATGCTGATAGTTAGTTAGTTGTGCCAAGTTGTGAGGTTGGGTTTGGTTTGTAAAGTTTGGCCGAGTCTGGCTGGCTTGGTGTATGTAGAAGTAGAAGAAGAAGAAGAAAAGCAGAGAATAATAATGTAATGTAATGTAATGTGAGGGAGATTGAGATTACCAAAGTCAGTTACTTTATATGTACTTGTACTATTTTATTACTGGTGTATTTACACCGCACTGAGTATTAAATTGAGTGTGGGATAGATACGAGGTAGTGCTGCTTAGTTAGAAAGAGAGAGAGGTGTGGGTTTGAGACGACGACGACAAGCACAACTTTTTGGTTGGCTGGTGGACGGACGGACGGACGTATTTCGTAAAGAACTTTTGAGCCTACTTTTTGATCCGAAGCAGCAAGCGAAAGGTTTTCACTTTCTCGATTCTCACCTCTTGACCAACACGAATGCTCTGCCACTGCCAATTGCTGGCCTTACCTGGCTCATCTCGCCCTTAAATACGCTGCCCCACCGATACCGATACCACAGGTCCAACGGGAGGAATCATACCTATGCATACCTGTATCTAGTAGTTTGACATGTATTAGATACACATACACAGCAGCCTCCTCCACAACATTCGGGGATTTGATTATTAATTGGGGCTTGGTTTCAGCAGGTTGGATATTAGAGCTTCTATAACTCGGATAGATATGAAATGGACGTGATAAGCAAGGCTTCAGTTAGTCAGTAAAGTAAGTTAGTGTGGTTTGGGCTGATATTCTCCTACTTGTATGAATGACTACAAATACATGGATGGTGGAGAAGTCAGGTAATGTGTGGTATACACATAGCAGTGAAAATCCTTTGGTGATGAAGTAAGAACTCAACCACCACTGATTTACTAGTAGAAGGATTACTTGGTACGAGATTATTGCACATTCTGAGAGAAAACTGCACGACAATGGGCCAAGAAATGGCTACAGAAGAAGAAGCAAGTAGCATTAGTCAAACCATTGTTGTCCTCATGCAAAAGATATTGGATGATGCGATGCCCATGAATTCGCTCGTTTCATGAGATTACATACATCCACGAGGTAAACGTCATTCAGGGATTTTCTGCCAGACCGGACCTGCCAATACCTCACCTTTCACTGAAATCCCGCAGGTGTGAGCAATAGTGTACACATCACGGAATCAGAGTAAAATGCCGATTTTATGAATGGTTTAGCAGCCGGCGACATGAGTATTTTAGTACACAATTAGCTAACCTCCAGTGCAAATGTCTGCACTACAAGTGCTGTTCATCTCTGCTGTCATTAAGCTAACATTTATCTTTTTCAATGAGCCGATTCTCAGTACGTTTTGGGATGAGAGTCACTTTTTTCAATGCTGATAATTTCTCTACCACCATCTCTTGACGTCAATTAGTTTCAAAACTATTCAAAACCGTATCAGTTTCAAGCCCAATGTTCGTTTCATCATCCGGTTTTATGTAATACAGAATTGTATGATACAATTTGTATCAGTTTGATCTATGTATTTCATACATTCCGACCACATAAGTTTGCACGCATGGAGAAAATGCTGGGTCCAACTTTAGCCTTTTCTGATAATAATAATAGTACTATAAATTGTTCAGTTAAGTAATCCAACCAATCTCAAGTTTCAAGTCTGATTTGATTGATTTTATCGCAGATAACTTCTTTGCGATACTCCATCATCCTCGCAGAGTCAAATCTCTTTGCAATAAAAATAATACTTATAATCGATTAATCAAATCGGCAATAAAAATTTCATTTCCAATAACAATCAACCAAGCAGTAAATGAAATTGTACATACAAATAGAACTCAATTGCAACTTGTCCTAATTGTGCCTCCACCTCCACTCCTCGTTTTGGTCCGCTGTGCATACTTGGTCCGATTTCACATTTCCTTATCTGTTAGATTTTATGACGGTGCAAATTCATTTCTGATCGATCGATGCATATGAGAATCCAACTCGCCTTTTATTATTTTTTAATATGCCTTCACAACAACAAGAAAAAGTAGAACGGTAAAAAAAATGGTCAAGTTTTGTGTCTTGATTTCTTTATTTACAACCCGTCGTCGTCTGCCTGCATGAACATTTCGCTTTAACGGATCACATTTGTTTTCACATAAAAATACAATTGACCTTGACATTGGCATCAAATGGGAATTGAGAGCATACACACATACAAATTATAATTTGCTTATTAGCATTACAATAACAGATCAGGTCTCTCCTCATGAAGCGGTTCGTCATCATTTGTTATATTTTTATCGTTCAGTCATCAATCCTTTATTGATACACTTATCTGAACATGACAGATATGATAAACAAAGACACAACGTTGCGCTATATCAACAAGTTAACCCAATTCCGCGAATTTTGCCGTGATTATCAAACTAATCTTGGAAAGAAATTAATATAATACAACAATTGGACTGCTTCGTCGTAATAATACAAACGATTTGTAAGTACATACGATCTGCGTAAGCAAGCCGGGGAGGAATTTGGGTAAATCATGCGATTTTTGTGGAAGAAAAAAATCGCACCATACAAAACATTGTGTATTATCAGATCGCCGTACACACCCATAAAATCAGGCGAGGATGATCGATTGATTGTCCATGATTACAGAGAGTTTGTTCACCATCCATTCACCACCATGATTCATGCTACGTAAGTCTGCATCATTGAAATTCCCATGGTACATACATCTTTGAAAATGCGTAGTATCTTGTCTCAATGACATTCTGGCTAGATTTCATTGCACTCGAAATTCTACAAATCATCGCGTCAAAGCACAATGTGACCAGACACGGAGGTCGGGTACACGAGATTATGATGAGCTAATTATTGTAACGTACCTGTTCTCCGCGTCACAACATAAATAGCGCCGCATCATTCATAACAGACAATTTTAGGTACTCGATAAATTTCGAGGAGTAATTTGAGTCTAAATTAATTCATAATGGAGGTCTAGCAGCGTGTGCTCTCAGATTTTTAGCAAACTGGTGTCAATGGATCACATATTTAATTAGTATGAAATTTGCGATAGACACAAGCTGATTTGGCAGAGATTTTTGCATGAAAAGAGGAGAAACCCCACAGTTGACAGTAAATTTTGTCGTCTTTGCAGCACATTTTCTTCTCTTTGGATGCAAATATCTCTGCCAAACGTGAGCATTGGAGATTGTGTCTTTTGCAGATTTCACACTAATTATATTTCCAACCGATTGTCACTAGTTTGGTCAAAATCGATGAATATACGCTGGGAGACCTCCATTGTAAGTTCAAGTCACTTGAATCAAGTGTGGCGAATTAATGAATGAATGAAACATGGTTAAAACCCGGCCTTGTGTCGCGCATAATTCCGTGTAAACGACGACCCAAGGACGGATCTGTCTTGTCCAGAGTTCTCACTAATTGTTTATTATTATACCTTCAAGACCACACCAGACGCATGCAGTTAATAATAAAAAGCCAAGTATTATAAAACATAAACATAAATACTGGATGATCTTGAAGAGTACCTCATATCACAAATTTCCTTCTTAATTAAGCTCTTCTTGCCGTACAACCAGAGATTATGACACCACACGCAAAAAATCACTCTGCTCGATGATAACCCGTGTATTAAGTGTTCCAGGTTCCACCACTTTAGTCCTATTTACATACGAATTACTAGAATTTATTGGCCTGGGTATCGTTTCTTTCCAGCAAAAAAAGAAGACCAATCTTCTAATACTCGTTTCAAATTTGCATCTTCTGAACAAGATCGCAACTCTGGTTGACAATATTAGATTTGAGCGATGGACTGGTTGCGAAAATAATCGGGGAAAAAATCTCATCACAAAAAATACATGATTCCCCAAACATTTTGCATGCGTAAATTGAGAAGCATACATACATACACTCATATTGGATGGATACTTACTTCTAGTGGGTAAAGAAACTTCTCAGAAGTGCAGTTAGTTACAGAACAATTTGCATTTATAAAGCAATTAGGATATTATTACATGCAACAATAAATAAATGTTTTTGTTGGTACTTCTCTCAACGGCTCGTGTATGTCAAAGTACAACAAAAGCATCATCCTAACTGTTGCCATTTAGTGGACATGCTGGTACATAGTCACATGCATATTATTATTATGGTCAGTTAACTAATTGGTCCATCCAAAAAGCTGCTGCTGCATCATAATAATCAGTGTTTTTTTCATGTAATGATGTATCCTCACACAGGTCTCTTTTCAACTACATCTTTCCGTGGGAAGGAAAATAAATGTAAAAATTCGTGATTTAATCTCCGTCCAGTCACACAATCAATGTTATTTATTATATTTTTTTTCTGTCTTTTTGTGTATTCGGTTACAATAACCTTTCTCAAAGACACACACACTTTATCTCATGCATCCTGGAGCAGGATCCTGGACAACAGATCGATGATGGTTTTTTGAAAGTATAGCGTATTATAACCTGTAATTTTTACCTGGATTTTTATACGTATTACAAAAAGAAGAGGAAAATAAATGTACTTATCACTACAATTAAGGAAGGATAAGTATGTAGTAGTAGCTGCATGAGGATGATATGTAGACGCATTCTGCATAATATTCAAGCTATTTACTTACATTCGCGGAGCGTAAACAATGCAAAAAAAGAAGAATCACATTTCTTTATCGAGTAGTCGATCAGAAGAAGAAGAAGCGAGTTCACTTTGCCAATCAGATCTTGTTTTGCTGTCCTGAGAAAAAGTTTTGCCGGCTTTTTGGCACCGGATGAATTACATTATGTACATTTTATGGATTTTATGGCCGTATTTACTACAATCTGCCAAATAAGTAAGTAAATGAGATGCATCGCGATTGGACAATGTTAATACTTAAATTGTACAACGACCAGTACAAATTACTGCGACTAGGGAATTCCTAACACGAGATTAACCTCTATAAAACTACGAACGTAACAGCATTTAACCTCTAAATGATAAGGATCATTGATTTTTTTTACTTGCTTTAATTTCATTATCAATTTAATTAAGTAATGTTGTATTTTCTTAGAATAAACCACTATTCGCATATACAACTCGTGATTTTGTTTTCGCAATTATTTCTCAAGAAATGTATAGTACACCTTGAGAATTTGCGATATTTTGTGTTGACCAAATATTGAACAAGGAAAAATCTCATCGCAAAGAATTCAGAGAGGATGTAAATAAGATGTACCAAGAGTTTTGTCACACGGAGGAAATTTTGCATGAAAATTCTGTTGTGACTAAAATTCGCAAACATTTATGTAACAAAGTGTTACACATTTTGTACTCTTATAAATAATTGAATTCCACCAAAGTTACGCGAATTTTATGTAAGTGCGCGGTCGTAAGGATAAATAAATTGGCAAAAATCTTATTAGATCATCCCCTTTTAGCAAAACAACAGGATGGATTGCACACGGCAAATATATCATCCATCCGCAATTTGCATGTGGAGAAGCCCAATTCATAATCATTGTTTTTAGCACTTATGTCATCCCTCGTTCGTGTCCGGACTAACCCAGTAACTAAAAAGTAAACACTTCCCGATTCGTGGAAGTAAGTGGGACAGGAGACGAAAGAATTAGGAAGAGAGCAAATACCAACGCTACGTTAAGATGGATGCGGTTGAGTCAATTACGCGACTTTATCCTTGCCTTCTCCTTGTTTACCGGTACATATCACCCCATGCATCCCGTGTCTTACCTAATATTTTCAAGGTTATCGGGTTGTATAATAAGCCACGTCTCTCCTGTAAGTGGGTTAAACACATTTCTTGCTGTTTTAAGCGAAATCATGCCTAGATCCGTTGGAATTCCTGGTCAACTCTGGGCCGCCAAAATTTGCACTTCAACTTGTGGTCATACAATGAGATCTTCGTAATCAAATGGCACGTACACAATGTATTTGCCAATCAAGCGAAGGAAGTTGACGGAGTAAATGAAATGGAACCGAGAATGGTGGAGGATGTAACAAGTCGTTACTTATTAGTCATCACTCGCTTTCAACGAAGATCACATTTCATTACTTGCATCTTTCGGTTCTCGTCATTCTTCTTCTTGTTGAATTCAAGCGAAGCAAACTGTTCCAATTTTACCTGGGAAGTTCCCAGTACCAGAATTTACCTGTATTGTGTGTTGTATAATGGACATTTAAATCCTTCAGCACGTAGGTTAGATAACAATGTAAAAGTGCTAGATCCGCATCCAATTAATTGGCCCAGGTCTGGGTTGGTTTTACCCATACGTAATAAAACTTGGGGATGCAAATTCCTCGATAAAGTGACGACAGGTATCGTTTATTTTTGGGTATGCAAATCCTCTGAAAGATGATGCCTTATTGCCTTCTATTGATGAATGCATGCAAGAAATCGAGTTGGGAAAATTGAGACAGTTTTGCTAAAAAAACGTTAATTTTTATTGTTCCTGAGAACAAATAAATGTGTTGTTGTTGTGTAAATTACTCATCCTGGTTAATTATTACTGTTACACAGAAGCAGTAAAATGATGACAATTGGTCTTTTCTGAGGAATTTTCATTCATCAAGTTCACTACCTGGGCAGTTTGCTGGACTAATAAATTTCATGGGCAGAGTACATATTGCTCATAACTTCTGCCGTCGTTTTAATTATTTAACAGTCGTCTGTCGCATGCAATATTTTACGACTTTGGGCATTTTTATCTGAAATTCTCAGATTTCAAGGAATTATGCGAGTTCACAAAACGACTGTTCTGCTTTCTAGGTATGCAGGAGTTAGTAAACCGTGGGACAATTTTTTTCTAATTTTTTTAGCACCATACTAATTTTAGACTTTGATTTACAATAGAGGTTTGATTTGTGTAGTTGAAATGTGAGACGACCCAGTGGCAGCTTGGCCTTTTAGCAATAAAAATCTGTAGTGGTTGGTTGGTATTGTGCTATTATTTTGTTTATCATCTAATCGTGGATGGAGGTGATGCAGTATTGTCGGAAATAGTGGTATTATCAGATACGTCAATCATGCAAAAAATATGAATGTAAACTTGTAGACTTGGACAAAAGGGTAATTAAAAAATTATAGCGTGCCCAATTGTTGTATTCTCTAATGTACTTAAACTACTACCCAAAACTCTTTTTTCATTTCCTTACATCGTTACACAATTTTGAAATAATAACACAAAAATGAAGGTCCCCTCTGCCTAAAGGTTGACTTTATGCTTGCCCGTGGAAAATGGAAACTGCATCAAACTACTCATGTCAAGTCGAAAGGCCTTGAATCAGAAAACTAAACAAAACTTAGCCGACATTTAGAAAGCCGTAAAATTAACGGCAGCAGTCGCTAACTAACAGCTAATATATATATAATTTTAAACACAAATTGAGTACATATTTATACTGCAGACGGACGGCTGGAGACATATTTCCTCTCTGAAAAAGGAGTAAAATAGGCACACACATGAATTCTGGTGTATGTAATGAATTGAAATAAACCTTATCTTTTGATAATAAAGAAATTTTGTAAAGCCATTAAAACAAGCGAATTAACTTTCCTATGAATCCAACACTTGGTTTTATTATTAATTATATTAAAAGAGTAAATCATGATGATGATGATGACGAATGATGAAGTCTGGGCTTTCATGTATGCAAAAATTTTGCATACATGTATGTGTATCCTTGTTTTATCGCGAATTCGGAGCCAGAAATATGCCCTACTTATTTATGTATTTGTCTCTTATTCTTCTGACATGTGCGTCAATATCGTGACTTTTTACGAGGTTGTGCAGTAGCAAGTATATACATACGTAAAGTGGTTAGTTAGTTGTTGTATCATCATTATTTTTCATGCATGCAATTCATGTGCGGAATGACAACGAGCAAAACCGGACGAGCAATTCACGGGGTCGAAGACGTTTTCAAATGCGGAAGTGGTTAGCTTAGCGGGATAACCCGGTAAACAACTTAATCTCGTGCATTTACACTTGTGTACATCTTGCAATGGGCACGAACAGATCACATGGGCATAGGCACGTATTTAATATGCAAATATTTGAGCCATTTCCATTTGTAGGTCAAATTTATTTATCATGCAGTGAAAGTTAACGTCACGTCAAATCAAGGATTAATTGCAGTGCAGATTATTTTATGTGCACAGCATTTGAAACACTTTATCACGGGGAATTTGTCAGATTGAGTAATGGCTCTCGTATAAAAAAACGGTATTCGCATTTTTGCAAACGTTTAAATACATAGAAGGCGAAATGCCTGCCTGCCTGGAGCGGAGAGATCTGTAATCATCTGTAATCTAATTCTCTACTTTGCTTTAGTTAAATAGCGAAAACATAGTTACTTAATTGCACTTAATCTGCATTTTTAGTTCTCACGATGCATAACCTTGGCCTTATCATAGAACGACGATTTCTCGTCTAAATAGCCGTGATGCATGGTGACAAAATGTAGTCAAATTGCCGACGCTTTACATAATATGCAAATATATACATATAACACGTTCTGTATCGCTTCTTTTACATGTCTAATCAAATTACAATACTTGATTCTATATCGTCTAGCACCGCATAAAACGACCAAACGGAGAATACACATGTCTTTTTTCAGCAGATTTCTTACTCGTCTGCAACAAACATATGTACATAAAAATGCATTTAAAAAACCTACAGTGCAGACTCCATATAGCCCGAGTCAGGGACATAGTCCCTGACTCAATAAGTCAGAGCCCGCTTCTAAATTTTTTCCCGACTTGACCGACATAATATCACCAACTTCCGTGTTGTGGATGGTTAAAAGTTTGTTAGATAGTTTCTACCATTTGGTAACAAATTTTTGAATTAGTTACAAATCGTGTGCCTTGACCATGCACCATGACCAGTGGGCTTCTTTATCATCCTGAAGTTCTAAGCTGTATGCATGTGCTATCTGCTATCCAGCAGTGGTTTTCACTTTTTCAGCCTCCATATCAAATTTCAGCTCAATATAACGATTTTGAAAAATCAGTATGGATTACCCGCGAGGGTCACTCTGGTTGCACTTTGCTCTCTTTTAACTTCATATTCTTTAATTAGAAGCCATTAAGTATCATTATGCCGGATTTCATCTTTTTAAAGCAATTTCTAAAAATCGGTATGGATCACCCCATAGGGTCGCTAAAGATAAAAATTTTACAAATATCATCCATATTCTTTCATTAAAACCCATAAACAACCTCTCCACCAAATTTCAGTTCGATATGATGATTTTGAAAAATCGGTATGGGCCACCCCCTAGGGTCCCTCAAGACAAAAAATTTTTCCAATTAGCAACCTCTGTACTAAATTTCAGCTCTCTTGAAATTTTGGTGCATAATACCCCACCCACTCCGATGACCCCCACCGGTCAACCACTTGACCGATTTTGCCCATCTTCGAACTCGTTTCCTAACTTTGTCCAATATGCATATGGTACAAATTTCAAGTCAATCGGTTCAGCCGTTTTGGCTCTATCGTGCCGGACAGACAGACAGACGGACGGACGGACATGACGGTTCCATAAGCCCTGACTCGGGCTAAAAAGGGTAAAAAATAAAAATGCAGAAAAGTTGAAGCCTGCTTTTTTCAGCCAAAGTATCAAAGTTGTGGTGGTGTGGGTAATACCAGTTTACTCAACAATTCTGCAACAATTTCTGCTGCTTTTTTTCTCTTCTCCGTGCCGTAGAAGTTTTCCTGATGCATTACATAGTTCGCTCCTCTAAAATACCAAGTAACCAACGCCTGGATGATCGGGAGGAATTGCATGCACTGATATGAATGAACTCGGCAAAATTATTGTTTAGGTTGAGAGATTGTTGACCAGCAGGTCTATCGGTTACAAGATGATCAGATCGTACGAGTCGAGGAGTAGTACCACCAAACCTCTTTAAAACTGCGATGGATTTTTTTACGATTATTTTATTTTCTTCTGTGTGAAGCCAAATGGTTGGCTGACTACTTGGTAAAAGAAGGCAGGCAGGCAGACCAGAATTCTGACTTTCAATTTCTTCGGGCATTATAAAATTCGATTAATCATCTCCAAGAGCCAAATACGCTAAAAAGTTGGCGTGAATTCAAAACTCTATCATGATTTGCTAAATGTAATTCGTTTCGCAATTTTATTTCTTTATTATGTATGTGAGAAGGATTAAACATGCTATTCATTCAAAGTGTAGTACAGCGTTCCTCCAAAGAAAAGAGATAGATGCGCAGATTGTTAATTCCAATGATAATCCCTCCTATTTATTTAATAGGTCGTTGAGCTTTTCGGGGCAAGATTCTCTTCAGATAAGTTTTTGATGGGTTCCTCTTCTTGCCAAAATTGCAATTATTATTGTTATTACGTCTTTGTGTGTGTGTCATCATCTCATCATCGGCCAGTTAAAAAAATTATGTCATTAGATAGCCGACCAGTCAAGTCATTCAATCAATTCCGACACATGCATGCATTATGTACAAACTACGCACGAGGAAAAATAAAACATTCAACAAATGTGACTTTGACATTGAATTTGGATACCTAAAAGATTTTACTTGTTTTACAACCAAAACAAGTAAGTAGCTAAATAAGTAGGTTTCATAAGTTTGGAATTGATAATGCGGTCATGTTATTTATTTTGATTATCATTTTTATTAATGATATCTAGGACTGGCGACTACAATGCAGCTGAAACCAGCTACACGGCATGCACGTATACGTACTTAAGTATTTATCTTCTATTCTACATTCATACCTGATAAAAATTATACAATATGTAGGAAATGGAAAATGGTTGTGATGAATTGACGAATGCGGAAGTTTGCACGATTATTTAGACGATGATACCTAATTATTTAATGATGCTGCGAGTACTGCGAAAAGGTTGGTTTTCTAAATAATAAATACTAATACCTAATAACATTATTACTTGGCTATTGCATAATACTAGTAACCGACTCAATTATGGTGACCCATATTTAATAAATAATTTGGTACACTAGGTTTATGTCGTTCTCAAACGCTGAATATTATTTGTGGAATTTGTCCACTTGCGAATGACTCGCCGGAAACGACATTGGGGAAAGTAAAGTTGACCTTTATTCCGTCAGTACAGGCGACGTACACGTTTGCGAGGGATTTTGTCCCGTAATATGCATCGATTTGATTTCCGTACCCTCCGAAACTTCCATGCGCGGTGGTAGGAGCGCCAAATGTAAATGTGCCAGGACTACAGAGCGCAGACTCGCGAAGCACTTTTAACACGGCGTTCAAAGAATATTCTTCATCCGGTCGGACTTCTAGTGGTCGGTCAAATTGAATTTGGAACGGCATGCGGAAATCATACTGTGTGTGGGAAATATGTAATTAGTTAATTTGTGGGAATCAATGATTTTTTTGGGTGGTAAATTTGCATACATTTCGACTAGTTCCTTCCATCGTTCTAGAGCCGAGAAGCTGTCCAAAAGCGAATGTCACGCTTGAGCTTCCATTCGGATTATCTATCGAATTTATTGGGTTGGGAACACTCCTTGATTTGAATAGGCTCACAGTGGCACTGAATTTTAGGCCAGATATTGAGCTAGATATTGCATATATTCCAACTCCATTGATAAAAACTCTCTGGTCTGTCCGAAATCTGTAAGAAAATATTAAGTAACACTAGTTAAGTCGTTAAGTGCATGTGTATTCGTAAAATTCAATAAAAATTTGGTCTCACTTGACGGACGAGTTGTAGACGCTGTCACCCGTACAAAACGAAGTGAAGTGAATTACTTTGCTTAGCACGTCCGCAAATCGAGTAAGATATTGCAGTTTAGGCCGATAAATACGCCTCTCGATGTGGAATGGAGTATCAGGTCGATGTTGTCTAGAATAATGCGTGATAATTCATTACAGTAATATGCGCATAATTAATAATTTTGAAAAATGTTTCCATACTTTTGATCACTTCCGATACACAAGTTCATAAAAACACTAATTATTTCGTCTTTGGTTAACACATATGTGGGAACAACTTCAATGGAAAATTCTTCTCTTGACCTAGAAATAAAATAGTTAAATAATCGCATCTCCGTGTTCAGCTGGAAAATATTTTAATCTTCATACATGGCTGGAAACCGGACTAAATGGATAGCCTTGCCAAGAACCTCTCGTTGACTGGTTGGCGATACTTCAATCTCTCTCCGTTTGCATTCTGCTTCCGCCCATCTTAAATAATTTTAAAAGTTTGACATTAAATCGATCAATTGCATAATTGTACTAAATTGATACTACTGCCTACTTTAATACTCCTTTAAATAATACACATTCATTAATTCTGAGGTTCTCGCGTTGCAACAGTGTGCACAAAGTATCCCGATCAATGTCCAGAAACTCTTCAGTCGTTAAAACCTTGTCGATTTGTCTAAAAAATACCTTAGCATTATATACATTCCTTGTCCTGATATGATGTAGTATTATCGTTACCTGTCCAGGTAACGAAGGCACGTGTCTGCCAATTTTGGTTCATCGAAGACAATTGATCGATTATAAATCAAAAACAAATTTTCCGGACTCATCTTATCAACCAGCAATTCTGCACATTTGTTTGCAAGGTGTGGAACGATATAGATTTTTGCAGGCTTCAATAGCAACATTGCGTCAATGGCATCCATCGATTCGTCAAATTCATCCGTGTAGAGATACTATAACATGAAAATGCATTTAATACCGCATCACGATTACAGATTACACGTTATAACTAATCGCCCAAGTCGTACCTTCAGGAAACCAAGAAACACGTCGGGTTCAATGTCAGGGATTCTGTGAATGTTTTCCTTCATGGCCATCGGCCCAAAAAATAGTTTCTCGAAATAGGGCGACCCTGCCGAGAGTATGGTTTTGTGGCCTGAAAATTTATAGAGAAGGAGAACCAATAAACTAGAGAGCCCGACTTATCAATGGATTAATTTTTGGGTAAAAGTTACCGAAGATGGGTGTGTCCATAGGTCCAACGTGGAAGGTGATGTCGCTCAAGCGATCGCTGTTCACGAGGCAAGACGTCCTTTCCTTGATACTCCCCTTCGATTCCTGCCAACTCTGGTACGAGGGTGGTGCTGGTTTCTTGGCAATTGTTACTGTGGAACCACCACCCCCACTCGTCCCTGCGCCCCCTGACTCCAGCTTTACATCCAATCTGCAGTGAAAACACTTATTTATAGCATATATGCAAAATGCCAATTCAAAATCTGACATTTAAAAAAGCTGACCTTCTCCTTTTACCAAAACCACCGTCCTGATTCGAATCTCCAGGTCCACCACCCCCATTGCCATGATTTGCATCCAGGCAGTGGGAGTCCATTCCAAAATTCGATTTATATTATATCTACGAGTGAAAGTTCAAAAAAGTAATATTCAATCAAAGACAAGACAGAAGAGAAAGTTGTAATTTTCGATATTAAGAAAGTCAAACTTTCTATAATTGTCTGACTTTCACTGGAACAATGTTATTACGTAACGTAATAGAGAACAGAATGACATAACAAGGCCAACTAATCCCATATATTTATTGTCCAACTGTTCTGTATTGTACTTTTGGAGAGCATTAAAGAACCCGCTGTGGAATGTCCACCCTCATTTTTTGTTGGTAAACAAATCATTAAAGCTTACGTAAGCAACTCCATATCGCAATTTTGCATGCAATATTTGTCGCAAAGTTTTATTTATAGATGCAAAAGTGATATGCGAATAATAATAAATTATTACATGTGCCTAATATTTATGTAATAAATACAGAATTGGCGTCAATATCTACCAAATTAGATTTCCGGAGAAAGTTAGCATTCTTTTTTCTACTTTCTCTTTATTATTTTCTAGTTCAAAATGGAAATAATTATTTAATTCGGTTCCAAAATTTGCTGTAGATAAGTAATAAATAGCAAAATTGTTTATAAACAAGATAAGCTTATGTAAGTTTGTATGTTTGTTTGTTAATCCTTTATTCTAATATCAAGAGAGATCAATTCATTACAAATTGTAAGCAACTCCATATCGCAATTTTGCATACAATATTATTTGTTGCAAACTTTCATTGAAAGTTTGCGACAAATTATATTAATACAACAGTGCAAATAACACCATAAACCTCATAAATATATGCCTTAGATTTATTTAATAAATGCAGGATTGGCGTAAATATCTACCAATTTAGATTTGTGGAGAAAGTTAGAAATATTTTTCTTCACTTTCTTTTTATCATTTTCTAGTTAAAAACGGAAATAATTTTTTAAACTCAGTTCTAAAGTTTGCTGCAGATAAGTAATAAATAACGAAATTCGTCGATGAGTTAATATTCAAGAGGAACATTTCCAAACTGAAGAGAACATTGCCCCACTCCAGAAACACGCAAACGAAAAAATGCCTACACACGATGAACATAATGCATCCCAATTGACAAAAGAGGAACACAATAATTATTGCCACCACGGTTCCGGAGTTCCCAATTTTTGGCGTACTTTTTACCAGCGATCCGGACATAGCTGTAGATGAAGACCCCGTATTGGTCAAAATTTGACGATTTTTCCGAATTTCTTTCATCTGTTGAGAAATTTTTGAAAAATATTATTCATCATCACGATCAATTCTTTAGAGTAACAGCTCACCTTGGACCAAACCAGTAAATTCAGCACCGTCAGCAAACCAAATGGCAATGCGATGATTAAAATGAAGAACGGCCACTGGACGTAGTACTCCACGTATTGGAAATTGACGCCCGTGTAGCCCTCCGAATATTCGACAGAATCGATACCACACTCCTCCACCGTTTCATCCGGGATGGGCGTGTAGTCGATAAATTTGAGCAGTTGGACCGTCAAAGAGATCAGATTTACGGTAATCAGCGTGATAATGGCCGGTTTCAGAGGGGACGACCACTTCGACTTCACCTTGAAAGGGTCGTAAAGGGCCAGCACTCGCTCAAAGGCGAGAGCAATCGTGCAGTAGATTGATCCAACGAGAGCTAATATTTAATAATTGGTTTAAATTTCTGAATTTTAATTGAGTTGATCTTACTTCATACCGTAGTCGTTCAAAATTTCCATCCACATTAGGAACTTTGACGAGATTTGGTTACTTTTTCCGTCTTGTTCCACGAGGGCGGGGAGGGAGTAGGCGAGAAAGGACGTGGAGATGAAAAAGAGGTCGAAAGTGCTCAGGCCGACGAGGATGAAGGCGAAGAGGGACTTGATCCGCAGAAGGATGAGGATGCTGAGACAGTCCGTAACCACGCCAAGCCCCCCTAATCCCGTCCCCACAACTCCAGTCACCCAAAAACTAAAGCCTGGCATCCGCATTTTGCAGCAAAATGGGTTTCAAAGTTGGAAAGAACTACTTTATTTTTTTAGCTTAATTAAACCGAGTTAGATTCGACTTAGTTTTTACAGAATAACGTCGTGAGGTTCCATTAAATAGGGTTCTTATCAAATTAAATGATGCCTGAGTAAATGACATGCTGCAATATTTTGCAAAGATTTATGGATCGAAGTTTCTCTATTTTTGGATAATTTGTGCTTTGATAAGATAACGATTTTAACAAATATTGGAAATTTTTCACGCGAAAATGTTCAAGTTTCACTTAAACAAAAGTCATTTATCAACTAAATACTCTGACTTTCATGAGTGCCGCTATGTTGATGTTTTGAAGCATCTTATCATTAAATTAACATAACAGGATGACTGATACGCAAAATGGTATTTCATTTAATTTAGTTTCCGTTCAGAGTGCAACATCACCCATGAACTTGACATGTAGGAATGCAAATGTGATTTATTTCTGCGTATTTGTGAACGATAAGACCTTATCGATGGGGGAGGTTCAATCAAAACATGATAGGTGGAAGTACGCAAGTTGTTAAAATTTTGACTGATTAAAACGAGACTAGACTCCTGGAGCCCATTGATTTGTTACCACATGTGGCGCAGGCAGATAAGACAATCCGTTTTTTCTCTCGAATACGCAAAAGTGTAAATTGCATTTTATTTCGTTTGTTGTTTAATTATTTGGCATGTGCCAAAGTGTCGTGTAGAAAAAATTCCCTCTCACTGTTTGCATACTAATTGCTGTTAATGTACCCACACACCTTTGCTTGTTATGTTAATTGCGATTTATTCATTTAAAATGTTGATAATTCGTCATCCTTTGTGAATTTAAAAAATGCAAAGTATACATTTGTCAGGTTCACGACATGGTTCTTGTTTCAGGTTTTTGTAAAACTTTTATTTCATTTCAATCATTGGTACCGGAGGTTTGTAACAATTTCAGCTATAGTAAATAATATTTTGTATTGTTTTCAACAAGTTATAGGAATTTTTACGTCATCACAAATGTTAATAATTAATAACAAATAATTACAGGGAGTTATGATTAACGAGGTTCGTTTGACAGCATCGTGATTATCTGACTGCAAAACTATGTAACTGCATGCATATTATAAATACGTACCAAGTAATAAGATTTACATGGATTGATACAGGTACTACTTGAATTGTTCCATAAATGCATGAGCATCTGATTCAGTATTAGAGTATGAAAATGTTTGCATGAAAATCACAAGCCAGAGTTTTATTATGATTCTGAATTTTACACGAACTCGTAATGACGAAGTAAAATAAAAACACGCATAAATTACATGTTGAATTAAAGAAATTAAAGAATGGTGTACATTTGTATTGCATACAGATCTATGTACATACGTATGTATGTACATAAATAGGTATGAATGCATCCCTAGTCCGATTGAGTGACTTAATCACCTCTAATTCTTCTTTTCTTCCATTTGCTTACGTTATTTGTTTTTTAACAGATATGATAATTACCCTGTTAATGAAGACATGATAACAACAATCCAAACAAAACAGGAGCTCACTTCCAAGATCAAGACAAACAAAGATGAAGATGAGACCATCAGCCATCAATGTATGCATAATTTTAATCGATTGTATTCAATCATGACAGTATAAGAGCTATTCCAATGACAAATTTGGGAGGATTGAATTACCTACATGACAAAATCAATGGCGTCACGATTTTAGCACAATAAATTGCAAATCATGCAAAAGTGGGTATGTACATAAAATTGTGTTCATCGCAGGGGAATGTTTCTCCTCCACGGAATCCAATTCTTCACAAACATCCATTGTTTTATTGCTGGTGGGGGATGAAGAAAAAGTAGGGAACTAAGTAAATTAAGGTAGGTATTATTGCTTTACCTGATCTACTTCACCATCAAGTCAACTATGTAAAAGTATATAGACGCTCCCTCCAAGTCGAAGTCGACCAACGCCGAGTCGAAATAGTGAGAGTGACTCTGTAATGGAAAAAGGAGCAAAAAATCGCACAGCTCTCGTCGTAGATCTCACCAACCCACACCACTCCAACAAAGTCTAAGGTATTTGGTTGGTGTATAAGGCAGTGTGTACATAATAAGTTTGACTATAATAATGCATATAATGATTACATCACGCCAGACCAGACCACCACAAGAACACACAACGCTGCGGCATTTAGTTAGCGTTAAAAAACGAGTATAAATGTGAATGTGGTACGTCTCTAGATATGTGATGCTATAATACGTATGTGATGACGGCGTAGATTTGATGATGTGATCTTGTATAATAATGTAGCCAACCAGTCTCTCAGAGCAGTGTTATTGAACAGTATGGAATCGTAATTTACAGAAATAATGAAATATTTTTCGAGTTAACGTGTGTTAAAGGGAATGGAAATTGTGAGGAAAAGAAAGGAAGAGAAAGTGTGCGACACGAGTATGTAAGTTATTGTGGCTGGCTTGTCACTTTTGATCTATTGTCCAATCCAAAATATATCGGTCAATTTTTCTCTAGTGGAGAAAATATTTCTTTCTAAAGCGTGACATTTTTACTATACAAGTAGAAATATATGTGAAGAATTCGTAGTAATATTTAGAACCACTAATGATGGAATGGAGGGGGGATTATTTATGTAGACGATTTGTAGATATACTGCACCCTCCATTATTCATTCTGCCCTAATACCAATTTAGTCCCGGCTGGAAAAGACATTTTAACAATTACTTAACTTTTGTTTTGCATCTGCTACTCCATCAGTGTTCCCCTCTTTGTGTACTTACATAACAGTGATAATCGACGGACCCTCCACAATAATAACACATATCATTCGTGTCATGTCACTACATGCATCGAAACCAGTTAAATAATAATGATGTAGAATTACATCAATGTTCACGAGCTTATATTGACTGTGTTAACACCATCCCACTTTTTAGAGTGAGATAGACACGCAAACATAAAACAGTTTCAGTGCATACTTTCTACTTCCAACAGTCATCACCATGATTGGCAGAATAATATGGTAACGGATACCTACTTTCACGGTTTCCGTGTCCAGTAATATTTTGCAGGCTGCTTTTTTGCACGTATCTATTTAGTCGTGGTTGATGGTTGGTGAGACTGCAAATATTTTACGCGTGGGTGTTCTACATATCTCCATCCATGCAAAATTTTCACTTTTACCAAGCAAAGCAAAATAGCATAGCCAACTCGGGTAATAATTCTTTTTATATGGCGAAAGTAATGGGCACATGATTTTATTATTGGCCATCTCATCATCCCAATGTCTCATATAGTCTTCATATCTCTGTGACCACCATAGACTTATAATACGTAAAGGTAAGCATACATATGTACAGTTTCGCCAATGTATATATGTCATGATCTCGTAGCATGGCAAAATTTCCATGCAGTGGTGGCAGTGTGCATAGGTATGAATGATGTGTATAGGAGTATACGTAATATAACCTTGAAGTGATAATAGGTTGACCGGGTTTATTTGGACTGTGATGCACATTACATTACAAATCTCTCGTGTTTAATCTTTCCTTATGTTTTCCCCATTTTCTAGGAAATATATCCTGCCTGTTTACAAAAACTCCGCTGTCCGTGTGTCCAGAGAACTACTAAACTCTACTAACGAACTAGTGAATATTCAGGATTGATTGATTCACCCAATAAACTTTCTCCTCGAGTGAATACATAAAAATAGTAAAATAATGTCGCAACTTAATAATTCCAACTACCCGTTGCGGTCGCAGTGTCGAAGTCATGGATCGTGCAACTGCCGCAATGCACCCAATTTGCCCAGGTTTGATTTGTTCACTTTTTTTCATGAATATCTATTTATCATTTATCCGTGTGTGTGTCGCATATGTTTTGTCAATGAAATAACGAACGATAAGCTCATCCTAAGCTAAAATAGCATCTATTAACTAATGACTCGCTTTTCTCTTCGAGGGACGGATATCCTTCTCGTGGCAAACAGCACGTTCTATAAATAAAACCCCCCATTATTTCGATGTCAGGCTGAGCAGAATACCGTGTTTCTTTCTTGTGGTTTCTCAGATCCGGTGGGTGCCAGGGGATTAAAGTTTTACCAGTTTTAATCCAAGAATTCCCATAAGCACACAGACACACATTTTACTTCATCATAACTTGAATTCACATACATCCTTATATTTTTATGCTCGTAATTCCAGATCGCGTCGAGGTTCACAAAAGAGATCGAGCAACACCTCCCTGAATTCTTCCGATTTATCACCAAACAATTCTTTCGACGTGTCATCCGATTTTGACCACGATACTGAAACATCATCCATTAACCGGTACAGTTCTTCGTTTAGTTCGTCGCGTGCTGTTGTGTCGTCAGCTTATTCGTCTAGTAGTTTGTTATCGAAAGAAGAAAGTGTGCTTCACCTGACCAGCGGTGGGGGAGGAGGGGACAGTGACTACAATTCAGTAACAAATAGTTTTAACAGTGACAACGGTTCTGTGTTTTCCCAACAGTCTCAAAGTGAGGTACAATTACGAAGTATTCTTGTCAATAGTGAAAAATCGAAATCAAAGCCGAATGGACACCCGAGAAATGTGAGGTTTGGCTTTGCCACAAGCACTCCTTTGACAGACATTCATAACAAAGCGTTACATGAGTATGAAGATATAAGGTGAGATTTCTGACTAATTATGCCTAATTTCCGTTGAAAAAATTTCTCAACTTTATTTGCTTTGGTGGCTTTAGCACGTGACATTATACACACAGCATACAATTTCTAATTTTAGCGTTCCTTTCATGTTGTTAAATATTATTAAATGTGGGTTGGTTTAATGTTTGAGTTAGTGCTCACCCACCCACCCACTTACTTTTAGTTCCAGCCCATGATAATAATCTCACTAAACTAACTAATTAGCATATCAAGAGGATTAGCATGAACACACAATCGAACGAAAAGGTCGCCACATCATCCTATTATATCACACGTAAGTACGGAGATCAGGATAGTTTGGAGGATTCATGCTTTTGAATTTATTAGACACAAAACTTCATTTCGTGTAAACCTAGCATAACAAAATATTCTCGAGGTGAGTTTTACATACGTAATTTTGTCTTACATAACTACTTCTCTTCAGATTCACTAGAAAAATTAGCCCAGAGGGGACGGGAACATGGTCCAAATTGAAGTAATGTTTGCAGTGTAATTGTACCTGTCATGTTATTTTCTAACAAACAAACTGTTCCAAAGTAGGATAATAGTCAATAGTAGGAGTTTGTTGTTCGAGTAAATTAATCCGCTATCTTATTTAACTGCTAATGCAACCGCAAAATCATCAAACCCTAATAAATACCTTGCCATAAGATTTATGGAATTTGTTCTCTTTATCTATCCTCCCAAATTTTTTATCAGTGCATAGCAGCCCAAACCTTTTAACGAACAACATCACCACCACATTTTGCATAACAGTGAAAGATCACGTTTAATAATCCGTCCGTTTGTAGACAGACAGCGAGAAGTTTGCTTGAACTCTATATTTAGACTGCATATAAAGTAATGCAAATATAGGAAGCAGCAGCAAGAGTTAAGTAAAATCGTTTATATACGCAACGGACAAAAAATTGGCTGATTTATACCAGAGAGAGCGAGAGTGGAGGAAGATAAGTTGCGTTGCGCTGATTTTTTTAAGAAAAAAAGCAACTCGGTTGCCAAAAAATTTCTCATCGTACTTGCATTAAAAGCGTTTCGTAAGTGTGTAAATGATCAAGGTTGAGTTTAATTCAAAGTCAGGGATTCCTAAATATTTTTGAATTGTAACCAAAAACTTGAAAAGCGACATCGATAAGGTAAGTTCATCAACGAACGGTAACGCGTTACCGTTATAACGGTTAATAGCGTGTATTGCGTATTTTCACTGCTTTTCCTGCTATGCTTTCTCCGGGCGATGAGAAACTAAACCCTGCGAAACAAGTCCAAGTTCAAACTTTGTTTTGTTATTCTTCGTCTTACACTTTTTCTCTTCAGTCGCATTTCATTGGAATTTTACAAATTTACTTTTTTCTTTTTTCAAATTTAAATATTCAAATTTAATAATAGTTATAAACAGTGGAATAAATGTAATACTCTTGTGTTTCTTGTTCCCAGTGAGGACGAAGAAGACTCTGACGAAGAAGACGTGATAATTAAAAGTGTCAGTGACAAAGTTAAAATGCATCCCTCCCGGGGTCGTGGAGGAGGTCGAATCGTTAATCAGAACTTGTCGAAATTTACACGACTTGAGGAAACCAGTGCTGGACGGCGCCGAACAACGATGCAGTCTGTTACGAATAGTAGACAATCTGACACCTTCGAAATGAGTGATGGTGGTGCTGACACGACTCAAGAGGTACATCAACTTGATACGACTTATCGAGTGACCCGGTCAGGGAGTCGCCCCCCTTCGAGTATCCACAGTCATGACAGCAGTTCCACTTCCACCACGGCGGTTGGCGGAGATAGCCGCGCCCAGCGGCGAAGACGCCAAATCCCTATTATCGAAGAGGGTGAGGGTGATGGCTTAATGTTTATGACCCCGACAGGAAACGGAAATGGAATCTACCCCACAACTTCGCGGATGACAGGTGACAAACATAATTTGGAGGATAGAAGTAAGATGATGATGATGACGGAAAGCGGTGGCTGGAGGAAGAGTACGATTGCTGTATATTGTTCTTCAGGGATTAGTAAAATTTGGAATTTCGTGACAACTCTGGTTTATCTTGTGGCGTCAGTGCCGGTTTATGTTTGGAGTAAAATAATGCGGTTTGTGGGACTTCCTATTTACTGGTTTCTCGTTCAGTGCCTTGTTTCTGAAAAGTGGGTGTTAGACAAGGACATGAGAGAGCAAAGGGGTGACAGTAGGTCAAGGTTTCAGAGTTCGGAGAGTGGTTATTTTGATAAAACTAAAAGTTGGTTTGCAAAGTTATTTTCCTGGTGGTCACTGACTAGTAGTTCTGCAAACAGTTTGGTAACTAATTCGAGTTCATCCTGGTTTCGAAAGAATAATGTTGTGTCGGAAAGTGAGGAATTCTTGATGTCGGACGACGAGGGAGGATCCGAAACAGAGGAATGGGTTAAAAATAAAAAGACTGTGAACTTGAACGGTGGTGGTGTTGAATTAATTGGTGGAGGAGAAGGAGGAGGAAAGTTTCATCTTAATTGCAATGGACATGAATCGTTTACTCCTACAACTACAGGTCGTGTTCGCGAGTTATTGCAAAGTACGAGAGCGAGGTTATTTGGTAACCAATTCTCAAACTACAGCAATCAGAGTGGATTCGTAGGACGAGACAGGAACACGGTTGTAGGGATGGCAAATCTTGGAACAATCGCTGGATGGAGAAAAAATCTTCTAGTGTTTTGGAGCCCAAAGACGACCAGTCAAAGGATGACTTCATCTCATCAGAACAATGGTCTCGTGTCGGACGATGAGAGTGAAGATGAACAAGGACAAGTTGACGTCGTGTTTTCCGATGGATGGTTTACCAGTGGGAGAATTTGCAGAGTCCTAGCCAAGCTGATTGCCCTACTCCTTCTTCTCATGGGATTGCTATATTTGGGTACAATACGATAGATAATTAATTACAAGTAAATGGACACTATGCTCAATAATCTGATTCTGTTTTTGTTTATTTGTTATCAGCTTACCTTTTGTGGCCGGTCGCAGCTTTAATCGCTTCTAAGACTTTGGATGCTTCGAAACAATACGGATTAGCCTTCTTGGAAGGTGTTTCAAGTTTATTTGCCTTATTAGTGCAATTAGGATCGGTGTTTGTTGCGTCATTGCAGAATTTTGTAAGTGTTTCTTGGAGTAAATACTAAATAAATTTTGATTTTGTTTGTTGTTATTTTTCCGAGTTATTTTATTTATTTATTTTTTCATATCATAGTCATCATCACTGTTCGTGGGTCGTGGTTCTCAGAAAAATGTCATTATCGGAGAACCTGCAGCATTTCCTATTGTAACCCCAATAGTAACTCAACAGCAGCAGCAGCAAGCTGCTCCACCCATACCTCCTCCATTTTTTTCTAAGGAGGACTATGAAAGGCTGTTGAAAAGAATCGAAGACCTGGAAGCTCAACTAAGGCTGAGCGATGGACAGATTTCGGAAAAGGATAAACTTTACAACCAAGAAATCATTGGAATTCGCCAAGATTACGAGAACAACCGGAAAGAGCTGGACCTGATGCGGAACTCAATCCCAACTACTGCTTCATTTGAGGATGAGATTGAAAAGCAAGTTAAGATTAGTTGTACTAAAAACTGTCCGGAACCCGAGGTCCCACCATCACGCCCAGATCCCGTTGTGAATTTTGATGACACAAATGTCCAGGCATTAATTGATAGAGCCATTCAAAAGTACGATGCTGATAAAACTGGTCGACCTGACCTTGCCTTAGAATCGGGTGGAGGCTCCATTTTAAATACTCGGTGCACAAAAAGCTCAAAACTTAGGAATAGTGTGGTTTCTTTCTGGGGATTCAAAATTTGGTCTCCTCCGAACAACCCACGAACCATTATCCAGGTATTTGTAGTTTTGTTTTGTTCTTAAAATTAACTAACATCCGAGGTTTTATACGTTGTTTTTAAATTTATAGCCCGGAGTGGTGCCTGGAGATTGTTGGGCGTTTGAGGGATCTGTTGGTGACGTTGTGATTAAACTGGTGGGCCCCGCTGTGATTACTGGATTTACGGTAGAGCATATCTCCAAATTGGTCTCGCCGTACGGAAATATTGACTCGGCACCCAACAAATTCCAAGTTTTGGTGAGATTTTCATATTATGCCAACTACTACATGAACAGTAGTAATTTAAGTAATTGTATCATTCATAAACATTGCTATTCATTATTATGATTATTATTAATTTACAGGGACTAAATGACGTAAATGATTGGGAGAAAGCTCATGATTATGGCATCTACAGATATGAGGACAATGGTCAAACATTGCAGTATTTCGATGTGTTGGTAAGTCCTAACTCGCTGTATTATTTAACTTGATTTATGTAATATCTGATGGTCTGGTACATATCAACAGAATATGACTTCCACGCCTTATCCAATCGTCGAGCTCAAGATTATGTCCAACCACGGAAATATGCATCATACATGTTTATATCGGTTCCGTGTTCACGGACATTTGGCTGATTGGTTGTCCACTCCTTTCACATCAACCGTCGTTACTTCATCGCTTCCTGAAGAATCAGACACCCTTCATGATGAAGATGTTGAATAACTTTCTCTATACTCCTAATTAATCTAAATAGGTCCGTGTTACAAAACAGAGTACAAAAACACATCAAAGAAGAAAAGCTATGAAATAAGTTTCGGCCTAGTCATGATATTGCAGTTATAGACAAGTATTAACTAACGTTTCCTTATTCCACGAATTTCAATGATGGTTTAGTTCTAAATATGGCAGTCTTTTTCAATTCAAACTTACTACTTTTTATTCAGTAATTTATAGATTATAGATTGACTGCAGATTTCCTTTCATAATAACTTTGTCTACTTATTTTTAAGACTGGCGCCATTTAATAATTGTCACATTAAATATAGATACGGAATAGATAATACTTCAGTTACTACACCGTTGCCAAATGAAAACCTGTTAATCAGTTAATACGAGTGTCATAATACGTAATAATATTTTTCAGGTACCGCTAAAGAGTTATACAGAGCAATGATGATTATTATTTGTTTAAATTGGAAGGTATTTTATTGGTAACTTAATTTGAATCTAAAATGTTACCATTACCAATTTTTCGACACCTCGAAATCGTTGTTAAATAAGTTACCTCTGTTTTTAAAATAATTAATGTAAAACGGATCTCAAATTTTTGTATTTACGGATATTTATTTGAAAGGAAGGACAAGATTGCAGATTTGGTCGAAACCATGAAAAACTATGAAAACCCTCAAATGCAGCCTACGATTGTGTTCAAAAGCTAAACTATTTATGTAATTACTGGTATTGCAATATCCTCTGGGGTTTAATTGTCAGAGTGGGGTCGGAATTGTTGAACTAGTCCTTCTCGTCTTCGTCTACTTAATATTTACCACATACAGACAATACTTGAAAATTAATTGATATGAATCACGTTTAATTTGGAGACCCAAAGAAGAAGTAACCAAGTATTTTCATACCATAATAATAATAACATTGCCATTTACTCTTACATTGTTATTAAACAACTTGATAACGAGTTGATACGATAATGTACAACCCATCATGATCTAATTTTAATAAAAAATATCAACCATTTGATAATTTAATCATACATATATTCTGCATTTTTCGTAACATTGATTAAAACGACATATTCACCTTCAGTTACATACGTCCCCATGTTCGTAAGTATAATTAATAACAAAATGATACAACAAATACAAAAAATACATTTTTATGGTTATTCCTAAATAGATTCGTATCGTTCCACTTACATATATTCCTCGATATTTCTTGATTAAAAGGTATGTATGTAGCAAGACTCATTGATTGTATCGACTGGAAAAGAAAAAAATATTGAAGACGACTGGATCCTCACAGGGAGAAAATGATTTCAGGAATTTGACTTTGCGTGTATTTTCCGACGCTGGTTTCACCGTTACAATTGCTGAATGTAAAATTGACTTCGAGATTTTCCGCACACCGAACGCTCACTTCCGTTTGCTCATCAGTCCCCATAAATGTGTTCAGCGGTTGTTGCTGATAATTCGAGCTGGCAACCTGATCCGCAAATAGTACAAGAATTGTTAATTGATAATCAGTCAATACTCTCAGTTCAAAATGGTAATAAAACTAAATTAAAAAGTGTAGGAACCGTACTCTTACAGAAACAACAGCACAAACAGTGATCATCTGATTGGGTGGGATGCGGACCTCGTTGTCAAACAAGACGGGAAAGAATCGGCTTCCAGAAGTTGTTTCAAACTCTGACTCGAGTGATCCATCCCGAGTAAACTGCTTCCGTGCTTTCTCTCCGGTGGCAAGGTCCCGGTCACCGACAGCCGCATCACATTCGTATAGATACACAGCCCCGTTGAATCGTCGCTGATCTCCATATTGCGCATTCACGCCACACTTTATGCTGAAAATGTTGACCCCTTTCAGAAAGATTTGTCGATCTGATTTTATGCTGCAAGAAAAGAGAAAGTCTTATTTAGTACATTAACAATATTTGACCATCAGGAAAATGAGTCAAGATTTAATGTTAAAAATGTTACTTGAATCGATAAGTGTAGATCTCTCCACTCCTATAATTCAAACTGTGGGCAACGGGTTCTCCACTGAATCGACTGACCAAGTACTGCTGCGGGTAAAAGCCACGCTTCTTGATGGGGAACCGTGGAATAAAAGCTGGATTCCTGAGGATAATAATGAAATCAGTAAGTATAAACCTACTGTCAAAGTGTGTAATAATCATTTTTCCAAGCTCTTACATTTTATTGTGATAACCAGCGCACATAAAAATGAAAATTGATCTAGATTCCTCTGCAGTAAGGATATTCCTTGGTGCTACTTCGGTTGCAAATTCTTCAGGCGTCTACAAAATAAATTCATGAATGAATGAATTGCAAGTATTCGCAGTTTATATTAAATTATTTAACATTACCATCGTTGGAAAACGGACGAGAAATAGGTTTTCACCAATTGCTCCCCGAAGGTTGCTATCTGTTGGTTCAATATTATTTCTCTCACACTCTAATTCCGCCCATCTAAATTAACAATAAAGTCAGTAAATAATATCTTAATAATTTTCATAAGTTTTTAACTCACAACTACTACTAACCTCAACACTGCTTTGAATATTTCAAGTTCCGTCATATTTAATCCATCCCGAATCAAAAATGAAGTGAGGATCTCGGCACTTAACAAAGTAAACTCCTCCGTTTGAACTATGGCTTCACACTCTCTGTCAGGCATGAATTAACCAATTTATGAACACAATTGATGCATGAAACTGGCAAATACAAATTACTTACCTATCAATAAATCGCAAGCATGCACCTCCTAATTTTGGCAGATCGAAAAAATCGGCGTAGTTGTGCACTTGGAATATGTTTTCAGGTTTGAGTTCGCTCATAAGAATATCACTGCATTTTTCAATCAAATGTGGGACAATGTACTTCTTTGCAGGTCGGAGCAAATTCAAAATTTTCTGATCGTCTATTGGTTCATCAAGTGTGTCGGTATAGAGGTACTAAAAGTTGCATGGCAAATATAACAATAAAGTTAATAAATGTGTACAAAATTATGCACGATTCGTACCTTCAAAAACAGTAGAAAAATATCCGGTTCAAAATCCGGCAACTCGATAACTTCATCGGTCGATTTGAACATTCCAAAAAATTGTGCTAAAACAAAATATTTAAATAATTATTTCCTTAAATTATGACTATTTAATACTCCTTTTCGTGGCTCAAATTACGAGACATTTTGATTTAATCTACATAACAGATTTCTTACCTTCAAACACTGGAGATCCCATTGCGAGAATCGTCTTATGACCATACATGTCAACTTTTCCTTCACCAACAACGAACCGGATGTCACTCATCCTTTTATTATTTAGCAGATATTCGGCCCGATCATTCAACAAGCGTCGTGATTCCTAAGTTATTAGAAAATCAATTAGCGTACGTACTATTTAATATAGTTAAATATCACCAACCAACCTGCCATCCTTGTTCATCAGGTCTCCCATTAGTTAACTGTAGATTTTTTTGCTGTGGGAATAACACCAATGGTTGTGGCTGGCGTAAATCCTGCGGGAGTTGACGCCGTTCTCTCGCACTACTCATATCCATTGGAACCTCGACAAGTAGAAGTTCTTGATGCAGGGGAACAGGCACATCAACAGGACCTGCTAACATTTCAACAACGGGACGTTCTAACGCTTCAACAATAGGAGCGTTCAACAGTTCCAACGCATTTAGACCAGGAACTGCTAATGCTCCAACAACAGGAACAGGAATTTCAATTTCCGGTGCACGTTGTTCCTCCTCAACAATCCACTGGACGCTCCTTTGCGACGATGATGAAGACGGCCCTGCAATTGGGAATGTTTGCACCCTTCTTTCTTGCACAGATGAGGACGATGATGGTTGTTGCAAAGGTGGGCCTGAAATGGGAACGGCGTCAACTTGGACTTCACCAATAACTCGTTCCATCCTAGAATCGAGGTTTCCCAAGGTCACTACTCTTGGCGATAGGGGAGTCGGTACAGAAACTAAATTATTGTAACAACTTAATGCAGCGGTAGGTGGATCTTCGTCACTGGTTCCAGGTTCCCTTCTGGACGATCGTCGCGACAATCTAAAATATTGAATGTACATTTTGGATCATTAATTAAATTTTCTCCAGTTTTAATGAGTCGCAACTTATAATAACAAATAACAATTATATTTATTGAATATACAACTTGCCTCCGTCGCTTTATCGGATTTGGTGTCCCGTTTGGCGTTCCATCCATCATACACCAGTTCGATATCTTACAGTGGGTATTTTTAAGATTAACTACACCATAATAATTAACAAATTGCACAAAAGACTGATTTCAAATTGGAGAATGGAGATTGCTGAGAGAAGACCACAGAACGAGAAGACGATGAGATAAAAATAAGATGAAAATGCATTCCTCCCGGCCCACTCTTACTCGATGTCATTTCTGAGAAATGCGTCTCAAGAGAAAAGAGTCTCACGAGGAGCATTTTATGCTTTCACCGGAAATTTAGGATAGTTTCATATTTCAAAATGTTTTCAAATTTCATGAAATAATTTAGTGCACTAACAGAGTATGCTTTATTTCGTCAATAACACCTACAGCTTGCACAATATTAAGAGATCACATCACTGTACTGTACTACATATATATAATTTGGGACAAGAACAAGTACGATAAGCTGCAAAGACATTTCTCTCCCTCACATTTGAATTGGCCAAGGGTAAAAGCATTATTATGGAAATAGTGCCTCATTTCACAACTACTTATATACATACATAATTACATTTAGACATTTATTAAGTATGTACGATAGGAAGCATGTCAAAATAGGCAGATTTATTATTTGAACTCAAACTATTGTGCATGGTGCATAGTTGAACAATTTGAAAAATTAGAGTTGCATAAATTTGTTCGCTGTATGAATTCATTTGATAGACCGCAAATATTCGAGTTCTTTCATGGCACGGAGAACCACTTCTTCCTGGAATGGAAGTCCAACTACTTGGACCCCGATGGGCATCCCAGCCGAGCTCTTAAGTGCCTAACAAACAAGCACATAATTAATTATTACTAGTTTAAAAGATAAATAATAATATATTAGCACTTTTAATTACTTTTTGAGCAGTTTTTAACAAAAAGTCGTCCTCATTGTCATACGAATCCACCTTTGTTCCAGACTCGGTGCCAAAACTTACTGTTCCGACAGGAAAATCGAGCAAATTCCAAATCATAGTGTAAATACAGGCGGCTTCAAAATCATTACAATTTTATTACCAATTAGGAAAAAATAACTTGTTGGCATAATTTTTTTCTGCTCACGCTTCAACTTTCCGGCAGCCTTGATTGGAACGGATGCAAAAGCAAAAGTAGGACACAGAACGAGATCAAGATTTAGTCGGTGCCACTGCGCCAAAACGTCTTCCAAAATTTGTCTCCGTTTTTCCATACTGCTCCACAATTCTCTAGACTTGGTTGCACCCCCTGCAAATAAAGTTGTGCGTAATCCAGATGTCATAAAGAAAATTTATAAGTTTCCGTTTGCTTTCTACCTCGAAAGAAAGCAGCAACTCGAGTGGAATAGAAGTAGAAAGTAGGAAGACATTTGCAACTCATTATGTACGCAAGAAAGCGACGAACGCATCTCGGAATTCGACACATGACATAGTGAAATATGGCTGACTGGGCGATCGGCTCATCCTTCCTGTCAATTTTATAACGCTCGAAATCTCAAATTCCCCACATTAAATTATTTAACTTGGTGTGACTATTTATTTACCAAATCTTGAGCGAGTTGTAACCATCGTCGGCATAAGCGAAATCCGAAACCAGTTCCGCAACGTCGAATCCATCCCCCATTTCGAAAGGGACGAGGATGTGGCCTTCAGCTTCGAGAGCAGATTTTGCATCCAGCACGACTTTCTCCGTGTCGCCGACTGCAGGAAAGAACTTGAGGGAAGTGTAGTAGCCGATCCGAAGTGGTTTTGCGGAAGTGAAAGTCTACAAAAGTATTGAAATGTGCAAATTTTGCATTTCAGTCATTAATCACAAAGTTTTGTAAATTAAAGGTCGTATTACGATGACGCACTTTTTCATCCCACGTGATCGGCACCGTTAACCTGTCGTACTTATTTTGTACTCCAGGCATTGTGAGCTCTTTGAAAACTGCGGCGATCAAGCCTGCACTTTTTGAAATTATTCCTGGCCCTCCATTAACTAGATTTAATTACATTTGATTAATTAAGATAAGAGGATTTAATTACGAATATTGTCATAATTTTTTGTTAATTCTTATTACGTCCAACCACTCCGGACACGGTAGACTTGAATCCGACCGGACTAGAAATAATTAGGAGAAAGTGAGTTAGTCAGAACTAAAATCTCAAAAAATTGTATTATATAGTGTCATTTTCATCTTCATTAATACCTTAACCGCATTTTTGTAGGTTTAAACCCCGAGACGCCACACATGTGGGCAGGAATTCGACAAGAACCGCCTACAAGATAACCACTTATCTTCTTAAGTTACTATACTTTTTTCTTATTTTAGTCTTCACGTCCACCCACTAACCAATATCCGTCCCAATTCCGAGAGCAGATCCACCGCTGGCAATTAAACTTGCTTCACCACCCGACGACCCTCCAGGACTAAGGAGGCGATTGAATGGATTCCTTGTCTCTCCGAAGATTGGATTCCCACATCCCCAACTTTAGAGAAATAAACAACCATACCACGCATAAAATATTTATTAGTTGCTTACTGCATCACATGACGCCTCAAAAATATGCAAAATGGAACATACCAAAATAAACTTTGGGGTACGTTCGTCTTGCAAAAAACAATGGCACCCAAATCTTTAAGACTTGCGATGAGATTGGCATTTTCAATTTCAGGCTTGTACAAATATTTAGCAAATCCCAGCGTCGAATCCATTCCCTCGATATTGCAGTTATCCTTCACCGAAATTGGCAATCCATGCAGAGGGCCGCGCACTTCTTTCAAGTCGTCAAGTTGAGCTGCCCATATCTAGAATATTATTCTATTCGACTATTCTCGACTATTTTCACTTATCCGACATAATATTCGATAATGCGGTTCTTACATGTGCTTGGGGGACAAACTCGGTGATGCTGTTGTACTCCCTCGTCTCCTTTAAAGCCTAATTTAATAAGAGAATAATAACATTTGTGCACAAATGCCAATCTTTTTTTGTGAGTAAATGTCATCAATTCATCACTCATCATCCCACATTTTCCCCATTCTTCACTAATTATTCATTTAGCTTTAAATAATGGATCCCTCGAGTTTTCCCAATTTTACAACTTACTTCCCCATTCTACTCATTCATTCATTCCACGCACCATTTCCCCCACCACCACCACCGACGAACGCTTTTTACCATGAAGGATCTGCTGGAAAGGGGGAGCTTTCTTTCTACCATGGACTTGGAATTCAAGGCCAGGATCACGACTAGAAATAGCCCATGATAATAATAAGGTGACGCTTTGCTAACTCTACACAACTCCTCGGCCTGGCTGGAGAAAATCAATACTTTTTCTGGGCAAACATACGTAGAAACAAGATACGCAACTTAGGGATACAAAAATTTTCTATTAGTGTTTCACCCGTGTTGTTTGCAAATCCTGTAATGCAGCACAACCCAACAAACCAATTGGTTCTATGTGGCAATGCAATAATACAAACAAACACGGAATATTGACCAAAAGTGAATGATATTTAAGACCAATTGTGTTATCTACTTATTCCGGGCACTACAGAAATATTGACCTTCGAGCCTGCTTACCTTGGCCATAAACGCGTCGAGAACTTCTATTGCTGTCAACTTTCTTTTTCTCAGTTCCGTTAGCAATTGGTCGAGCGGAAGTTGGAGAATTTTCTCACTTTTTGCGTCCAATTTGTACCGATTTTCCAATTTTTGAAAGGCATGTTCCCTTTCTTTCTGCTTTTTGTGAATGATTCGTCTCACCTTGATTTTGTCCTGCGGATGGAACATTTGACGAGTATACGATAAAATTCGTGACTCGATTTATGCATAAATTACTTACATGAATAGCACACAGGATGTTGGTGTACACGTAATAAGCGATGTACAACGTGACAGAGAGCGAGATCCAGGGAAGGACGTAGATTTTAAATTCCTCCGTAAATATGATCATTTTGAAAATTTTTTAGTAATTTTGAAAAATTGTAATTGGCACTGATGAAATTAATTTCGTAATTTTTGTAACGAGTCTGTGAATTTATTGATCACTTTTTTTAGATCCGAGAGCTATACTTGTACCACTTGTTCTCCGAGAGAAAGCTGGAATCAGACTGAAAATGCTTTCCCCAAACCTTCCTCCTCTCCTCGTTCCGTTTTACGACTTATTACCACCCAGATTGGCTGACATTCGCATAAAACTGGGCACAACCTTTAGCGTCCAGACTTGTTCAATTATGCATGTGTATTGTGCCCTAGGAAGAAACGAGGAGAGATTTCCTGACAAGAATAATTTGATAACAAAACTAAAACTTTTTGTCATGCAGTCGAGAAGAGATTCTAAAGTTCGGAATTTTAATTTTTAATGCCATACATGCACAAATTTGTTTGCAGAAATGCTCCAGAGAGTGGGAAGAAAATGTAGTGGTGGAAAATCTGTGATGCAGATCGAGTGTCTTTCAATTCGGAGAAGGCGATGCATAATTTAACAGTCTTGTTCATGTCAGTCCTGGTTTTCTTTGTCATCACAAAATGAATGAAACGAGCAACAAAGTCAAAGTCAGTCGTGTTCTGTTCCGTTATTAATATTTCATATCGAGCAAACTTTATCTTGTCCAATGCTTTCGAAGGATTTCGACACGAACTGGACTTTGTAGCTCTTGCTAATAAACATAAAAATGACGTAAATGGTGTAGACGAAATGTAAACATGTCTTGATTTTGACATTGATTTCTTTATCGGTACATATCTGTAAAAATGTGTACTCTTTTTTTATTTTATGTAAATATCTCAAAACATACAGTTTTCCGGTATGTATCAAATTACAATTTATTTAAGATACGGCTCAATTTGTGAGAGAAGGCCAGGCATTCGAAGTTCCAGGATGCCACGCCACTCGTCGTCGTCCCCTTGTCGAGATCCGTACTGGATGATGATGCAGTCTCTCATGGCATAAATCCAATTTTTAATTGTTACCTCGTAGTTTGTGCTTGTATTTTCTGGTGTCAAATTTAGATAACATTTTAACACTGCGATCGAGAGGGTGGTCGCCACGGAGGAAAACTGAATCAGTCGACGACAGAGTTTGATGGCATCTTCAAATAGTGGAATTGCTTCGTTGTACTTGTTCCTCTCAAAGAGGGCGAGGCCCAATTGCATCATGGGTTGGAGGACGAAGGGGTTTTCTTCTAAGGGAAGGTCACGCCTCAGAAACTTTAATTCCTCTAAAATTGATGACAGTAATTGGACATCGGGTAGAAAATTTGAACTGATGGAATCGACATGATTTTTAAATTTGGCTAGAATTGTGTCCCTTTGTCTTCTAATGGATTCACCTTCGTCTCTCTCTAAATTGCACAATTTGCATGTGCAGATAAAGTCGTGTTTTAGGAGGAGCTCATTCCGGACAGCGTATGGCTGATCAGGATCAATATAGCTGAAACAAATTGCCTCTTAATTAGTTGTTTAGTTTAGATAATGGAACATATGCACATAAATAATCAATCAAATACACAAATTACGAATAACCGACCTTATCAAAATCTCGTCTCCCACACAAATTTGTTTAGCAGCGATTATAAATATGAAATCGTTGACAATGTTCCAATTTGCGTTTGCTCTTGAGCAGTCGTGATTTATAAAGGAGGGCAAATACCACAATCCGAATGGTCCACCCGTCTCACCCACGCGTGTGCTCGGACCTTGAAACCCATTGACCAGGATGACCCCTAAAAATGGATAGATTTTGTAGTAAAAACTTTCTTAAGTAAAAAAAATTCTTGATAACCCAACCTTCAATCCTCGCCAAACTTATCGATTTCTTAACTTCACGTTCATCTCCCCCCACAAAACCGAGTTTAGGTCCTGCATGTAAAAAATACAGTTTTCTCCTAACTTCCTCATCAGTCGAAGCTAATTTCGCCAACGACTCTTTCAAACAGCGGAACCTTTTCACCCTGCTGAGCAATATGGACGACGGCACAGTTGCTGCCGAATCTGGAAAAATTATCTCCAATGCGCGATGCCCAATGATAAGGTCGCCTGGGTTAAAAACTTGTTTAGCAAAAAGACCTCGTCCCTTCCCCGGAATGCAGACAACGCTAACTTTCCCCTCAATTTCGAGAAAATGTGAGGGGAGTCTTTGATTCGGAAATATTTTGGAGGCTTTTAAAATTTCGAGCATTTTGGAATGTTTATTCAAACGAGGCAGGCTCGAAAGTCGTTCAACTTCATCGAAACCACGTTGCCCGAGTTTTTAAAGATGAGATTGTACTATACATATTACAGTAAAAATAGATACATGCATTGCACAAAAAGCGATTTTAAGAGCTCTGCAAGCTAAATCATGAGGGAATAAAGCACAGGACACACATATGTATGAGTAGTTATGAGTATGAACAAAGTAAAATACACACACACACAGTGAGATTTTCATGATTTATGTATTACGTTATCCTGTCCATGATTCTGTCCAGTGCATGTAGAATATGCCTAACAAAAACTGAAGCCTTGAGAATCTTCACAAAAAAAACATCTGCCGAAATTGTTTATCCTTGACAGCGTTGGCTATTCGCAGTCAGTCATGAGTTTAGTATGTAAGTCGCTTGAAAGTCATATCTCACAAAATATTCCATCACAGTATTATGTTTGGACTTGTAAAAATGCTGTAAATATATGCGTTATTAATTTTTCGCGTGATCTCGTCAAGTCGGCGAATTTCTCAGACAAAAAGGTTACTGTTTAAAGCCAGATTTATTTATCAAGATGCGAAGCCAGGCAAGACTGTTTTTCCTACTTTTCGGACTAATCGGTTTAGTGAAATGTGACGAGGATGAATTTTTATACGGAAAATTCCCCCCAGGATTTAAGTGGGGTTTGTCCGTGGCAAGTTATCAGACGGAAGGTGCTTACCAGGAGGATGGTAAGACATGCATAAAGTTCATGACGAATTATGTATGTATCACCTTTGTAATGTAATTATAGGGAAAGGGGTCTCAATTTGGGACACTTTTACCCATCAAACGCCCAGTCCGATTCTTGACGAGAGCAATGGAGATATAGCTTGCTTGTCGTACCACAAGAGTGAGGAGGATGTCCAGTTGTTGAAGAACATGGGGGTGTGGTGGTGACACAAAATTATGTTCGAATGGCGATGGCCTACAGTGAAAATTAAGCTGTTTTTTTAATTCAGGCAACTACATACCGGTTTTCCCTCTCCTGGGCTCGCATCCTCCCAAACGGTACTGTTGACAATATAAACGCCAAGGGAATCGAGTATTACGACAAACTGATAAATCTCCTCATAAAAAATGGGATTGAACCCGTCGTAACGTTGTATCATTGGTAAAATAATCTGATTCGGGAATTTACACGAATTTGATACATACTTATGTGAACTTTCTCGATCCACCAGGGACCTGCCACAACATTTACAAGACTTAACGGGGGGATGGCCAAGTGAGGAAATGATCCCCTATTTCGTTCAGTATGCTGAATTGGCATTCTCAAAATTTGGGGACCGTGTCAAGACGTGGACGACGTTTAATGTAATTAAACGAAATTTGAAATTTGTTTGGATGGAGTTTGCCATAAATTGAATTTTTACGTTGCAAAGGAGGCGTGGGTTGTTTGCCTGATTGGTTATGGCGAAGGAGTATTTGCCCCAGGTATTTATGCAAGTTGAATTGTTAAGAAATGGGTGGAACACATAGTCCTTAATTTTGCATCGTGTCGTCGAATTTGCAGGGATTAAAGAAATATCAGAAACGCCATACAAATGTGCCCACACAATACTCAAGGCGCACGCTCAAACTTATCGAATGTTTGATGAAAAATTTCGGCCTAAATTTGGAGGAAAACTTGGCATCGTTATTGACTCGGGTTGGTACATAGCTGCAGATGAGAATGACCCTAAAGACGTTGACGCTGTCGAGAGGGCTCTTCAGTTTAAAGTATGCATTAAAAAAAGATGCCATGAATCAATAGATTTAACAAATTCGAAACTATATCTTTTTCAGCACGGATTATTCGCCAGCCCTTTAGTTTTTGGAAAATATCCCGACATTGTGAGAAAATATGTGGACGAAAAGAGTCAAAATGAGGGAAGAAGTTCATCCAGGCTTCCAACATTTGATGAAGAATGGTCAACTTTTCTGTCTGGTACACACTCCACAATTTCCAAATAAGTAATTTAATTCATGACTAATTTAATTTTAATTTATTACCAGGCGGCGTAGTCGATTTTCTCGGCCTTAATCACTACACGACCCAAATGGTGTCCGCCAAGCCAACGCGTGGCCCCCCATCCTGGTACACAGATCAAGACCTTAGCACTTATCAAGACGACGCCTGGCCTAAGTCGGCGTCTTCCTGGCTGCGCGTCGTTCCCTCCGGATTTCGCCACATCCTCAATTGGATCAAAAACACGTATGGAAACATTGAGGTGCTCGTGACGGAAAATGGCTTCAGCGATACGGCCGACGCTGATTGGAACGACGACGACAGGGTCAACTATTTCAAACAGTATACGAACAACATGCTCAAAGCAGTGACGATTGATGGCTGCAATGTTACCGGATATTTGGGCTGGAGCTTGCTGGATAATTTTGAATGGTGCGTATTTTTACTAAATTTAGTAAATATGAAAATATTGCCGTGATTTTAAATATTACAAAATATTTGCAGGGCGAGCGGATACACGTGAGTTTTATAAATAAGTAAATACTCAGGTTATGAAAATATTGCTTAATTATTTTATTTTACGATGCAGAGAACGGTTCGGCGTGCATTGGGTAAATTTCAGTGACCCTGACAGAACGAGAACACCAAAAAAATCTGCCGCATTTCTCAAGGAACTCTTTACAAATAATGGATTTGCGAAAGTGGACAAAAAGGACGAATTTTAATTTTGATTAAGTACGACGTGTCGAGACTGTGATATATAATATTTAGTTAGATTGTGGGTCCGTAAATGAACAATTAAATTTTTATCATTTACCAATCACGTACATTTTGTAATATATGTATTTACCATATTTGAATGTTTATTAAACAAGCTGGAAAAGTGTCTCGTCTCGTTTCTTGTTGAATAAATTGCTGTTATAGGCGTCAAAGTTTCTCCATTTTTACCGGAAGTGAAAGTTAAATCTTATCAAAATGTGTCCGGACCTGGATGACCTAATTGAATGTGCCCTGTGTGCGGCGTGCATGGCACTCTGCTGCTCGTGCTGTAAGGGTCATATTTTCATGCACTTTTGAAAATTGTCTGCAAAAGTCGGAACGACCTGTCGGTTGATTCATACGCATGAAAAATCCCGACCAGTTTAAAGGTGAAAATTTCCAAAAATGTAGAGTCTGGTTCTGATATCAACGACCGGTTAAAATATTGAGTTACTTACGTTACGTTGAGTTACGTTACATTGAGAGTTGAGCCTTAGTAAAATATTGGAATATTTTTCCTCCTCAATACTCAATATTCCTGAGAATAGTATGGAAGTTCTGGAAATATTAATCCCAATTTACCAAGAAACTTCCCTTTAGAAAAACAATGGAATATTTTTCCTCCGATATTCCTTAGAATGCACGTTCTGGAAGGAAATATTAATCCCACCCAATTCACCAAGAAACTTATTTCGTCGGTACCTGTCACGAGGAAACCCTTCCCTTCCTAACCCTTCCCTTCCTAACCCTTCCTCAGGTACACCGCGCCTACCCGCTTCAGCGAACAAGCGACCCTTCACTTTGCAAATTTTCCATTGAAACATTTGCATGTATTTAGTAGTTTTTTTTAATAGCTACGTAGAAATAATTATTCATATCATATCATAATGTCGATACTTTTGGTTGTATTTAAATCCAAAATAGACAAGTTGCCAAATTGATATCAAGTTTTATCATATTTTCCACAATAATTCGAAGAATAAATCCGTTAACATTTTATATTCATAGATATTTTCCACTTCTTTTTAATATTATTTGTGAACAATACATATGTAAATATGTATCCTTCAAGAATTAGAAAGGCGAGCATTTCCAGAAATGTGTGGTCTGCTGGTATCAACGACCGGTTAAAAATATTGAGTTACTTGCGCCTTAGAAAAACATTGGAATATTTTTCTCCAATATTATCCAGAATAGTATGTCCTGAAAGGTCTGGAAATATTAATCCCACCCAATTTACAAAGAAACTTATTTCGGTCGAGGAAAACTAACCCTTCCTCAGGTATCGCGTTACCCGACTCGGCGAACAAGTGACCCTTCACTTTGCATGGCCTACTATGAATTTGACTGCTTACTTGCTTCCTACCACATTTAACTAATCCTCAACTGCCTCCAGTAAATAAAAAGCCCAGCATTCGACAATCAGTCCTCACTCGCAATTTCGTCCTCGTCCAGTAAGCATTTTACTTGAAAAATCAATCCACATTCCAACCAAGACGTAAAACCTGCCAATACATCTGCCCCCCATTAAACTGAGCAACTGAAAAAGTTAAAGAACATTTGAATCTTGATAAGTGCTTGATAAGAAGAGAACTTTTAAGTGTCTATGATGGAGATTGGTTACGATATTGTCCCGAGACGCAGCATTCACGCCAAGAAGACCAACCAGGCAACCAGTTTCAACGACTACTACCGTGAATCCCCATCCCAAAGGATGGAGAAAATTTCGCCACAAATCCTGCAAGGCGAACAACCCTTCGTCGTAGACGTCGAAGAGGAGACGACAAGCTGGCGACAAACAAATCCACTCCTGATTGCGAATGTGAGTAATTTAATCTGGGTTTCAGTAATTAATTTGCATACATGTAAGTACAGTTGAGATTTTGTCGCACAAAAAATATTTCATGGGATTATTTACGCCGTCTCATATCCCTTGAAAGTAATAATTGCTGAAAATGAGTCAGATTTGACAGTACATATATTTTCAAAAATTGTCAAATTAGAAATGTTGGTCTGTTCTGTATGTAGTACATACAGAACAGACCAATCACGTGCATACCCAAGTAGCCTCTGTGCAGATCTTGTGCAAGTCACAATGAAAATTTATGCAGATTTTGTGCAGATATTTTAGTACAATAAAATTTGTGCATGAAAAGTAAACATTATGCACTAACACATATTTACAAGTCTATTTGTACAAAATGTTTACCAACTTTGTACGTATTTCTGGGCATCTACTTAGTAATTAAATATATGTATAAGTTTTATGCAAACTTATCTACATTAAAATTGTACCATAAAATCTGTATCAAATATGCACCAAATATGCACCAAATAATATATGAATTCTGCTGCAGATTTCCATGCACCAAACTAGCATCAAATATGCACAAAGAAAAAAAGGGTGATCAGGCGCCATCTTCATGCTACACAGTTCTCTACTCATTTCCTACAGCCGTCAAAACGTGGTTTTCTTCTTTCTTAAAGTAATGATTCATGAATCCTATAAGTATTCCATGCAACGGTTAATTGTTTCGCTGGGCTGCTGGGCTATCAACTTGCAAAATATTGGATTACAGTTGTTACACATGTATTTGCATGATTTGTTTATGATGGATTCTAAAATTTGATAATTGAATTGAAATGGTGGTCTAAAAACACGAGATTTTTATGGAACTATTCAATTCAGAAAATTTCATGGCTATTTTGTTGGTTGGTAAGAAGCCGTTTAGCATTTGTTAATAGTTGAGTTATTGGTTGTGAGATAAATCACAAAAATGGGTAAATGTGAGGCAGATTGAGACGTCCAATGGTGATTTGCATATAAAATCATCCAACGCGTAATAATGCAATGGTTTATCGCTTTAAAATGTAAATATGAGGCGTATTGAGACAACTACTTATATACACAATTAAATTATATCAATTTAGTTTTCTCTTCTATTTAATTTTACTTCAATGCAATCACTTTACCAATATTTTTACAAAATGCTCACAATAGTTTGCGAGTTTTATGAACAATTTGTTCATCTCAATGTAATTATGAAGTAACTAATGTTCTCCAATTTATATCTTCCTAGGTCCTCGAAGTCATTTTCCCCCACCTGGACCACGCATCCCTGAAGGCCTGCAGCCAAGTATCCTCCCTCTGGTCCGTCATGGCCACCCCACTGCTCCGATCTCGCTCCCAGATCCACCTCGAAGGCTCCCTCCACGACGACCGAAGTGACGCCTTCCTCTCAACGCTCATCCCCACCGAACCCCTGCCCATGGCCAGTCTGACCTACAACCTCCACCACACCTCGGCCCCCTCCTTCCTGTACGAAAGAGTGTCCAGTTTCTTCTCCAACTTCGGTCATTCCCTCACCTCCCTCACCCTGCAAGCCTATGCCCTCCAAGACCCGGCCAATTCCCTCGGCACAAGCCACTTCTTCTCCGTCATGTCCCAGCTTGTGTGTCGCGACTGTCCCTCCCTGATCCACTTGACCTTGACCCACCTTCAAAATCTCGACTACCTCGACCCTGAAATCGAATCCAGCCTGAATTTCACGTCCTCTTCCATCCGTCATTTAACCATTTCCTTCGAAGGGAACTCCCTAATCCGACCGAGACGCTCCTTGAACTGCATGACAGTTTTGAAATGCCTCCTCGCCATCGCCCCCAACGCTACCATCCTCGACACTGACTGCCTCTGTGGGGGTGAAACCTTTATGTACTTCCTCATGACGCTGAGAGAATCTCAGATTTCGTCCCAATTGACCAGCTTCTCCCTCAGCGGTGGACCACTCGACAAGGTGGCGATGAACATTTTAAATTCCATGACCTTCTCGAGACTCACCTCGCTCAAGATGAATACCCTCATCACGGCCCAAGTGCAGACTGAATTTATCCAGTTTTTTCAAAAGTTGAGCCCAACTTTGCAAAAGTTTGTCATGTTTGGCGACAAATCGGGGAAGCTTGGGAGAATGGCGAGATATGAGGATGGATTTACAATGGATTTCCCCCTCATGCCAAAACTCAAGGTGTTCCAGCATCAGAATTATGAAGGCTTGCAACTTGGGAGTGAAGATTTTCTGCAAAGGTTGCCAAATTTGGAGGAGGTGGTGATTCGCGACTTTCAACCCTCCTTGGCAGAAATGATGTTCTGCCCAGAGCTTACCGTGTGGGGACCATGTTCAGTCCGAGCATTTACAAGAGGGGGACAATTACGGCGAAAAATCCTAATTATGCGAACGTCCATGTCAAGAAGGTGGTTCTCGATGTCGTCTTCGTCCCCTCGTATGAAAATCTGGGCTCGATGGAGAAACTGCTAAAAATGTTTCCAAACGTGCAAGAGTTGGAGCTCACCCTCAGTTTTGCATATCAAAACGTGTACGTGGGTCAAGTTTTGGACATCTTGGCCAAATCGAAGATCAAGTTTTTGCAGTGTGCTGAACTCCGATGTGAGAGGGTTGCGGCTTCATTTCATGCAGCATTGGTGAATTATTTGCCTGAATTTTCTCGTAAGTTAATTTCCTCTATTTACATATACATATTTGCATTAGTATTAAAACTTTTGAATTTAATTGAGAAATCTAAAAGAAAAAAAACTGGGAATAATTTTTAATGGAAACTTTATTTATTTTTCTAAATTACAGAACTCCAACGGGTCGACTTTATCTTGGACGATATACCACAATTGCCACCAATGTCCAGATTCAACTTGCCACTTTACATTGTCAAAGGGATGTTATGCACCAGGTCGTTAACCTGACCGGATTTTGCGTTGGGGTAAGTATTTAAGTATTTATTTCGATTTCTTGTCAGCGAAGCTTATAGCGAGTAGAACAAATCTAAATTTTTATATATTTTTATCTGACTATTTCAGGAGGACCTCGAAGAAACGGAAATGTGTCGCCAACTCTTAGATAACAAATTGGTCCAGTGGAAAATTAGCGAGAGTGTGATGCCATATTCAAATTTTAGTCATTTCGAATATTAATTAATTTCATTATTAGATTTTTGTATTTGTTTTTATTTATTTTTTTTTTACTGATTACGCCATAATTTAATTATTAAACATGTTGGTTTCATGGTTAGGAATTTTGGTACATATTTTGTATATCTGACAGATATACAAAATATATACAAAATTCCTACCCGAAATTTCGTGAAAATCGAATGATTTTTTTCGTACTTTTTATTTTATTTTTTGACTTCCGCTATAATTATTAAACATATTACATATAAATTTCATAGGTTAGGAATTTTGTGCATTCTTTGTATATATTTTTTTTAAATCGTATTTATTTTTATGTTTTGACTTTACTCAAAGGCATAAAATTACGAAAACATAAAGTACATTTTACAAATACAAATCTTATCTAAATATATAGACACTCTTACACCACCTGCATCTGCATACTACATTCCCTCATATGTACATATGTATGACATTCCATTAGAAATATTTCCATCAATTAACGCATGATTCATTCCAAATCGTCAAAATAAAATTGATGCATTTTTAATCATTTCCCGGCTCTGGTATTTTATTTAAAATTCTGATCTCTCCCTTCAAAACCTGTAAAAATCTGGAGTGTGTATTTTTTTAATTGGAAACGACTTGATCTTTTAATTTGCCGTCCAGAATTTTTAATTAAATTCCCAAGCCAATAAATGATTTTTAAAATGGGTTGGTTTTGACGATGAGTCATCAAGTTCTACGTTAATGTGCTAATTTTCCTATTTTTAAGTAGTATATTGTTCCCATTGTACACGGTGGTCGCCCATCGGATGACACATCTATTTATTAGAAAGACACTCACAATTATGGGTTTATATAACGTGGGCAGATATTTTACACAGGTTGGACGAATTTGATAAAAAAATCAAAATTAGCAAAAAATTCGAACATTTTGGCTCGTATCGCGAAAACTGCTTGTGGGCCACCCCAATTTTATTACGAATTATTGATATACTCAATATGTATTATGCAAATTTTAAGCCATCTAACTCGAAAATCGTTGTTGTTGAAGAACCAAATAATTCTATAGATTTATGCAATTTTCATCCAAAATCCGATTGTATAATTACCATATTTGGCAAGCATGGATGATGATGACCTATCACGACCCAATCATGCCCCATATTTATATAACCAAGTCACCCAACCCAGATTTCGAGAAAATTGATAAGCCCCTCGCAATTGTTATAAATATTTGTGATCGCATATTCATCAATCACGAGGAGTGATTCAGATAATAAATCCGATTGTTTATATTGCATGCATACTTTTACATAAATATGTGTTGATTTCATGCATTCTGGAGGTGATTCGATGATGACGTTATCATTAGTTCGTGACATGTTTGCTTGATTATGATAAGAAGGGTACTGGACACAGTATTTAAATGGAAAAATTGATTTGGAACGAGGCAGTGGTTCGTTTTATGTGGCCGAGAGAAGGTCAATTGTTAAAATGGTAAATTCTTGCTTATTTCTGGGCGTCCTCTTCCTCCTCGGATTGGGGGCAGAGGCGAAATCAGTAGCTCCGAAAAATCAGATCCGTGCCTTATTTCCTGACAACTTCCGGTGGGGGTTTGCCACTGCGAGCTACCAAATCGAGGGGGGCTGGAATGAGAATGGTATAAAATCAAGAGCATTCAACTTGTTACGTTTTTTAACTGAAATTTTTGATTTCTTGAAAAAACATAGGAAAGGGTGAAAATATTTGGGACCGATTTACTCACACTCCCGGAAATATTGCGGATAACAGGTATTTAGCATAATTTTTTTAATAGTTTTCCTAATTTTTCAACCAAAATTTTAACACATATTCCAGCACTGGGGATGTAGCTTGCGACAGTTATCACAATTATGCTCGAGATGTTGAGATGTTGAAAGACATTGGGGTATGCAAATATTTAGATAACATGGAAGTCAATTTATGGCACCCTGAAAAATCCAAATAATTAACATTACACTAAAAAAAATTGCAGGCCGACTACTACCGATTTTCCCTGTCATGGTCCAGGTAAAACTATCAAACATTTATCAAACTTTTGGTTATCGAGTCAGTCAATTATGATGAGCAATATGAGATGGAAAGTTAATTCACTATGTGTGCAGGATCCTTCCAAACGGTACGCTTGCCGTGGTTAGCGAGGCAGGAATCGCGTATTACAACAATTTGATCAATTTGCTCATTGCCAACAACATTGAGCCCATGATCACTCTTTATCACTGGTGAGATCTTTTTTGGCCACTGATTGCATTCATGATGGTCTGCTTACAATTCTCTGTATGATTCTGTAGGGACTTGCCTCAACCCCTCCAAGACATTGGTGGCTGGCCGAATGAAGCTCTGATCCCACATTTTGAAAATTTTGCTAGATTAGCATATCAACGATTTGGAGATCGCGTTAAGCTATGGATAACTTTCAACGAAGCGTTCGTGACTTGCATGCACGGTTATGGTTATGGCAATCACGCTCCAGGAATTTCGTAAGTTTTGCAGCTGAACGGATTCGATGACTCATTGTCAAAATCAGCACATTTTTAACCATTTCTCGGTTCTGGGAAGTTATTTAAAAATTATGGACGATAAATTTGTAGAACAGGTCGCTGTCAATTTTTAAAATTATTTGGCAGTTTTTGTTTCTTCACATAAATTGGACCTCGTCGGAACTGACGCATGACAGACCGCTTTCCATTCATTAATTTCTGGGTACCAACTTGTCGTCCTGATTTTTAAAATAAATTTCCAGAGCGAAGAAATGATTAAAAATGTGTTAATTACGACGATTTTGATTTTTGTGATGAGTCATCATGTTCTGAGTGAAAATTACGATAAGAGTAACAATAGAGTTAATCAAACTTAGGGTTAATCGTAACTTTTATTACTTGAATATTAGACAGGAAGACACGGAACCTTACAAATGTGCCCACACGATTCTCAAAAGCCACGCTAGAGCTTATCGAATGTATTACGACGAGTTTTTCCAGGCGCAAAACGGTCGGGTTGGAATTACCATCGATTCTGGCTGGTACGCCCCATTGGATCCAAACAATCCCTCCGACGTGGAAGCAGCCGAAAGAGCTGTTCGATTCAAAGTATTAAACCTAATTCAATACAATTGCAGCTTTGATTTCAGGGTGCAGTGTATATGAGCAATTTTATTACGGGCATTATGCTAATTATTGCAGCACGGATGGTTTGCATGGCCTGTGTTTTATGGACATTATCCAGACGAGATGAGAATTTTTGTTGACAAAAAGAGTGAGGAGGAAGGTAATTGTAAAATTACAATTTGGTAATTTCTGGTAATTTAAATAAATAAATATGAACATTGTAGGTCTGGACCAAAGCCGTCTTCCAGAATTTGACAGATACTGGGAAAATCAAGTCAGAGGTAATACTGTTTACATTAAAATATTGCATAACATGCTAATCTTAACATGTGCCACCACTACATTTGTTTTACACATCAGGATCATGGGATTTCCTCGGATTAAACCATTACACAACCGAGCTTTGTACCTATAAGGTCGGGACCTTCCCTGGTTGGAGTCAGGATCAAGACGTCGAATTTTCTCGAGATCCAACATGGCCAGAATCTGCCAGGTTTGAGTAAAATTAATGTGTATATTTTGTACTAATTTAACAAGGAAATTGTTTATTTATTACTTATCAGTGACTGGTTGAGATCCGTTCCCTGGGGCTTTGGAAATCTGTTGAGATGGATCAAACGCAATTATGGAAATCCACTCGTTTATGTAACGGAAAACGGGTGGTCAGATTCTGACGCGGTCGGTCTCGAGGATGATTTGAGGGTGGAATATTACACGAATTATACGCAATCCATGTTGCAAGCAATTAATGAAGATGGTTGCAATGTTCAAAGGTTTGTTAATTAGATTTAGCTTATAAATAGCGGATTAATGAGTAACATAATCCACCCCTTAGCTACACCGCGTGGAGTCTTATGGACAACTTTGAATGGGCGAGAGGCTACTCGTAAGTTCTTCTTGTTATGGATTTGCAAATTTATGTATGTATTAACTTTGCATAATTTTGCAGGGAGCGTTTTGGCGTCCACTGGGTCAACTTTACTGACCCAGCTCGACCAAGAATTCCCAAAAAATCGGCAGCTTTCCTGAAACAATTGTTTGCCGACAATGGTTACCCAGAACCTTAAAAAATCTACACAAAGAATAAATATTTACGTACTTACACCATAAATAAACCGAGAGAAAGTGGAGCTTATTTATTTATATACATGAACATATTCAAGAACTTTATTTATTTATTGTCACTCACATGGCATTAGGATTATGGAGACAGGAAGGAATAAACTACGACAGACAGGTTGATATTAGTATTGTCACAACATTACGTAATCACACATATTGACAGATTTATGGAAGACAAAGACATTATTCATATTTATACAACGGTGGCTACTACAGAGCAATACTGCAACCCTTGACCTCTGACCTTCCTCATATCCCTGACCACCAGCCGTATATAATCTTTCAACCCTCCATCAACCCAGCAATCCTGACAGGACGATCATCTCATATTATTGTCAAGCTTATTGTCTACAGTCTACATAAGTACTTCTGAATATTGCTACGTCTACACAATTTCATTGCATTTACAGTGAAAGCAGCTTATCCACTTATTTATTTAAGTGAGACTTTTTCTCAGGTTTACTTATTTCACAATTTTATGTAATTTTAAATTTTATTTATGAATATTTTTTTGGTATCATCAGCCAGATTGGAAGACCATTGTTACTGTAGAATTTGAAATTCTTTAACTCACAGGTATTTATGTAAATATGTACAGAGAGTTGAATTCACACGAAAATCATGACATTGATTGAAACGATATCCGTTAGGAATCTCATTAGCAAAACCAAAATCAAGCATGGTGTGAGAGACGTTGATTAATTAAAGGAAAATCAATTAGTCTAAACAACCCTCGGAGAAAGGAGGATGAGATGTAATGTAATGTATTTAGATGAAAAGACTCGTGATTATTGTTCCTGTTCGTTATTTACTTTGTTGGTTGGTTGTCAGACGAGCGAGTCAGGGAGACAGCTTCCAGCCAAGACGGACGCGTTTTCTGTTTTCGATCTGTTCCACACTTTCTCTCCTTTCGTGTTCCTTGGTTTATTCAAATGTTCGACATGGGTTTGGCATTTCTAATCAACTCTGTTTGTGACAAAAATCGTGATCAGAATCCGAAATGCATACATATTTTTGGTTACGACGAACAATTCTAGAACGCCAGACCACAAATCAGCTAAACCAACCAGCCAGGAGAAAGCGAGAGAAAGTGATGGGATCTGGTACAAAAGCGACGTCTCAAACAATCTCCCAACCTCATTCGTCGTCGTTACGCAATAATAATAATAAATCGCGTACTTTTATATGTACTAAAAGTAAAAAATGTTATATACATATTGATAAGTTGACTGATACGCCAAATTCTATACCATGAAATGAGGTTACGTAAGCCAAAGTTTTTTTTTAGAAACTAAAAATCTCCAGTAAATTTCCATGGTTTACTGCCCCTCATTATTATTCGCCCCGCGACCGTTTTTGGCATAATAATCTTCTAAGAGGTAGAGGAGAGCTTCGACGTCTTCTTCGGTCAGCTCGACCACGTCCTGATTATTATTGTCCCCGTCGTTGGAGGACAATCGGTTGTTCCGGTTGAACAAATGGGGGAGCAATAACTGCGCGTTGGGAACCTTCTGCTTCATGCGGAGTTCTCGAAAGTTGGAAACAACCGGAGTGTCTTGGGAGGTTTGGACTCTGAAAGATAAACGTAAATACAGGCATAAATACGGTGTATGTGTGCAGGCAGAGAAGAGCGGATTGATTAGACAGGTACTCAGTATTGTGAGTCGTCTGTCAGTGTCATATCTCGTTTCGAATCATGATTACATAAATCGTGTTTGGTTTATTCTCATCGCTGTCACAAACGATTACTGCTTTCTCCTGCAAATTCAATTTTCCCCTTGTTAAAGATTGGATCGGATTGTTGTATATACAAGTTTTGCAATAATGAGATGAAAATGTCGGATTTCGCGAGGCACATTCTTCCCCCAGTGATTGCACAACCTACCAAATACGTAGGGAGTACATTTATCGGGAAACTTTTAAAATTATGCAGGAGCCTTGAAACTTTCTCCAGAAAAGGAGATACTTTTTGTATCTGCTTTCTCCCTGCACGTCTGGAGGTGCCCTTTTCGCAGCAGCGAGGGAGACAATGAGACACAAATGCGAAATGCGATAAAAGAAGAAACAATAAGATTTATACTTGCACGAAACAATGTGCCATGTTGAATGTGGGCGTGAAAAGGAGAAGAAACAACGTTACCATCAGCAGCAGAAGTAGCAAAGTGAGAAACATTGGCTAAATCTTATTGTTCTCGTGGACTATGTAGTATCGCTTCATTGAGTGCTCAAATCCAGTCGAGAGTTCTTTTTATCTTTGTATCTTTAGCCTTTTTTTGGGACGGGGAAGAAACTTAGGTATACTTTTTGGTGGGTTCTTTGTTTCAAGAGTTTTTGGGCGTGTTGGGCAAAATTAACTTGTTATCTTCTCTCTCGGGGATTCTTTGGTACTCTTTCATGCGAAAGTAATAAAGTTGTCTCGAGCAAGATTTATTTGTCGAATAAAGCAAAATTTTGTTCGGATGAACGTCACTCGTTTAGTTAAGATTTTGCGAAAGGGTAACAGCTTTACGTCAATGCACGTATTTTTGAAGATGTGGCATAAAAATATTTAAATTAGGTGAATTATTCTTGTCCAAATAATATCCATGTTTAATCAAGATACAATTAAATTCGACGCTTAAACTTTAACATTAATATTTGAAATTACCAAATTACGTTATCTAACTGTTACTTACCGTTTATCATGCTTGTTAAACTTGTCGTTAAAGTTGTTGTCCCAATCCCACGTGGCCTGTGGATCAAATAAATAAATTTATTTTTAACGCTGTTATACAATTAATTACACTGGTTCGCTTTGGAAATTAGGTTTCTTTTTGTGGAATAACGGGTACCATCAAAAAGCTCTCTGCTACAGGATAGAAGGTGCAGATTCTGTGATGCTGGCCCCTTTACAAGGAAATAAAACCGGAAAATACGATCAAAGGAAGAGAGCAAAGTTCGCGAAACCAGAAGAAAAATCCTTTTCAAGGAAAAAATCCTTTCTGCCAAAAGCATCTTGGACATCAATTGACAGGGGTTCAACCCCAAATAAAGCCACGCTCAACCTTTCATTTCCTTGACGGGATGCCTTGCGGGATTCGGATGAGTGATTGTTTTGAAATAGAAGTAAACAGCCAAGCAAAAATAACCCACGAATTTATTTCGAGATTAAGAGTGAGTTTTTTTTAGTTCTTTTTCAGAAATTTTCGATTTCCACAGCTCTACTTACATCTAAAGTGCTCAAACAGTACGAATAAATCACACTGACCTTGCTGTATCTCATGCCAGGTCGTCGTCCCCACCCAATGTATCGCTTCGCCCTGGAAAGTCCAGCCGGGGGAAAGTGAGGGGCTGAGACGACGGGTTTGTTGTTAGGAACCACGACCACACCCTCGTGCTGACCAACGGTTGACGATTCCGCAGGAACCACGCCTTTATCGCCCCTCTTTTCATGATCCTGCTTGTTGTTTGGAAGGGTGGCACCCATCGCGAGGGAGATGCAGACGAGGAGGAAAACTTGGAAGCAAGTCACACCCAATCCTGCCATTCTTCTGAGTGGAGTTTCGACTAGTTCTTTTTCGATAAAAAGGTAAAATGGAGAAGATTGAGACGTACGTGAAAGTATTTCGTAGAAGCAAAAGTGAGAGAAGAATCTTAGGGAAAATTATTCTGAGAAAGTTGCAGACTACGGAATTTGGCGTGGCTCGGACTGAGTGGTGGTGGTGTTTCTCGGAGGAATGTGAACTCGACACTGAGAGGAGCCTTGCAGAAAGTGGAGATCTTAAGGACGTCGACTAGCGAGGTGAAGAATTTTCGTACATGGGATGAGATCCAGCAGCAGCAGCCCTGCTCAACAGGACGAGCAGCTTGAAACGCCACTTTCTCCACCCAGCCAAAACTTGTTCCACTTCTCCGCCTCTGCTACGCGGATGGTTTGCAAATATTTGGGTACATACATATGCACTTAAAATTCAAATGGGTTATTGTATCCGGAATGGTTAGAGTGTCACTTTATCAGTGACATACACACGTATCTGTGTACATGTCGTACCATCATCATCACTACATTTTTTAGTAGTTCCATCCAATGTCGTGGAAATTGGCAAAAGTTTAACTTTCACTCCACACCTCAAACTCAATTATGATGAGTCACCCAACAAATTGCGTGATTCTGTGTGGCTCTCATATTGATGACGTTTATTATTTGGTCGCCTTAGAAAGAAGTCCCTGGGAACTGCGTCTCCCTTTCGGTGCAGAACTTTGTGGCGGTGGTGGCGTCGTGACGTTGCATGAAATTCGCCAGCAGGAAACAGCAACGCCGTCGTCTCAACTTCCCTTCTTCCCTTTGCTCCACATTCCTTCCTTCGTATTTACGTATATGAGTCATACTGCAGGGAAGAGAGAGAGAGATGCCAACTTTGTGGAAGGACCGTGTTGCTGGCTGGCTGGTTTAAAGCAGTGAAAGTTCGTCTGGCTTGGAATGATATTATCCACAGACCATAAGCTACTTACTGCATCCACAGCTTTCCCTTCTCCCACCGGAGTAATGCTTGGTTTGCCCTCTGTGCCTGCTTACTCCGTACGTGGTCCAACCTTAAGGGATCGTTTCCCAAGTGGCGCAACTCCCCTCGAAACAATCGATACTCTTTTATCCGGATTATGTATTTGTAGGAGCAGGCAGCTAGCAGTCCTAATTTTGCTCTCTGTTCTTTTACTGGCTGTTTATCCTTCCTTTATTCTCCTCTTTGGTTCCCTTTTGGCTGGTCAGACTGAAGGATGAGGGCACAAAATAATTTTATCTATGTACAAATGCATCCGTGCAGGATATCCGTAACGAACGGGTGAAAGTATCATTATTTCATGGGTTCCCTATTATTCTACAGGGTGTTAATAAAGTCCGATCCCATTTTTCCTGTAAAAAAGTGAAGGCTAGTATAAAAAAAAACTACCCGTGATACTTACAAAAAATGTTCGACATATTTACCTTAGTATTTGGTCTTGTTACCATTTACTTTAACCATGCCCTCAACTCTTTGTTTAAGGCTCTGTGCTAATTTTTCCAATGTGCCTCTGGAAATCGAATTCCATACATCTTGAACTTTTTTTTACTAGCTCTTCCCTCGTCCGGGGTTGTGGCTCTTTGTATACATTTTCCTTAAGTATGGACCACTGGTTCTTCAGGGGATTCAAATCTGGGCCGTTAGCGGCCCACACCCCCTTGCTCCAGACCGTTGAAACTTGCGTCTTGATGAGACTCAAACTCGCTTTTGCTGTATGGGCTATAGCACCATCCTGCATGAAAACTATTTTTCTTTCATTCGGAAATATTTCCTTGTTCCCCATGCTATCGAAATAGATAGGTAATATTTTTTCCATATAATGCTTTGCATTGACTGATTGGCCTTTTGGTATGATATGTAGAGGGGTCACGCAACGTGCACAAAATCCACCCGCTACCATAACTTTAAGCCCGAATTTTGGGATCGCTCTTGATGGTACATCCGATTTGTTTTCTGTCCTGTAACGAACATTTTGTTGGTTCAATTTTGGATATAGTTCAATAATAGATTCGTCAGTCCAAAGGATGTGACTGCGCAATTCTTCACCAAGTCTTTTTTCACTCAAATGGGCACTTTTCTGAAGGAGTTCTTCAAATTTCAGACGGTCATCGATATATTTTTGTGACATGAGAGGTTTTTTTGGTTAGTTTGTAAGCTGTGTGACCCCACTTCGTAGTTTTCACAAATTTTTGCACGGTCACACAGTTAATTTGCTTCTTCTTCTCTTTATAGCGTTTTGAGTCATTTAACTCCCTTGCTCAATTACGTAATGAACTACCGGTTTTTTTGCAAAGTCTGTTTTTAATCATTCTTTTTGTGGTAGGTGACACCTTTCTGGGTCGCCCTGGTCGCTTTTTGTCGTGGACAAAATTTTTATTCTTCCATTTCCAAACAGTTCTGCGGCTGCAGCCCAATTTTTGCACAATTTCTGTAGGTTTAAGCCCCTGCTGATGCAATGTTTGTATCTCAACTCTAAGATGCTCATGACTTACACGTTTAGTTGTTCCTCCCATGGTAAAAATTTGAAATAAATAACTTCACTGGTTCAAAAGTTCCAGCTGAATTTGTAACAACCACGCTCCAAAAAATGCATGGGATCGGACTTTATTAACACCCTTTATTAGATTCGCTTGGCTAGTTAGTGTTTGGGTGGGTGGTGTCTATCTGGTAAATATGATCTTGTTCCTCATTCTTCCTCCTCCTGGTGACATTCTTGCTCCATTTGGTTTGGGTTGGGTGGGCGGGTGGAGAAAGCAATCGTAAAATCCTCTAATCATGCTTCCATTGAACGGAACTGAGAAAAGACAGAGACCAAATTCTCTGCCTTATTTCCTCTCTCGCCTTGACTTTTACTAGTGCAGACGAGATAAATAAATTCCCCGGGGCGGGAGGAGAAAGCAACAAATAATGAAAAGGCAATTTGTACCTCGCTTCACTGGGTGGCTCGAAATGTTCTCTTTAGTATTTCATATGTCGTACGGAGAAGAAAATACGACGGAAAAAGGAGACGTGTCTTGTTAGGAGGAAAAGTGGGATTATTTGTAATCTTAGACCGCCCACGTAGAAAGTAGCCAAAGCAGGAATAATAGGATAATAGATTTGTAAAGGACACTTGTTTGTCCGGAATTACAAAAACCACAACAAATCTCTCGACATTCTCTGGAGAATGTGGCGTGCCCTTTAATTACGGCCACGCCACCACATGCTTTATTTATCACATGACACCAAATTCAGCACTAACCAACCAACCGAGGAGAAGATTGAGACAGTTTCCGCACTTTTTTATATGGAGTGTGTTTTTCAGATTGACGTAAAACCATCAATCTCACTTGACTTGAATTCAGTCAACCTTTTCGGGAGAAAGTAATGGAACGAGATGAATAGTGTTTGCCCTTTCCGCTGACTTTCACCATCATTCATTTCTAACAACGGGGGAATATGTCAACTAACTTTTGGTCCATACATATTATTTAAAGGAAGAGATGTGTGTATTTAGGAGATTAGGGTTCTTCTCCCCACTTGAAAATCTATCCCTGAAATATTGCACCCTTTTATTCTACAATTCTATGTCAAGAAACAGAGTGGCCTTATTTATGTCTGACAGTGATAAGTTATTTTCCCGACAATCGATGACACCAATTTTAACTCGCATCATTGTTCACTTTCCCCCATAAATAATTCCTCCTCCTTATTTCAAAAGTTATGCACGTCCAGTCCGCCCACACCGACCATGTTTTCACTGGAATGCTCATGATTTGTGTGTGATGCAACAATTCTGGAATGGAAAGTCTGGAAACGTATATGAGACCAGTTGTTCACGCAGCCTGCTCATGAGGAGAAAGTGTAAAGTGAAAGTTGGAATTTCAATATGTTCCGTTGGACCAACGAAAAAGAGAGGACATGGAATGAACAGTCATCCTTTGGACAGACTGATGAAATCTGGGACAAATGTTGTCACTCGTCCTGTTTTTATCCGACAGAACTTTCTCCAGTCCAGTCCAGTCTAGTGGTCACACACTTTCTCATGAAAATCGGCCGTAATATGTCGACCTTTGGGTGAAATGTGCCAGTTTGGAATTGTGTATGTACGTAAATCTTGGGCTAATAATAAATTTAATAATTTGAAATCTGAATTGCTTCCAGTGCGGGCGGAGGATGATGGTGAAATTGAAAATTGAGCTCAACTTTGAGTGAAGGGTGACGTTTTAATTATATTTTCAAATCTCTCTTCAAGTTTCCTACTTATTGCGGGCATGCAATTCAAGCGATGTTATGTGTACAAGGCTTTGGGGCCTTTAAAGGCTAAATCCTTTCCATATTCATCTCAATCTTGTCGAGATTTAAATTTGTGTGGGTTTCCTCGCTCGCTCGCTCGACCTAAACAACGTCCTCGCTCCTTTCATTCGCAGGAGAAAGTTCAAGTGGAACGTGAAGGCCTGTTGCAGAAAACGTGCCCCATATTGGAAATTTAGGTACTCCGAGTCAATTAATTTAGCCGTGGTGGTGGTGGTGACTCCATGGACGAGCTGGGTGACGCTGCTGGATACCCATTACAGGCTAAAACCCTCCCATTTATGTATTCGAGTTGTTGTACTTTTCAAATTAATTTTATGTCCGTTGTTCAGTAAGAAGTGTAGTTTGAGTTAATGAGACTACTTTGCTCTACTTAAATGAACCGACACAAAGTGTACTTTGTTGTGCAGAATTATTCCTGTGCAGTGGGCCGAGAGAAGTGAAGTCATCCTCCAAAACCAACCCTCTCGCTGGTGCTCTTGTTTGCTGCACCCGGATTGCGAATTTCACTCGGGTGTAAACTCTCGTGAAGCAGAATGGTTAAAGGTGAAAGTTACTTTCTCTCCGTTTCCACCAGCCACCGAATCTGTGAAGTACGGATTTCTGCCACATTTTCCATCTCTAATTGAAAATCGCTTTGTTTGTGAGCTCATAATGCTGCCAACTTGACTCCCACATTGAATACAAGGCTTTTGTTGTGGTAGGGAAAATCTCATCAGTTATTCGGTAATGACTGCATGGGCGTGAAGTGGAGGTTGTGGCGTCACGTGCCTTCGAGGAGGAGGCACTTCGATGACCCTTGCCCTTTTTCCCACCATTATGAACTTGTGGCGTCACACTTGATTCAGAATTGTACATATGCGTCGTAGCTCTGTTTGTATGTACCTAGCGACCAGAAAATACAGATAGATTTCTGTGGCGTGGGTGGTTTGGCTTTGTGCTGGTGGGAATGAAATATGTGGTTGTGGCGTGTGTATGTGTGTTGCTTCTGCCTGGAATGTTTAGAGTCAAACAACGTTTCATGTAGTTCTCTTCCTGAATTAAATCTTTTTCATATCAGAGAGAGAACATGTGTGGAATATAAAATGTGGAAAATTATCGTCCCAGAATACACCAAAAATGTATGTATAGTACTTACATAATCCAAAAATCTGTGGGAAAGTATTGGAATTATTTTCAAAACTGGACATAATTTCATGGGTACTAAGATATGGATATGGAATACAAATGATACAGGTTCAATATTCCATTACTTGGTCAAAATGGAAGGTCAGTCGTACGATACGATCGTCCTCTTTCTTTTCCTCTCGGACGGACCCACATCTTTTTCCGTTTCTATTATTTTTTGCCGTGGTGAAGTGGAGGCAGGCAGATTTCCAAAGAATATTCAATTTTACGATGGCGTATAATACTTACTTGAGCTTTGGGGAAAGTGCACATTACGCCATGTGCTGTTCTTCCTGCTCGTTCAACCAGATTTATTTCGGCACTCGAGTCAAAAGCAGAATCACATTATGAGTGATCGATACCATAAATCAGACCATAAATGTTCACCTAATGGAGAAAGTTCTAATTTGCTTGTTCAGTCGAGGAGAAAATGTATTGCTTGCGGCCGGAAAAGGTCATGGCAAGTTTTGGTCAGTTATTCACAGTTTGTATAATTTTTTAAATTCTTTAATTTTCTTAGCATTGTATGTAATAAAACCAATAATAACAGATTTAATTAACATTTAATTTTAAACTCTGAATCAATTTATAATGAGAAACATAATTAAAATACGAAGCATAAAATTTGTTTGTTTTACGTATAATCAAAGTAAGGCTTAACGTTTATCACCTTTATTATCACCTCCACATGGAAAGATGATAAAAACGAAAGCTATCACAATTAAAATGGCACCAAGCCCGAGGAGCCCGAACATTCCCATGGACCCCACTTTCAGGGGGGTGAGCAACTTGGCTCGCAACATGTCCGCATTTTCATCAGTCAGGCTCACCGACTAAACATAAATCAGGAATACGAATACATATGTGCTCTCTTATCGTCAAACTCCCACCTCTTTTTTTGCGCAGCACTTCAACCACGCCAAGAAATATGGGAGTACACAATAAGGGCGGGCGTAATCTGTAGGGTACATACCTCATCTACCCAAAGCAGGGGGAGAACCATGGAAGGAATTTTCTTCACATTTGCAAAGTAACGTGCCGGTTTAATCTACAAGTCCAAGTACAGGTTATAGACTGATGTTAAATAAATACGTCTTTCTCATTACGAAGTACCTCAATGTTGATCTGGAATCTCTTTGAAGCAGCCAAAAGTGCTCCGGTATTCTGTGCAAGTGCAAAATCTCTCAAACATTGCGAAATTAATGCTCGCACACAAAGCGAAAGTAAAGAGAAAGAAAGTCTTCTCACTCACGGGTTCGAGGGAGAGGAAAGTCTCGTGAAGCATTTTATGCGGGCGGAGACCCAACGACTGGTTGAGATATTCGGCATCCCCGTCAAAGAAGTGCGGCCAGGATGCCTAGATAAGCAGGTGTATCACAGGATAGGTAGGCATGCAAATATCAAAAGTAGTATATACAAAATATTTTTCATACCACGATTGGTGCTCCTATTTATGTAGGTTGTTGGGGTTTGAAATTGGTTTAAATTGTGGAATTTAGTCAAATTATTAATATTTTGTGTACATATTTCGTCCTTGCATACCTTTCCTGCACGCTCCAATCCTGAACACGCCGGCTTTGCTGCACTGGTCGAAATCCTCGTCCTCCACAGCTTGCGAACAATAGCAGACATTTTCCGGCTCTATTCTCGGATCTTGCATGACTTCCTTTGGCGTGGTGAATCTGTAGGCGGGAACCCCTTTGAGCTCGACGTCGCTGTGGTACGTCATGTAGATTGAGCGACACATATCCGGACTGAAAATGCGAATTACTCTGTCTCTCGAGATGAATGGGGGGAAAATGGAGCCATCCGATCCGTTTATCATGTTGCAGTACTTGCTCCCCCAAAAGTCGAGGTCCTTCCGCCCCTTCCAGCTAATGGTCATCCCAAACTTTTCATTCTCCACGATGCCCGAGTAGATTTCAAAGAGGTCTTGAGCAGTCCCGTTTTTCTGGGGAGACACGGTTCAGATTTTAGTTGACATTGTCAAGGTTGAGAGACTGCATGACTACATTTTTGAAAAGATCGCTTTTTTCTTAATGTGAAATGTATGTAACTCACACCGTAGTAAAATCCGAATTGATTGTCCGGCATGATTTCTTCTCCTTGAAATTCTGAGAGCTCTCGAATCATGGGTTCGTCGTACCCCTTGAAAAGCAACTCTCCCACGGTTTTCTGGACAAATAACTCTTCCGCGTGGTCGTCAACTATGCCTTTTATCAAGGATCTAGCAAAACCACCCATCGACATGGCTTTGGAAATTACACTCTGGAAATTGCACATATTTATGTAAATAAGTTTAAAATACATATGTACATCAGAGAGACAAAAATGCAGTGGAATTATTGCATATTTGTAAATATTAATACCAATAAAGGCACATTGACAAAGTTGAGAACATCCTCCTCCGTCCTTCCTTGGGACATGTTGGCTCGGAAAAAGTAGGTAATTTTTGGTCTAAATTGAACCGTATCATTTTCTGGGTTGGTCAAAAGCACGACTTTTTGTCGTCTCTGTCTACACTCAAATCAAACACGTGTCATTGAACATTCTCAGTATTTCTAAGTGCTGATTACACAGTTTTCCATTCTCACTGATAAATCCAAGGTCCGACCTCCTGCAAAATCGGTTTCTCTCCCTCCGAAAATTCTGCCGGGTTCGTAATATTAAAAAAGTAGACTTTCATGTAAATTGGAATTTTTACGTCCACCCATTTATTGTAGAGTTCGCCTCCTCGTTCGAGTCGAATTTGCTAGTTGGCAGAAAAAAATGGTCAAATTGATTTGATATTACATAAAATTTTGTTGGCATCCATGCTCTTTTTACATATTTTCCCAGAGTTTTATGCATACAGATGAAATACAGAGTGGGAAATGGTACAGAAAACTATGAATGAATATGACTCGACTTTCTGGCTCGTTTAAAGAGTCATGGGTCAAGTTCAGTCGACCAAATTCAGCCTCTTCGTCAACCTTCTTAATCATGTTTGATAAAGTAGAAAAGCACGAAATATTGGCACTTTATTATGCACATTTCGCAACTTTGGCACTGCTACGAGCACTCATTTATCACTCATTTATGAAAATTGTGTCAAATTATTTACCTGTTTAATCTTCTTATGCAGTACATGCGGAAATATCACCATTCCGAAGACGATTCCCAGCGTCACGATGGCCAAGCCGGACAACAGGAAGATTAAAGTACAACGGCGCATCGTAGATTATTAAAATTTGTAAAAATTGTTTGAACTAAAATTTAAAATGATACGATATAATTAACGAAAAATTTAAAGATGCTAAAATTTTAAAAACTATATTAAAACTGGAGCAAATTAAAATTCAACATGACCAAGCTTCCAGCAGGAGAAAGACTACGCATGAACGAAGACTTATTGACTAAAATTCAGATAAAGTGATGCATGGATGAGAAGGTACGTACATTAGATTAAATAATGACATCTCACATAAGGAGGAAAATTAAGATAAGCCCACGACTCATAAAACATTACATGTTTTGGATTTGGGTGATGATGGTGGGACGTGATTAGTAGTTGTGTGTCTGGTTAGTCAGTAGTGCATAGTCCACTTGCTTGTCCAGTCAGTTAATAATACTATAAATAACTAATGGTAAGAAAGTGTGTATGTACTAATCGTAATCTTTGGTAAATTTTTAACGTGGTAAAGTCAAGTACAATTTTTGTGCATTTATAGGTATACATACCCCGTAATGGCGATAAGTACTCGATCGAATACACAGTGCTCGTGTACATATTTACATGTAATGATGAGATTTTGGCTTCTAGAAGCCAAAAGCTAGAAGCTTCTCCAACTATTTGGAAACACTTATAAGCAGAGGGCGGCTATGTATTTATTTTCACTTTTTTATTGGACGACCACCGACGGTCAAACTGCGCGTGTTCTTTAACTTTTATAGATCACAAAAATTTCAAAATATTTATGAATATTGTTACATATTTCTAGAATTTCAGCGGACAAATACGTCCGCTGTTATTTAAAAAAATAATTAATATTTTAGTTATTTTTTCAAAAGTAAATATTTTGTAAAAATTTCAACAGTGTAGGATGAAATTTTTGCCTCGAAGAAATTAGATCACAAAAAACCCAGAGCATTAAATTCAGAAATACAAATTTTTGCGAAAATAATCATTTGTGTTTTTCTTCGTACATACGTATTTCATAATTTTTTTTATAATATTAAATGCGTATTTCAGTGATTTTAGGTGAATTCATATCCGCCCACTGCTTATAAGTGTCACCTCACGACAAGGAGAGTATTCATTGCGTATTCACATACATGCAAAATTGAATTCGGGTCGATAATTACTCTGCAGATTTCATCCCAACAGTTGGACTCTGTCCCAGAAATGCAAATTTACGAGTTTATATGAATTTATATGAATATTTATTCACGATTTCCATGCTGAGCATACAAATAAGTTCATTTCATATTTTTAGACACAAAAGCGCATTAATAAAATTATTATTATTACATGGCACTTTTATAGTAGCATTTCAAACGTATGTTGGCTGGTCGAACTCGTGAAGAGTTTACTTTTTCGAAAGATTTATTACTACGACACAAACGACAAGGTTTTTGACAGTACAAATATATATAATTTATTCACTTTCTTTGTGAGTTCCTCATTTTGTGATACGTAATCGATAAGTTCTCATTTAAGATATTTATTTACGAAGAGGATCATTTCGGCGTAACGCTTAGCTCTTGTTTTACAATTTTTTCGTGGTACATTGTAATAATCGAGGCTGGTCCAAAGAATTTCAAAATAACAGAGAAATAATATATATCGAGATTTAGGAAGTAAAACTAAAAGTGTGGTACCAGAAAATAAATCCACATTTATAACAACATTCAATTGTGGTTAATGACAATGATGTTTCTACCGCTATTTCTAGTCTAACTGGACATGCGTGATGATAAAGCAGGTTAACTAATTATACTCGTCACCTAATTAATTAGATCACAGTGATCGCAAAAACTTGTACCTGCAAAACTAATAGTAGTATTGCAAACACTGACATGGACTTGATTAAATAATATCGACTGAATATCGCAAGCATTTTGCATTATTCATGACTATACATCACACCATTTTTACCACGTATGTATTTCCATACTCGAAACATAAGAGTGAGAAAAACCGCAACTTTGTATAATAATGAAGCTCGTAAGTTAGACTACATTTTCTCATGAGACTTAAAATCTTTTGAGGCACGAATGAAAAAAAAACAAAAACAAAACAATATAATATTTAACAGATACCGGATTCTAACGATTTGAATGAAGCTGTCAATATAATTTAGATCTAAAGTAATTGGTGAACTTTCCAACTGCTACATATTCACTTGCAGTTTAGTAAGTCGCTCCTGGCTTGTAGTTCTGCTTTCGAGATCGGATGATAAAGATGAGAACGGCTAACAGGATCAGGAAAGCACCAAAACCAAGTATTCCCCAACTTCCAGCGCCCACAATTTCCTGTGGTTTGATCAACTTTCCTTTGATTCTTTCGGCGCTTTGTTCCGTCAATGCGGCAGACTGTGATTGTATAACACAACTCATTAAAAAATGCGGTATATACATTGTGTAAATATAGTAATGTGGCTAACGAACCTCATCAACCCAAACTATTGGAAGAACTACGTTTGGAAGTTTCTTTAATTTTGGAAGATATTTGTTTGGTGCTACGTCAAGATTGATCTGGATTCGTTTTTTGGCTTCTAACAAGACTCCTGTGGTCTGAAATAAATTAAGTTCAAGTTAATATAGGTACTATATATGTAAGTAAAAATGTGTTAGTAAATTCCTTACTGGTTCAAGTGTGATGACTGTTTCATGGATTGACCTGTCTGGTTGTAAGCCGAGAACATTTTCTAAATATTCCTGATCTCCGTCCAAGAAATGTGGAAGGGATACAATTATGGGGGCACCTTAATTAAGCAATTAAAGTTAATATTAGATTGTATGTTCATCAACGTAAGTTATCCAAATGTCCTATGTCAGCCTACCTTTTCTGCAGCTCTCAAGCTGATAAGCCCCTTGTTTGGGACACTTGGCCATCTCAACACCAGGGTCGGTGCAGAAGCATTTGTTGGCGTCATTAACTCTGGGATCCTCAAGTACTTTTTTGGGAAGAGTGAACCGGTACCCAGTCAACCCTTGAATCGTAGTGTCACTATCGTACTCCAAGTACAGAGATCGACAAAGCTCTGGACTGAATATATCCAATCTTCTATCTCTTGTTACAAATGGTGGAAACAAGGCACCATCCGACCCATTGATCATGTTACAATAAGGATCTTCATTCCAAAATTCAAGAGTCGGTTCGCGATTGAAAGTCGCAATGTTTCCGAATTTGGTATTGTCCTCAACCCCTGCGTAGACCGAGAGCCAGTCATTGGTAGTTCCATTTTTCTATTTGGCATGAAATTAAATCTTATTTAATAAAGATTACCAATTAGGATATTAAAGTATGAAGTATTTTGTTTTGTCTTTACATTGAAATACAGTCCAAAAGTATTATTTACGAGTAACTGTTCACCCGATAGATCAGACATAGTCTTCATAAAGGGGACACAATACCCCTCAAAGAGAAATTCTCGAACAGTCAGCCTTAAAAATACAGGTTCATCTTCATGATCTTCTCTCATGGTTTCGAAAGCCAAGCTGCGGGCTACGGTCCCCTTTTTCATTGCCTTTGCGGCGAAGCCCTATACATTCAAAAAATAAGACTAGCATTATTTTCATCCATACAATATGGTTGCTGAACTTGCTGTTTTATCCTCATTCTCACCACGAATGGAAGATTAATCACTGAAATCTCGTCATCCTCAGTACCCGAAGATTTGTCAGGACGGAAAAAGTACTCTATAACTTGTTGATATTCAATCGTGTCATTGTCGAATAATGTCACATTAATTTTCCTTCGTTGCTGTCTGGACATCATCATTCATGAATTAGTACAAGAGTTATATTTTCCAAATTACATACATAAAGTTGAGTTCTTACTGATACACGTATGGTCCAATGTCGTGAACCACGGGTTTTCCACCCTTTACAATTTCTTCGGGATTGGTCACGTTAAAAATGTGAATTTCCATGAATATCGGGATTGGAATGTTTTCCCACTTCTTGTAAGTGTCACCATCCTTGACGAGCCGCACTTGCTAAAAGAAAGCAAAGAAAGTTTGCATTAAGTAATTAGTTGTGCAAACAAAGAATTTACTGTTTCATGTTCCCATTCATAATCTAATTCCTTCATTTACAAGGACGACGGGGGAAGTAAAGTGTAAATATTCATCGGTTTTTCAAGACTCTTGAAAACCATATGCATCCATCCAATCGTGAATGATCCCAGTTTATTTATGTTTATTAAGTGTGATGTTAAATGTGAACATTAAACAGAGCCCATACTATACATAAGTATGATTAATTGAGACTTTAAACTTCAAACACGGCACAAAGTTTATCCTTGGTTTATTTTTTGTTTGTTTTTGGATCAAATTTAAACCAGAGGGGTTTCCTTCATTGCAAGTTTACCTGATTCATGCAAGTTATTCGAAGGTAATTGCAAATTGCATAAATCTGTACACTAAATTAGTCAAACATTAATCTACATGCAGAATGTACACATTACGGTGACAAATATCATGAAAACATACATGTGTAACTAGAATCTGAAATGATGATATGTTGGTCAACTCATAGACGTAGGTTCATTGTCTCATAATGCAATGCAGACAATAAAACACAGTCTCGTGGTGATGAACAATTAAAAAACACACTTCATCAAAATAAAGCGAACCGCATCTCTCAAGCTATTCCACGCACTAGTTGAACTATTAAACTGGGATCTGCAAAAGTCCACTTGAATAGTAATTAATCGTAGCATAGTTTGTAGGATACATAATATTTACATGCAATTCTGTTCACAATATTGCGTATTCAAAAATATCCTCAATAAAACCCCATTATACTGGCGATAATTTGAAAGTAGAACATGATTGGAAATAAATTAAATTCAAGAATGCGTTTCATTTATACAGTTTATAAACACTTGTAACTGTAAACGATATCATAAAACAGAAAAAATGCAAAATAAACCTGCAAGTCTGTCAAAACATTAAATAATTCACACAACAAATTGACGTATCATATTCAATCAAACATTTATACATGAAACGAAAATAATTACAATCCGACATTCACACAGCTTTGATGGACAACATGGAATGCATGTTCTCCACTTGCAAATACATATATCGCTCATATTATTCCGATAACGAGGACCTAATTTAAATATACATCCTCGTCTCCCTTCCAAATTCCCCATCCCCTCTTGAATTCCATACCTCCATCCATCCATTCAACACCTTTCAGTTTTCACCAAACTTATCATCATCAGAATTATCGTCACTAACCAAGCAACGAACAGACCACCGCAAAATCACCTCCACTCGACAACTGCATAGACAGACTTCAATGCACCATTCAGCTTAAATTCCTGCACAATATGTAACTGACTATCATTACCAATGTCAAACTACATACGTTAAGCAAATAATGAAATGATATGAACATTTAAAACCATCGAACGACACGGGGAAAATCATTGACTGAGGAGTCGGACCAAATCATGCCATGCATGCCCTTGTAGCCAACCATACCACAAATTTTTCATGGATGTTGAATGTTTAAAATCACATCACATAATATTATAATGCACATATTATTTAGTTTATGTTGTGGCCATACAATACAATAATCACCCGGAAGACCAGACCAGACCAGGCCGCACGAGATAACAGATATCATCATTATTACCAAGTCAATCTGTTCTGTAATTTTTCATTTACTTTTGAACTCGGCAATCGTCTTTCATAATTTCCAAGCAGTTTTGGAGCTGATTTATATTTCTTTTTTTTTTAAATCGATCATGATAAGATAACGATTGGGTTTTTCTTTCCCCTTATTGCGAAAGGTGTGCCGAGCAGTTTTGTGCATTCATTATGCATACGTACATATCTTCCTCATACTTAAACACACGCAAATCCGAAGCACGGAAGGTCTGCTCGGAAGTGTACGTAATAAATGGTGCCGTGTGTCAAATTGCCAAAAAAAATGAATGACTGACTCCGACTACGCAATTCAGAAACAATTGCGGTTGTTAATCTCATAAAACGAGGAACAATGCGAAGGTAACTTCGGAGAAAGGTAATTAAATATGTGCAAAAATAAACATGCTCGATGAGTCCTTGACTTGTGACGAATAACAACCGCTACTAATTTCTAATTAGCAAGTACATACATGGCTGAGGAATTGATTAATAAATAAATTATCCTTATTACTAATTCTCATTGGGTAACACAATCCAGAACCTTATTTTATATCATATAACTTATTTTCCCACGATCGTCAATTCTGATTCCCAGAGACATACACATACATAATTCGCATCGAATTACGTACTTACATATTTACATACTTACGCAAGCGATGAGACGATGCGATGCCAAGTACAATTACGTATGTAAACCTCGTTTCTTCCGCCTCGATCTTATCCTGAGCTTATATACGTGTAGAAAATGAAGAATAAATAAAAATGCAACCTAACCAAACATACCGAATTATGCAACCTTGTAATATCTTGGCATGTCCAAGTGACCCATTTACTTTAATATAAATATAAACGGTAAACATAAACGATAAAGAAGAAGAAGGTTGCTACTCGACCATGCTCGACCTACCGAAATGTCGGATCGGATGATGTCCTCTCATCGAGCCAAGAAAACTTCTTGGAACAGTTCAGCATAGCACTGAAGATGAGATGAAACGCAGTATTATTTGAAAACTAACTCGTTACTTTCGTCATTAGTCATTTACACGAGGATGGAGCTACGTCAGCAGGAAAGTGAAATTCAGCAGACGGATGATCATGTTGTTGATGGAACCGTCTGAGGACAAAGGGTATAGTCCAATGGTTCAGCAGGATTGTTATTTTGTTAGTTTTAGTCAATTCAAAACCCACCGCACCTCAGGACCACACCTCATCACATCAACCTACTTAAAGTGCCTAAAAATGTTCTTGAAAGACGAGACAGAAAACAAACATTTATTGACTGACACTTGAGACAAAGCAGGTTTAAATATTGCATGCAAATTCGAAGCGGTACCTAGTTTGTTTGTAGAGTAAAAAAATATCGTATCGATAGCACAAATCGTTCAACAAATAATAAGAGAACAAGGTAGAAATTCGTACATATTTGCGTCACCGCACCGTTAAGTAAATTAGGTAATCTTCAGTGGAAAAGTAATAAATGTGCCACATGGAAAACACTTATGACAAAACCAAGTTGATCTTTACACCCAACTACCTGAACCTACATAAGCTTTTAGACTTTTTCTTACAAATCAACTGCAACTTATGCAACAAATGAGTGCAATTTATTACCACAAATCCTAGAAACAGTCCCCTCAAAATTATCATCATGGGATGGCAATAAAAATTAATGGCTTATAATAATTCACTACAAAATCAATTTCATCTTACGTTCACACCACATCATCAATGTCTACCTAGCAGACACTAAATGAGTAATTATCTGTGATCTCGTGCTACTTGAAGGCGAGAAATAAGATGCGATAACTTGATCTTTGATCAAGACAGACAACTTTTTCTGTGGGTGGATGTCCAATTTTATTTCATGAGTGACTGGTAAAAAAGAGAACCATTATTCTGTCTGACGAGAAAACCAGACTTTTACATAAGAAATGCTAGAATGATGTAATTTCCTTCACTACGCACGCATACTATTTTTTCTCGGAGAAACCGGTAAAAATTGCAATATATTGATCCATTTGGGTGGGTGTGCGAGAATGACTAACAAGTCACACTACCATCAAGTCCTCGTACAACTCGGTGAGTGAAAACACGAGAGAAAACAACTTTTACCACGCCACGCGTTATTACTCTACTTACATTTTCATCCACAAAAACCCAATAATTTGCCAACCGGACAGAATTTTAAATGACTACACTGCGTACTACAAATACAGCGTGCAAATTACATATTTCTGGACAAATTATTGACAAAACCTTGTTATCTTTTCCCCTTCCTAACTTCCTTTCTGCTCGATCTGCCCATATTTACCTTATTATTAATCAACACATGGCAAATATTTACTCAAGATATGACAAACCTCATTAAGCGTTACAATAACAGAACATGATGTGCCAAATCAACAAGAAAATAATCACTCATTTGCTAAAAATATGACCAAGCCGGAATAATTCAAGAATCACCGATTATTTCCTCTCACCTGTGACACCTTGCTCTCAATGATGGCAGGGAAGATGAAAAAACCCACCAGGCCGGCTCCCACGGCCAGCAAAAGACCCACACCAAGCAGAACAATTGGTAACTTCTGCATTTTTACCACTCCTTCCTTCTTCTCCTCCCACGTAGGCAGAAAAGTCCAAAATAATTAATTAACTCTTCTCTTTTCCCCGTAAAAAAATGGCAACAAAAATTTGAAAACTGATTGTGAAAACCGGGTACTAAATAAACCGGGAGCCGGGTGTGCAGGAAGAAAATAGAGAAAAAAGTCGCGTGCGTGTGTGGTGCTCGTCCGTGTGTGCTACTCCGAAGTCGGGGTTGGAATGAACTCAAACTAATAAGAGCTGCGAGCTGAACTGAAGTACAAATTGCATGGATAAATAAGTAACATGTAGGATTTTTGTGGTGTGGTGTGACCATTATGCATGCATGTGTCTGCTCCTCCGACTTTTATTCTATTTAGGAGGGGAGCTTGCGAGGTTGATAATAACAGATATTGGTGCCCTTTGGATATGTGGTAGGGACCCATGAGTGTACTAAAACCCTGAAGTAGTTTGACTCCATGGCCACATTTGCGCCCGCCACACCCACTCAAAAATGTCCAAAAAACGCTTTCACCCCAGTTTTCACTCACTCAAATCCACGCCAAAAATCCAATTTTACTCGGATTTTGAAATTTCTTTCACCAATATACTCCCAGATAGTTGCTTTCTTCAATCCAATATCAAACTCAATTTTTTCGAAATTTTTAGTATTTTTAAAATTTAAAATTCTGAATGAGCATTGTTGTAGTCATCAACAAAACAAATTATGTTTGCGAAATAATCATCAATAAAATTGAGTTTGATATTGGATTGAAGAAAGAAACTATCTGGGAGTATAATGGTGAAAGAAATTTCAAAATCCGAGTAAAATTGGATTTTTGACGTGGATTTGAGTGAGTGAAAACTGGAGTGAAAGCATTTTTTGGGCATTTTTGAGTGGGTGTGGCGGGCGCAAATGTGGCCATGGAGTCAAACTACTTCAGGGTTTTAGTACACTCATAGGACCCTACCACATATCCAAAGGGCACCAAGATCTGTTATTATCAACCTCGCAAGCTCCCCTCCTTAGTCTGCTGCGTTACTTCCGATAAGTGAATGGGCTTTGTAATACTGCTGGAGAGGAGTCTGTCCATTTGTATCTGTAAATGTACTTGGTGTGATTGGGGGAGTTGAAATAACCTTTTAATCTTGACACAAACCGTGTTTACCAGCACTTCCAGAATTGCTTATTAGTGGTAAACTGAATTAGTTAGTGGAAGAATTAAATCATGACGATGAGGAGTGGAGGAATGAAGACATTGTGTTGTTGTAGTAGGGTGACACATAGTGCGTTGTGGCATTTGACAAGAAAAATACGTAATTTATACGTGTCGCAAATGAGCTAAAAATTGAATACGGTGTTATCGTTTACAAGAAGATTACATAATATGACTTGAATCTGAATTGCGTGGTTGGTTTGTGGTCCCATTCAAACTCTGCTGAGGTGAACGTGATTATTACGAATGCAAACTGCTCAAAGAGAATAACAGGCTTGTAAAAATTATGAAGCTATTAATACTCACGGAGCAACAGGCGAATTGAACTGCATTCAATTCTGATTGGGGGGTTTTTACATAGATAACCTGATCCTGCTGGAGTTTATGGATAGCAATAGAACTGGATAGAGGTTCACATCGTTTATTAGTTTCGGATTACTCTACTTGCATGATATCTATGATGGGAGTTTATCGTGAATACACTAATTAATGGGGGTGCTCATTAAATGTAACTGCTAGCTAACCAATGGAGTCATCACGGGTTGGTTCTCATCGTCAATGGATAATAAGGAAATTAATAATAATGAAATGCTACCTATTTAAGTATATGCATTATTGAGTAGGTTATATATCCAATTGTCTAATTTGTAGTCGAATCTGGGCATAATCATGTAACGGGAAATGGGCATTTATTGACGTGGGTAGGAATTGGATGGCAATGTGAGATTTTCTGTTATCCTGACTGACATTACGAAAATGTCCATAGAATAATAAGCCAAAGTTTGCTTTTCATTTCAAAAGTGCATAAAATATTCAGTTGCTGTTTGTCCTCGTTTTCCATGGAAGGAAGGGGAATTGGACGGTTTACAATTACGTAATAAGTACTTAAGTGACGGAGGGTGAGGAGTCCGAGTACGTATGTGGAAAGGGTTCGCAAAGGTCCACCCTTTAATCATCATGCCATCTGAAGGGACCCTTGCAATTTGAGGGACTGAGATCGTACGATACTGCTGGATGAATGAATGAGAAACATGGCCATATGAAAGTGATTATGTCGTCTCATCTCATTCGGATAATGTGAGACCCTTCCATCTAGAGCAGATCACGTAGTTTAAGTCAACAGACTCATAACTGGGAATTGTCCATTGCTATTATATACCAAGTACCAACTCGTCCATGCGTGCATATTAAAGATATGTTGATCAAACAGGTCAATGTATTCCAGATTTTCTATCTGAAAAGATAGATACTTGACACAAACTTTCAAGTCAAACTGATAAGAAAATAGACAAAAACGTTCCAGAAAACGGAAAAAGTCATCATGTTGCGCAATCATGAAATACATAATCGATAGCACTCATGACACATTACGTACATTTAGATGAAAGGATACTTAAAATACACTCTGTTATGCATGAACATTCATTCTATAAGCAATTCTGTATTTAGTCTTCCATCACAAATAATGCTGAGTTGGTCATAACGATTTTCGTTGTCCATTACGTGCTGTTCGTTCACTGACCTTGGTTAGGTTCGAATTGATGGTTCAAGATTTCGACAAGATAGAACTTTCAAATACATAGACGACGACACATCAACTCGTATTTAGACGTCCATATGTGCCCCCTCAGCTAATTTTAGGTATGTGAATCACCAACTAATAAATTAATATTTTTTTTCTACATGAACCAAAATACGTTTTGTCAAGTGATGCTGACTACCCAAGTTAAAATTATGCTTATATTTTTGGTAACTTGAAACCTAGATCGGTAACCCAAAGCAGTGTTTAATAGTTCTTGAAATGGTGGCATGATCAAGAAAATGAACGGGCTGAATAAAAACTGTGTAACAAGATACTTGGTTTTATTAAGGGGTGATCTGATACAGTCTCACCGCTACCTGACGGGGAGTGTGTAACTATGTCCTCCCATAAGCTCCCATGTTATCGTTTTAAAAACTTTCAGCGTCGTCAAAAGACAATCAAATTTCGATTTTTTTGCACCAATCGACGCGTATATTTAGTCCCCACAAAGTTACTGAAGTTTTAAAGGTTACGTGGAGTATACATGGAAAAATGCGACTTTTTCTGATTTTTTTTTGTGAAAAGAATTATGGTGTGACCATGAAAGCGACTTTAAGGTCAAACTCCAGTAACTTTGGGAGTTGAATATTTTGACACATTTTGCAACAAAAAAATCCGATATTAATGCAAAAATAAAGGTGCTCAAATGTTTTGAAAACTTGGTTTTTAGAAATTACGAAATAAACATGCCCGTCAGTTCCAGTTTCCCCAATTTTTGTTATGTTGTAGGTCTTTAGTAGTAGAACAATAGTCAAATTGGACTTATAGTCGAAATCGACCTGCGTGACCTTGTTTCGGCGTCGAAAGGTTGGTAGGTCAAAGGTCACCGATCCCAACAAATTGGGTATCATTGGAAAGGTCTCGGTGAGAGGATTCCGAATATATATACTTTGTTGGGTGTATGACCACTCTCTCATGTTCCAGAAGCAGAAGATTGAAAATCTTCAATTTTCCACAATTTAACACAGCAAGTAGATTGAGAGCTAACATGTAGTAGATGGGCACAAACTCATAAATATTCTTCGGTCTCTGGAAATTCAGGGAGTGGTCATACACCCAAAAAAGTATATATATTCGGAATCCTCTCGTCGAGACCTTTCCAACGATACCTCACTTGATAATAAATTCCATTTACAGTTTCGAAAAATTAATTTTAAAATAAAATGAAAATTGTATGAGTTGAACGCCAAGTGACTAGTGAAAATTTTTAATATTATTAAAATCTAAACCTCGCTCTTACGCGTCCTTAACGGGGCATTATAGTTTGCTCTGGCCGCTCTATCAGCCAATACAGTCCCTCGCTCAATATTTTTCCGTATGTTGACAACATGCATAATTTTTTGCACAGCTTTTTTACCTTGTCATTCTTATACCGAGATTAAATGTGCACTCAAAAATGTGGAATTTGTTGAATTACAACTAGTGATAGTTGCGCAACAAGAAAATAAGGCCCTTTGAGGAATTGATATGCTACTTTTATTTATATTAATCAATTAATCTCGAGAAAAACAAAATTTTGATGGAAATTGATTTTCGGCATTTAATATAAATAAAAGTAGCATATCAATTCCTCAAAGGGCCTTATTTTCTTGTTGCGCAACTATCACTAGTTGTAATTCAACAAATTCCACATTTTTGAGTGCACATTTAATCTCGGAATTAGAATGACCAGGTCAAGATTTTGCATTTTTTCATGATTCGTCTCAACTTGTCATAGAGTATGCGTGGTGGGAAGCCACCACCACACATACTCTTCCCACTGGAAACCACTAAAAACATAAACAATGCCAGATGATATTTGCAGTTTTTTGCAAAAAATTCAAAATTCCCACCGAAACTTTTTACCCCACCGAGTTCATCAGTTTCGCCACTATGTGATTTATGAGGATTGGTTTAACATAAAATATAGTCAACTCTTAATTGTTGAACTTTTCTTGCCGAGGAAGACGTGAAATGTGTACTGAGAAAATGATCGCCAAAAATACATATGCATTTATACATAAGTATGAGTAACTATCTAATGGACGGATGAAGAAATAGACATAACACGATGGTAGTAAATATTATATTTTATTTATATGGGATTTCTAAACTGGAAGATTAAAAAAACGGTTTTCGATTTTCCGACTCTGAAATTTTCGTAAAACCGGTTTCAATTTTCTGGCTTTGAAATTTTCTAAAATCGGTTTTCGATTTTCCGGGTTTTGATATTTTTGTAAAACCGGTTTTCGATTTTTCGTTTTTTTTTGTAAAACCTGTTTTCGGTTTCCTTCAAAACCGGCTTTACGCCGAATTTTAAAAATTTTGTCAATCTCCTCTGGTATAGCAAAACTTCGGCATTAATTTGGGGAAAAATATTTCAGAAATCAGAACTATATTTCAGAATTCGTATCGTTAGATGAAAAACAAGGAATAGTACATAGTAGCTCGAAAACAATTTATTTTTGCCATAAAAAATCGAAGACAGATTTTCAAATCGATGATAAAGGATCCTGCTTACGAGGCATTTTGGAGCGCGACGGAGGTATTACGCAAAGATTGCCAAAAATTTGCAAATTAATAATCATCTTGCCACCTTCCAGGAAAGAGGAGGATGTTTATCCCGTGGGTCTGCGTGCGATTGGTGAGATTTTATTTATTCATTAGCAATGTAATTATATCTCAATATTTATTTTCTACATTTTAATTTTTCTGTGTGTCAAGGAAGCAACGGGGTAAATGCTGTAAACCGTTGGAAAATGGGTGCCACCAGGAGAGCCCTAACCTCATGAGTAGATTCATCTGCAAGAAGAGCTACACCGGCGAGTGCAAGGTGGAAGCAATCGTGATCCAACCAATTATCACTGCGATGGGAAAATTTACCATTGCAAGTGGTACTGTGTGAAAAGATAAGCATTTAAAGTTGGAATTTTGGAAACTTACCTGTTTTCCTTGGAGTCCAAGTCAAAGATATTCTGTTATTCAAGGGGTACTTATAAGGGTACTATGTACTTATAATAATGTTGAATAGTTATAATTAAAAAATGTCATAAATGTCATAATTGATAAACTTATAATGTGCATGTTAATTTAGGGCACAAATAAAAGTGTAAGCTTCAACCAAATTGTCATGTTTTAATACGCATCGTGTCATTATAGACTAAATTGTATCTATGGAGAAATTTCTGAGGCCGAGCTACACAAAATAACGTGTGAACTGTGAACACAGAATAAAATCAAATTGTGCAAATTTTCACTTTCCAATATGGTACTAGCAAAATTGTAATAATAGCGTAGCACAAACTGCATATTTTAGTGGTAAAGTACCACCAAAATAATAACACGAGATAATATGAATACTTATGATGTGTATCATTACATTACATGTATAGACGCAAATTAATACTGCTTTTGGAGGATAGAACAGTCTAGGGCATCGAAAATTGGAAGATTTCGAAAAACCAGTTTTCGGTTATTCGGATTTTGGAAAAATTTAGTAAACCGGCCGGTTTTCGCTTCTGTACAAACAGGTTTAAACCTGTTGTACTACGAATTTTAACAAATTTTGCAAATGTAGTAGTTACAACTTGAACAAACTTGAAAGTCTTGTCCTAATTTCAAATTTTATATATATGTATGAGTCGCCAACTAACAAGTTCATATTTTTTTCTACATAAACCAAAATACGTTTTACCAAGTGCTGCTGGCTGACTAGCCAAATACAAATAATGCTCATATTTTTGGTAACTCGAAACGCAGATCAAAAATAGTTTTAATGGGTTTTAGCATGGAATAAGATACACTATTTTATACATTTTTAATGGGTTTTAGGTTCTTCAAATGGTGGCATGATCAAGAAAATGAACGGCCTGAATAAAAACTGTGTAACACGTAACAAGACACTTGGTTTTATTAATTATGAAACGTTTCTTGCATATGAAGACGTGAAATGTGTGCTGAAAATTCTCACCAAAAAATATGTGAGCATGAATGAGGTACATAACTAATGGACAGCTGGATAAGCAGACATAATAAATATTATATTTTATTGGTTCTGACTCCACACCAAGAAAAAAGACGCTGACTCATCTATTAAATAACTAAACCCTCGTAAAATAATAGTTTATAAAATATTAACCTAACAAAAAATTCCTGCATGAAGGATTTAACATGAACTCTCAATAATAACCTTAACTTGACAAATCTTGTGATGGAAGGACATTTAATGGCTTTAAAATTAAACAATAAATATCAAACGCTAAAAAACTGACTGGCTGGAAATAATGCGGTATGAATGAGCAAATTGTAACCATCATATCACATCTTATTTACATAAATATGGCTGCTTCATATACATACTTGCATACTTATAAATCTCACTATTTCAAGTTTTCATACGATGACACAGCGTCGTTAATATCTCTGAGCGTATTATCAATCTCGTTTAAGTCATTGTTCACAGAATTTGAACTAGAAAATTGATTGCTTTGTGGAAACGGGACCCCAAGCGAGCCAAGCGGAGGATTTCGACCGGACGGTGTCACTGTTCGTGGTGGAAATCCATTGTTCTCGTCAGGTTCGTCGCGAGAACGGTTGTCCTCGATTTTGGGATGAAACCCCACCACGGATGGATTCGCGTCGTCCATTCGCACCCCGCTGGGCGAGTGGGGTCGATAGCTGATCACTGGAGCGGGGACGGGGATGGATCTTGGCGGAGTGGAAATCACTTGGCCGTTTTGGGGAGGAAGGAAAGGCCGCTCTTCTTCTGGCACGGTGGGTCTCGGATTTGGTGGGGATGTAATTTTGGAGTATTTTTCAGCCGTATAATCCGGCTTGAGGGGTGATGCGGAGTATGTATTTTCAGACTCGGAGGCTTTCATTTTCGCGATTGAGGCTGAATTGAGGAAACGAATCATTGCAAAATGATTACAGGTTCTTATCTTAATTTTTATAGCGAATGAATCTTACCTTTTTGCGTGTTGAACGTGGGAGCATATGCAGTTTTCGTACTTTTTCGTGACCTACACCAACAGACGAGAAGGGCCGCAACGATGAAGAGACAACCAACGCCAAAACCGACGTAGGTGCCAAGTCTCACAACTTCCTGAGTTTTGATTAACTTGTCCTTGACCATTTGGAGGACGGGTGGAGGTAAAGTGACGCCCTGTAAAGGGAAGGCAAATAAATTATTAGATTATTTCGTTCGCCAACACAAACGAAACGAAATTCTAACCTGATCCATCCAAAAGATTGGGTGCACCATTTCCGGAATATTTTTCAACTTCTTGAAATATCTGGTCGGTTTTATTGCAAAGTTCATTTGGACGCGAACCGCAACCTTGAATGAAATTGCTGCCGTCGGTTCTAGAATGATAACCATCTCGTGCTTTTCTTGGTCAGGGACCAGTCCCACGGATTGGTCGAGATATACTGGGTCTGCATTGTAGAAATGTGGGAAGGACATTACCATTGGAGTTCCTGCACACAAAAAAATTATAAACGGATTGAATTTTGTATGTACGAATAGCGTCAAATCCGTGGCAGCAGAATTTGAAGGGAACATATGGGGACATTAGCCTTGTCGGATTGGAGAATAAGGAACTTATTAACATAGGGAAGATACGATTTTGCTAAATTTCTGAGCGGACAATGTCCCCCTGCTTCCGCCACCCATGCTTTCAATATCAACAAAAATGTACCTTGCCGACATTTTGACAACTCCCACACGCCGCTTTTGAAACACTTTTCCCCATCGTCCCCAGGATTGGAGCAGTAACACATATTGTCCGGATTGGTCTTCACATCGGCCAGGTAGAACGGTGGGACTGTGAACTTATAGGCAGGAATGCCCCCCATTTCCGTGTCCCCGTCGAATTTGAACTGCATTTTGCGACAAAGATTGGGAATGAAGAAGTAAAATTCCTTATCTCGCGTTAAGAAGGGGGCCATCATGGAGCCGTCGTATCCTTCAACCGCGTCGCACTTTTCGTCATCAAAGAATTGCATTGATTTGTCCTTATTGTAGGAAACCACCCTTCCAAATTTTTCTGGTTCTTTGACACCCGCACGGATTTCGTAGGTGAGAGACTCGGACCCATTTTTCTGGAAATTCAAAATAATAAAAATTTTGCCCTGATTTTTTCGCTCCCGGAAATTATACAAATACTCACGCCATAGTAAAGACCAAAAGTATTGTTTGGCATTAATGTTTCTCCTCTTAACGCGCTTAACTCGGCAATTAGTGGGACGTAGTATCCACCAAAGAGGAATTCATCCACCGTTATTTGGACGTACATGTCTTCGTCGGGAAATTGTTCAGAAATAGTTTCCGAGACCATGTATCGCGCCGCAGTTCCGGCCAGCATGGATTTATAGACGGCTCCCTATAAATAACCATAAATTGCTAGAATTTCACATTTTCTACGAAACCATTAAAAAAAATTTCAAATTCATGAATTTGTGCATACCAAATAGGGAATATTCAGTACAACAATTTTATCCGTCAAGCTTCCCGTGGTCATGTCTTGGCGGAAAAAGTAGGAATCTTTGTGTTTGTATGAAACCGTGTCGCTATCTTCGTCAACGCTGATGTCCACTTTTGTTCGCTTATGCCTGCAATCAGTGATCAGTGGTGTAATTATAAATTACTCGCTTAATAAATATTGCATAATGTGTACAATGGACGTGGTACGCATCAAAGCCTTTCATCAAAATTAAAGCGGTCAGGTGATAGAAAAGGGATGTTCAAAACTCGTTCGATCTTCCATTTCAACCTGTCACTGGTTCTCTGTGTTATCACTTTTACCTTGTGATTTCGTGCAAATAAATTCCACTTGTAATTCCGCCACGTAATCTGATCGATTAAATGCGGACATTCTACATATGAATTTAATACATATTTTTTGGGCACTTTTAGTCTACGTGGAAGATACAAAATTATTTAGAAAATGCCGACTAAATATGAAATCCGCGACAAGTTGTGCATTCCAAATAAAAATTTAGATCTGCATATGTAGCTGATTTTGCATGCAAATATTTTCAGACGGTTGAACACACACGTATTAGCATACATATTTACACTTTATGTCAAATATGTCGAAACTTACTGGTACACGTAGGGTCCCAGCTCTTGAAGAATAGGTTTCCCACCTCTCATGACCTCTTCGTGATTTGTGACATTAAAAATATAAATCCTCTGAAAAACTGGGATTGGAACTACCCTCCAAGATTCCCACTTGTCCGTCCCGTTAACGAGCTGACTTTGCTGCAAATTCACAAAACAAACATGAAAATCATCGATCGATTATCAATTATTATGGATTTAATTATTAATTTAATTAAACTCACCGCAGTAATTTTCTTTTTCATCAACATCGGAAATAATTGGAACCCAAAAATCAACGCTAACGCTCCAACAGTCACGCCAATTATGGCCAACACTAAAGGTAACTTTTGCATCTTGTACGAATTTTATGCTAATTCAAACACTAATTAAATAACGAAAATACTTTCTCCCTGGGCTTGAGATCAGTCGAAAGAAAAGTTGCGACTTGAGAGAAAAATCACAACTCCATCCATCCACCACGCTGGACAGTAGATTGAAGACATCGACATCGAACACTGAAGCCCCAACCATAAAAAGTGTCGAGCTGCACTTGTACGTAAACGATGCGATAATGAGCTTATAAAGTTCTTCAAATATTATTTCGTAACTTATCAAATCCGTATAGCAGCCATATTCACACGTATATCACTGCATTTAAAAATTGCTGCAGAGTTCTGAGTCCACCAGTCCTCACATAAAATATTTTAACCATTGCACGATCCAAGCGTGGTTTGATACCGACCACAACACCGGGATCAAAAGTCAAGAGACAAAAGTCCACCATGTTATTTGTGCGAGCAGCCAACTTATCATCACCAAATAACAAAGTATTATTATTATATTTCAGTCCAGAAATCAATTCATCATCATCGCATTACTGCACTTCAGTTGACACATATATATTTGAACAGCAAGTACACACACATGCACCAACCAGCCACCCATTTTATTAGTTTGTACTACATACCAATGCGTGAGTTTAACCAGAGACGCAGACTTTTTTATACAGATAAGCCAACTTATAGGCTTCTTTTTTAATGTGTGGGATGGAACGTGAATGACATTTATTCATATTGTAAAACAAAGCCAGATTCTCTACTGCTGCTGCTGATCACTAAACTAAACCACCAACTGAACTCTAATGGACGTCCAGACAGAGATTAGAAAGCGAGTAGTAGAGTGTTCATATGTATGTATGTACGGTCTTATCGGTTGCCTGATAAGTGTAATTACGGCCAGTAAATTAAAAGCCTGGCTATTTCAATAGCTGGTTTATTGAGAATATGTAACAATTGTATCTATAAAGAAGAAGCACGTGCTTGTTCTCATCTGCCAAATGATCTCTCTGTGATATAATAACTGTGCACCTGTGAAATTATAAATTAGAGGTGACAATAAACCATTAGTAGCAAATTCCTACAACCGACTGGAAAAATATGTCTGTCTCTGTGTGTATCAAATCGTTGTTTTGTCATTTCCATCCATTCATAATAAAATTCATGTCAGTCTGATGACACAAGGTTATAGGCATATTTAGTCATATTTATAGCATAATAGATATGCAATTGGTCACATTCACGTTGTTGTTACTAATTTAATTGATGTTTTTTGGGTCATGTCAACTCCCGTGTTTATTTTGCTAGCAGCGTTCGTGTGCATAGTTGTATTTATTTTAGTGTCATTATCATGTTTTTTTCATGGATGACACTTCCAGTACGTCAGATAATACATGATTTGACAATTCTAAATAACTGAGAACCTGATTTTTTCTTAGGTGAGGCATAGTAACCATGACCACATGAAAAAATGCATGGTTACGGCGAAGCCTTAGTATGCGAACAGACCCCCCCTCCCAAAGTTCCACTCAAGTTTGTGGCAAAACGGCTAATCGTATCAAAATGGTGTAAAAGGCAATCGTGCAGACCTTGCTGGGTAGAGTATGCCCGTCAATTCGAGGGAGATGACAATCTAATTTTACATATATAAGAATGTAATAGCTCAGTACTAAAGTTTTACTATATTGGTAGCAAATTTTGAATGACCGATATAATTTTAATACCACGCGGTAGCAACTTTAATACAGAAAACAATACCTGCCTGACTATACCAGATTATTCACACTTACATATAGGGGAATTAATCTAATATGCAACCCATCCGCACCCACAGATTATAATTAATTTGGTATTGAATGCAGCACCCTTTAATTTGGGAGGGACTCTTATTTGTAGGCTTAAAAACACAAAATAAATAAATTCTTAAAATAAACTAATTCTTAAAAAAAAAGCTTAGGTGAGGCTTGCTTAAAAGAGGAAAACAAGTTGTTGTCATCGTGTACTAAAATTATTTGACACATCAGTGTTTATCTAACGATTTAAAATTTTCGGTAAATATCCCAGTAAATAATATGCATTAGGGACCATTTGCCTCACCGTGGGCCTGATTAATTGCTGGATACAAATATACATACCTTCTCGATGGTCATACATTAATATAAAAAATTTACAATAATTAACCTAATTAATTGATGCCAGTGATATCTCGATATTTCATAAATTTACGTAAATATACGGTATTTTATATTAGAAATGAAAGTACACTTAACAAATTTGATCATCAATCGATTAAGAATAACGAAATTCGATTACTCTTAATCAATGATAAGAACAAATTACTCAAAATTATGAGCGCACAGCAATATTAAATAGGCAGCAAAATTGGATTACTCAACCCCAATTACCAGGTTTTCTGAAGACCTCTTAAATCCCTAAATCTCCTATACTTGTCGTCGTATAAGTTGTGAACTTGGCAAAAAAATGGAAAATCTCGGTAGACTAAATCCAGCATCGTTTTATATGAATTGCATTTACCTATGGATTGTATTTACGTAGTGAACACTAATACAGTTTAAAATTTATTTCAATTCCTTGTGTCACAAAACGGCCCACGGTGAGGCAAATGGTCCCTAAAATGCATATTATTTACTGGGATATTTACCGAAAATTTTAAATCGTTAGATAAACACTGATGTGTCAAATAATTTTAGTACACGATGATAACAACTTGTTTTCCTCTTTTAAGCAAGCCTCACCTAAGCTTTTTTTTAAGAATTAGTTTATTAGAACCTGTAAAATAATAAATTCAATTAAATATGTCCTATAATTACTAATAACGACGTTTAACTACCACAATTTTAGTCTTCAGACGGAACTAAAGTTCCAATGAATAATCTCGTTTGTCTGGTATCTTATCTTATCCATGCGGAAGAAATAATATCCAAAATGGATCAAGGTAGCACTATGAAAGTTTAAAACGAATATGAAAAAGTAGGAGTTTCCCAAACTCCATCTCTGTTAGTGCCACATGATTCATTTCATATGAACAAAATATTGATCTACGATGACTCAAATTGCATAAACCAATAACCTCATAAACCACGATGCACAAATTCATGAATATCATCATCACTAACCTTGATTAGTCATTATTATGCACTTAGAAATTCATAAGTAAAATTGTTTTTATTTTATAATAGGACATGTTTAATTATGCTTGAGTTATGCTCGTTTTAATTTTCACGGACAATTCTATATATCGTAAAACCTGCCAAGTTCACAGATTCGTTTGTAACACAATGTCAATATTATAAAGATCGGGTATGTCATTTATTTACAAGTTAACATCCGCCAGGTCAAAGTTCTGTAATAAACGCTTCCCGCTATTTAAAGAATTTACCCTTGTGATTGAATAAAAAGTTTCCACCAGACGAACGAGGCGACCATCAGAATCAATTGCGACCTTCTTAAGCACAGAGCTAGTGGTTGAATTTGATATGTCGTATTAGTCATTTGCACATAAATAAGTACTTACACGTGAATGTTGCAAAGCTAAACGTGCCACCCCAACTGCGTAGAAACTTAATAAATTGACACTTAACCAACAAGTTCCTTTCATCAATAAATTCATTGAAAACGAGACATTATGCGAGTACTTATATGATGAATACGTATGTACACATGATACGATGAAATGAATGATGAGCAATTTGACCATAAATTCAATGCATACTCATTCTCCAGATACATACAAAATTATGCTAAAGATAGTTCACCACGATTCGACTTGTAGATACGTATTTATGATTTGTTCGACTTCAATATGAAAAATTCAGATTATTTTAGGATTAAATAATGGTTGACTAGTTTACTGGAACTTGAAAGCCTCCATTTGCCAGGATAATTTTAACTGTGTGACGCAATTAGTGGGTCAGTTAATGGTCCAAGAGTGCTTGTCTTTAATAATTAAATGCATACATGTTTGTACATACATCGTCTCAAACAGTAGCAGACGAAGACAACCTTTTCAGAGAATAATAATGCACAATTGTCCTCCATTAAGTGAAACCACTTGTTTCGTGTTCACTTGAAGCTTCTGTGCGACGAGACGACGTCATTGAGAATAATAAATACGTGCATAGTTGGCAAAATGGTTAGCAAAAAATATTGGCGATTATATTACAGATATTTACACCGCTGTTGCTGATGCAACGAGTGATAGAGTTACAGTTTATATGAAACAGTGTTAGTTTTAGTAAAGCGATCGATATAGTTGATACATTTTTATGTTTTTCTTAATTAGCCGTACATAAAAATGGATCGGGATAAAGTGTACGTCATTTCGTCTCAAGTTTCTATAAATTACTTCCTATCCACGTGTATTATTAATCGGTGTAATAAAAAAAACATGATATTTTCTCCTTGCAGATTAACACATATGAAACCCGCTCCATCAATAAAACAAAGAACGCGTCTTCCGCAACTACGCAAGTTTACAGTGTTGTTAATATTACCATTAGTCGTGCTCTTAATATCGTTACAAAAATGTACACAAGGAGCAAATATTGCTAATAAACTAATATCCAAAGATAACCAAACTTCAAAATACGTGACAGCCAAGGGTAGTAAAGTAGACAAATTTTTAAACGATGTGTTCCCCGTCGGGTTCAAGTGGGGTGTGGGAAGCTCCGCATTTCAGATTGAGGGAGGTTACCAAGAAAATGGTAAATTATGCATGATTTATGTACTGAAAAATCAAGGGCACGTGTCCTTTAAGAATTTAAATAGTCAGTCAATGGAAGACTTGATTTTTATTACTTTTACTCCTTCTTTAGGAAAGGGACAAAGTATTTGGGACAAGTTTACCCAAGATAGTCCAGATAATGCGAGCGTATCGTGTGATTCATACCACAAATATAAGGAGGACGTCTTGCTAGTGAAGAGTACCGGGGTGCGTGTGCACTTTAAAATAATATTTTGATAAGCACAATCACGGCAAGTTAAACCTCACTAACTTATCTTTATTTATAGGCAAAAGTGTACCGATTCTCGATAAGCTGGCCCCGAGTTTTGCCTAAAGGAACGACCGAAATTGTGAGTAAGGAAGGACTCGCGTACTACAATGATTTAATTAATGCCTTAATAGCTGCAGGGATAGAGCCCATGGTGTGTCTTTTCCATTGGTAGGTTGACAATATAAATATTTTAGGTAATTTATTTACGCTAATTAAGTAACGAGCCAAGTTAATAATTTTTTACCTGTTTTCAGGGATTTGCCTCAAAGTCTTCAAGATGGGGGTGGTTGGCTAAACCAAGAAACTGTTGGATTGTTCGGTGATTATGCACGCTTGGTGTATCAAACTTTTGGTGATCGAGTTAGTAAATTATGATGAGAAATATGAGACGGAAAATCAATTCAATAGCCTTCATATTCTTAATTCTAGGTTCGTTATTGGATTACCATGAACGAACCCTTCACTTTCTGCTACTACGGCTATGACGAGGGGATATTCGCCCCCGGAGATAAGTCCGACCCTGCCACGCACCCATATTCCTGCGTCCACTCGCTCATCATGGGGCACGCGTTGGCCTATCGAATTTACAAAGAGGAATTCTTTACCCAGCAAAATGGCAAGGTTGGAATATCATTGGACAATTTTTGGCAAGAACCGGCCGATCCTAATTCTGAACAGGACAAACTTGCGGCTCAGCAATCATACAGTTTCCGGGTCAGTCTAAATATATTGCAAAATTGTGTGATCAAATTTTGTATACAATTTTCTATATTTATCTGTTTTTTACAGTTTGATTGGATAGCGTATCCACTATTTCGTGGCGAATATCCTCCAATTATGCGGAAAATTATTGACGCCAAAAGCAAGCTGGAAGGGCGCAAGGAATCTCGGCTACCAGAATTTGATGCAGAATGGATCTCAAAAGTAAACGGGAGTCTCGATTTTCTGGGGATTAATCATTTTACGACACAACTGGTAAAATTCGCCAATAATTCAACCACCCAAAACGCTTCCAATTGGGAAAGTGACACTGGAACGGTTCGGTCCTACGACCCAAACTGGCCCGACACGGGCAGCCACTGGCTTAAAGTTGTTCCCGAAGGGATTCGAAAATCTCTTAAAAAAATCAAGCAAGATTACCAAAACCCGGAAGTGATAATTACCGAAAATGGCGTCAGTGTGGCCAGCTTGGGGATGATTATGAATGATTTAGACGACCTCCAACGTATCGAGTACCACAGACTCTACATAAACCAAGTCCTCAAAGCGGTCAAAATTGATGGGTGCAATGTCACTGGCTACGTCGTGTGGAGTCTACTTGATGGATTTGAGTGGTCGCAGAGATACGAGTGAGGAATTTTCCAGTCTTTCACTTATCCTGGAAATAATTTAATTCATTTTTACATACATATTTCAGCACGCAGTTTGGAATATTTCATGTCGATCACCAATCCCCGAATCGAACGCGTACTCCCAAAAAGTCGGTGAAAGTTCTACAGCAAATTTTCCGAGATAATGGTTTCCCTTCAGTAAGCAAACTCCATAAAATATCCGTCATTTCAGTCTCAGCTCAAGAAAATAAATACTCCGGGACAACAGTTTTACTATGCTCGGCCCCTTTTGCACTCATGTTTTCAGCGTATTACGCATATGGGCAACTTTCTGCGTGATGTTTTTTAAAAATAATTTTTTAACAAATCCTGCATTTCTTTAAATGTTACATTAAACGAGGAATAATACCGCATTTTTTAACGGAATAAAATTTTGCAGTAACTGAACGCCGTTACATAATTCATTTCACGCGCAAAACTTATGCATTTCTTACTCTGAATTGAATCAGTATAACAAAAATGTGAGAGTAGAAGTGTATGCAAATTGAACCCAGATTTGCATTAATTTTAGGAGAGAGAAATACGAGAGAGAAGCTTTTTGGCGAGCTTTGCATCCGCCTGAAAGGAAGATGGAAAGTAGTCGTCGAAGTGCAGAAACTGGTGGTGCAAATGTGGCCAAAGTACGTTCCGTCCAAAATGTTGCCACCTCATAAGCCGTACCGGGATTGAGACGAATCGGTGTAAATTCTCGCCCGTAAGTTCTCGCCCGGAAATTTTCGCCCGTAAGTTTTCACCCTATGTAAATTCTCACCCATACGAGTTGTCACCCATTCAAGTTCTCACCCATACAAATTCTCACCCATGAAAGTTTTTCCCAATCCTCCACTTTATGTGAAAATGGGTTTCGGCTTAGCCCATCAAATTGTATCACTATAATATATGAACTTTTTGAAATCGGTATGGGCCCCCCCTAGTGACCCGTGGTTTCTATTCATATTTAGCTTCAAGCTTATCATTTCATGACAAAGCAGTAAGAATCTCTGGTCCAAATTTCAGCTGTCTATGTTAATTTCTGAAAATCGGTAGGACCCGACAGGTCCTATGTATCCTCTTCCATTACCCGGGACATGTCCCGAATAAACCGGGATGTCTGGTCACCCTAATTGCAGATGTCTTATAGATAAAATTTGCTCACGTTCTGGCGCATTTTAATAACTCCTCATGAAACAGGTAGACCTGACATTTTAATTGGTTAATCAAGTCGCTCTTTTATTTGGATTTAATGTGAGTAATTATTGCTGTGAAACTGAAATAGTTGTGAAGTAAAAGTTAATATGTAAATATTAAACGATATTGTCACATTTTATAATGCTTCTTGTTTTCATATTTTAAGCGCGTTCTTCACCTAAGTTTGTTTTTAAAATTTATCAATGTTCTCATCCACTCATTCTTCACATAAGACTGAGGGAAATGCATTTAATACATTCTTTGCCGTTGGCCTTTTATTCTAAATAAACCCTCATAAAATCGAGAATTTACATTGGACAAACGGAGTTTGTTTATGTTATTAATTTGATAACACAAACATAACTAAGCGGTGGCCCACCCCGATTTCTAAAAGTTGATATAATGAGCTGAAATTTAGAATGGAGTCGGAAAATGTCATATAGGTTTTACCATTTATCAGTGATACAATTTTATGGGCTAAGCATAACCGAAACCCACTTTCACATAAAGTGGAGGATTGGGAAAAACTTTCATGGGTGAAAACTTGTATGGGTGAGAACTCGTATGGGTGAGAATTTACATACGGTGAAAACTTACGGGCGAAAATTTCTGGGCGAGAACTTACGGGCGAAAACTTGTGGGTGAGAACTTGCATAGTACCATTGAGACATCGTCCTCACAACCGTCCTGTTTTACTAGTATATCGTTACCGATCGTGGTTGCGCTATGTTTGAGCATCTAAAGCATAATTTGTCCTGAAATTTCCCTCAACAGCACAAAAACAAAAACTTGTGTAATGTACAAAATGTAACATTGTGTCAATTTCGAACATGATTTGGAATAATCAAAATCATGTCATCGTAAAGTTGTATGTATAAGGAATTCAAAACCGGACCCTTTTCTGAAAACCGGTTTTCGGTTTTTCCGGTTTTCCGCCCACTAAAACCGGTGAAAAACCGGTTTTTCACCGTTTTTCAAAAATAATATTTTGTGCACTAGACGGGTAGAAAAGTTAAGTATGTGGGTATCGTAGGTTTAAAAGCCCTAACCTTTAGAACAATGGCCCGACGGAAAGATTCACGAAAAACGTCAAACTAATTAAAAAGTATATCTTCTCTAATTATTTGAGGAAATAAATATGCTAACTTAATGGATTATCTATTAACGTAATATGAAGATGCCAATTAATTATAAATATGTAACGAAAGCCTAGTTTTATTCTAAAATTATTGGAAAGCACTATCTACTTCGATATGTAATCCAGAAGAAAATACTACATTCGTAGGAAAAGAAATAAAAAAGACCAGTGTGTCATCTTTAAGATTTTACTCATTTGTAAGGTTGCGAATTTTTAGCGAATGCCTACACGAAGAACCTTATTGTAATTTTTGCACTGGATTTTTATCTGAGAAATTTGTGTCAATTCAGGGGCAAGATTAGTATTTTCTTAAATGCACAAGTCGAACCGCACATAAAACCATATGTACACATGTATGACTTTTCAAAATACGCATTCATACAATTTTCAGCCAAAACTTAAAGCTGCTAAAATGCTATAAATTCAGGTTTTTTCACGTGTTTCTAGGTTAGAACCACGTTCGAAGTTTATTCGAAAATATAATTTACGCAAATAGAAATTTGAAATTACATAATTTATGAACGAAATACGGAATCGCTTAAAAAGTTAAAGGGGGTAAAAAGCCGTTATCGCAGTTGGATAAGAACCCACGACCACCTGCTAATAATTTTTGTAGTTTTTCAAGTTCATTGCTTTCAATTTTGTTGATTGTTTTTGCAACTTTTTAAATTGTATTAATCCAAAGAAAAAGCAAAATTCTGTTAAAAAATATGAAATAGTTTTTCAAAATAATTGCAGGCCTTAATTTTAAGCATGAATGTTATCGATTTTGTTTAAATAGCGTCAAAATTCGAAAAATAATAGCATTTAGAAATTTAAAATTTTGACGAAAATCCGGTTTTTAGAATTGCAAAAACCGGTTTTTCCGGTTTTAAAAAACCGGTGTTGAATCCCCTATGTATGTACCCTCTTCCAATATGGTAATAAATAAATAAGGGAATGCACTTTCACTTCACGTGATGCACAATTCTTTTCTGCATTGAATGAAATTGCATAAGCTTGAACAAATTTTATTTACATGCCCATAATATTTACTTTGTGTATATTATACAAAGGTTGACGGAAAAATGTCGAATAATTCGAAGGGTGTGGTGCACTATAAATTTTAAGCTGGACAGCTACATAATTCTAAATTTTGATTTAAGTTTAAAGATTGATTGCATTGATTGATTCATATTAATTGTAAAGTTTTATCAAAAATTATTAAATTAGCATAAATAAAATATTAAAGGGTTAAACATTATCATTTTATACATATTTCTATTTTATGTATGAGTATTAATTATTAGCACTTGTGACTTGGTTAAAATCGTAAGCCAGATAAATAACTATCGCAGGTCAGAGCAAGATTGTTTATAATATTTCTACATTTTCTAGCAGGTGACATATATTCCAAACATAAATCATCTCATAATCTCGAAAAATGTCACAATTGTCATTATAATAATTTCAAAATAATTTCAGTGGGATAGTCCAAGCGCATTTATGTATAACTAGTTAGTGAAGGCATATTAATTGAGCTGGTATTTAAGTGATGTACATAATTGACTAGAATATTTTCATACTAATCTTGACTAGATTTTTTTTTGCATTAATTGGCTCTAAAATTGACTAGAATCTTTTTGCATTAATTGACTCTGAAATTGACTAGAGTATTGCATTAATTGGCCCAAAGATTATATCAAATTGGCTTATCGAGTCGCTTAAAGGAAACCCAACTGGTCCAAAACATGACTTGACGATGGTTTAACGTCAACATCAACTGGGGGGATGACGCTACCAATTCCAGGTGTCGAGGGGACATTAGACGACGGAATTAATATCCGTGACGCATTTCCAGGAGCAGAATGAATTTGACGACTTGTGCTGGGCACCTCAGCGTCGCCGAGTGGAGGAGAATAATGCCCTCCAGCTGTGTGGGGTCGAGAGGGGGAGGAGTCAAGTGGGTTGACGTCACCAAATCTCCGAGGGGAAATTACTCCTGAAATTATGTGGCGTGGTTATATAATCAATTTTTTATGAGCTAATTGATGTACAAACCTTGATCGGTTGGTTGGGGGTCAATCTCTGCAACAGAATTTGATGCCGTGGTTGGAATGGAATTATTGTCCCTGTCCAAGTTGCTTTCTTCAGCATCCGCTGATGTGCAAGTTTCTCCTGCGGTCACTGCTGCAGATTCTTGTCCATCGTCTTTCTGGTCTGGTGCTTGTCCAGGAACAGAAGCAGAGGAGCAGCCAGGCTCTGTATTTTCATATGCAAATCAAGTATGCAAAATTATCACTAGTTTTGTAATACCGCGTGAAAAAATATAAGCTTAAGATTTAAGATTTAAGACCTTGTGTGTCCATTGAATCAGTTTCATCGGTGCATGGGTACATCATTTGTGGGACTGGTGTCACACTGTCCACTACAGCGGCACTTTCTCCATCATCAGTTGGTAGGCTGCTTTCTCCGACGCCTGACCCTCCCTTTTCCCCTTCCGATCCTACCGTAAAAATGGGGGCCATGGCGAAATGCTTCAGTGTGCTCATGGCGTCTTCCATGGCACTCGTTGGTCTGAATGGGTCCTCCGGATCGATCTCAAACTTGCCTGATGATCGAAATAGGGAGCGAAATTTCCTCATGAATCCGTCACCTTCCTGTTGTTTCCTCCGTCGGAGTGGTGGTGGGGATGAGCTTGTGCGTGGAAAGACATGGTCCGGATGTGTCAAACCAGGACAAAATATGGGCTCATCATCGTCCGAATCGTCATCTGATACAGTTTCTTCCTCTTCCGGTTGCTTTACTTGTTCCTCCGGTTGTTCTGGTGGTGGTGGTGGTTTAATCTCAGGCTGGTCGGTCACATTATCGGGTGCATTTTCTTCCTCCTCTGGTTGCTTATCTTCCTCGTCCGGTTGTGGTGGTGTTAGTGGCGGCGGTGGTGGTTCAATTTCAGGCTCCTCATTATCAGGTGCATTTCCCTCCGCCTGTTCCTGTGGATTTGGAGCTTGTTCGATTGCTTCATTCGCATTGCCATTGTTGTTGTTGTCGTCATTATCTTTGTCATCATCATTCCTGGTCATGTAGGCCCAAAGAAGAGCGATCAAACTGCAAATGAGATCCAGAGTAGCTTCCCCGACGCGAGCCCCATCAATGGCGGAAATGCCGCTGGTCAATCCCATCGTGCCACCGATGAGGGCTTATCAGAAATATAATTATGAATTAATTTCTCATACAATTTTTTGTACAATAAATTAAACTTGCCTATGATGTCGGTCCATTCATATTTGTCTTGTTTCTCCATCACCAACATTTGATGAACGTTGAAACCAATTTGCACACGCGAGGTGTAAGGAGCATTTCTGCAAAATAGGAAAGATTTTCTAGGTATTTACACATCTTCAACGTATTTATTTTTATTTGATATCCTATTTTGCACAGTTTGGGAGACATTAATTTTTACCCTGTCATTTCCTTCACGATTGCCGGAGCTGTTTTTTCGTCGTACGGAACGGAAATGATGGACGCAACTTTGTACGCGATGTGGGAGCAACCTGGTAAACATTTGGGGCAATTGACGCCGTCATCTATGTAAATATGCATAAAATTAAATTATTTTAATACTTAACAATTAATATTAATTAATCAAGTCAAGCACTCTACTTTGTATCTTTGCTGCACAAATAGTGTCGTCCAATGTAGTGCACAATTTTCGCCCAGGCTTATCTGCATTAATAATGTGATTTTTTAAATGCACGACTATTATGATTCGGGATTAGCTCACTTGATAGTCCAGCCAGGCTACAGTTGCATTTTTTAAAGATTGCCTCTGATTTGCATTCCTTGATACAATTTTCTTGGGTGTGGAATTGATAAAAATCTGGAGGATTTTTATCCGGCTTTGCCAAAATACAGTCACGGTCCCCCTTGAGATAAGATAAAAACGAAAATATTATAATTGCTAACATTATTTAAGCAAGTAAATAAAATACACGATCCAATTTCTTGATGTCTTTCTCAGAAATAGTAATCACGGCTTCAAGGATGATTTTCACGTCATGATTCAGGAGAATTTTGACCCCTCCGGTGTCAGCGTTCAGCTCGTCATAGATCGATGTAATTCCAAGGATATATGCAAGCCCGTCGTTTTGTGGGCATACCGTATTTTTCAAATCAAACTGGGCGACAAATCCAAATCCAAAACGGGGTCCAGCATACTTTTGTGTTAGCGGAATCTTATCTTGATAAGGATGTGCTTGCTCTTTGCATGCCGAAGTTCGATTGGATGGGGTGCGAAGGTTTAGATCACTGTGCTTGTTTAGATACAATTCCGACTCGGACTGGTTGCAAACTTTCTCATCGGCGAGAAGTGTTTTGATGGTATCGTGCCTGAATATTATGTCCATTAATTAGGATAATTATTATTTACTTTAAATACAGTCTATTTAATCAACATGTCATGCATTTTCTCACGTACTTTCCCGATATTGAAGAAGCCATTCGATTAAATGCACAAGCAGCCCCAGTGTCAGTAATGATTAATCGGTGATAGCATCGTTACAATCAATTCGTTTTGAACCCCAAACGCAAGCTTTGATGATTCCATTATCGCCGGTGCATGATGGGATTGCCTAGGAAGAAATGGTTGTGGTTGAGAATTTCTCAAAACAATTGGTGCGACAAAAGAGAGATAAATTACCTGCTTCAGTTTTGGTATCAATTTGGTTTTGATGAAGGTTTTGTTTGGAGAATTCTCATCATATTCAAAAATATCAGCATGCCGAAGGTTGGGAATAATGTTTTTTTGCATTGCTGGATTCGCTTTCGTTGTTCCATATTATTTCAGGATCCAATGGATTGCAAATGTGATTGACCGTGTAAAGGAGAGCAGTTGTTTCTTCCTTTTGCCATTCAATATCATCCGAATCTTTAGCTGAACCAAGGGCAGCGTCATAATGAAGTCTATTATAAAAGAAATACTTATTTTCTTTCCACGCGTGATGTGTGTGTTTTATATAAAAGAGTTTCGCACATCTTTAATTCTTCAATTTTTGTGGCAATAAAATTGCTCCGTTTGTAGATTTGAATTTCTGGGTAAGTGACTCTGTCCACGGGGAGAGTAGTTTCGTCGAATACAAGGACGGTAGGATTTTCGGTGAGCTTTCCATACAATTGTACAGACCATTGAACGCCACTGACAAACAAGGCCAATGTCAAGGCCAACCAAGCAATTCTGAAATTAATAGCGTGTAAAAAATGTAATTGTGTAGACCATTGTTACTTTGCTGTAAATACATCACATCCAGCCAGTATTATAACAAGATTCATATTGCACACATTTCTAAACTTGTTGAATGAGCAAGAGTTTGACTATTCAAAAAATGTATAAGCTCATAGTTTTTGTAACCATTTTAAACTGCATATTTTGCATGGTAAGTAAATTAGTAGTTGTTTTACTGTGCACATACTGTATATTGTACTGTATATTGTCTCAAAAGGAAGATTCAATTTCAGGGAAATGGGGAGTGTATCTGTCCGAATCGAAATCTTGCCAAACCATTCCTCATGTGTGGCCATGAAATTAAGAAGTTTTACCCTCACACGTCTTGCGGAATGCAGGTCGTTTATGAGTGCGAGGAAAATAGGACTAATCTTGACCACAAATGCGAAACCAGAGAAGCTTTCTGTGGAGTAGACCCTTACGATTATTGCGCGTCATATGGCAAAGATTCACCAAATTGTATCAGGCATAAAAGAGTCCGAGCATGTTTTAACTTTGGTAATAAAAGAGAAACTTATAACAAGTTCATGCAGCAAATGAAATCTTCTGATTTCTACTGAATCGCAAAAAATTTGTTTACTGTGTTCAAACCTGTGTAATATCGCTGATGATCTGACAGTGGAACATGACAGAAAAATGGTAATTGTTGTAACAAAATAAAAATCGAAAGTACTAAATTTGAAAGTAGTATTAGTTAATCGTCAAATGTCAACCCTTAATTAAATTATGATCAATGTCAAATTGCACAAACAATTAAGTTATTACTCTGCTGTAAATAAACTAAATCTAGGCCCACAAGTCATTTACGTGTATTTTGAAATCGTTTTGTTTTAATATTCATATATTATTATGCATCGTCGTGTGACAATCTTCTTTCCAATTTTATATACATAATCTTAAATAAATTACTTTGGAAGCACAATTATAAATTTGTTAATCTATGTTAAAACATCTCGTATCAGTCATGTGACATGCACCAACCAACGCCACCCCATAACACGCTTCTAGCGAATCGACGCTCGTCCTTATTAATTGACATCTTACAATTAGTTTAATGAAAATCAGGATAGCTATTTGGAACCAGTCATACGTATCGTATTCATGAAATTAGTTATTAAACATTGCTCCTCATAATACTGGATACATGTCTTTGCCTACGGGGCTGATTGAATATGACATAAAACACGTAAGTATTTTGGAAATCGAAGGATTCTTATTATGAGAATGGATTAATTTTCAAAAATGTGGGTGTGAATTCCACCAATGCAATTAGATATGCATCAATTCATATTTGCCAGTTTATGAATAAACCATTCTAACATTGATAGCGTGTAATAAATATAATTGCACAAACCATTGTTACTATACTTTGCTGTAAATATGTATACGAAATGTAGCCAGTATTGTAATAAGATTCACAAGATTTTGACTTTTCAAGGAATGTGGAAGCTCATAGTTTTTGCAACCATTTTAAACTTCATATTTTGCATGGTAAGTAAATTAATAATTATTTTACATCTGGTCTCAAATGGAACATTCAATTTCAGGGGAATGAGGGGTGTATCTGTCCCAAGACGTATAGAAATCTTCCCAAGCCATTCTTCATGTGTGGCTATGAAATTAAGAAGCTTTACCCTCATGCATCTTGCGGAATGGAGGTCGTTTATCTGTGCGAGGAAAGCGGGACTACACTTAACCACGCATGTGAAACCAGAGAAGCTTACTGTGGAATAAACCCTGACGATGCTTGTTTGTTATATTGGAAAAATTCACCAGAATGTAACAAACATAAAAAGTTTCGAGCTTGTTGGGACTTTGGGACGAAAAGAGAAAATTATAATAGTTCCCTGCAACAAATGAAATCCTATGATTTCTATTAAATTATAGGATTATAAATAGGAGAAATATTTACTGTACTCAAATCTGTATATATAATACGTTATATGTAATATCACGGATCATCTGACAGTGGAACATGAGAGCAAAATAGTAAATTAAATTGTTATAAGAAATTAAAAATCAGAAATACAAAGTTATTATTCATTACTCGTCAAATGTCAACGCATAATTAAATTATGATAAATGTCAAATAGCAAAACAATTATTACTCAAATAAGCGAAATCTAGCCTTTACATCTATGAATCTAGCCGAACAAATGATTTACATACAGTTATTCTTAAACCGTGGTGTTTTAATATTTATATGAATTATAGTGTGATAAGCCACATTTCAATTTTATATAATCTTAAAAATTACTCTATGAAAGAAAAATTATAATTTTTTACCCTAGAAAAAATAAATGGGGCAATTAGAATGAAAGCCTGCACCTTGAATAAACAAGAATATCGCTGAATAAATAGGTGGGGAAAGCATTAAGTGTGTATCATAACACAAAGTGTGAAATTTCATAAAGTCTGAAGTATCATAACAAAAAAATTTTCATAATGAAAAGGATGTATCATAACATCAAGGCTAACCGAGCAATTTGGAAATTAATAACGCGTAAAATTGAATTGTCCAATTGTTACTTTGCTATTTATCAATGAAATCTAGGCATACAAACGATTTAAATATTTTAAAATGTGTTCAACGAACAAAAGAATTTTGACCTGTGCAGCAATGTGTAAGCTCGTAATCTTTCTAGCCATTTTGCACTTCATATTTTGTGTGGTAAGTTGATAATTACAAAACTATGTGTCTTGTTATAATACAAATAGTCCTTTCAGGGAGATGAGGGATGCATCTGTCCCAAATCATATGGCAAATTAAGAAATTCATACCCAACGTTCGGAACAACATTTATGATGTGTGGCTATGAAATTAAGAAGTTCTACCCTCACACAACCTGTGGAATGGACAACGCTTATCGTTGTACACACAATAGAACTGTACTCGCAAAAACATGTGACATCAGAGTAGAGTACTGTGGGATTGGACCAATAGTTAAAGGAAATCCCTTTCATGGTACGGACCCATGCGTTAACTCAAAAGACTCGCAACAATGTATTAATCACAAAGTACTTCGGTTGTGTTTTGATTTCGACTCAGAAAGTTACAATAGTTCAATGCATCAAATCCAGTCCCCTGACTTTATGTATTTTTTTTTAATTCCGATATTATTTGACTTAATTGCATTGGGCATATATCGTAAATCAATCACATCACAATTTTGTCCAGTAATAAACATTACTTTCCGGAATAAATCTTATACATTTTACAATTAATTAAATAAATATGGCCTGGATATAATTAAGTACATAACATGCGTTGAATAAATAAGAATATCATTAATTATAATGCGAAAAGCATTGCCGAGGCGAGGCGTAACAACATGAAACCAACGACACTCCATTGCATGCAGACTTGAGCTTCTGTCGATTCGACCCTCTGATTGATTGATAATTTAAATGACAAACGCGATAGTTATTTACAGGTAGTTGTACTGCGACATAATAATTCGCGTATCATACAATACAAATGCAAAACGAGTACAAAAATCAAGCCTACCAAGCAATTCTGAAATTAATGACGTATAAAATTTTAATTCCCCATTGTTACTCAGCCACAAATAAATGACATCTTAGCCATTCACAAGTTTCAGATTGTAGTGTAATCATTACAAAAATCTGTTGAATGAACCAGACAATTTTTGTCCTGTACAGTTATGTTCAAGTTCACAATTTTTCTAATTATTTTACACTGCGTGTTTTGCGTGGTAAGTTGATAATGGTACTGCCTGTATTGTAGAAACTAAAAATAGCAATTTCAGGGGGATGAGGGATGCATCTGTCCCAAATCGTATGGAAAATTTGGGAAAATTTCATACCCAACTATTGGAACAACGTTTACGATGTGTGGCTATGAGATTAAGAAATTCTACCCTAACACAACCTGTGGAATGGACAGCTCTTATCGCTGTGTAGGGAACAAACCCATACTTTCAAAGGTTTGTAGTAAAACCAAAGAAACTTACTGCGGGATGTCACCAATATTGGATGGAAATCAAATGCACCCGGACCCATGCATGAAATCCAACCACTCGGAAAGGTGTCTCGGTCACAAAATATATCGTGGATGCATTAACATCGACAGATTGGGGGAATATTACCCGAGTTCAATGCAACAGATCCAGTCCCCCGATTTTATGTAATTTTACAAATTGGCGACATTATTTGAATGTATATTTATGCATCCACCAACCACATCTCAATTTTTATAGTAACAAAACTTATGGAAGAAATTTTGTACATTTTACAACGAATTAAAAATAAATATGCGGCATGTGTATAATTAAATGTAACGGGGAAAGCATTGCAGAGGTGTAAATAGTAACATGCAACCAACGCCACCCCATCGCACGCAAACTGCGAACCGACGCTCGTCCTCACATTGATTGACATCTTATTAGCTAAATGATAATCGCAATAGGTATTTGCAACCAGTCGTACATTAATATGTACCGCAGTATGAAATCAATTATTGAACATTGCCCCTCATAATACTGTATAAATTTGGGTGTGAATTCCACCAATGCATCAATTCACATATGCAAGTTTATGAATAAACCATTCTAAAATTAATAGCGTGTAATGAATATAATTGCGCAAACCATTGTTACTTTGCTGTAAATATGTAGCCTTTGGGGTGTTTCATTGTATGAAATAAATAAATAAAAAATAAATGTGTACGAAATTTAGCCAGTATTGTAATAATATTCACATTTCTAAACTGTTGAATGAACAAGATTTTGACTTTTCAAGGAATGTGGAAATTCATAGGTTTTGCAACCATTTTAAGCATCATATTTTGCATGGTAAGTAAATTAATAGTCGTTTTACTCATCTTGCCTTAAATAGGACATTTAATTTCAGGGGAATGAGGAGTGTATCTGTTCCAGGATCAGGACGTATGGAAACCTTCCCAAACCTGTCAGCATGTGTGGCTATGAAATTAAGAAGTTTTACCCTCACACGTCTTGCGGAATGGAATCCGCTTATCGGTGCGAGGAAAAGAAGACTGTACTTCGAATGCAGTGTGAAACCAGAGAAGCTTATTGCGGAATGGACCCTGAAGATGCTTGTTTGTTGTATGGCAAAGATTCGCCAGATTGTATCGCGCATAAAAAGGCCGACATTGTTGGGACTTTGACACGCAAAGAGCAAATTATAACAGTTCCATGCAACAACTGAAACGCTATGGTTTTTACTGAATCACACAACGTATTTAACTCTAATCACCTTGTATAATAGGTTAGATTATCTGACAGTGGAACATAAAAGCAAAATAGTAAATTACATTGTTTTAAGAAAGTCAGCGTACGATTTTATTATTCGTTTATTAGTCAAATGTCAATCCATAATTGAATTATGACCATTTTCGAATGCAAAAATTATTACCTGCTGTAAATAAGTGAAATCTAACCACACAAATGATTTACATATGTGTATTCATGAACTGTGTTGTTTTAATAATTTTTTTTTTCATTGTAGGGTGACAATCCTCATTCCAATTTTATATAATCATTATGAAAGTAAAATTAGAATTTTTTAATCTAGGAAAAATAAATGCGACAATTAAAATAAAAGTCTGTACCTTGAATAAACAAAAATATGTTTGAATAGATGGGGAAAGCATTAAGAAAAGTGTCTCAACGTCAAGGCCAACTAAACAATTCTGAAATTAATAACGTGTAAAATTTAACTGCTCAATTCCCCATTATTTTTTTGCTGTATGAATGAAATCTAGACATACATACGAGCTGCACATTGTATAAGTGTTGTTCGATGAACAAAATAAT